TTTCTCCAGTTCCATGCTACAATATGCTCCCTAAAAATTACATGTAACATTAAAGCGATTTAATTTTATAGCATAACGTTGCATCTTATCGCGTTCTTGTCACACATACATGTAAGATCAGATTAAAATGCGCGAGGGTCTTCATCGATCGCCCGAAAATCCCGTTTGTGCAACCTATCTCTTTCTCTCTTTTTCTTCTGATATTTATTCGTAATAAGTCATTATATATGTATCGGTTATAACATCGGATCAATGACATAAAGCGACTATTTTTTGCGTCGATAAGACTGTGATGCGGAAAGCGTAACGCGGGAGTTTCATCTGTTGTTGCGAAAAAAGTGTAAAAGACTATCATTAGTTTGTATGTATTTTTCAAACACGATCGCGTCGAATCGAACGACGTGTCATTTCATCGTTCGTTCAGGTCGACGACCGTCCGGTGAAATCCACGAGGTATGCAAGCCGCGCTTCCTTGGCGACTATCATTATCGAACATTGGTCATAAGCCGCTAATGGCAGTTGAAAGGTAATTGACTAGCGACATCGACGATTGGTTCGCGTCCGCGTGATTGAAATTTTATTTTAATGCGTGTTCTCACGCATTTGCAACGTCGTTGTTTAATCAAGCTATACCGATTTGATTTAATCGCGACAATGAAATTGCAAAAAGATACTTTATGACGCGAAGAAGGGAGAGGGAGAAAAAAAGAGGTCATTACTTCTGCGTGGGTTAGTGTGATAAATTCATATTTTTGTCTAAAAAAATGTTTGATGAAAATTTCTATGATTCTGTCTGATTCTACTACGATTTTGTTACTTATGTTACAAAAATTTATGCAAATAAGAATGAGAATTTCCTTTAGATGATTGGGAAATTAAAAAAATAAATATTCTTTTCTCTCTCTTTCTGTGCAAAAATTGGCAACAAGTACTTTCATTTGTCTTGCAATATTTGCGTTATATAAAAAAATTCCTTTAGAAAGAGATATATTTATTTTTTTTTTACAGAATAATTTGCATTATTATTTCAAACTTTTATTGTATAAACTTAATATAAACTTTTATATTTTAAATTTAAACATTTTATATATTCATTGTATTTAAATATTATATAATTAAAGAAAATTTCCAGACATTCAAGATACATTTTCAAGACATTTAGAATTTTTCATACAGAAATTGCCTTTTTTAAATATAATATTCAAATCGCTAAATTGTTTAAAATTTTCAAAAAGAAGATTTGGACATTCATTATTGGAAATATCAGATAATAACCATGCTGTTGCGCAACGGGCAGCTATGTATAAGAGATAAAAAAAAAATTCATAATGGCCACCAATATACGACAGGTTTTTTCGCAAAAATGGCACCAAGCCATCCGCGCTCTATTATTATCAATTCGCAAAAAAGCAAACATTCGCCAGAAGGAACGATTGGATAGGATAGAGTCTATTCTATTTCAGATCGTGCTTTCAAGGATCTCTCTCTTTCTCTCTCTCTTCCTTTTAACTTCCTGCGACTAACCATCGCGATATCGCACGATAAGACAACTCATGTACGCGCTTCGCATAAACATATACGGTACATAAATCACACGCCTTGCATATATTACATTATATATACATGCGTAAATAAGTAAGTATACGTACATGGATGGGCGCGCTTTTTCTCGTACCTCGCGAGTACAAACGTCATTGTATCGATCGGTTTGCTTTCCCGGCTCGTAGCACGACCGGCAAATTTTTCGATTATTACATGTGCCAATCTAAGTTATACCGTAAAATTGAAATAATGAAAGAATTATAAATTTTTTTTTATCATATTTAAAAGCGATAAATTTGATAGAAATCCATAAAAATTATTCCAATAACAAATAGAAATGTTTACACATGTTCTTTAGGGAACATATTTTATTACGTATTATATTATATTCATGTTCAACATTTTTCAAAAATTCCAAGGATTTCATAATTTTACCTCCCATAGAGAATATTATAAGAATCGGAAATGATAGCGAGTCAAATGTAAATAAAATATAAAAATGTATTATTGAATTAAAAATAGTTTAATATAATAAAAAATAATATAATATAATTAAATATATGTTTTTTCTCGAGTATTCATCATATTTATATTTATTTCGAAATATAATTATTAACATTAACGGTTAATTTTTCCTGGGACTGTATACGCAATATAATCTTAATTGCACCTGTGGCGCGTATCTGAATCGAGAGAAGGCGATGCACTTTTGTGCAGCGCGCATAAACTGGCTCGCGCGTAGATCGTGTAGTGTAGATCTACTCCGTAGGTAGGTAATTACGGTAAATAACGGTATCGTCATAAACTCGCGCGCTGCTTTACTTCATTCTAACGCTCTATTGACTATTGTTCGACTTTCTACACACATGGCTGGCGTCCTCTCTAACGCTTAGCAAACTCACGCAAGCGAATATTTAATCTTCGTATATATAAATCGATGTTGTAATTCGAGAAAAGTAAAATTGCAAATGCGAAAGGAGCTGATTTCTTTCGATTGGATTCGATGTATAATCGAAATGTGCAGATGCATCTTCATTATCAGATTTATTACTTGATGTTTTGCTAGAGAGTCATTTTCATTGCTGTCAACATTTTTTACTTTGCTTAAATCGATGAGAGAATTTACTGAATCAAAAAGAAATGTCGAAAAAATTATCTCTTTATTTTTCCAAGATTTTCTTCAAGATTATATGACATTCATTTGAATTTTCGCGTATACGTATTTTCTTTCGTTGGAAAATGTATGATTCGAATAAACTATATATCGAAAGTATATAAAATCTCGTATTTTATCGTATTTGAAGATAGAATCTCTCTCTCTCTCTCTGAAATTTAAGTCAAGGAGAAAATCGCTATCAAAGAAGTTCATGCAGCGACAAGAGAGCAAAATAAGAAATGATAGAAAATTTTATCCTCACTGAACCAGATAAAAGTCTGACATTTATTATTAAACGAAAAACACGATTCGATTATATTTCTTTTTACTTAATTCTGTCGAACTGTCTCTTAAATAAAATTGTTTTTCAAAAGTACTCAGTGGCCGATACGATTATTGCACACTAAAGCAGCAGAATACGCATTTTCTACATATTTCCTTTTAAAAATCTAAGGAATATAAATGTTATTTTATTTTTTGAATTACCTCATTTTTATGCATTATATATATTTATATCATTTTCATTTTCATTTAGTAATTCTTTTCTTGTATTTTTTTACGTTCAAGTTTTTCTTAAATTTAAGTTTTGCGTCTCTTTAGTACGATCAATTATATGTAATCATATGTATTTATAACTATTTTTGTGCATCTATGACTATGTTGAAAAGAATGCGGGCGCATTAAAATAAGATATCGTTCTATTGTGCGAGTATCTTTCCTGCTCGATGTTCGTAATAAGTCAGTTATACAAGCGTAACACGCTTTGGCCTCGAAGGAATCCCAAGAAGAATTAACGGCGGATCTTTATGCGCGAGCGCACATATCACACACATACACGATATATATTTGCCCGAGTGAATGCGAATGAACGCAACTGATTGTGTCGGTTGATGTAAATCGCGTTTGAATAATAAATAATCCGTCAGTCGCGCGTAAACGTAATTTTCCCGAGGACGTTGTGTCAATGTGTAGCAAATCATTCTTGCCTCAATAACAAGACATTTTATACGTAACACATTTTTCACATACGCGCCTTACTTGCAAGGCTTCGTAAAACACCGAGATTGCCAGGCTTAGCGAGCTTAAGCTCTGCCGTCTCTCTCAAGAATACACAGATGAGAAAAGATTTATTAGACTGAAATAAAAAAAGCTTCCTATTTTTTTCGTAAACTGTTGTATAAAATGTTATTGTAAATGATTTATTATCATACTTTTTTAATTAGTAAGTTTTTTTGCGTGATAATAGGATGTAATATTTTTATAAAAAATAAAAATTTGTATTATACAATTTCTAGAGAAAAAAATAAATATTAAAAATATAATAATATTACTATATAAATAATATTATATAATAATATTAAAACATTCTATGGCTAAACAATAAGCCAAACGTGAATTCAATTGAGAATTCATGGAGAATTATTAAAAGAAGACTGAAGAAAATAAATAACGAGCGTACGACTGATTATCACTTATCAATGTTTGACATTAGATAAGAAATCAAAAATTCGTATAAAAATCTTGTTGAAAACATGTGGGAAAACTCATAAAGAGTAGACTTGTAAAGTACTGATTTATTACTGATCAAAAAAAATAATTATAAATAAATATAATTAAAACTAAAAAAATTTTAGTTTTGAATATATATATATATATGTATACAATTTTCATATTTATCGCATTACATTCAATAAATATGCAATATAAACGGATCTCTCTTCCAACATGTATGTATATTCTTGTGTTTATACAGACATAGTACTTTTACTTTACCCGAGCATCTTTTAAGACTTTTCTAGTTTTTCTTAAGAGAGTAATAACGATTGAATTTATATGTCTTCCATCGGACAATGGAGTTTGACATTTCTCCGTTTCCATAGTTATGATTCGGTCGAACCGATCGATTGAGCTTTACTCGCGGTGTATGTACGTGGAAGCTGAGAGCTTGAAGAGTTGTCAGCCTTGACCCACTTCCAAATGTCCTCGACTCCTCCCAAGTGTTCCTTGCTTCCATGCGTCTCAAAACTTGGCCTTAGACGAAGCGATTTCGTCAAGCGATCGTTTTTATCGAAGATACGTGATATCGCTCACATCTAATCGGTTATTCGATTATCTCTGACATTTTACTGTTAACGATCGATTGTAAAACCTTAAAGAGTATAGACTTTGTCTTTCAAGTATTCTTAATGTATTTTTTAAAGTAGTTTTCTTAAAGTAATAAATATTTTTAACTGATTTTTAATAATGAAAATAAGAGCGAAAGAATATTATTTATTTATTGTTTTATTTACAACACAGGGAATACATAGAACAGTTTTGTTATCTTATTCAACATCATCTTCACAATAGTCCCACTCTTCGTCTCGAGATTGAGTCGCGGATGATAGCGGATTTCTAATCGCAGTCATATTCGCCGTATGGGGTTTTCCGATACCTAAAGTGGTTAACATTCCTAGCGAGTTTAGAACAGAGATTTGTCATTAATCAATCGACTCCAATGACTCTAAATAAAAATTGCAAATTTATTAATGACAGTAAGAAAGCCTCGATCTATTATATCTATATCGAGTATACACTTAAATCGTTGCGCTTGTATTATATTTTTTTTTAATCGGATGAGTTTTTTATACTCTTTATAATATATATGTATATAATTAAGTCTCTATATTTACGAGAATTCTCTTTCTGGACGAACCCCGAGTGAAATAGCTCTCATATGTAACAATCTCCATTACAAGGGGCGTGCTGACCTTTCAGTTTTCCCACTATATCTGTGGCTTCTGTATCTTGCGCCTCGCCCTCCACTATCGGCTTCCTTACGCTCTGATAAATTGTGTATCCAATACCGAAGACGTGATTGAATACAAACTGAACGGTGCAGAGCACTATAACCACGAGGATGGGTAGACAAAGACTGGTCTCGAAGTCGTCTAGGAACAAATTTACCGAGTCCGGTAGCAGATCGGTAGACATTCTCTTCGCTTGGACGAGTCTCGTTCTCTAGGTTAATTTGCTTTGACTTTTTTCCTTTTTTTTTTTTTTGCGATGTTCGAAACAATTATTGAAGCAATTTCGTGTTCGAGGCGATCATCATCGCCTCGTCATCTTTGTTTCACGCGAAGCTATCCAATCTTACAATTTTATATGTCTTTGCTCGCGAAAATGGAGCCAATATATCTTGTCAATTTCGTTTTGAAGAAAAGAGATATTCATATGTTTATAGCTCGTGTGAAGCTCGCGTCTTGCACTCTTGCAAGCGAAAATAATAAATTAGAAGAAAATAACGAGAATGCGAGGAAAAAATAATTAAAATGAACAAATATGTTTTTTTTTTATCTAAACACAATAACGATAAGAAAGATAAGAACGAGAAGTACTTGACGAAACAAAAAAAGCATTGTTTGATTTTTCTCTTATATAAATACAAAGTAACGATAAAATATATTTTTTTTATACTGAGAAATGATGATGAAACAAATTATGCCGGTGACATCACTATGTCATCGTCCGGAGTAAGGCTCAATGATTCTTGCACAAGCAAGAAAGCTCTTCTGTCGAAGGACGAATCAGTTTCGATTCGCGAGGTCTCTTTAGATCGTTTCATTTTCATGATATTACTCGAATTTGTTTCAGAAGACAGCAGACTAACGTCGAATTCTCCTTCGGATAAACAATAATCGTAATATTGAGAGGATCTAGAAGATGCTGACAAAGAAGGCGCTATTGAGTTTAAAGCGACACTCGATCTTAAGCTGCCATGGGGTAACATTATCTCCGTCTGCCCTTCCGGTTCTTCGACTACTAACGTTGTCTTCTGGCTGATTGTTGCCTCGAAAGACGTGCAAACGTAAAATCGCGGATCGATGGGGATAGGACTTTCATCAGGGATCGGTGGTTCGAGCGACTTGGTCTTTGTGAAATTTGAATCGGATAATTGCGACGAGCTAGGAATTAATAAAGGCGAATTAACGATTCTCGAATCTTTATCGATTCTCTTTGGCTGTGACGAGAGTGTCGCCCGATTTACAACAGCCCCGTGGATCGACAAATCTGTCTTTCGATTCCGATCAGTTTCCACAATTTTCATTGGTTCGTTATATATTTCCTGTCCTCGTTGACCTCTATTTCGTTCCGCTAATTCGGTTAATGACATTGCGTTGGTCGACGTCGTTGGATTATCGTTCGAAGCAAAGGTCTTCTCGCGTTTCTCACATTCTCGAGTGACGCTCGTGGGTTTTACGAGAATTTGTGCTCCTTCTGTAAGCAGTTGCTTTTTATGTTGCTCGACCAGATCCAGTTGACTTATAATATTTATGATATTTGCGAAAGTGAAACGATTGTTCTCCAACAGTGCGCCCAACTGAACGATCGCGTTGTAACACAATTTTTCCCACGATGGGAAGCTCGCAACTGATCCGAGATTATTCTGGAAAAAGAATAAAATGTTTAAGCGAAAAATTACAAATATTTGTAATTCGCAGTTCGCGTACCTGTGCGGTAGATTGTTGAGACGCGAATTTTCGCGCTTTAATCGTAACGCATTTCGGCAAAGAAGAGACTTCCGCCAGAGAAATGCCATAGTGATCGGTAGGTCCTACTCCGGGGTTCAACTTGTGAGTGTATATCAGATGTAATTCGTTCGATTCTTCCGATTCTGCAGTTTTTGTCTCGAAGCAATGACTGAAATCGTAGCAGCAATATTATGAATAAATTTTCCTTTTTGCCGAGCGAATTATATTTGCGCTAAATAATAGATTTTTATCTTGTTCTCTTTAGAAAAGTATGAGGAGTAGGAAGAAAAGAATGAAAGAAAAGAGCGGATGAAAAGAGCGTTTTTATACATCTTGAAAATAAATATATGTAGGGTATCTAAAGAAATCGTAGATGTCTGTTTAATATCAGATTCTCTGGCTAAATTTGGAATTGATTTTTTCTTAGCGAAAATGTTGAGAAAACTCACTTTTTCATCAAATTTTACCATTTTATATAACTAAGTCTCGAATTGAAATTTTATAAAGATAAATGAAATTCTATGAAATTAATGGAACAATGTAATTTTGTTAAATCTTTGATTCTACAAAGTTTAATTTATGAAAAGTCTCCTCTTTCATTTATAATTCAAAAATTATCAATGTTTTAATATTTTCACCTTCAGAGAATCTTCTATTAAGAGAATATATATACATAGTGACTTTGAGATACTCTATATATAATTTTCATTTTCAAGCTATATATATGTAGACAGTAAAAAATTGTGCGTCCATATTTAAAATTTTGTTGTGTTTTGATTAGTATTTTAATGTAAAATTAGCATACAACTAATATGCTATTATTTTTATAACGTTTTTCATGTGTTACATTTATATCAACTTTATAACTTAACACTTTGTATATGTCTCTTAGAAATGGAATATTATTTTGAGTATTCTTGACATAATCATTTTAAACAATCAACATGTCTCAAAGTCAGTTTAACATTCTAAGAAAAGTTAAAGTAAATCTTCAAATAATCTTCAACTTTGACGTACAAAATAACAAAATTTACTAATATCAAATGTTTCTATTGCAAATAATTTAAATTAAAATTAATTAATAATTAATTAATGTCCTGCAACAATTCTTACAAGCTTTGTAACTATTTTTTCATGTAATTTTTAATTAATCTATATTATTTTTACACTTAATGTCATAATAACAAAAATAAATGTAAAATATTGTGTCAATTATTTAACATTTTTAATTTGTCAATAAGTAACATACGACGAATGAGTTATTTTAACTTAAAATTTAGAGTGGACTTTCTGGGATACGTGAAAAATGTTATAATTAATATTTTATTTTTTTACTGTGTAGATATATATAGATAAGATGTACATATAGATAAGTAGATAAAAACGCACGTGGATGGATTTTTCCTCTTTGCTAAGCGGATTATATTTGTGCAAGATTTTCACGTACGTTGTCACGTTGTGATACATGTTTCTTAGCGCGGTGAGATGTAAAAAGTGCGTCGCGGCAAACGTGAACGCTGTCGTCAGCAATAATTTCTCGCATATCGACCAAGCGATGGACGAACCTTCCTCGACAGTGGTATGTCTGCAGAGCTCGTCTAGAACCACGAGAGACCTAGGCGTGACGGATTGCAGAATGTATTGCGCCTCCTTCATCTAAAAATGAGCGAATATAAAATTGCTTTGCAATTTGATCTTTGCATCGAAAGCATTAGTTTTCTCGTTGATAGGAGTCGAGTAACATTGAACACGAATATTGAACATTGGTTCTCGAATTGCTTGAAATATTATGCGGGTCGTAGACACACTTTTTAATGGAAAAATTAGAAAAAATATCGCATGTAAAGTGATACTTTCATGTTTCGAAGAGAGACGGGTATATATTCGTGAAAGAGTAATTATACATTTATCGGGCGACTACCTCGAGGACGAAGGCGGACGCATTTAGCTCGGCGTCGTCGCGAGAGCTCATTCTACAAAGTATGCGGTCCGCAATGCGAAACGTCGCCTTCGTCGCCGGCACGTAAGAACCGATCTGAAATAAGCACGTATAATGAGTTGGGAACTATGTCGGCTGAAATATGTCAGTTTATAATAAACATGTAGTAGTACATGTGTCAGTTTATAATAAAAGAGAGAAGCAGAGATAATGTAATTAATAATAATAAATTTAATAAAAAATAATTTTTTAAGATTCGATGAAATTTGACGTTCAATAAAATATTAAATATTCAACATTCGATAAAAAATATTTTTAGTGCAATTAAAATTAATATCTGTTGAACTTTAAATCCTCAAAATGAATTTGTTGCATTTATTGTATAAGAAGAGATATTCATAATTAAATATTATACGATTAAAATTAAATATACAAAATCGTATTCCTTTAAAAAATTTTCATTTTAAAAAAACTGGAAATAATTACTTCTTTTGTTTTGCATTTTTTATATCGAACTACGTAATCAAGAGTATTTAAATTAACACATAATCTTTTTTTATTTAAAAAGAAAAAATCTAGTACAAAGTTATGTAATAATGGATATTAGCGATCCGATAAGCGCACCCAATCAATCGGGAAGCGAAATTATTACCTGCGCCATGATTTGAAGTAGAACGATCTGTTTTAGGTACGTGGACTTGCCGCTCATGTTTGGTCCAGTTATCAGATGAAAATTGTACGGAATCGAGGCGTTCTGTGTGTGCCAGAGAATGAGGTGAGAAAATATCGTAAATTTATCACGCGGATCGCTCATTTCAACACTCACCACATCGTTGGCTACGGGTAAATCCCTGTTAAATAACTCCATAATGGGATGAAACGAGTTTACCAGTTCTAATTTGGTCCCGAACGACGGTCTCACGTATTCCGGATTACTGCTGATTTGCGCCAACGATAGTATCAAGTCTAATTCCGCCACGTCAGCGCTCAATTGAAACAAGCAGCCGACATGCTGTCTTATATCTTCCAGTAAATAAGTCAACAATCTATAAATTGTTATTATTTATTAATAATTGTTATTATTTATAGGATAATACGGGGAGCTTTTTGATGATTAACTCACGTGTTGCTCATTACGTAAACCTCCTCGCAAGCTTTCTTGCACTGTTTATTTAACGTCAATAATGCTGTTGTGGTCATCGTAAGGGATCTCCTGTTCTTTCGCGCCTACGCATAAATAGGATGTTAGACATAATTGATTAGATATAATTAAAATTAGTTGGATATAATTAAAATTAATTGGATATAATTAAAATTAAATTCCATAAACGATATCTATAGCACACTATATTACCTGAATAAATTCCGCCGGCAAGTCTGAGATTATCATGTTCATATTTTGCGGTGTCACAACATTTATATGATAGCCCAAGTTCGCGTTGTATTCCAAGGATAATGGAAGCTTGTATTTTATGGCTAATTGCTCTACCATATCTACTTAAACGAATCCGTCAAATGAGAATTAATTTTCGAATAATTTTAATATATGTTACGGAGGGAGAGATACTATATATACTTTTCATGTCACTGATTAATTCGCAGTAAATTTGCCGAGCTACATCCAACAATTCATTGATATCAGCTTTTATAGCGAAGCATCTCTGCATACTCAGGGAAATACATCCCTTCACAAATTTCGCATCCGCGTGTATCAATGTCAAAATCTTATCCTTCATAACTTGAAATTCCGAATTTTTTAAATTCTGCAAAATCAAGAAAAAAAATTATCGTATCGATAAGAACATAAGAACATAAACAATCGTGAAAATAAATAATATTATTATATAAATTATAAAATTACAATTTAATTTAATTTTGTGATAAATATAAATTTAAATTATAAAATTATTTGAGATTAATATTATTAGAAGAAAATTGTTAAAATAATAATAATAAGTCTCGAATAAGAGTGTAGCACCTTTCGCATTTTCACGAAAAACGGATGAATACCGTTCGCGAGGATCGCTTCCAGTTCTGGGACGATGTCCAGACAGCTCTTCAAGAGCAACGCGTAGTTTAGATTTCGCTCTGCGTTTTGTATATCGTTGACGTGTAAAGGTTTAATCGCCAACGTCAGCAAGCGATCCGTGCCAAAAAGGCGTTGCACTACTGGCTGTAAAGCATAGATCTCGTATAACGCGCGGTGCGCAAAAATTGTGTCCGTTGAACTTTCTTTTTAAATATTTTTAGAATCCGTTATACCTGAAGACTGGTGCATAGAGAACGATCGGCCACCAATTCTGCTACGCAGGATTGTCGATCCAGGATTAGACGTTCGTCGCAGCTGGGCTGAAGGATAGAGGCGCGCAGGAGTCTCCTACCCATCGGGGTAAGACAGCGATCCATCGTGCCCAGCAGACTGACGATGGTATGCTTGGACTGCGAGACGACCAGTTCCAGGCTCCGCGCGCTCTCGATATCTACACAAATATCTCCCATGATGTATTTACCGCAAGAAAGATCGTCTTTCTCGTCGCAATATATATTTTAATACATGATAAAAATTAATTCAATTATTTACAATATATTAATATTTTTAATAATTTTAATTAATTAAATTTTAAATAATTGAAATAATATTTAAAATTATTTAGAAAAATATATATGTATATTTCTAAATAACCAATCATTGTAGTGTTGGGTGATCCTTGAAACTCTATTCGCATCGACTTTGGAGCGTAAACCATGTGCTGGACGTATTCTACGTATTTTAACAATGCTGCGGCCGCAGCCAAAGCGTAATATCTGAAAGGGGACGGAAAACAAATAAAGTGAAGATAAACGAATAAAATAGTTTTCTTTTCTCTTTCTAATTGTTTCATTTTATGTGTATATGAACAATTTTTATAACGTTACTTTTGTTTCACTATCAATTCCACGGTCGAATACTCTCTGGCACATAGAGTTCGCACACGTTCCATGCCGGTAGACTCGTTGAAGTGTATTCGTGAAATCGGCGTGATGTTGAGAGCATTGAATTTTTCTTTGATCGATTTGTACAGTTTATTCTCATGATTGCGACGCTCGTACATCGTTTCTGGCATCAATATCTTAAAGATAAAAAATTGCGAGAATATTTATTACTTGTTCTATTGAATTAATTTTATTAGAAAATTAAAATTATTATAGCGAAATCATTAATTCTTCCTTTTTTAGTTAGTTTAATCTTTTATTTTATAAGAATTTTAATATCAAATAAAAAATAACACATTTATAAATTAATTGATAAAATGGTTAAGAGATTAAGTCTTTCTATCATATATCATATATCATTAAATTTAATAAAAATTATTACAATTTAATTTTTCATACTCAAAATACTTTGGTGGAATAGAATTAAATTTTTTCGAAAGAACTTTTATTCATTTCTATTTAAAAAAATATATATTTAATTCTTATTATATATTGCAAAATTCTAATGCTTTTTGAAAATTGATACATAATGTTTCTCATGATTTTACTATAATAATTTTGATTTTCATTATTATCTTAAAAAGCCTTTTTAAATTTTTTATATTATATAATATTTTTCTTAATACATATAGAATCAATATGATATAATAAAATAACTTATTTAAATAATAATAATAATAATAATAATGCCTACTTCTATTGGATCGAGCATGTTAATTTTCGTCAAGGTATTCACGTATGTTTGACAATCGCTGATTTGACAGAGAATCAAGTACGGATATTGTAGATCTATCGCTGCCAAACCGACTTCGTTCCTGGCGTCTCCTCGGCCAGCTGTTAACGCTATCAGAAATATCGCGAATAAGATAACAAAGTATGCCTTTCTAATTTTATTATTTAATCTTTACTCACCGATCATTACCCAAGAATCCGCATTACTGGATGTGCCGTACGGCGTTGATTTCGGATTAATCGACCTTATAGATATCGAGAAATTAAATTTTTTTTATACAAGCGGAATCAGAAATAAAATTGAAATTGCTTTTAGAAACTGGACTAGGATAATATTTTTTAAACCAATGTTTAAAAAAAAAATAATATAGTTAATAATGTCCAACTTTTTATGACGATAAAATTGAATTTTTTAAAATGAATTTACGAAAAAAAGCAATAGCTGAGATGTAGCGAGATATCAAATATATTTTATTCCAACAAGATTCTAAAATTATCTTGCAAGAGATTCGCAGATACTCACCCTACACTACAACGAGACGTGCTAGGCAGGTGTGATGACGTAGAGACATAATTCTCTCTGCGAACGTATCTTGGCGTTTTTGAGTTCGCGGCTCCAGAGCTCGTCGTGACTCTCGGAAAGCCAGAATTGAATTCTACATTCGAGAATGGTGCGTGAAACAAAAGACGCAACCAAAAATGGAGTATTTTCGTTAATAAGAATGAGCGGAAATCGCGACTAAAATCGACTTTAATCGAACAAATTGTTAAACGTGTGGCAATAATTCTTTTTTTATCTTGGAACTGAACAAGAGATTCCAAGAGATGTCAAGAGATTTTATCTCGCAAATGTGTACGAATATATTTAAAAAATATAATCTCTTCAAAATATGTTGCGCAAAGTTTGAACTCTTTGTCGGCAACCAGTTTTAACTCTTATGTATCACTCACGATATCTCGGAAAGATATTTGTCACGCGTTGCGCGTTCGGTAGAAATCTTCCTCTCGTGTAAGAACGTCGTCCTCTCGGTGGAGCAGCCTGTATTACATTCATTTTTATATAAACGCTCAGAGACGGATTTAAAAAAGTATTTCCGACTTTACGACAATCTTGCGTTTAAATGCAACAGTATCGCCTGAATTTGTTCGCTGATTCGGATCGAATGTCACGTGACAAATTCGACTGATGAAGCAAGCCACGTTTGATTTTTAAATCAAGTCAGACTGGGATCAAACATACGTTTTACAACATTTCTCGTAGTAATATATTTATTTACAATTCTTCTCATTCTGTGTGTGTTCTCTTACGCACATTTATTTGGGATCAATAATAAATAACACGATCGCAATCACTATTCCTTCCGAAATAAATATCGCTCTTCCGTCCTCGTCGTTCATTAGAATTTAGTTACATTTGTATTTACAAGCATCTCAGTAATGAAATCGATTGTCTCTGCTACTTAAACTCTTCCATTCGAGCCACACAGCAACTATATATATATATATATATATGTAAAGTTTGTGTAAAATTTATTTATTATCTATGTAGAACCGCACCTCGCGAAATAGAATAACGCGCGATATACATACAATACGACAATTCGCGCGGCAAATTTTACCGCATACAATATATATATTTACACATTAATCTTCCAAAACATGTAAAAAATCAACGTGAATATTGCGCCAATCCCGCGAGAGAGAATATCAAGCTTTATATTAATAAGTAAATTAATAAGTAAATTAATTGCAAATTAATATGTGTACATATATATATGTCGATACATATAACGATTTTTTACATCATTCGTGGATGTATCGTATATTTTTGTAATCGCAAGTATTAATTTCCTTGATCACACACCTCTGTGATGCCTGATATTCTCGCTTATCAGTAGTTTTAACGTAACCGCACTAACCGCTACGCAAATTACAAGAATAAACAGAAGCAAGGAGAAAGTTTGGCGAATACAAATAATATTAATGATACACAAGAGACCCACAAGAAGCGTTTGACAGAATACCTTCAAGTATATCATTTTACAGCGATACACAAAAGGGGAACATACGTTTTTCGCACCGCCCGATGTATCATTCTCGTAATGAGGCACGTGGGAAATTTGGCCAGTCTAGAAAGAAAACAAGATCTCTATCCTTCCTCTCTCGCAATATCATCTCATTTATCTTAGAACGGACAAATTTCTCATTATACGAGAGGCACCGAATACACATACATTATTAATTAACGGCATCATTCTGGACTTATTCTAGACTTCCGGTCTTATTCTGGACTTATCCCGATAAAATTTACAATGTCGCAATAGTGGTCTTAAAACGATGATCGTTAATGTAATATTGATCACAATGCACATAAAAAATGCGCGTACGTGCACGCGTACAAACACATACGTGTACGTGCACGCACACACGCACATCCGTAGCACGCGATATGTGTACATCGATAGACGCGAGATCGATCAAGGTTTATCACATCGTGGACTTTTCATCGGAGACTTTGCGGTAAAAAATTTCTTAACGCTACGAATGCTAGCTTTCAAAGAACTTTCAAATTGCGCCGATCGCTCGTGACGACAATAATGATAAACGCACGTTAAAATGCACAATGTTTATCTTAATGATTTTTTTTCTATCTCTATCGCATGCCTGTTAAAAATAATACATTTCTCGCGCGCATGAGGATCGAGCAGGATCGCACGCGTGCAAAAAAATATCCACGCGACGCGATATATATAAAGTGATTATTAAAATATAAATTTAAAGACAGACAATATATATATATATATAGTTACCTTATGCCGATTGAATATATAATAATATTCAATCGGCTCATATATAATATATCCCGCATTATACATATATCTTATGTACAAAAGATGTCACAATCACAAATCACAAGTATGATAATACGTATATAATTGACACGATGCAAATACTACAATTAATGCAATTAAAACTGCTAAAATAACTTTCTTACGTTTCTCCAATGCCATTTAGCGTTTGCTATTTCCATTAGATCGGTAAAGAGAGTGTCCTTGTCTTTTTCTCTAAAATAGAGTCTAATACAAAGCAATTTTCGCGTTGCAACGATCCTCGCATTGTACATTAATCTAACTCGATGGTCAAAAACTGTGTAGAAGATGATAGTGTCTAAATTCTTTCATATTCAATTTATTATAATTATTATGAAATGAATTATTGATAACGATTCATAGAGTGATGATTCTTTGGCACGTTGGCGAGTGACAATCAATGAATCATGTCGGCAAACGAGAATTTAAACGATTATTATCAAGATATTTTTATCATATTTAGATATTTTATCATGAGATATATATATATATAAAAGTTGATATGATTCAAGGATATAAACCGGTACAGAGATATTAAAAATGACGGCAGGTACAGCAACAATGTTGCATGTATTATTCAAAAATGAATAGAAAATGTCGAGTAATTTATTCGAGCATATATTATACGTGGCTCTCGAGGGGCACCTTGAAAACCTTGGACGCGATATTCGCATCCGGCAATGACTGCGGCCTCGCGGCGTTGGTTACGTTGAAGACAACGTTGCTGGGTCCACGAAAGCTCACCTCGATCAAGAAGCTCGTGTCAGCCATGCCAACGCGATTGGCGCTCAGATCGGGTGAGCTGGTTCTAAGCTGGCTCTTCTTCGGTCTGTAATCGCTTCTGATGATCCTCTCGGCCTCGGACTGTAATTTGTTATCGAGCCAATGCACCTTGTCAAAATCCTTGGTACCGCCGACCGTATGTCTCCGTTTAATCGACCGTTCCGACATTCCGTTCTTCCGCTTTAGCTTCGTGGCGCTTTCCTTCCGCACCGATTGTCGCCGCTTGCTGATGTTACACTCGGTCTTCTCAGTCTTGGTCAGCGATTCGGAACGTTTCAGCCTGCTGCCTGGCGACTCCGATCTATCACCGGAATGTTTGTTCAGACTCTCGGATCGTTTAAGCAGCAACGGCCTCTCGGTCGAGTGCTTATTCAAGCTTTCCGATCTTTTTAATCGGGAGCAAGTATTTTCGGACGTTCTCTTGTTCAATGATTCCGATCGTTTCAGGCGGGATCTTACCTCGGAGCTCGTCAGGCTTTCAAATTTTTTCAGCTTGTTGGAATAACTGGAATCTCCGGTCTCGTAATGATGAACCTTGGCGTCCAATTTTGCATCGACATCGTTCTCCGAGCATCTACTACTCTTCTCGCTCGTCGATTCGTAATGTCTTGGGTTTCCCGCGCGGGGATAATCTCCCTCTTCGTCTGCATCCCTCCGATCGTCCTCGTCCTTCTCGCTCGAATCCGGAGTCTTCTCCGTCATCGTTTTCTCCGTGGCGTGATTCGTGTCCGGCCTCTGCTTATCGTTATTCGGCATGATTGATTCCGAAGAATGCGGAGTATTGTCGATCACCGTAGAATCGGTATCCTTCTCGGGAGCGTCCTGCAAATCAAGAGGAAAACGATGACGATTTTTGAAGGAATTATTCAATAATCATATCGGTGTTTTTTTATCTATATCAAGACATTTTAATTTATATTCAAATGCGACGCTGTCTAGATGAAAGTTTATTATCCGGGATATTTCATATTCATATATTCTCTCTGATAACATTAACTTCAAATGTATGAGAGAGATTTTATCGATACATGCGACCGTGATATTAAAATACTTACGTCCTTTGGGCGGGAGATGTGGCACTTGTCGAGCGATTTATGAAGGCTGGGATTACGATAGGCTTCCGTAGATGGATATCGGAATTTCGGGGACGCGCTCGGCTTTTGCTCCCGCTCCACGGAGATGCCATCCTTATTATGGGACGCGGATTCCGGAGGAGACTGCGCTTGAGTCGACGATTGATTGACGAGAGACCTCCATTTGCGATCGAACGTGGTGGTGAGGCTGGTTAGAAGGTCGCTACCTGTAAGATTCATTGTGTTAATGATAAGCGAGATACGCGCATGAGACCACACACGAGACGCACAAACTTGTATGAATACAAGGGAAAAAAAGAAAAACACTCAAAGCATCGCGAATTGTGTTATCTGGTCGTCATTTTAGTAACTTGTGATATACACGATCGCTAAACAAAAATGAAAAGTGTACGATTTTTCTTTTCGTTTATCGCTTATCAGCTGATGATGTATCTTGCGTGAGTGCATTCCTGCAAAATAAAATCGTCGCGAAATCAGATTATAATTGGAAATAATCCGCAACAATAATGATGAGCGTTGAAATGCATTCCGTTGACGTAAAGCGAGCACGATTATCGCAAGAGAATTAATTAATATGTTATTGTATCTTCTTATCGTCGCTATCGCTAACGTCGTTATCACTCGGTTTTACTATCGTCATTGTTAATCAAAAGTTGTTATTGTTTCGCCAGCTGTATACATTACGACAATTGCAATAACAACATAATCAGCATATCTTCGTTCTTGCGTTGAAGCGTGGTAGAAAAAATAACATCCTATTCTTGGACGAGAAAAAAAAAATAAAACAAGATGCGGCAAAAATCACGACAAAAACACAGTACATAAATAATATTACTAAAAATATATCCTTAAACATATATCTAAAAAAATTACTCAAAAAAAGCTATTTAAGCTAATACTTTTGAAAAACTAAAGTTAAAATCGCCGAGTAACTGATCTATTAATGCTGTTTTAAAGCAGAAGAGATGACACATTTTTGTGAAAATATTCTTCATTCCAGAAATACTATCGCATATAAGAATTTCGCAATTAGTGACGTAGACGACATTAGAAGATTTATCGATCTACGCTCACAAACATCCGAGCGGGAAGTTGCGAGAAAAATAACAAGAAGAAGAAACGACATTGTCTACCAGTGGGACGAGCTAAAAAAAGAAAAAAAAATTGCCTGCAGCGTTATTTACGCGCGTAAAAGCCAGTCAAGATTCTCCTCGAAGATGACGGTCGCGAAACGTGCGAGATATTAACAGAGTGGATCGCGCAATCGCTGGGCGCGAAAGATGCATACGTGACACGCACGGGGACGAATGTTAGTCGGAAAAAGTAACAACAAATACAACACGTGGCGTGCTTAGTGGTGGCATGTATGTAAAATAAAAGAGCGTGTATATAAAAGCCATTCGGTTTGAGCCAGCCAGCTGAGTCAGCTCGTCGGGCATCTCGGATGCTGGAGGCGGATCCGCCAGATTTCTGGTCTGGCGAGAGAGCCTGGGATTTACCTCGGAGGAATCGGTTTAGAGTCTTGGCGGTGGCTGATTCGTCTGACGATCGCGCGTCGTCTCCTGCGCACGATGACGATGATGATGGGGCAGCTGTTGCTGTAGACGCGACAGCAGTTGCCAGCGGTGCGGCGGCTGATGCTGCTGCTGCTGTGGTTGCTGCTGTTGGCATTGACACGGGCATGGACATTGGCATCGGGACCGCTGCGACCGGCACTGGCATTGACATTGGCGATTGGACCGGTGTCTTCGGGGTGGCGGGACTACCGGGACCTGCGGTACCGTATAGGTGGGACGATATGTACCACCAAAAACCCGGGCTCGCTGTGTGCCTACACGTGGTGTTCAACCATTTCCATTTTTACCGTCATTCGTCATTGTTCGTGATGCGCCCGAGCAACTCTCTCGTCTTCCTCCTTTGCGTCTGGACCCACCGTATCTCTTTCCGTCTCTTTCTTTCTTTCTTTCTCTTTATTCGGGTCTTTATATTTTCTCTCGAACCGATTAGCCACCGATTGATCGCCGCGCGAATTCAGTTTGCTCGACGGAAATTAAAATACATCGCCCGATAGAGAAACTGAACGGACGTGACCAAAGGAAGGAAAATGTAACGAAAGAAAAAAGAATGAAAGAAGAGAAAAAAGGATTGAGAGCGAGGAGAATCAAATTTTCAAGATCAATATTTTTCAGTGATCGAGAACGCGCGACAGATCGATCGATCTTGAGATCCGAAGATTCTCGGAAGAAAACTGTCGAGCCGACTATATTCGTATTCCTTTCGGGCGTGTCTGATCGCAAAGACGTAGACTGAGGCGGCAGAGCAATCAGTTTTATATAATTAAAAAAGGCTACAAGATTAATCAGCAATAGAGGCGATCGTTATAACGATTAAAGAACAGGCAGGCAGACGAGCAATCAGACAAACGTAATTCGGCGATGCACACATGTGTGACAAGAAGGTGCGAAAACTAGACGTACTGTCAGACTAATAGCAAGAGCCCCATCGAAACAATGCTTACGATGGTCGTGAAAAACGAAGAAAAAAAAAAAGAAAAATGCCTTCAAACTTATTATCAACAAAATCGTGACACGACATAACGTTATAATTTGTGTGTAAACGTGAGACTCCTTTAAGAAAATTCACATCATTTTCGTAAAAGCAAGCAATGATCGAAGAATCCATTCGAAGATATCTCGATAGAACATGCATGCGAAGATAGAGATTTATCCGATAGTCGGCGTTAAAGACACACTTTAATTTCTTTTTTTTTTTTAAGTGACTTGTGCGAAGCATCGGAGATATACAGTAAGCGATTTTGTTTCCCCGGGAATATCTCGTTATCCTCGGAAAGCACGTTCTCTTATAGACATTGGATGCATTAAAAAAAAAGCGTCCTTTTTTAAAAAGCTGGACCTTTTTTACACCGACGTTTACGAGGAAAAGTCGCTGAAGAAGCAGCCAATCTGTGTGAGATATATGTGCTTTTCTTAATGCCGAAAGCCGAAGATTGGCGCATGCAGTACACGAAAACAATGTAAAAATAAAGGATCGGCCCCAAAAGACGCGCGTCATGTGTATAATTCGGATATATATATATATATATATATATATATATACTTTTTTAATTTTTATTTTATTCTCTCTCTTTTTGTGGCCGATCCCCTTTGATCGCAAATACGAGATATAATATCTTCTAAAATTAAATCTATTTTCATTGCAAGAAGCCTTCGTGTGTCTCATGGACGTGTTTGCACTAAAATCGACTACGCTCCGCGTAATGTTGCGAACGCAATGAGAGAAAAAAATGGAACGTTCCGAGCAATGACGATGTAACTTATAACATGTAAAAGATCGTATCGTGTAATTTGAAAAAAGAAAAAAAAAAAAGAAATGGCTTGAAGCAAAAATAAGAAGGAGGAATGTACCTAGAAAGCTTTTTGTTAATAGTGAGTATCTTCTGTGTCCACTGCAGAAAACAAGATCCTGCTACACTCACCGATCGTCAGAAGCGATATTACACAGAGAAAAGATATAAGAGAGAATATGAATAGAGGCAGATACATAATACACGTTGTAATTGTACACGTGGACTCACGACGAGAGATAGGAATCGGAAAACATTTTCAGAAATTGACGAACAAATACACGCGACAAATGCTAAAAGAGTGGCAATCGAGTTTGCCTTGGTAGTATATATCGCTATTTTTCAGACAATTCTTGTATACATGATACGTACATGATATACGACATATATTTATACATGTAGATCTTGATCCCTTGAACTCTGCGGTTATCAGCATCATTTCAAGCATACGCGTTAATTATCTATTTATGCCAAATAGCGTGTACAAGAGAATCGCGTATCGTATAATGCTTCATATTTTTACGCAATGTACGATTGGGATATATTGATAGCACAAAAGATTTGCTTTGATACCGAGTGCATATGACGAAGGCTCGGAATAACATCGCGAAGATGGAAGGAATGGAATACTAACCATCGTCTGAGCCATCGCCGGAAATGCCTCGTTGCTGCTGCGATGGTGACGGAGAGGACTGCGAGAGATTGTGAACCTCGTGCAAGGAATCCAGACTGCCGTATCGAACTGGCGGTAAACAGATCGACTCTGTTGACGGCTGTAAGGCCAATAAATCCATATAAACAAACAAAATCGATTAAAGAACAATTTTTTTTTAAATAAATGACAAAATAACATTCAAGTATAATCTTTAGAATAAAACTTAGTTTACTATCGTATTATTATCTAATACGTATTATTACGTATTATCATGTATCTAATCGTATCTAATCGTTAAGCATAATCAAACATAAATTTGAATTAGCTTACGTCCTTATCCGTCTTGAACTTCTTAATGACGCCGTTATTCATCTTCTCCCCTAACAAACTAGTCAGTTGATTGGTTGCTTGCGCTTTCTGGTGCGTCGCGGATTGCTGTTGCATGGCTATTGACAGTGGTGGTCTCGTGGTCGATCGCGATCTGACTTGCGATCTTTCTGATAGGTCCAGCAATGATTCATCGGCGAGTCTCTCGTTCAAACTGGACAGACGTTCCGACAGCAAACTCGGCGATACCGTCGTGTCGACTATACTATCGAGCAGATCGTCGTTCTCCATCTCTCGCTTCGCCAATTGCCATTCTATTTCGATTCTTCGTTTCTCCTCCTCTCGCTTCTCCGCTTCGAGCCGCTGTCGATGTTGATCCCTCTGCAACATCGCCTTCGTCTCTTCCTCGAATTTCCGCACTCTCTCCTGTGTGGTCGCGCTCAAACCGGTGTACGTCAGTATCGCTATTTCGTCATTGCTCTGCCTCGTCTGGTTAGATCCGCCGGATGCAGTGGAGCCTGTTTCCGTTGAACTTAGACCAGTCTCGCTCGATAGTCTTGAAGAGTCCACAGACGGCGGTGCAGACTGATTCGCGTACTTGGAACGATTCGATGGGGATGCTCCGTTACTCGACGTACCACTGATATTATTAGAATCGACCGATAGGGATCGATCGGAACGATCCGTAGAATGATTCGATTGATGAGTCTTGCTTTCATGCATCTGTACGATTTCGCTGACGGAACACTGCCGTTCGTTTAAAGCCATACTCTGTCGAATTGTCGGCGAATTCTCCAACTCTTGCTTCGATTTGGCCTAAATTATTACAAGTTTGATTTTAATTTCTCATTTGATGAAAAAGTTAGAATCAGTAACTAACCTTATCGTTCTCATGTTCACTATTATCGATTTCGTCTTGATTTTTTCGTCTTCTTTGAATCTTTTTGTTAGCCGCAGATATGATTGATGATACAATGTCCTTAGCGGATGCCATGTCGCGTGAGCCTGTTTTATAAAGGAAATATAAATTGCTGTTGCAAATAAAATATATAATATATAGCTTTGACTATTATCTGTTAAAAGCGCCAACAAAAATTAGAGTGATAAATAAAATAAGAAGAATGAGATAAAGTTTGTGTTTAAACTATATAAAAAACAATAAAAGATGAGAAGGAAATGATTGAATATGAAATAATGCTTGTAAATATAACAACCTTCCACTTTCTGAATATTGTTTAATAGAAGATTGTGATTGGATGTTGGCTCAACTTCGCAACTATCTGTTGGAAGGCTTAAATTTACGCTCAATCTGCTCAAGTCGTCTAGATCATCCTCCGAGAAGAACCAATCGACCTGAAACATATCGATCGATTCGAGACCGTTAGATATCTTGTAGAGAAAGTGGCGTCTTCTTTTTTTAGCACAGAAAAAACTTACGTTATTCAACAAACTCTCGACTATTCTACATTGATGCGACATATCGGTAACCATGGTAACCATATTGTCTCTAGAACCGCTCGCTCGCACCAGCGTTGGTCCGAAAACTATGGCCAGATTCTTGGCTTCCATTTTATTGATCTCGCTATGATCGACTATTTTCTTCAGATGTTGCATCAAATACTTTAGCGTCTCAAAATGATGTTCTGGAAGATCTCGCAATAATTTCCGTATCGTGATCATTCGTCTCTGTGGATCTTCTATCTTATCGGCATCAATAAACATGGGATACAACTCTGCGGTAAGCAAGGAATCGGGAAGTTGACGGAAGAATGACTTCAACAATGATGATATTACATTGACGTCACTCCATCTTGGATCCATCTTGGCAAAAGAAAACAAATTTCAGAACAGAATCTTCGCAAAATGGGCACCTCAATATTATCGAACGGAATATTACCTGTAAGTTGATATTCTCGAATCCTTTGTTAACGCTGTCCGTAAGCTGGGAGATCGCGGCCGTGTTTCCGGGTACTCTGTAGATCCCTACGACCTCGAGACCTCTCGCTTCAACAATACTCGTGCACATCTCGACAATCAGCGGTACGTATTCGGAGAATGTCGACTGCGGACAGAGTTCGAGTGGTACTTTGAAGGTAGCCCCTTCAGGCGGCATTTGCGCCGTAGGTGAGGAAGGCGCGCCTCCGGCTTGACTATGCATCTTTTTGAATTGTTTTGCCATCCTTCCCTTCCAAGTCTTTGATTTGGGCGACGGTAAGGGTTCCAGCGTCTGATTACTCGGCTTGCGCGTTTTATTCACGGGCGATTGTCCCGTTGGCGATCGGTTCCTAAACGACGTTAGCTTCTTGATGCCCTTGTGATTCGGCAAAGGGCTCAATTTTTGGCCGTTGCTCGGAGAAACACTGCCGCTTGGAGTCGTCGGTCCTGTCGGTGTCTGTGGTACGGCCTGTTGTTTCGACGTGCAGGATACGGCATCCTGTTTTAACAAACGGGGTTTTCATGAGAAAACACGTAGCAAACTATTACAAAATTTGTGAAAAAAGAGTGACGAAGAAGACAATAGCACTTTTCCGATAAAAAATTATCCCACAATTAGCACTCACCGATGATCTTTCCGCGGCGGCGTGAGAATGAAGTGACCTTAACCAGAGCGCCATAGATGCCGCGTCCTCGGTTTGCAAAAGCACCTCTGCTGTAGGATTTGCCACTCGCAACACATGTTTCCGTTTCGTGTAGTCCTCGGCGACATCGACGACGGAACATCTAACGTCGACGCTTTGTCCCGCACTTCCCTCGTTTTCGGTGCTCAACGAAGGACTCTGTAACAGAGATTAATATATCATGTAGATAAAATATTTGTCCTTCACATTACATTGTCACTGATGGCAAGTGACACAATAATCTTTAAGTGCTCTTCTCACCTGACTATGACGATCCTTGTAAAAATATATTATAGGACCACGGAGAACACCCCAGACCTGCTTCCAGGAACGATCGGTAGATCGCTGAAATTATGATAAACGTTAAAAAAAAATTAAAAGATGAATTCCAGGTGCATTTAACTTCATTATTTGATTCATGTTCTGACCTTGCCATCGAGTACTGTAAATTTCACGTGAAGGATTCCCTCCCGTTCCACCTGTTCGGCATCCTTTGCATCGTAGCTGTTTGATGTATTATGCGGTACAACGATACTGTTGCTGGAAAAAAATAGAACTGTGTTCAAATCTGTGTTGTTTGCAAACTTTACATACATATAACTACACAGAATAGAATAATTGAATTATCACCTTGATATCAGGACAGAAAAAAATTTGCAAAATTTGAAAAAAAAATATAAATAAATTAATTAATTAATCTGTCTTCACTTAAAAATATATTATTTAATACATTTTATATTCCTTTAAAACTAACTATACAATTTTAATAATTCATTTTCCTCTACAGAAAATAATATTGATGATTAATAAGATGATAACTCCATTCAAACTCCATCCTGTATATATAAATCTTATATACAGAACAATAGCGATATATGATTTCAGAAATAACGGAAAACTGTAAGCGAAAAACTGTACCGTATATTATTTACAACTACATTTCTATATTCTCGGCCCCCTCCTAAATCAAGAATGACACTGAAAACAGCGGTCACATCGATCGTCGGCTGGTATTAGTCTCATTCCGTTAGTAACAATCAGCCAATAAATACCCGAAAGGATACTAAAATATACTAACATTTATCTATTTATAGCATCAGAAAGAGTCTAGAGTAGCACAACATAGACGATCACAGTAACTAGTTTTAATATCGAAATCACAAACACAGGGATGTGTTACATTCTATGTGTCCTCGGCGTCACGGATGTATATCTCTTATCTATAGGAATAATAAACAGAGAAGGATGTCCTTATCTAATGTCATTCGAGCAGCTAACGCAGTAGGGATTGACAAAGTTGATATATTCGATTTGCATCATCATTGGGGAAACAATTATCAATTCTCCTATCTCGCTATATTTTTCGCCATATATTTTTCTTAATTCTTTGTTAAAATATATTTAATATAACTGTTTAAATTTTTTTTGTTTATTTAATTGCACGTCTAGTTTGAATTTATCCTTTTGCAAGTAACATTTATTTTTTAATATTTTTATTATTTTTAATTTACTAGAGAATAGTCGGGAATATTTATATTACTCTCAAATAACTTGTTTCAATTAATATTAATATTTATATTTATAATTATATTAGCTGTGAACGCAAATATTCTATTGTAAGTTTTATTTTATTTTGCATCGCGTAATCTTTTTAATATCGTTTTTGTATTTCTTGATTTTTATTTATATAGAAAAGAGTACGTAATCGTGTTTTATTTTTAAATTGAAAATTTCGTACCGTCGAGAGGCGATACACAAAATGCGTAACAACTCTCATGCTTCTTAATCCATTCCAATCGCGATTATACGTCGTCGTTTATAGGCAGATAAGTAGCACAAACGTAAATACAGAAACGAAGAGCGAATATACATTAGCTTGGAGGAAGAGACGCGAAAAGTATAGACAATGCATTCTTTCCCGTGCTTCTCAAAAAGGAACTCTTTCGCCCTCACCGATGATGAGAGTTTCGATGTAAGGACGCGGCCTGCGTCATATCCTCAAAGATGCGTCGCAGAGGCGTAATGTCGCTCGGAAATAACGGCGGCCGCCATCGTCTTTGCGCGCTGGAAACATGTACACGAATACGGGTGCAGTTTCGTGGTTATACTTACAGCGTGTAAACACCTTCAACGACGAAATTGCCGCGACTGCTCGTTATTTTCACGAGCGAACGAGAGATAAAATGCGAAGAGAAATAAACGTGTCATCGTGATACTATCTTCGCTGATGCGTCCCGAAAAGAGATAAATAAATATCGGTGACTTTGACATCCGCACGCTCTAACGTCACACCTCGAACATGTCAGACTCGAGATGCACGTGTCGAGGGATTACGTACCTTCTGTGAATGTGAACGGGTTCCGAGTCGCTGAGCTCCAGATCGCTGTCAACGTGCATTCGTTCGCCCCACGTCGCCTTCAGATACGAGACTCGTCTGGTGGCACGGTCCTCGTCAGCTGTCGAACAATTTATTTGTTATCACCGATCATAATTCAATTATCGTCAGCTACAGTTTACAAACATCATAAATGAAAAAAATTAATTTCTTTTTTCCCCTCCTGTTTTGCTTCATTAAATTCTACCGGTGTAAACAAGTTTTATTATATATTTTAGAAGAAAGTTGTTTGTAAGAAAGTTTGTAAGAAAGTTTTTTATATATTTTAAAGTTTTAAAAACTTATATATACAATATATTATATACTTTTAGGATCAAGATTATCTTTCCAAATTGGAGTTGTAAATTATAAAAAAAAAAAAAAGATAACACTAGCTGTGTACAATATCATTATAATTAGTAATAAAGTGCATTAAAACCTACGTAGAAAGAAATATCGAAAGAAGATTCTGTTATAGAAATGCCCTTATAATTTCATCGTACTAGAGACGCGTGCGTCGCAATAATTGTGTGTACGTAATGTTAAAAATATCTTCATCGCGTTGAAACTCACTGATCTGTGCATTCTTCTGTCGCCTAAGCACTACGGCGTTATTGGTCGAGCCGTTGGGCGAAGAACCATTGACCGGCGCTGAAAGAGAAATCAATGGGACAATTATTAACGCTTTATGCTCGACCTTTATGCGACGTAAATATGTCTGTATGTGTATGTGTGTGTGTGTGTGTGCGAATATTTGTAAATACAAACAGTGGCGGAGAAAGCAAACTAACCGACTTGCAGCAATTTGGCTGGCTGCAAATAACTATCTTGCTTGCGATAGGCGTCGTCCTCGATGCTACCTTCCTCGTCGGCGGTCTGCCACGTGTGCCTGGCGCAGCTGCCTCGTGCCGGACCGTTCGTAGCTTCCCAGGACTCCGCGCTGTTGCTGCGTGCCCTCAATCGCACTGATTCTGCCTCCATGGAAGGCATGTCTGCATGATCACGCGACCAACATCATTAGAGTTCTCTCTCGCCGGGACATTGTTATATTTATTATATTTGACGAACCGACTAATCCGGCCTTGTTAAAATAATTAGCGAAAATAGAATATATACATGTAGCATGTATATGCTGTTGTTGTCGTTACACAAAAAGCGTCGGCAGATGTGTCGTTGCTATTTTGAATTACCGCGACATGTCGTAAGAAGCTCACGAACAAAAACAACGGGTGCATGAGGGCAGTTAATATCCCCTTTGTGCTATCGACAAATTCCGGTATACCATAGCTTTATCCGGTTACTCTCGCTTGGAAGCAAGCTCGAGCAAATCGCGCGTCCCTTGTAGACGTGATTGATTTAAAGTGAATATCCACTCCAAGATTAATTTCAAAATTATTCATCTAAGGCCCAGTTGCACCAAACATTATTTTAGTTTTAGGCGAAACTTAAATATATGTCTGTCTTTATTTATTTAGAAAGAAAGATAAAGATAGACATATATTTAAGTCTCGCTTAAAGCTAAAATAACGTTGGTGCAACCGGGCCTTATTCTCTTACTTACTAAAGATAAAAAAATCGATGCTTCTACGTTTTAGTTGGATCGTGAGCAGCGAGAAAATGGGAAGAAACGTACATTAATATTATTTTATCATTTATCATATATGTGTATGCGTGTCTGCGTGTAAAAATTATTATACCATATATAATATAGTATATTATATTAATGTGTGTATCTAGTGCGTATGACGAGTTATAAACGCTATGTCGCGACATTGCGCTCACATAGAATGCATAACGAATCACCGACAACACAATAGCGGCACAAGACGACAATGCACAGACAACTCGACACAGTCTCTTAATTCTATCTACCTTTACTCTCTCTATAGTCGGCCGGTGGCTCGCAATGGATATGTTTGCTGCCTATAGGAATTATTCTGTTGCCTGTCAATACTGGACCTAAACGACGACACTTGTTTACTGAGCACTGATTTAAGAATACGTGATTTGATTGATTTATAATTAATCGCGCGAGATATATTCACAATCCGATTACCATCGCAGCATCGATCCATCATAATTTGCAATGTGATATTGGATTGGCGCAAAAAATTTGATTTGCTTTTCCGTTTGATCAAGTTGAAGTATTTGTTTAAAAAAAAAAAGCTAGACAAAATTGTTTTTCAAGTAAACAAAGAATATATCAATGGTGAAAATTTCGATTTTGCGCTGCAAATTCAATTTTATTTAGCAATTATGACAAATCTTGTGCGCCATTTTAACAGAAAAACAAGAGAATAAGTATTTATTATCATACTTAATCGACGCTTACCAGTATCGAGAGACTTGGTTTCTCTGGCCGGTATTCTTCTTGTTTCCTGACTCTCAGCTTTGGACTCAAACTCACGTTTCCGCACAGCCACATTCGGTACACTTCTCTTGTTGGATAATCGAGACAATTCGCTCTTGTAAAGATTCGTCCGATCGCCAGCAGGCTCGTCCTCGTCGCTCAACAAACGACCGGACTCGAATTGCTTGGCGCGTCTCGATACGATCTGTAGACCTTGTGGCGGTATCGGAAACTTGGTGTCGTTGCCGGGCTTCTTGTCCGGCCCCGGCGAAGACGGCAACGAAGAAGAACCGTTTCTCGCTTCTTGAGATGTCTGTTGCTGATTCGTACTAACGTTCTCGTGTATTCTAGATAGGATGCTGACAAAATTACCCTTGCCCGTGCCTCGGTATTGCTGCTCCTTCATAATGAGCTCGTTATCGTAGAGAGGCGAATAAGAATGGTCTTCAACGATGGATTGATTGTCCCCGATCTGTTGATCGTTCCGCGACTTGGAATACTCGGAGTTGGAGTCTACATCTTTTATTCTCTGCACGCTCTGATTCGACGGCTTATTCATTAGATTCACGATGGACTTGGCAGCAACGTTTCTCTCCAGAGAGGCTCTTCTCGTGGGGGACTGCTGTCTCTGTTCGTTCTGGCCGGGTGGCCAGATTGGTCTTTGCAGTTTCTGCGGCCTCGCGTAAAATTCCCTCTGAATCACCGCGGCTTGGTTGAAGTTTTGCAGCGATGGCAGCGGCTCGGAAGACCAGCCGATCGGATGACTCGGTCGCCGCAGAAATTCCTCCTTCTGCTCGAAGCTCTTACGCAGTCTATTCATAATGACAGAATCGTCGGAGCACTCGTTCCCGGTCAGAGTCGAATTAGAATCGTAGGGTGACGTGCTGCTGTCTTTGCTGGCAACAGGCGAGGAGTCCCGTCTCGATTCGATGCTCAATCTACTAGATTCGCTCGATCTCAAGGCGTCGATGCTGCCGTAGCTCGCCGTTTCAGAATCATTAGTGATCCCGCTGCCCTCGCTGGCGCGTCGCGCCACCATTCGCTTGACTGGTCGGTAGATTGGCACCTGCGGCTCCGCCTGCGACATCGGATAACGCAGCAGAGACGGCTGTTGATAGTAATGATGCTGCGGATAATGCTCGCTGACGCGTACACGCTCGTAAATTGGATCGTTGATCCTGTCGTAGAGCTGCTCGTTGCTCGGCCGCGAGTACACCGACTCGGACCGTGTTCTGTCGTACAGATCGTACTTTGAATCCTGAGACGAGCGACCGCTCGACTGCGAGTTATCCTCGTGTAGCAATTGCATCTTCCTTCCCGGAATTCTGGACTCCTCCGAAGAATCGTACATTACATCCGGCATACCCTTCCGTTGTTGCTGCAACACCTTCGTCATCTGAGATTCTGCGATCGGTTGAATCTGAGATATTGTTGTCGGCGGCATTCTGCCATCCGTGTAAGCAGCCCGCTGGTTCCTGCACACTGCCTCCTCGAGATGACTCGGACTCTCGGACAACGGTAAAGAACAGACCCAGGACTGCCGCGTTCCCGGCGATGAGCCTGGGATCATGCTGCTGATTGATCTGCGTTGCTTCTGCGATAGCCTCTCCGGGGAACGCAGTCGTGGTCGTTGATTCGTCTCGGGATTGTGCGCCGTCTCGCCGAAATACTAGAAAGAGTTGAAACTGAGATGAATTATTATTTTTATTACAAGTTTTTATACAAGACAAAATGACACCGCAGATGGAAACCAGGAATCGTTGCTCTAGCTATTTAAAGATTATCAGTACTCTTCTATTTGATCACGTTATTAAATCGCATTACAAATAAAATGAAATCGCACTGAGAAAAATCGTTTAATTGTACCAACAAGACGTATATGATTGAAGGCATTTTGGTTGAATCAAATAAGAATTTCTAGTTATCATGATAAGACTCGATTTTTTATAAATAGAACATTTAATAGATTTTACTATAAGGAATTGATTAGTATTTTCTGGTTGAATCTATAAAATTTCTTGTTACATTAACTTCTAACAAGTTAACTACTTTGTTTGTTTCTTAACTTAACTCGTATTCAATATTTGCCATGAAATGTATATAAAGAATTAGTATTAACATTAAATCCAAAGTATATTTTTGTTCTCTTACATGCAGTAGTGCCAGAAAGAGGACGCTAGCTCTCTGACTGTGTGTGTTTGAGCTGCATCCTCTTCTTGCATCACTATTTATCAGTTTAATTTCTAACAAACTGAATTTAAAATAATTTATTCAATAATCTGAGTTGAATTTATCCAATAATCTTGTTGGAATTCAGAATATTAAACAGACTTTTGAGATTAGATGGAAAAAATAAATTAATCAGATTCATCTGGTAATTCCTAGAATTCTGTTTCGCCGATTTTCCAAACAGACATACTGATTGAATCTAAACCGGAATTCTAATTAATACAACCACATTTTTTCTCGATAAAATCGATAATGTCGACGAAAATATAATAATTTTCACAAGCCGATTGGAAGAGAGATTGAAAAGTCTTACCTTTTGCAGGATATCGTCGTCCTTGGAGACCACGAGAAGACGTAGCCACGGTCCCGCTTGCTGAATGCGTTGCACCACGCTGGCGTATTGCTCGCCCCGGGTAGGCTTCCCGTCGACGGAGACGACGCGATCACCGGTGCGCAACCCCGCCTCGGCTGCCGGCGAATTCGGCCGCACTTGCTTCACGAAGATCGTGTCCATGGGCTCGTCGATCTTGGTCCGCTCGTGTCCCGGCAACATCTGGCGACGGTCCACGTCAAATTATTGCATTTCCTCGAGGCTTTTTCTCGGACTCGCCGAGATGAGATACTCACGCAGCAGGACTCGGGCGGGTAGACGATGAAGTGCCGGAGCGTGAATCCGTATCCATTTTCGCTGCGCCTGAGCAGGAGGGTTCGTGGACCACGGGGCGGAGAATTCTCCTTCTGAACGGACCGAGAGGATACCGGACCACCTGGACCAGGGACCGACGCGGGAGCAGGCGGCGGGGGGGACGAATGCCCGACCTACGATAATCGACACGAATCCCAATCAATTGATTCCATTAACTCGATATAATCTCCTGAGGGGAGCGATTATTTTTATCTGGAAACTTTAGAAAAAGGCCAATACTTTTAATTTTCTTTCACGCAGACTTCCGATATGCGGATGATGATTCTCGAAAGGTCAAGTGTCTTGAAATTGAAAGGATCGATCAGCCAACACACACGTTGGTCCACGTATATTTTGTGACGAGGGAGAGATTGTTTTTTTTTTCCTTCCAAAACGCAAATGTATTTTGTTTGCTATTTTGTTTACGCTTTTTCCAATCGGCAGGCGAGATCTAATAATTATCTACACCAAGTCCTCGATTATTCAATCAGTCGATGATAAGCACAAATTGAACAAATGACGAAAATACACCCGCGTCTCGCGAGGGTCCAATGTACGCGTATGTTAATAACTTTTCGCGTCGAACATAACATAATCGTGAAATATCAAAGGCCGGAATAGGTTCGAATTGCCGAAATAGAACCCCGAATTTACGCTCGCGGACTCGGAGTATTTGCAGAACGTCGATCACAAGTTTCTTCTCTTTCTTTAGATTTGTACCGTCTGGGTAGGCTGGCTAATACTAGAGAGAGTCGGTGCAACGCGGTGCGGCAGACAGACTCGTGGATGCTCGCCAAGAATTATTCCAAGCGCCGATTCCGAGGCGGAGGCGGAGGCGGCGTAGCTGGAGAGACGTCTGAGACGTTCTCTCTCGCGGAGCGAATTGAGTAAAATTTGGCGAGCCGCCAGGGAGCACGCGGCTCGAATTTGCCGTAATGCGCAACCTAAGATCGCGAGCGGAATTTGCGTGCGCTCGCTCGCGGAGGGAATATTCATCGCGCAAACATCGAGGAAGGAACCGGATTTAAGTCAAAAAATTTTCCAAGAATTTTCAGAAAATGTCCCTGACCACTTTACTCGATTCGCCGAGCGATATAATAAACCGAGAGGAAAAAAATATGTGTAACGTCCGTGCGAAGTCTGCGGAAGGAGAGCGGATAACGTGAAACCAAGAGCCGGACCGCAGACGCGGTTTTCCGCGTTATCTAATTTAAACTTTCGATAAAACGCGAGTTTAATCGAATATCTCGGGAGTAGGACGCAGAGGGGATCGATTATATCTGGATTTTCCGAGCAAGGTGCTCTCTCTCTCTCCTCAGGATCTTATTTCGCGGAATTTTCCGGTATGTATTCCGCGCGTGGGCGAAATCGGCCGATAGATCGGATGTGCTCCTGTGCGTGGGGAAACGGGATCGTGCGGACGAGCGAGCTCTGACGATGTAGGTCAGAAGAGAATAGGCGTTGTCAACGATAAGTGGGTCACCAAACCAGCGGCAGCTCCGTTCGATAATTACACGTTCGCGCGACGACGTCTTCGGACACGCGCGTGTCACTGTATTGTAATAAAACGACACGCGATATCTCGGTCCTCGACAGGAAGAGCGACGAGGAGGACAGAGACAAAGAGAGGGGAAGAGAGAGAGAGAGAGAGAGAGAGAGAGAGAGAAAGAGAGAGAGAGAACTACGCAAGGTCGCCAGGACGTTAATGAATCCATTCTCTCGCCCTCCAATCGACGTTTACGGGATTATAAGGGTTTTATCGTTGCCACGGACGTTTTTAATAACGATTTAAGTTAGCGCCTGTCTGCGGTTGACGGGACGTTATTTCCGATCGTATACTCTCTTGAGAGTCTCTCGTCAAATATTTAGCTATTCATGGACATTGTACCAGCGAATGTCGTTTTAACCGTCACTTCAATTAGCCGCTGCGATAAAACTGTCAATTTACAAGCGATTCTCCTTGATGAATATATAATCATCGTTTACCTACTCTTATTATAATTATGGGTAAAATTAGAAATACAAATTCCGATAAGCAAACTTGACATTCGATCAACATTATATAAATAGATGTAAACTAATATTAATTAACAAAATTAATATATTAATTATTTATTAATTGAATTCATTTTAAGCGCTAATCATTTTATTACAATATCTGTCAAATGAAAATAATTAATATTATTATGAATCCTACATATATTTCAATAATAATTAATTAAATAATTAATAGTGTTTAAATACCTAAAATTGGACAAGTATCTATTAATTAAATAATAATTAATACTTTGAATTAAATAATAATTAATAGATACATTTAATTAAATAATAATTAACAGATACTTTTCCAATTTCAGGTATTTATGAAACACTACGTAAACGCATAAAATAATGAGGAGGGAAGGGGAAAAGGAGGAGACATTGTATTCGTTGGAGATAATCCTTTCTTCGATCCCGTCGATCTCGTCTAAAGTTTTAATCAGCCGATCGCGAAACCGGTTCACGCCAACGCTCGTGCAAAGTGTTCCGATCTTCGATTTAACGTCCGTTATCCTCTCCGTTGACCGCGCCGCGTTTCCGCCTTTTGTCGCCGACGAACACGCGGTGCGCAGTTCCGACGTCGATAGCGTCGAGTTCCGGTTAATGTTCGCCACTTGAGCGAAATACCGTCGACGATCCCTCCCTCCGCAGCTACATTTAAATCGAATGACTGACAAAGCGCGCGTGTAATTTGTTTTTTTGTAATTTAAAAAACCTACCAATAAAAATGCGTATTGTTAAAAATTGCAGAAAGATTTGCGCGATAAAGCTGATAGACATCTTTGTTGAAAAAAAAAAGTAATCTTTTTGCAAATTCGCCTTTGCAATAATTTATTATACTTCAAGATAAGATTTCTTCCGACTGATTATAGATTATTGTGACATAAAGTTCCTATACAAGTAAAAAATTTTTCTATATATATCGTTATAAAAATATTAGATTTAATTGTAGCAAAATTGCTAAGGTTTTTAAAAATCCGAAAAATCATTTATACGAGAATAAAAAAAAAAAAAAACAATAAATGCACGTTAAAAAATCGATTTTTTTTTTGCAAAACAATTTTGAAATGCAATTTTGAAAATTCTGCCAAGGGAAGAAATATATTTTTGACAAGATATATAAAAGAAATGCGGGGACGATATACTTGGAATAATTGCAATAATTTTAAGGAATAATAATAGATATATAAGACGTTAAATGAAGTAAAATCCAAGAGATACTTTAAAGAAGAAGAGGAAGGATAAACGGAACGTATTAACATATGCGCGACAAAATGAGCCTCCTCCTTCCTTTTCATATCATGACAACTGCCGTCGCGTTTTACGCCAACAGTTTTGCGAGCGTTTCTCTCGTATCAGCGGTAATGCGGTTCAGCATGTCCACCTCCCTCTCGCCTCTCCCGTCTACGAGTAGCTTATATAATTTCACTCTACCGACGAGTCTTACGTAAGAAGCGACTCCGATCGACGACCGATAGTCGGTTTCCAACTTTTTCAGGGGCACTGAAAGTGCTAAAACTACGAATAAAATCGGATTCTATCGGAGAGGAGGACCGGAAAATCTCGTTTAAACGATTATTTACTCTGGCTACAGAGAGTGCGCTTCCTGGTGCGCGTAACCTGGGAGTGAATCTATCGCGTAAAAGCAATAACGAAAGTTTATAGACAGAGAGAACGGAAAAATAAATTACCTAGACGCCGTTGCAAGAGGCCGCCATTTTGGCTTGTGTACGGCTTCTGGCGTTGCTTTGTGTTGACAGGTGTGCAGAAATTCGGTGCCGAATCGATATGCATCTCAAAAATGCAAAATGATGAGCGTGACAATTTTTTTTTTAAATATAAAATATACGACTTTCTAACGAATTAATTCTTGTATAAGAGAATTCGCGCGACGAGAATTTCCGCACAATATATCGCAAAAGATACGTGAAGGGTAGGGTCTTCTTTTATAGACCTCTTTCTTCTCGAAGATTGCTTTTATCTCAAAGGAAAGGAGTACGCTAACAAATTCCAGACAGGACAGCTAAAGCAGAACGAAAAATCGATGATTCGAAAAATAACGCGCCGGACATTGAAGGCAGTAATACCGTGAAAAAGGATCCAAACATGTGCTGCAGCGAGACAGATGGTCACATGTTGCAAGATTTCCAGATCCAAATATGTAACAAACAAATTGATTTTTCAAAGCTTATTAAATAATGGATTGATCTCCGGGAAGACACGATGACACAGGAGAAAATTTGTAAAATATTCAGACATTTCTGTGCGTCTTTTATTTAATTATATCCTTGGTAAAATGTTCTTAAAATATGTATATGTCCAATAATACAGACGCTCCGTCATTCGCGACACGAATCCTTTATACATATCGATCTTTTATATACTTTTTTTAATTCAATTACGCATTTTTTATATCAAATAATTTATTTTATTGCTCTTCGTGTAATAATATTAGATTAAAATGATTGTGAAAAGTAGCTTAAAGGATATTGCATTTTATGTTGCAAAATAAATTATCAAATATCATAGATTATTATTTATATTATGACATATACATCATAACAACAATAATCATAGAATATTTATTTCTGTTATGATATATATGTCATGACAGAAATATGATATTTGAGGTAATTTATTTTATACATATACGTGTATAAAATAAATGATATATGTACTGTCGGTCGATCCACATGGAATAAATAATTGCTGCGATCTTGAAATGAAAAAAGAAATGTTGAACACGCCGCTAGCTTCCTTTTCGTCGTCGTCGTGGACGTGCCTCGAATCGAGGCGAGCACGAGCCTTAAATGCGTCTCGTTTAAAAAACACAATGCTTCTCCTCGCAATGATGTGACCTCGTCGCGCGATATGTCGCCGAAAGAAAATAAAAAATAGGGATTGTATGCCGATAAAGGAAGAGTCCAAGGTCCTCCCAGAATGAATGAAGAGCGCGAGGGGCGAAGAGGAAGAGTGGAAGAGTGGAAGAAAAAAGAAAAAATCGCGTCTCTCGCGAGAGAGATTTATTTTGTCGCGTGCAAAAAGCATGTAAAAAGTAGGTAAAATTACATGGAATAAATAACAGAAAGGTGGTACAATTTTTCAGCATTTATTGCGCGATCTCGTCAATGTAATTTTGTATCCCTTTAGCGTTAAACTGGAAATTTAGATATTTATTATATTAAATTGAGATATTTTTTACTTATGAGTAAATTACAGATTTTCGAGGACAGATACACGTTCATTTTGCTGATGATTTTCACAAATAAATTGGACAAGTTTGACACCGTGCGTTACCTTGACTCACCGTAGATTGTTTCGGCGACAAAGGACGACACTCGCGGATTGATTCCTTATTTAATATGACGCACTAATGGACGATTGATGGTCGCGATTGCCGAGCTGAATGTCAACGGCCGAAAATGCGGCTCGCGACGCGATCGCTCATCGGAACGTCAGTTTGGATTCCGAGGCGAGGTGGAAAAAGAATCGCAGGGGGCGGAGAGGAATGACGCGCGCGATGGTGCCATAACCGGCACGATGGTCACGGCGATACTGCCAACCACGACCAACGACGACCAATTGCGTCGGCCGACATGGGAATTCGCGAGAGCACGAATGCGCATTTTGTTCCCCTCCTCCCGCGTCATCGTTATCGTCACCTCCCGCAAAACAATCGCCGATAGTCGCGGCACGCGCAATCCGTCGCAGCCTGACGTTTCGATACATCTCGATGTGACGTCTCTGTCAACGATGCTCCCGCCTTTCGTCTCCCTTTATAGAATATCGCATCTTTTCTAGTCGCTCCTTCCTCTTTCTTTTCCTAGACGATTTATTATGTTTGTAGAGACGCAAAATCTTATGCAGGAATGCGCTCGAGAATGCATTCTCGTGTAAAGAGAAAATACAAGTTTTCGATTAGAAATTTTCTCGTACACATTTTTAATATAAATTTTCAAGGCAATTTCAAAATAAATAATTAAATAAATTAAAATTAAAAAGTAAATAATTAAAGTAAATTAAAATTAAAAATAAATAAATAAAATAAAATAAAAAATTAAAATAAATTAAAATTAAAAATAAATAAGTAAAATAAAATAAAATTAAAAATTAAAATTAATTAAAATGAAAAATAAAAAATTAAAATAAATTAAAATGAAAAATAAATAATTAAAATAAAATAAAATAAAAAATTTAAATAAATTAAAATTAAAAATAAATAATTAAAAAATCGTGCGAAAGATCGCGTTAAAACGCGAACCGAGAAACAAACGGAATCGCGAATGCAGTCTTTGACTTTGCGTTTCTCGTTTCGTTTTTCTCGATCGAAGGGGCGGTCGCTTTCGCGGCGCAAACGTTGCGACAGAGCGTGTGACATTTCGCACGCGGTTGCTTTTCCACATTTTTGAAATAAAACAGACGTAACGCACTCGTGTTCGGGAGAAAGACGGATGGGAGGAAGAGCGTGCGAGAGAAACGCGACTAATTGTCAGAAGAGAGCAGGCTGTCCGGACTGACGCGGGAGAGCGGAAAACGAGCGATCGGTTGTGCGTGGCTCTTGTCCGCGACGGGAATGTCACTTTTTCCATTAATAAAGATCGTGACTTCCGAGCGCTCGCAATTTACCGCGCTCGTTCCGCTCGACGACACGATTACGACGATTAGTCTAATCCGATAAATACCCGAGAGACGTAGGATAATATTTGCCGAGGTACTATATCTCACGATTCTCGCGAGTTTATTTAATAGAACGCGAACCTTATGCGCCGTTCGATTCTACAAACGATGATTAATTTCCGTCAATTTTACTAATCGAGATCGCCCTTTGAAATACATACTCCCTCCTCTTGGGGGAAGGCAAAACCCCGGCTTTTTTTTTATCCAATAAGACCACGCACGCATGGCGCTCCTCCGCCGCATTTGCGTCATCGTAGGCAGATTCAGGCACACACGGTGGGTGGACTAATCGGACGAGTAATCGATGAGCAAGCATTGTGGTGAAAGAGAAAGAGAGAGAGAGAGAGATGGCGCGTAATGGTATGTTGTATGTGATTATGCCATGGGTCAACGCAAAATACAAACTTAAATAAGCGCTTCGAAGAGATTATAAAATGCAAATCGCGTTACTTACGTAGGCCACGAAATTAAACTTAGTACTGAAGAAGAAACATCGAATTTTCAAAGTCTCGGACGAAACATAAATCTCGCTATAAATATCCTTTCTAATAATCAAGTAAACAAGGATCTCTTTGCAAAATTCTGCGCGCAAAGGATCGTTCGAGAGTTAATGTCGATGAATGTCGATGAATGTGGGAAGGTTTACAGGGAAATTGGGAAATTTATATAACATTGCTCTTATAAAGTCTCGTTGCGTATGAAACGTCGAATGTCAAAAGTCTCGGACGAAACATAAATCTTGTTATAAACATCCTTTCCAATAATCAAGTTTACAATCAATATTAAAGCGACGCGAATTCTGTGCAAAATTCTCCACGCTTCAAAGGATCCCTCGAGAGTTAATGTCGATGAATGTGGGAAGGTTTACAGGGAAATTGGGAAATTTATATAACATTACTCTTATAAAATCTCGTTACGTATGAAACGTCGAATGTCAAAAGTCTCGGACGAAACATAAATCTTGTTATAAATATCCTTTCCAATAATCAAGTATTTCAATAATCAAATAAATAAGGATCTCTTTGCAAAATTCTGCGCGCTTCAAAGGATCCCTCGAGAGTTAATGTCGATGAATGTGGAAAGGTTTACAGGGAAATTGAGAAATTTGTATAACATTGCTCTTATAAAGTCTCATTACATAGACATATGAAACGTCAAATGTCTCGGACGAAACGTCAAAAGTCTCGGACGAAACATAAATCTTGCTATAAATATCCTTTCCAATAATCAAGTATTCCAATAATCAAGTAAATAAGGATCTCTTTGCAAAATTCCACGCTTCGAAAGATCCCTCGAGAGTTAATGTCAATGAATGTGGGAAGGTTTCTAGGGAAATTGATAAATTTGTATAACATTACTCTTATGAAGTCTCTTTAAAATCGCGAGAGTAGGCTTTATTTGCTCTCCGGCACACAACAAGCGGCGGACTATTTTTAAGCTGCTTATTTACGCAAACTTCCTCCGCGCGCACCGCCTCCCGGAGCACTCGCTCTCCCGCGCCCGATGGTTTACCGAAAATCTTTTCGGGAGATTCGCGGCGCGCCGTTGATTTATTTTCCTCGAGCGGGGAATAAGCGAGCATGTCGGATCACGCGAGTGGATTACGCGCTTCTCGGTGAATCCAATTTTCGAACCGGTTCGTCCCTCGAATGTCTCTCGACGACGTTTCTTACGTCAACGGGCTCGCGATAAATCACCGGTAGATCTCCTTCTCTTGAACGCGTTTTCGAAAACGTCTGCAAGACCGAACCTCGCGAATCTTATCGCACACGCGCGAGAAATCGCGAGAATGAGAACCGTTGCAAGCTCGAGATGAGTGGCATTGGAACACATTCTCGACAAGAATCCAAAAATTCGCGCTTTCCGCAGAAAAGACGCGGTCGATTGAACGACGAGACCGCGTTTTCCCCGTCCTGGGTACGTTCCTCTCCTCTCGCGGCTCTTCTAAAATTACCGAATTCCGCGTTGCGAGAATCGCGAGAGCGAGGGAGAGCGAGGGAGAGCGAGGGAGGGCGAGGGGGAAAGGGGTACGCGGCCGCTAATCGGCGACTCTATCTATTGGCGATTAATGCGGCGGAACGTTACTTACCACGTGTGACTGCCGTGTGACGAAGCCCCGGTGGTTATTTCGGTCGTCAGCCATTGCACCTTGTCCTGAAACCGACCAAATTGCGATTTTTAACGCTAATATTGCCGGGAAGGAAAAAATGTTTGATAAAATGTTTGTCTTTTTAATTACGATCGAGATTTTCGATTCGATTGACGATACGAGTCGATAAGTCTCGCGTTCTTTACTCGAAAATATCCTTATATATTTGTATAAATTATTTCATATTGTGTTTAATAAAATGAAATATATTTTAAAAATATTGAGATATAGATAGTGTCTCAAGGAGTAAATTACTTTATCGGTGAACAATTTTTATGAATGTTATGTACAATAATATGATAAAAGAAAATTAAATAAAAAATATAAAAGAGGAAGGAGATAAATATATCAGATAAAATATATCGGATAAGAAAATATTGATAATTATAAATGAAAATCATGATTAAATCCTTTTCGTCTGATTTGATCGAGTTTCTCGAACAAGAATCTAAAATATAGAAATATCGCGTAAAATCCATCTCTTTTCTAGGCTTCCTAATTTTAGATCGCTCACAAAAAATTGATTAATAATTGCGATATTTCTTTGGACGATTTTCTCGATGGAATCGCGACCGGCTATTTACTTCGACCTCGTATGATCGAGAATCCACGCTAGCAGTTCTCTCTTGAACGACATCTTGGCATCCGTAGAATTAACGTCATTAAGCGAATTGACGTGGTTTCACGCGAGAAACGAAAGGCATCTTGCGCGCGCGCGCGCGCACGCACGCACGCACGCACGCACGTAGAACGTGCTTATCACAGACAGAGGTCGAATATTGTTGAGTCGATTTATGAGTGGTACCGTGTTAAGGGCGATCTGCTGACGATGTATCGCAAGACAAGTCAGCCTGAACATAACGTGAAATGTTATTCGATATTGCATATAACACGCAACGTAAATATAAGCGTAAAAATAAAAGAATCAAAATACAAGCCAGCATGACATTTTATTTTCCGACTCTAGAGTCCCTACTTGAAAATTAAAGTTTAGAAATTTAAAAATTTATCACTCACAGATGTTTCCTCTAACAAGGTCTTAAATTACAAATGAAAATTACGATTCTTTTATCAGATTTAATCGAATTTTCCGAGCAAGAATCTAATGTAAAAATTGAATATTATGTGAAATTATTTCTTTTTTTGAACTTTTTAATTTTAAATGACTTACAAAAGAATTGATTAATAATTATCAATATTTCTTCGACGAGATAGTTTTCTTGATTAAAACGTAATCAGCTAGATTGTAATACAATACTCTATTAGATTACATAATAACTTTTTTATGGTTTTTTTTAAAAGCGCCTACAAATTGAGAAATTGATTTTTTCAAAACACATGCGTTAAAAATCATATGAAAATATGGAAGAAAAATTAGAAATTATATATTGATACAAGTTTAAAATATAAAGAGAATAACTTCTTTCTTATTTATTTATAAAAATACACAGAAAAAAAGGACATTTCCATGTTAAAATTAAAGATATTTTCTTGTGTTGAAAATATCTTTAATTTTAACATGGAAATCTTGAAATGAGATTATATGGCGTTAATTAAAGAAAATATAATTGCTTGAATAATTGCTTGCTTGAATGAAGTCATTTTATATAATTCAATCGAGAAAAATATATTCTTATGATGTAAGATTTAATTTTCTTGAATGGAAAGGAAACAATGTTAAATAGAAAATAACATTTTTAAATCAAAGATTATAATTTTTTTAAAGTATAATTAAATAATATAATATATTAAATATATATTTAATATGTATACAGTACTGGGCAAAATAAATCATACACCTTTCAACAAATTGAATTTGTTAGTATAACTATTCTTTTAACAAGCAAAGGCACTCCAATTGAAATTATGTGGGCTTATTTGGACGTGAACGTGAATAAAACGAACGTAAGTGACAAGACATCGTCCTATACAACACTCCAGAAGGCTCGGAAGGAAATTGATCCTGAATAAAGAAATTAGTCGAAAGTATGCCTCGCCGACTGGAAGCGGTATTGAAAGTCAATACTAAGTACTAATCACAATTAGAATTAATTTTATTTATTTGTTAACTATTACTTCTAAAAGTGTATGATTTATTTTGTCCAGGGCAAAATGTAACAATATTAAATAATAAATTTTTTAGAAAATAATTGAGCATAATTTTTATTATTTCTTATTTTCTTTATTTAAATACTTTGAAATGCTTCGATTTTCCTGTATCTAATAATCTATTTGCTCGTTAAAAGAATTGTTATACTAACAAATTCAATTTGTTGAAAGGTGTATGATTTATTTTGTCTAGTACTGTATATTAAATAATTATATTTTATTTTAATATATATTTATTATATATATTAAATATTATATAATTATATATTCTTGAGATGACAATTATTAAATCGAAATAAAACTATAATATTGTTGAAATTTAAAATTATTAAATTCTTTTAAGAAGATTATAAATTATTGCATATATACGAAACAATGAAAGCGTTAATTTAAGTATATAAGTTTTGATTCGATACTTATTTTTTTTCTGTGTAGATAGTGTTTAAAACATTCTCCGTCTCTCCCTTTCTATTCTTCTATTATAAAACTCAACTATTTAACGCGAGGTATTTTCGCGCAAAGTATCTATAAAAAAATTTAAACTCAAGTTATTTACTCACATGTATATAAGTTGAATTGAAGCAAAATGTTAAACTACGTCGATATCAACAGACCACGAGATGTCGTGTTTATGGCAGCATCTTAATCTAATTTCCTTCAACCGCAGCGCGTAAAAGAGAAGTAATAAAGCTGAAAACACCGAAGTGAAACGGATTTAATAACTTCGGAGCATATGCACAATAGCGGAACGTAATTGCGCCGTGAGAAAAGCAATAACGATAATCTCGCGCTGCGAAAGAAGCTGCGATAATCGAATGAAAAGTGAAACAAATTTAATAACGCCCAACGACGTAGTCGGGGAAAAGTATTCATTTCTTTCTTACGCTATTTAGACAATTACATTACGTAAACCGTCCAAGAAAATCACGGAGGAGAAACTTTTGCGGGGATCGCGAGTGTGGAAGTAACATGTAAACGCGCGAGCTCTCGATGAATAAGTTGGCTAAATCGATCTCCGAGTAATATCGGATAAAGTACAGCATTAAATCGCGGAGAAGCGAAGATATAGTCAAGTATCCCCTGTACTCTTAACATCCCTATTCTTAGCGCTTTTATATCAACCTCCGTATCTTTTCCTTGCGCCGCTCCCTTACCCTTCACATTTACCACGTCGTCGTGTATGAAGCGAGAAAGCGAGCGAAGGACAGACAATAGCGTGCATTATTCACTTCGCTTTATCTATCAATAGTGCCACCAGCGTAATGATATTTTCATTTTGCGCATTTGTCACCGGAACGAGATTGATGAAGCCTCGAGGGAAGCGTCAGGAATAGAGCTTGGCTCGTGAAGTTTAGACTAAGTTTTTGCCTTTCCGCCTAAAATTGAGACTCCGTATATTTCTTGAACAGGGTGTACACTCGAATCTTGAAAATCAATTCCTTGAAAATTCCATGATTTTTCAGCTATTTTTGTTTGAAATTCCAGGTAAAATAAAAATATGTGTATAAATATAATTGTAAAATAAGTTTATTTATCGTACGTAAAAAAAACAAAAATATTTAAATATATTTTAATAAAATTTGGACAATACAAAAATTTGTTCAAATACATATATATATTTTTTTATAATATAATCTATTTTTTAAATGTTTTTTTTTTATTTTTTCATCTCTAAAGTGTTTTTCCCTTTTTTAAGTGCTATTTTTTCACCTCTAAAGTGTTTTTCCCTTTTTAAGTGCTTTTTGCTCTGCAATAGATGCTCGATGTCCCTCAAGATATTCTGCACAGAGCGAATGTTTACATTTACAATATAAAAAAATGATCAAAGTAATTTTTAAAAAATTTCCCGAGTCTTAATAAAATTCCATGAGAATTCCCTGATTTTCCAGGTTAAAACAAAAATCTCTCAGAATTCCAGGTTTTCCGAGTTTTTCTCGGTAGTATACACCCTGCTGAATTTGCACATCGATTAAAAATACGGTTGCACGAATAACTCGACTGGTCGTAATTGCCGTAAAACTGCGGTCGACTTTTCTCCTCGAGATAGTCGGGTAGTCGCGTTTCTTACGGGAACGAAAAAAAAAGAAAAGAAAAAAAAAACACGTGGAAACCGCAATGGAGCAACGCAATGGTCGCGTGTAGACACGCATATCCATCGACGAAGCCATTTAATGCGCTACGGCTACATCCGATTGGAGAGCGAAACTCGCAAAAAAGCGTTTCGTTATTATAATTTTCTTTTCAGAATCTTTTGCTTTTATTTCCGAGTGAAATAAAAATGAGATCCCGAAAAAATTTATATAATAACGAATTTATCTACAGGTATTGCAGGTTGCCATTTCGATAAAAATGGTATCGGATGGATAATTAATCGCGTCAACGAGTTGTTATCTCTAATTTTGAATGTGGAAAAGAACAAATATATACACACATACATACGCCACACCCATCGAGTGATAATTTCGATCGATGCGATCAAAGGGGAAACTGCCGTTGAACGGAACGAATATATAAATGAAATTTGCGCTCTCCGATGTATACTCAAGTTTTATTTAACTCGAGATCGCGAATTTGATACTCTTTACGAGATATTCTATATATTTTATACCCAAATATGTATATATCGGGAAAAAAAGAAAAAAAAATAGAAAATTATTTATCTCGTAATTTATCTCGCAAGTTATCGTGAATTTTCTCGATATTTTCAGAATTTCCAGAAAAATTACACATATGATTCCATGAATAAATGATTAAAATTTTGACAACGCGAATTTTTTTGCTCTCATTTTCCGCATCGTCGAAAGCAACAAAGGCATTCAAGTGAGAAATACATGCTCTATCTATCATCTATCGACTACATTTTTAAAGGAAAAAATATAAATAACTAGGATACAATGTTACACGATTTTAATAGCAGCTGAAACGTGACAAAATTATCAGCGATCTTTATGTCTCGTTACCGTTGTTTCGTTCGAATATGCGATATTATTTCGCGAAATCGAGCTTGTGCAACAACGAGCGACGCACGTACCTTCGATGCGCTTTTACGTACGTGTAATACGTGCATGCACGTATTCGTTTATTATTATGGAGCGACATCCGTCATCGTGATCCGCTTCCGATAAACAGCTCTCGTCTTCTGCCGAAAATCGCGCTTTACATTGTTTGCATTTCCGGGAGCGCCGAGTGGAAATTATGCCTGTTCCACGATACCTATGCAATATACAATATGTCATGATATACATGTATATATTTTACGCCATGTCCCGCATCTTGGAACATTTTATATCAACGAGATCTTGTACGAACGAGACCTCGATTAAAAGATTTTCTCCCTCCGATATTCTAATATTATTCTAATATTAATAATATTAGAATATCGGATATATCAAATTCTAATATTATTCTAATATTATTAAAATAAATCTCGGCGAAATAAAATAAAATAAACACAAAAATTAATTGACAGAGAAAGCACGTTCGAGCGACGATTTCTTTATCTCTTCACGACTGACAGACGTAAAAGACGACGGAGTAAAGTCGCGAGATCGCCGAAAGATAACGACGTCACGAGAGGATCCTTCGGTGTCGCGGGGAGATATCGCACATGTGTATTATATACGTCTGTGGCCCACATCTGTATCGCGAGCGTCGAGCGTGAAGGAAAAACAAAGGGAAAAAAAGAGGAGAAACGAAAATGCGATATTCCCTGGCAGCCGCATTAATCGAGGGGGAGGCGGGGGAGGGGGAGGGGAGCGAGGGTCGGAAAGAGGTCGGCGAGAAATCGGATTAAGATACACGACGTGTAGTAAAACGTATATACGTACCTCGTAGAGAAAAATATTACGCGCGCGGTTCGCGGCCGTTCGCAGCGCCTCCGCTGGCACACGAAGACGCGAGACGCCTCCTCTCATCCACGTCCGACGGCGATGTCGGAGTCGTTGCTGCGCGGTCGGGGGCACGACCTGGCCTGGCGCCTCTTCCGGAGCCCGCGGTCGCATCGGCGGCGAGCTGCGGCCGCCGTCCCGGGATGCATTATACTCGCCGAGGATCCGACGAGCCTCTCCTCTCTCGATCCTTTCTTCCCTCCTCCCGGCTCTCTTCCTTCTGACACACGAAGGGGGTCTCAATCCCGCGGCACTAGGGACACGCACATGACGCGGCTACTGGGAGCGAGGGTCGCGCTACGCGTGATACGTCGGCTCTCGCCGAGTTCGAGTACTTGGGGGCTAATGTCGTCGTCGTCGTCGTCCTCGTCGTTGTTGCCGCCGACGCGGAACTACAAAGAGTACCTACTACGCTACTACCTCGCGCGATGACGATGAACGACGTTCGTGCCGTGTCAGTAACATGGCCAGACTCGCTCCGGGGAAGAGAGAGAGAGAGAGAGAGACAGAGAGAAATCGAGAGGGCGCTGCTGTCGCCGCGAAAACGCCGCTTTCCACCAGATGGAGAATGCCCGACCGCTGGTTCCCCTCGTCGAAACGGACGGGTCGGTCGCGCCATCTGTCGGCGAAATCGCGAGATGATCATTCACGCCAAGAATGTTTCGCGTCGGGAAATTTCTCGCGCAACACTGTCGATACAATCGCACGAAACTCGCACGATCTCGAAACTCCGCTCGATATTTATGATTTTTGTAATTGGAGAAAATTTGATTTCCAATGATATTTATGAAATAAAATATAATTCGATCGCGATACTTTCGTTTTATTTCTCCATCATTTAAATATAATTCAGATTGAGAATGCACGGTAAATCAATCGAATAGTAGATCTAAACAATTTTATGTATTATTTATTATCATATATTATCTATTATATATTTTTTCAATTTTTTAGGTGATCCTTATCGAACTCTGCTCGATATTTATGTATTTTTATATTTAATTGGAGAAAATTTGATTTTCAATGATATTTATAGAATTAAATATAATTTGATCGCGATACTCTTGATCGTTTTATTTCTCGATCATTTAAATATAATTCAGATTGAGAATGCGCAGTAAATCAATCGAATAGTAGATTTAAACAATTTTATGTATTATTTATTATCATATATTATGTATTTTATATTTTTTCAATTTGATTGTACTATCAGAGAGAAGTGTGAGAGATGTCATAGCCCGCTTTTAGGTGATCCCTGGAAGGGATACTCCCTCCCTTAACAACACACATGTCCAAAAGATGTCCATCGAGGTCATCGAGACGACATCCAAGGGACATAAAATATCCTTTGGCTGTTCTTTAGATATTCTATGGACGTCTTTTGGACATGTGTATTGTTAGGATCTGTGGACATTAAAAACGTGGACATGAACTACAAAACCAATGTCCACGAATGTTTTCAGAGGGTAACACATATGTCCCTCTGATATAAATAATATAATAAAAATATAAATAATTTAATTAATAATAATTTATTATATAAAAATATTAGTATGTTCTCTCTTTTCACGCTATTATTTATTTATTTATTTATGTGTCTTCTTTTTCTTTTTCTCAACATCATTTATTTAGTTCACTCTAAATCAACCTTTTAAAATGCAAAAATAAATATAAAATTTGACTTCGGAAAAGTGCGGTAAAACAAGCGAATAAATTCAAATCATTAGCATAACAAAAGGTTCCGTGATATCAATCGTGTTGGGTATATTGCACCATCTAATAGGCGCTAAGCATTACGCTACTGTTTGACGAACTGCGCAACCAAGAATGATTGCTCGCTAGGGCGATGTACGAAAAAAAATCGATGCTAAATTAATCGATTTTTGAATATATCGATGTTGATTAATCGATTATTAACAAAAAGTATCGATGAATCGACTATTTTTCAAAAAGAGTGTTTTTTAAGGAGGAATTGTAAATGAAAGCAAATATTTGGTTTGTGAAATTACAATTTGCATTTTTATGAATTTCTTTGAACAATCACTATAAAAAAGTTTAATATAAGTTTAATATAAGATGATATTAACAATTTTGAGATTATATTCTACAGATTAAATCTTTATCTATACTTTAAAAATCTCATTGTAGACGACGCTTTATTACAATGAGATGTTTTGATAAAAAAAAAAAATAAAACTTCGATGTCTGACATAAAGAACCGAACATATCGATATATAGAATAGAATATATCGTAGAATATATCATAGAAAATATCGAATCGATTGGTATATCAATTGTTATAAATCGTACGCAGAATAATTCGTTCTTATAATTTAAAGGAATTAAAGAGAAAATTAGAGAGAGATTTTTATAAATATGAAAATTTCTATTTAAAAAATAATTTTAAAATTTATAAAATCTTCCCATACGTGTTTATATCTGCTTATTATTTTACACACCGGATATGAAATTCCGCAACCTTGTTATAAATGAATTTTATATTTGTATGTTTCAGAAATAGTTTTAACGACAACATAATAACGGATAATGATAACTCCGCTGCTGCACATCAATGCCATGGTGAGTGATAAAAACTTTTATTTAATTTTAAGGTAACGGTAGAGATTGTAAATATATCTGTTGCCTTAAAATGGATGAGCTAGGATAGATTAAATAACTTTTAATAAATTCGTTTGAAATGTATTGCAGCCATCGCGAAAATATTACAGTATATTAATCATAAAGAAAGAAGATCGAGAAAAGATCATTCTTGTAATTTTATCTAATTTATTGAAAAGAACATTAAAAATTGTATCAATTACATTTGATGCTAATTTATTCTTATAAAACGTATTTATCTATTCACTTATCTTAAATTTCTTATAGCTCGTCCATTATAGAATTTGTTGTAGATATTGTTTTTAAACTTAATGTAAAGCCAAATGATTAATTATTATAATGAAATAACTTGTAATATGATAAGTGTTATACACATATTAATCTTTTATAAATTTATTATTAACTCGCGCATCTGCAATCGAATATTCCGATTATTGTCGAATTATTTATTCGTCGCGTTTTCTCGCGAATTTTAAATCGCAATTTATTTAGTAATTTAATTGTTGATTTCGAAGTTTATTCTATTCATTTTGAATATTTCCTTCGATAATTTACACAAAATGCGCCAGTAATCCAAATACTTTCTTTTACAGTCGAAGAAACGATCAATAATTTTATTAATGATTCTTTTTCTTCTTTCACGATTATTTACATTATATAAAACTTATTAAATTCTATTGTTGCATATCTATTATTAATAATAAATGTCACGTAATTATCGATAACGCGGCGTTCGACTTTGGCAATATGAAATATAAACAGTAGCGCGCTATACGTTACCGCTTTGTCATTATTCGCACGGTGGCTCTCGAGTAACAAAGTAGTGGTAAGGGACGCTTCGTATACTGTAATTTTTTTACTAAACACGATTATGATTAGTATCGAAATATAATTTGCTATAAATATTAACAAAAATTAATTAACGACATGAAACACTGTATCACAACGATAAATATTTATCGAATCGTAATCATTTACTACCACGATTAAAAATTGAAAGGGGATATATAAAAGCGGATAAGAGAATTAAATATAATCTTCCGATCATCGATACTTATTATATTATTTCTTTAACAATATTAGAATTAAATATATTTCGATCAATGCTTTAAATTTTCTCCTTGTTAATTAAACAATATACAATTTAATCGAGAATCGATTAAATGATAGGAATCCAAGATATTAAATAATCACTTTGATGATTGCGATCTTCACGGACAATAATTATTATTTTAATACTTAGAGTCACAAATATATTTCATCCGTGTCACTTTATCTTGACAATCTAAATATAATTTGGATTGTGAGAGAACACGAAGTAAGACAATCGAATTATAGATGCAAATAATTAACATAACGAAAAGATTCGCGATAAATTGTTTAATAAATAATAAATTTTAATCAATAAATTAAAATACTTCCATAATTTAATATTCCGCGTTAATGTATATTTTATAATATATAAAATATTTCAGCAGCGAATTATCGAAAACACGGCGTTCGACTTTGGCAATATAAATTATAAACAGTAGCGCTCTATACGTTACCACTTTGTCATCATTCGCACGGTGACTCTGGAGTAATAAAGCAGTGGTGAGAAACGTTTCGTATACTGTAATTTTTTTACTAAACACGATTACGAATAGTATCGGAACATAATTTGCTACAAATATTAACAAAATTAATTAATTAAAAATTAATTAACGACATGAAACTGTATCGCAACAATAAAACTTTATCGAATCGCAATCATTCATTATTGCGATTAAGAATTGAAACAGGGAATACATAAAGAGGATAAAAGAATTAGTTATGTTATGATATCCATCATTGATGCTTATAATATTTCTTTAACAATAGAATTAACTATATTTCGATCAATGCTTTAAATTTTCTCAATCCTTATTAATTAAACAATATACAATTTAATCGAGAATCGATTAAATTATAGGGATCCAAAATATTAAATAATCACTTCGATAATTGCGATTTTTACGGATAATAATTATTATTTTAATATTTAGAATCACAAATATATTTCATCCGTGTTACTTTATCGTTTTACTTGATAATCTAAATATAATTTACGATATGAGAGAACGCGAAGTAAAACAATCGAATTATAGATACAAATAATTAACATAACGAAAGGCTCCGTGATAAATTGTTTAATAAATAATCAATTTTAATCAATAAATTAAAATACTTCATTAACTTAAGATTCTGCGTTAATGTATATTTTACAATTTATAAAATATTTCAGCAAATTATCGATAACACGGCGTTCGACTTTGGCAATATAAACAGTAGCGCCCTATACGTTACCGCTTTGTCATCATTCGCATAGCGACTCGCGAGTAATAAAGTGTGGTGAGAAACGTTTCGTATACTGTAATTTTTTTACTAAACACGATTACGAATAGTATCGGAACATAATTTGCTACAAATATTAACAAAATTAATTAATTAAAAATTAATTAACGACATGAAACTGTATCGCAACAATAAAACTTTATCGAATCGCAATCATTCATTATTGCGATTAAGAATTGAAACAGGGAATACATAAAGAGGATAAAAGAATTAGTTATGTTATGATATCCATCATTGATGCTTATAATATTTCTTTAACAATAGAATTAACTATATTTCGATCAATGCTTTAAATTTTCTCAATCCTTATTAATTAAACAATATACAATTTAATCGAGAATCGATTAAATTATAGGGATCCAAAATATTAAATAATCACTTCGATAATTGCGATTTTTACGGATAATAATTATTATTTTAATATTTAGAATCACAAATATATTTCATCCGTGTTACTTTATCGTTTTACTTGATAATCTAAATATAATTTACGATGTGAGAGAACGCGAAGTAAAACAATCGAATTATAGATACAAATAATTAACATAACGAAAGGCTCCGTGATAAATTGTTTAATAAATAATCAATTTTAATCAATAAATTAAAATACTTCATTAACTTAAGATTCTGCGTTAATGTATATTTTACAATTTATAAAATATTTCAGCAAATTATCGATAACACGGCGTTCGACTTTGGCAATATAAAATATAAACAGTAGCGCTCTATACGTTACCGCTTTGTCATCATTCGCACAGTGACTCTCGAGTAATAAAGTTGTGGTGAGAAACGCTTCGTATATTATAATTTTTCTTGTTAAACACGATTATGATTAGTCTTGAAACATAATTTGCTATGAATATTAATAAATGTTAATTAATTAAAAATTAATTAACGACATGAAACTGTAATGCAACGATAAATTTTTATCGAATCGCAATCATTCATTACTGCGATTAAAAATTGAAACAGATTATGCATAAAAGAGTATAAGAGATTATGTTTTGATATTTCGATCATCGATGCTTATTATAATATTTCTTTATAATATTAGAATATAATATTAGAATTAAATATATTTCAACCAATGCTTCAAATTTTTTCAATTTTTGTTAATTAAATACACAATTTAATCGAAATCTTATTATGTAAATTTAAATTTATATAGTATATTTTAAAATAAATTCCAAATTATATATATATTATATTATATATTATATATTATATTATTAAATGGAGTGAGAGTAAAGGATTTGAGAGCTTTTACTCTCACTCCATTTAATTATTTTTTATAGAGAGCTTATTAATTACAATTATTATATTATATTATATTATATATAAAAAAAAATTATATATAATATAAACCCTCCCATGGGGTACACCTTGTCGCGGTGGGAGGGCTTAGTACTTGGATGGTGTCTTGAGATTTATCTTAAATTTTTCTATTTATGATAAATCTTAAGGTGCTTGAAAGGGAAGCTAAGTACCCTTTCGCGTCGTCGGTGCCGTCAACGTGCCGCGGACGGCAAGCGTTTCGTTACCGCGTTTTCGCGTTGTAGTATTCTCGCGTCGTCGCGTTTCCGCGGAAATTTTGGACTTTTTCATATAAAATCTCAATTTCATTTATTGTCACGAGTCTCTACTTCCGATGCCAACTAACTGGGATGTTTCGAGTTTGCACACGTTGTTATGCAACGTACACTCGCGCTTCGTGCTTCGTACTTCGTCAAATGATTCGGCCCGAAATAGTTAGAACTCGATCGATTGCTCGGAATGGTCGTCAATGGGTCCCTTCTCTTTGCTCGTCTACCCTACAGCCACACGCACTGCGTGTGTTAACCCTGTCGAGGAGTCGAGTGGATTCCCCTAAGCATGATTTTCGCTCGGTAAAAGGGGTTGCCTCCCCATTTTTTAAATTGCTGAATGTTAGCATTTAAAAAATGTGGGTATCCTCTTCTTTTGCCGTCTACCAGCCTGGTGTAGCCATATCCTGCATTGCGGGAAACTTCGTGTTCCGGGCGAAGCACCTGAAATCATGCTTAGCGGGTCCAGGTTCGATACGAGATAGGATAATTATGCGCGAAAAAGAGCTGGTGAACTTTATTTTCCTCTATTCCTCAATCGTTTCGTCTTCTTTCCGGTTCGGGCCTAATCTTTGCTCGTTGTATCGTTGCACTCCCGACCTGTTGGCTCAAAGTTAAGTCTCGTAAATGAAATGAGATTTTCGCTCGTACCGAAACCGGGAGTGTCGTTGAAAGTATATATATATATATTAAATATATACATCGCGCGACCAAATTTTTAATCCGAATACCGAAGTAGTGCGGGAGTGCCGTTTAGTATCGCGCGTAAAATAACGAAAATAGCGATATAAAAATATCGCTCGTGAGTGCGGGAGTGCCGTTGAAAAAATCGCGCGCCAACAACATGAGAGGAGGAGGAGGCCTGGGAGAGGCATCTTGCATCGGCGGAGCAACCTGATGGTGAATATTTATTATTTGTATATCAATTGTTATAAATCGTACGCATAATAATTCGATCTTATTTAAATGAATTAAAGAGAAAATTAGAGAGAAAGATTTTTATAAAAGTTATATAAAACTTTTTAAAAAACTTTCTTAAAAAAACAGTTATTTAAAATTTTATAAAAATTTTCCACACGTGTTATCTCTGCTTATTATTTTACACATCGGATATAAAATTCCGCGCAATAAAAATTTGTTAAAATATTAATTGCATTTTGTGAACATTATTATAAATGAATTTTATATTTGCATGTTGCAGACAACTAGCTTCGATAACAACAACTCCGCTGTTGCGCATCAGTGCCGGTGAGTGAAAAAAACGTTTATTTAACTTTAAGGTAACGGATTCGTAGAGATTACAGATGTAGATGTAGATGTAGATGTAGATTGTAGATTGTAGATAAATCCGTTGCCTTAAAATGGATGAGCTAGGATGGATTAAATTAAATAAATTAAATTAAATAATTAAATTAAATTAATTTAATTAAATAGTTTACAAAGTTCTTTTGACTTATGCTTTGTATCTATTGCAAAAATATATTGAAATATTAATTAAAAAAAAAGAGATCAAGAAAAGATTTTTTTAAAGATTTTTTCTAATTTATTAAATAAAGGACACCCATTAATAATTATCAATTTTATCAATTTTTGATGTTAATTTATTCTTATAATACGCACTTATTTTCTAATTGCTCATAGCTCATCTATCATAGAATTTATTTGTAGATATTGTTTTTAAACTTTATTTTAACTTAATATAAAGTCAAATAATTATTAATTAAATAATTTGTAATATGATTAATAAACACATTAATTTTATATTTTATTATAAAATATAATTTATAGAAATTTGTAGTAATTTGGCTTTATTTTAGTTAAAATAAAGTTATATTATATTTAACGAACGATCGTGAAATCGAATACGATCGTTACAAAATGAGCATAAATATTTCACGCTCTTTTGCCGATAATTATCCGGCAAAAGAAGGAGTAATTATCTCCTTCTTCGATCTCTGATCAGAGATCGAGAAAGAAAGTGGCCAGGATCAACGAAAGGTAGATTCAACTGGCCTGAAAAGTACGGTTAGGGTACGCGGTTGGGGCACGCTGTTAGGACACGCGGTTAGGGCACGCGATTAGGGCACGCGGTTAAGGCACGTGACTAAAATATATACATGATTAGGTGAGGTGATGATTAGAGATAGGTTCCTCAAATCTCGAATAATTTTAGTTAATCAGGAAGTAGGGTTGTTAAGGTTATTAAGTAAAATCATTAAAATTCTTCTATTAATATTAGGGTTGTTAGGGCTCTTAAGATCATTAGAATTTTGTAATAATAGGATTGTTAGTGCTATTAAAATTATTAGAATTCTTTAATAATAGGGTTGTTAGGACTATTAAGGAAGATTCATTCTTTCTTTTAATATTCCAATAATCCTAAGGGTAAATTAAAATTATTTTCATTAAGTTGAATTTATTTTTAAAAACATTGTAAAAATAAATATAACATGTTTTAAAAATAAAAATGTTTTAAAAGTGAAATTTAAATTATTAAAATTATCTTCAGAAATATTAAAGAATTTGCATAATTATTAACGTTAAGAAATCTTAACATGTTATATTTTATTTTAAATCTTAAAGGTATTTGTGTATTAAATCAAATATAATATTAAATCCAAATGTTAATGCTATCAGTATCAAATTATTATATCTATGTTATTAAATATTTCAATAAATCGAATATTATTATTTGAGTATTATTATTAATAGCATCATAAATTTGTAAATTCTAAATTATAAATAGTTACAATTGTATTTTAATTATAATCTAACATTGATATTTTAATCGTAAAATACAATACAATTATAACTATAATTATATTATATGAAATTGTATTTACGATTATAAATTCTTATGTAAATTACACGAAAAGTTATCGAAAGTATACGTATAATGATTACATAATAATAATTAACATAATTAACATAATAGTAATTCATTAAATTAAAGTATTTGTTTCTGAAGTTTATATTTTTGGAATATTCATAAAAGAGTAACTGTTTGTATTTTTATGTCAAAGAGTCATTAATAAATTCCATTTATCTCGATCTGCACCGCTTCCATAGAAAGATGTAAGCCAACAGATGGAAGACGATGTAAATGACAGCCATAAGGATGATGTCGGGCCAAAAGTTGTGCTCGTTGAAATCGTAGCGATCCAGCACCTCGGTTCCTTCGGTGAGACAGGGTAGTTCGACCGTTTCGCAAGCTGTTTACAGCAGATTTTTATACATCTCATAAGAAAATATATATACATGTTGTAATGCCCGATGTAACTTACATATGTTGTGCACGCCTTCCCATTGGACAATAGTGAGAGTTTCCGTCGAGTGCAGCAACCAGGAGAAATATCTTACCCATCGTATATATACGGGCAATGAGCTGTCAATTATCGAATAAAGAGAACGATTAAAGGAAAGATTCTATGATATAAAATATAATGATATATGATATAAATCGCGGAATAAGAAGAGAGAAGCTACTTAGGATTGTGCAATAATTTGTCAAAATAATTGAAAATGAAATTATAATTAAAATCGTGATAAAATTGTTGATTTAATTAATAAATTTTTCTCGTTTAGGAAAAAAAGAGTTTCATCTCCTTTCTCTAAACATTCATCTTCTTTTTAATAACTTCTTTAAAAATTGACAGAAATATATTAAATATTTTATTATAACGGAAATATGTTATAATTTTATCTAATGATGATAAATACCTAAGTTTAATAAAAGGACCCATGGTTAGCATGAAAATGTAATCGAAAGGTACCAGATATGCCATTGCCAGTGGCATGCTTTTGTAGACGGCCGAGAAGAAGCATCCTAAGAAAAACAAAAAGTTTCATGAATAAATCTAGATTAGATTAGAACGATCAGCTAATGTCATCTTTGCTTACCGCAAGCGGTGGATACGTTCATCGTGAGTACAACTATCAGGATAGTCGAGCCGAAAGCGTCCATCGTAGGTCGTAATCCTGCGATCCAGTAGATAATCGCGGCGAATAGCATCGGCTCCACCAGCAGGCCCGGTATCTGAAAATTTCAAAATGCGTAATGCGCACGATTTTCGGGGAAAATAACGGATGATGATGATGATGATGATGATGATCTCACCAGCGACATCATTCGCGCCGCGTAGTAAAGATGAACGGGATACATGCCCGCCTTGTACTCGCGAAACAGAAGCGGCAAATCCTGCGGAATCAACGCCAAGGTCGCGTACATGGGAAAGAACGTGTTCTCGCTTACCAGGAGAAATATGACACCCTCCACAGCTTGGATGCCCAATTGATCGAGGTTAATGGCACCGACAAAGCACAGACCGGCGACCGTCGCGACGCTCTGCAATCAATTATGCGACTCGTCGTTAATTTTTTTTAGGCCACAGTAAAGCTTCTCTTGTACGTATTTTAGATTAGGATTTTATAATGGATTTTAATTATATGTATATATTTTTTAATTAATTATGGATATATATAGTGTTTCAAAATCAACAGATATTTTCGTAATAACAAATTTCTTTGGCTAATTTAGACTTTTTCGTAGCTAAAATATCGAGCAACATCATCATTTTTATAAGTTTCTAATTTTTACTATCATATTTTTGTAAATCTAATTAAATCTTATATTAAAATTTTATTAAGTAAACTCAATCAGAAATTAACTGAAGAATGCATTTTATTAGTTGCAGAAAGTTTAGTTTACAAAAAAGCTCTTTTTTTAATCAACTAACTAATATGTAAGAAATTATCGACATTTTTGCTTAAGAGAAATTGGCCAGAGAATTTGAGATTTTTTTATTAAAAAGACTTTCGATGGTTCTCGGACACTTTATATAGAGCAGTATTTTAGAAAAAAATTACACACACACATACGTACATATAGTTTTAATAATTATAAAAATTATAATTTTATTATTAAATACTAATCTAAAATATTTTTGCGATTACTTACGATCTTCTGCAATATCCTAATAAATTGTACCGAAGGATCCCGCAGAACTTGCAGAAATCCGCGATGAATTAGCCAATAAAGTCGAAGCCAGCAGTGCGGCTCTTTACTGCAATAAATTGCGTTTATACGAATTAAATGAAAAGAACGCAATTAAATCATCAAGTCATCCTTGAGATTTTCAATATAATTTTTGATATATATTTTTTTTGCGAAAAAAGGTACTTACAAGGAGCGTAATTCACAAGTATTTCCCTTGACCTAAAACAAAGAAATAAGGTATAATAAAATCTTTTTAATTATTTTTTTTTAAATTACTATAAATTATTTTCTTAATTAGTTTGCTTACAACGTGTCGCAATCGAATGTTATCAATTTTCTGTTGCAGCGTAACGTCGATCTCGTTGCACGCTTCGCTCGTGAGATACGCGTCGCAAATCTTCTGCGCGATTCTTCCGCTACCGTCCGCGTCGCCGGAAGCGATCGCTAAAGTTGCTACCAGGAAATCGGCCGGGTTATAATTGTACGGACACTCGTAGCCTTGGCTACGAATAGCAATGACAATGTTTTATTTTAATTTTCTAAGACAGCATCTCTCTAATTCAGATTAAAAAAAAAAAGGAGAAAGCACAGATAGTCATCATCATTTCTTTATATTTTATATTTTTACATTTTTATATTTTTAAATTTTTATATAAATTTTAAATTTTATATTTTATAAATTTTAATTTTAATTTTATATTTTATAAATTTTAATTTTTTTATAAATTTTAAATTTTATATTTTTTCAACCGTGAAATCTCATTCAGAAGAATCAATTGATAGTACTAGCTGATTTTTTAATGAAATCTTGCTGTTAATCAATGAAGCATAAGACAGAGAAGCAAAGTATGAGTACTTTTTACTCTTGCTTCAATCAGTGACTACTTTCACTGATTCAAGAGAGGATATACCTGGAGAAAAATCGTATCGCTTGCGTGGCGGTACCAGCGAATGCCACTCTACCGCCGGCTAGAAGGATTATACGATGAAAGCTATCAAAGATAACGGAACTTGGTTGATGAATGGTGCATAGGATCGTGCGATTTCTCGATGCGAAGGACACCATGTGCGAGACGAGGACGCCGGCCGAATGCGCGTCCTGTCCCGTCGTCGGTTCATCCAGGAACAGTACTTCAGGGTCCGTCAACAACTGCGAGGAGAGATTTTGTACAAAATTCGATTAGATGGCGATAAATACGCGTAGAAATGTATGTACTTCAGTAGCGAAAGCCAGTCTCTTCCTTTCTCCACCCGAGAGGACTTTGCCATCATCACCGCCGCCGATGCGAACATCGCGTCTCTCCTTTAGACCCACGTCCCTCAGCAAACGATCGATCTTTAGCCGAATGCTAGACACGTGGATTCTTCCGTCTAGTTTCATTCTAGCCTGATGAAGAGATACATGTTGAAAATGTGAGACGCTTGAGGGAAAAAGGAAAAAACTGAAGCTTACCATAAACCAAATGTGCTCGAGCACCGTCATTGTGTCGATAAACATGTCTTCCTGATGCATAAAGCCACTGTGATGTCTCATGTATGACGAGGTAGCCAATGCACCGTCGACGCGAATATCGCCGTGCACGACAATGTCGGCTGTCAATTTGCAAGCAAGAGACGAATTAAAAATATTATTAAAATTTAATAATATTTAATAATATTAAAAATATTCGGAGAATATTTAAACAATTTTAACTTGATATTTGATTTGAAGAATTTCTAAGAATGCTTTCAATATATTATTAAAATATAAAATCCTATGAGATTCTTTTAAAGAGAGAAAATAATTTAAATAAAAATAATTTAAATAAATACTTACATTCTGTGCGAAATGCCAGCGCCGTCATCAACGAGCTCTTTCCAGCACCGCTGCGTTATGAAGAGAAGGAGAGAGGATTTCAATTAGGAACGATACGCCAGTTGATCACAATTACGTTGATGACTGTAAATAATTTACCTGCCACCTAAAATCGCGGTTAGCTCGCCGGGTCGTACGACACCTCGGACTGAAAAAGAGGATGATAATCAAATCATATCATGCTGTTCTTATTTCATCTAATACACGTGTGTTGAATTACCGTTATTGATGAGCTGCTTGCTTACGGTGTGTCGGTTTCGATCCATCGCGTAAACGGACAAATTTTGCCAAGAAAGCATTTTGCACCTTTCCTACGTTGCTCTTGATATGAGAGAAAAAGAGAGAGACGAAGAAAACATAGTTGGAAATGATAAATAATTTTTTTAAAAAGATAATTTTCCTGTCTGAGTATCTCTTGCACGCAAAGAAAGAGAAAGAAATATTAACATTTCTTTTTTTCTCTCTTATCTTTTTTAGAAAAAAATCATTTTAAGGAAAATAGTGAAGAAGAAATGATGACCATTTTTTCGATCCAAATAAGCGATAAATTTATTTGGTATGATGATTTTTTCAATGAATAAGTGTTTAATTAAATCGATCAGATGATATGTCAAATATTTTTAACTGTTTTATTAAAAAGATTAAAACAGATATTGTAATTGATATATTATCTGGCCAAATTAATTGAAGATTTTATAATTAATTCGTTAAAAGAAATTGGTATACCATAAAATTTATGAATAAATTTATCGTTTTTATTTAAAAAATTCATCAATTACTTCGTCAAAAAATTCATCAATTACTTCACCATTTTTTCTCTCTCTCTCTCTCTCTCTCTCTCTATCTTTCTATTGCTTATTTTTTTAAATATTTTCACAATATGCGAATATGGTACAGGTATCAACTATATCCCGACAATTATAAGAACAAATTGATCGAAATAGTTATGCGATACACACAGAGTTATTTGATGCACTGATCTTGAAAACTTTGACGAGTAATGCGAAGGACGGGAAACCGACAACGAGACACGAGACGGAGATTGGCAACTAAAAGCAAGCGAGACTTGCAGGTTTCGCGTCATATTTGCTACCACCACTCGATGCACTTGATGCACTTCGCTTCCCTTCTTTAACTTTCTTTCTAGTTGAATATCATCGATGCGATCAATAGTTATCAATATTGAAAATTCGTCTAGAATTTATAAAAAAAAAATATATGTTATTTTTCCTTAAATATAACACTTTAAACGTATCAATTAGATTCAACTTTAACAAACTATATCCTTTCTCTATTAAATTTTTTTGGAACGCAAAATTATAACATCAAGTTTTCCTAATCGATATTGAAATTGAGACAGGTTAATGACCGGTGTAATCTGACACCGACGACTCTTGCAAATCAATATAGCTTATTCGCGTAGGACATCTACCCCGAGGCTTCCGGAAATTGTCCCCTTCGTTCGTGACTCAGGCTTTACTGTAATCGAAACCCTACACGTAATTGAACGTGGCCAATCCTCTATTGGAATTGTTACGCATTGTTTTCAACGATTGGCGTTATAGTTGAGCCAACAACTGCGTATCCTTCGTATCGTGTTGCCTATTTCCATCTGAATGACAATCTCGGCGTAATCAGTAGACCGCGAACAATATCGCAAGATCGGCAAACATATGAATGCATCAGGTTTTTTTACGATGCGTTCTCTCAAAGGTCTCCCAATGTTGTCTTCTACGTCCTATATATCTTTCCTTCGAACACGCGATCGCACGGTGTACATAGCAACCGGTTTGTAATAGTATCTAGACGCGAACGAAAGAGTGGTCAACCCCGATACAGGAAACGCCAACACATATGGTAGCTGCAATCGAGGGAGATGCATTTCTTCCAGTTCCTATTACGTCGTCTTTTTGCGGTCGGCGTGTGTCGACATCGATAGCCTGAATGAGACTCGTGAAAAAAATGTTTAATGGCTCTCATATTTGTAAACTTAAAAAAACCGACTCGTTCTCTTTTATTTCGAATATTTTTTGACAATGAAAGGGTTTTGATAATAAACATTCGAATTTTATTAAAAATACTTATTATAAAAGTATATTACAAGCGCAATAAGAGCAAAACTGTTCGTTCCACAGGACAATAATGATATACATTATTTCGAACGACGAGTTTTTGACAATAGGGCGAAAAACGCCAGGAGACGGAATGCCACGATAAGCGCGAACAAGCAGAGAATGTCCATCGAGAAGTCCTCCTCCCTGAAATTATAAGTTTGGAGAACGGTGCGTCCCGATTTCGGACACGTGATGTTGTTTGTGATGCACGCTATAGAGTCGATGTCTGACCACTGGTTGACCAAAAGAGCCTCGTTGCCGTAACGGTACCAGGACAGATACGAGAACCAGAGAAAATAGGACGGCACGGATCTGTCATACGAATATGTCAATCAGTTGTATCTTAAATATTAGTATAATGTCGGAAATAATTCTCGCCGATACTCACGCCGTATTTAGAAAGAAGCCGCCAAACAACAAGAATGGTATTATTACCGGAGGACCAACGGAGAGAGCTGTAGTCACGTTGTTGCTGATGCAGGATATCAGGTAGCCTGGGAATAAAATGAAGAGATTGAGCGCGAAGACGCGAGACCGTTTAAAGCTATCTTGTTTAGATAAAAAAAAGTCTATATATAATCAAATAAATATAATTATATATAAAATATATGAGATAAATATAAGAATAATTAAAAATAATTATGTAGAAGAATAATTTTTATATATTTTTTTTACAAACATTGATATTTGGAGAAGTTTAAAAATATTTTACTTTTTCTAAAAAAAAGAATGTGAAAAATAATTCTTATTATTTTTCCTGTACAGAGCTTATATAAGAAAAAGAAAACATATTTTATATTTATTATATTTGATTTATTATAATTATATTTGATTATATATGGACTTTTTTTACCGAACGAAGTCGACACGTTGGCCACAAGAGTTAATACGGAAGCGGTGATACAGAAATGCCTCACGTCGGGATAAAGACCGATCATGGGATAAACGATGATGGTAAACATCAGCGGTATCGCTAGGAATATTGGCGCTTCCGCCAGCGTTTTGCAGATAAAATAAACGTCGGTGCGATACATGCCATTTCTGTGTTCGCGAAGAAATATCGGTAATTCGGCGCAAAATACCTGTGGATACAGATTTTCGATCTTATTGGATCTTTATTAAGCATCTCTCTGACTGATATAAAAATTGTAAATTTGACTTATATCTCAAAATCTCACATTAATAACTGCGAAGACGTTCTGAAAAGTCATGCAGTTAAGGAAAACGAACAGAGCGCCGTTAATGTTCATCACGCCGTCCAGATCGATATGCTGGCCGAAGTAAGTGACACCGATCAATAGCGAGATCATCTGTGGCAAAAAATTGAAATTTCCTTTTTAATTTTCGTGAAATCTGTTGATATAATTTGTCATTTTTAATTTTATAAATAGAGCGAAGAAAAAGTATTTTTCATCATTTCACATAAAGACTGAAAGAACGAGGTGATACGAGGTGATACTCTCTTACATTGTTCGATAAAAATATCACTGATTAATATGATTGATCTTTAGTGAAAAAATTCCTCTGTTTCACTGATTATGTTAATAAAATTTCTCCGAAAAATCGGCAACTATTAATATTTGATTCTTGTCAGTAAGATTTCACTACTATTATAATTATAATTAAAGCCTCTGCTCTACTATAATGGCAATATATTGATTCTATTTAAGAGAGTTATGCCGTCAATTTTTGTGCTTGTACGGGAGAAAAACGCACGATAGTCTGTAGGAGGCGAACTTTGATGAGGATCGGTTCCTTGATCACTGACAACCAGGATCGCCATAGGACTGCGCGAAACTGCTCGCACCAGCTCGCCTTGTAAGGCGAGCGACCGGGATCTTTGGTGTAATACTTGAGGGAACTCTCGAATTCGCCATGGACTGTTTCTGCTTCTGTGACGACCTTTCTGCCATATTCGCTATTCCGGAAGGTATCGCACGTCGTTTTGATCGCGTGTCTGCAGGCCAACTCGCGTCCCGGTATCACGGCCAACATTTGCACGAAGTAATCGGCAGGGTTGTAGTTGTTGGGACAAGTTGCGCCAAGCCTGGGAGATATTATACATCGTAACGGATGAGCTTTCATTTTTAAAAATACAAATCTGATAGTTTTATTTACTTTACATTTAAGCTTACGTCTTGAAGAAGGAACAAGCTTGCGCGGTGGTACCCATGAAGGCGACTCTTCCTTCGGCCATCAACAGAATTTTATCAAATAGAGCGAACAGCTCCGACGAAGGTTGATGTAAAGTGACGACAATCGTTTTACCATTTGCTGTTGGAATTTGTTTATTATGTCTTTATACCGCGAGATATAACGAGCTCGCAGCTCTTATCGCGGCTCACTCACCCGCCAAAGCCTTCAAGATAGAAACAACTTGATGAGCCATGAAGGAATCTAAGCCGGATGTCGGCTCGTCGCAAAACATAAGCGGCGGATCGGTCAATACTTCGGAAGCGAAGGATAATCTCTTCATTTCACCGCCCGAAAGACCCTTTAGTTTACCGGGTATCCCTATCGTGGTGTTTCGACATTTCGAAAGGGCGAGCTGCTTATGAAAGAAACATTGAAAATTGACGGTACTTATTCCAAGTATTTATAATAATTGATACTGAATTAATTAAAAGACTTATCTTATAATAAAGTTAATTTTTAATAAGTTTTAAATATTTTAAATTTTTAATGTTTAAATATTTTTATAAAATCTATTAATTTTTATTAATAATTAATTTTATAATATAATAGTATGTATAATATAATATATAAGGTATATTAAACAAAATATAATATAATATATATTATATTATACTATAAATAATATACTTTATTAAAATATATATAATTTTTTAAATAAATTTTTAATGTATAAAATGTATAATCGTGAAGAGGAAAATGGACTATATGTATATGAGCATCCTGCTGCAGGATTCCTGCATCACATTACCTCGTCGATGACCTCATTGACCCGCTTGATCCTCTGGTGACGAGGTATGTGCCGATCCATCCGCACCGTCGCCTGAAACATCAAGTGTTCTGTCACTGTCAATGTGCCAATAAATAAATCATCTTGCTGTACATAAGCCATCCTCGAGGTGAGGACGTCCGGCGATGTCCTCCGACCGTTGGCGGCCATTAAACCGGACGCGGACACTCCGCGTGTCGTGCGAAACGTCAATGCGTTTAGTAAGGTCGTTTTGCCTGCACCTGATGCGCCCATGATTACGAGTAATTCGCCAGGATAGGCCACTCCGCACACTAAAAAGAATGCCGATTTATTTTCTGAAATATGGAAGAACTCCGTATGTACACATACATATATATTTTACAAGTCTAAAAATAGTCTATATGGGATAATCATACATAAATATATATATTTGATTAAATATATATAATTATAGAATATATAGAATTTTTTCCTCTCCTTTATATATTTTTTGTCAATTTCTACAGAAAATATAATTAGAATAATAATAAAAATAAAATTTAATAATAATAAAATAAATAATAAAAATAAAATTTGCGATTAAATTATATAATATTCTATATATAAATTATATACGTATAATTCCATACACACACATAATGATATATATAAGAATGATTGAAAAATAATTAAAAGAATAATTTTCGCTTAATTTGTTTAGAACAATTGAAATGTTGCGACTAAATTATAATATTCTATACGTAATTATATGTAGAATATTTAATTGTAAACTTTAAGAGAAACAATGCAAAAATTATTTTTTAATTATTCCTTTTTTTATAAACAGATAGAGTATAATATAAGAGAAAGAAAACATGTATGGACTTATTCATATACATTTATATATGATTACATATGGACTTTTTTTACTGGGAAACTGTCGCGAATATAGAAGAAGAGTCGTTCTTTTTACCATCCTTTAATATGTGCTTTTGGGCGATGGACCTACTAGGTCTGAACATCAATCGATCCCAGATCCTGTCGGTTTTCGTGCTATAATAGACATTTACGTCGTTCCACGTGTACGTGATTCTGTCGGTGGAGATTTCGCTGTTAAAATTCACGCCTGTCGGCGCATTCGAAATCGGTTTTAGACTAAAGGAATTCTCGGGGCTTCCGTCGTGCAATCTATCCCTTTCGTTTATTTCCTGTAACAATAGAGCTTCTATTTTCTTTCTACATATTTTAATGTAAATAATAACGTAAAAATCCATGCAAAAGCATGGATTAGTAAAAACTAATTACGTTTCATTGCTTAAATTGTTTCAATCTACTATGTTTTTTTAATATTTCTTTCACTAATTTTGAGATTTTTTTCTGATAAAAACTTTCGAAACTCATTTTTTATTGTATATTTTAAATTTTTAACATCTTTCGAAATGTAATAAAAAAAGCTTCGAATTAAAAATTATAAATATATATGTTAAATATATAAAATATAAAATTTTTGCGCATAATTGCATAAGAAACATGACATTTTTTCTTCATTTATCCAAATCATTTTTCGAGTAATTCTTTATCATTGATTATTCTCTTTCTCTCTCTAAAATTTGATTTCTTTCGATGATATATTTGTTAGAGATAAAGAAAGAATTAATAAATTGATTTTATACAAAAGTCTGATATTTAGTCGGTTAATTTGCGATTAAATTGATCGATTTTGCTCGAATTATAATTTTGACACGCAGTCGTTCTCGGTAGAATCGGAGGCACGAAGCCATATTAAGACGTAAATGTCGTCGATGCTGGGGTTTAAAAATGACATTACACGATGCATGTGCATGAAAATGAGATATGTAAAGATAAAAGATAAGCTCGAAGAACCGAACGGAAAACAATCCAACTGAAAATGATTTCGATTTAATTAATTTGTCGTTTGCATTTATAAAATAAATAATTGGATCATATTCTGCTAATCCTACTTACAAAGGAGATTGCATGATAAGTGACCCTTTGACTTTTACCGGCGGAAGTCGTCGGTGTCGTGGATATCAACGGCTCCGTTTCCTCGGTAGCAGTCATTTTTTTGGATGACTATGCTTGCTTAATCTTTCTCTTTTCTCTCTTCCCACTGACAAGTACACTCGATTAAGAAAAAAAAATTGTACGACGGGATATTAATTACAGATAGTAGTAGAACATGTTTATACTCGCGTGATGTAACTTATGATAATTTTTGTAATGGAAAGAACGCAACGGTTTCGAAATCGGTTTTATTTACAGTAGACACCGATCAATATATACAGATCTCTCTCTATGCGTACATTGTACAAAATTACAATATTCCAATATCGTTGCGAGACGATGAAAAAGAAAAAAATTGCGAGAGTGAAATGTGGTCGCGTGTGTGTTGGAAAACCGCGCACGAGACAGTCCGGTGTAGAGCTACCAGAAGAACGAGAGAGCCCGTCTTCTTTTTCTCGCGGTATCGCGGATGCGTGTACGCACCACCTGCGTGTACTACGCGAGAACGACAATATATATCGCGCGCGAATCGGTCGTGAGGAACGCCCCTCTCCGTCGGTTTCCATCGCGTGCACAGTCACCCTATCTCTCTTTTTACAGTCCCTCTAGTCGGGCTTATTTTCGGACAAATTCTTCCATAAAAATTAAGAGCACGCGGTATCGAAATCAAACTCGATCGAGGGATTTCAAGATGTACACACGTAAATATATCTAACGCTATATGTATATTATGCGTGTGTGTAGGGTGTCAGGGCAATCTCTTCCCCCCAAAAAAGTCTCTTGTAGCTTACCTCGACAGCTTTTCAAAACACTATAATAAAGTATTTTTTCATCGAGTACTACTACTACTACTTTTTACTTACTACTAGTTTTCTAGTTATGAAGCTTGATATAATCTCTTAATTTTACATAAACCATAAAATATATATATATTTAGTAAAATATTCATTTTTCGATCATCTTATCTTAACATATTTACGTACAAAATAATGAGAGGAATCAATTGGTGTAAAGAAAACACATAATTGTTTCAAGGAAAAAATATGTAATTTGAAATTAATAATTAAATATTTTTTTTTTCGAGACAATTATGTGTTTTCTTTACACCAATTGATTCCTCTCATTACTTTATACATAAAAGTATTAAGGCAAGATAATCGAAAAATGAATATTTTACTAGATATTTTATGGTTTATGTAAAAATTAAGAAATGATTTCAAGCCTTATAATTCTAAAAGTACTCGATGAAAAAATACTTTATTATAATATTTTGAAAAGCTCTCGAGGTAAGCTTTTTTTGGGAACAGATTGCTCTGACACCCTGTATATAAAGAATTACTTTAAACAATTTAAATAATGTATTAGTTAAGAGAATGAGGATGATGTTGATGATGATAATATGGATATGCGACATTGTTTGACGCAGTCTGCAACATTGTTTCTTTCCTAGAGTGTATTAGAGATCATTATCTTATCTTACATTATGTGTTTGTGGGAGAGAAGAGCGCGCGGTACGGTGGCGTCGTCGTTTTAGAGCTATTTTTTTCATGAAAGCGTAGCAATCTATTATGTAGGACAGCGCTGAAGTATGAATGTGGCCTTACTGATTCAATTACATCGCTATATGTGTGGATTGCGGTATATTTATCAAAATTTTATATGTATATGTAGTGTGGTTTCGTGTTTTCATGTATCTATATATGCATGTATCTCAAACACGATATCACACGCATGATATAATAATAGGAAAGATTTCACTTGTCATCGACATGAAATATCATTTCTTCTTGCTCTCGAATAAAAAATTAATCTTCGACACGGAAAAGAATATTTTCAGTCGGCAGTTACGCAAATCACTGCAGTTAATTTCGCGCTTAATTGATATTCAAAGAAGAAATAGATTATCCCAGGATCAAGATTATGATTGCCCGAGATTAATCATGATATTTTCATCGATACTGCTTCGTCCGGTCACAGTTTCGCAAAATAGATATTGCTTTGGGTTATCACACACTGTCATTGCCAATGGACGATGCGGAAGAAACCGTATCGTCCATTATTGAAACAATCACCAAGCTTCTTTTCGAATTATAAAAAACGTTGCGACGCGTGTTGCATTTTTCTGTATCACATTTGACAAAACGAAAGTCTTTATTTTGTCACACATTTTTGTTATAATTAAAATCGGCATATCTCTATCGTTGACGAAAATAATGTAAGACTTTTATGATTTATTTCGTTACAAGTAAATAATTCGTGTATCAACCATCACATAGATCTCTTGGCGTTTCACTATAAGTATTTTGGATGCAATATCCAATTTTTTAATGAAATAAAATCAGTTTCTAATTTTACACGACTTCAAATTTAAGATCGCTCGACGGAAACTTAAACTAGACTTTAGCTGAGCGAAACTTAAAAAGTATTCTGTTCAGTGATATGTACCGTACGTCCGTCATTGAAGAACGTATTTTACTATACCGAACATAGGCATATATATACGGCACCGACTGTTCATGCTGCGTAGAGTAATAAGGCTCTGAAAAAATGTACGAGCCTAACATATTTTCGAGTCTGGAGAGACAATTTTCGGATAGTACGACGTTCACTGACGCTAGCAGCAGCAACAATCGATTTTAAACAGTCTCAATTGTATACTGGTTACGATCGTCAATTTTTTAATCCTAACGACAGTATTGGAGTTATGGAAACGACAGTCTTTACTAGTTCACAAGTAGTGTCCCAGACAGGCAATCAATCACGACGTACAAATGTGTCAGAATGTACATCTTAACATTGATAACGCGCACTATTCAATGATGTCGTAATTGCATTCTTAAGTTTTCAAGACTTATCGCGCAAAGTGCGATTGTCGTCCTTCACGTAGTCTTATTATTCTTAGACATATTATGCGACGCCCAATTTAACGACGTTTTCCACGAATTGCAAAGAGCCTCATCGAATTTACTCCTAAAGTGCTTTTGTGCTTCGTTTTCGGACATTTCCAGGACCTAGAAAAATATTTAAATGTAGATATCATTTAAATGTATCGTCTTTATTGTTGTAGTATATTAACGATTGTATCTTGGCGACCATACTTACCAAAGTATCTCTAAGATAATTCAGATCTTTCTCCGATGAGAGTTCAGGCAATCCAGTAGATATCATCATAGCGAATAGGGACAATATAAGACCCCCGTGTTGACGCAATATCAAAAAAGCTTGCTCGCAATAACTCTGAAATCTTTGAAATTCGGCGGCGTGACCCTTTTTCGTTTGGCCCTTATTTATAACGTGTACAAAGTCGTTGGTTAAAACAAAGGGCACGCGTTCGCGTCTGAATCCAAACTTCTCTTTAAAGTGACCCAAGATATGACCGAAATCGACGTGAAACAACTGTCCAGTCTTCTTGACCATTATATTGTCAGAATGTCTATCGGCTATTCCAAGAACGTAAGTCGCGACGCAGTAACCTGCACAACTCAAGGTAAATTCCTCGATCGCTTTGTTCAATGCCGTTTCCGTATGATTGTGGTCCTTTAGCCAAGCTAACAAAGAACCTCTCCTATAAAAAAAAAGCAAAAAAAGAATTTTTGTCGTTCGTATTTCCGACGCCGCATGATGTGTCTGCGGGTTTTACTCACCTGAAGGCTGCTGTCGCAGAAAACGTGCCTTTTTCTTTCTGGATATTCGCGATCGTTTCTGCATTCAACACTACTTCTATCATTCCGACTCTATTCTCTGTGGATATGCAACCATACGGATTCATACGCAAATCCAAGCCCTCCTTTTTCCAGAGCTTATCCATAATACGTAGCATTTGAAGTGTCAACATGTCTTGTCTCAAGTCATCTCCATGTTTGAGGATTAAGTAAATATCTTCACCGAAAGGATCGCTATTTTCGAAAACTAGCCAGAGTGGTCGCATCTTACTGTCCATCACCCGACACTTTTCAATTCTAGAACAAAGAGAGAAAAGCAATCAAGAAGATTTAAAGTGGGACTTGCATTTTCATAAGTTTTAAAAACAGCTCACTTGATGCGATTCCACCTGAAACGTGGATCGAGAGGATTAAAAACATTGGATATCGCCTCTTGGCAGTGCGGTTCCTGAATAAAATCCTGAAAGCCCTGGAGGGCCGTTTTACGATCTTTTTTTTGTTTTACTTGTTCCGAAACGCTTCTCAATTTATCCAAGCACTTGAGCTGCTTGAATAACGATCGCATATGCTGTTGGCTTCCTCTACAGTACGCTTCTAATATAAGACCGAAACGAACTGACACCGAACCGACTTGCATCTCTGACCTAATTTTTATAAATTGAGCAAATAAGAGACGAGAATATATAGATAAATCTGAATAGTGCATATGAAACTGCAACTAACCTGAGATGCCAAAATAAATAGTGTCCTATTCTTCGATTATTCAGTGCCCGTTTCAATAGAAATTCCGTCAAAGGGCACGCCAGATAATTTTCATGTTTTAAAGCTTGAGCGAGCTGCAGCAAATAAAGACTGAGATCATCATCGGTGACGTCCTTTAAACAATGGACTGCAAAATTTCGAACGTTTTGATCCGCATAAGCATAATCTAATAATTCCAAAGCCTTCTCCGCCGGCAATTTTGGCCATTGTTGTATAAGTGCCGTAGCTTCCGCGACTTCCCTGCAAATATTCGCAATTTTCGATTCATGTATATCGTTCATAGGCATTCAATTAATATTAATCAATATCTAACCTATGATCATTCCATTCTACACATTGTAATAATTTAGCTAAAAGCGTTGGAATTTCACGAAGACAATGATGCCTCAACATCCACATTGTCTTCTTTTCTTGCTCGTGTAATTCGTGCAATGGATCCCGGTCAGCTAATAATCTTAATTGTTCCAATTGTTGACTAACATCAGATTCTTGATTCAATTCGTCTTTAACCGGACGTTCGTTTGATTGTTCTCGCAATGTTTGGGCGTATTCGACCATTTTTTCAGGTGTAGGATAAAGAACGCATTGATCCTTTCCATAACTGAAATAGTAATTAGATAAAATAGATACATAACACAAATACTATTTCTCACATTATGTAAATTACAAAATATGTAGTTACTTTGGAAACGTTAACATGAGAGCAGCTGCCCTGTCTATATGAGGATTCGAGACCACTGTTCCAAGAGGATGAAGTAAATCGTCGTTTTGTATATCTTCCGCATAAGTCCATGTATACAATGTCATAGCACCGGTTTTCAACTGGGATTTAAAATCATATATCGTTGTATTTGCCCAACATAAAGGATTTATAAAGAACTCCTGTTTCGAATCCCTGACCAGTTTTCTGCTCTTCAAGCCTTTTGCAGTCTTGCTGATTTCATACAATACAAAACACAGCCGTGCCATTCGCGGTATATCTCTGACTTTGATGTCAAACTTGAGACTTTCTTCCCATTCGCAACTACCATCGGAATTTACAATAATTTCTTTGGTTTTTTGACTTTCGCAGAGCGATTTTCCACCGTGAAAAAGTCCAGCTTGCAGTCCAATCTATGTATAAAACAAAGAATCAGACTCATACGATAGTTTTTGATGGATTTGTTTCTTAAAAAAAATTTTTAAATAGATTGTAATATACCTCTACAGTACGTTGAGCGGCGTCGCAATTAAGTCGGGAAATTTTATTCACAGTGAAAACGAATGGCTCCTCGAGTTTCCACGCCGAAATATGCTTGCCCTTTTTGCGCAACGTTAACGTGGAAGACGAGGGTTTCGTACGCTGCAACGTGTCCATTTCCGGATTGTCGATTGCATTATCTTGGTCCACAGGTACGCTCTGTTTGCTGAGCGTAACTAGCGTCGGTACAATGTCTTTTGCTAGGCAATCTTGAATATAGTTAAACTGTATGAGCGGAATATTGTCGCCGATCAAGTACTCCTCCTGTCCGCAAATCTTAAGCGTAAAGTCGTTTGGTTGTTCACCCCGAGTATTGAGAGTGTTTGCTCTCTTGTTCAAGATTATCTCGAGCAATTCAGGTGGCGTAGTGGTATGTGCTATTTGAAAGGTAAATGCTGTCTGGAATAATATAATTTGCCATTTTAGCAAGATATGTTGGAGAAGAGCGAAAGAAAATGTGGAAATTATTTGATCTTACCTCTGAGTTTTCGAACTTAGTAACTAAAACGATATTTCCGTCCTTCAAACGAATTTCAATATTTTTAGGTACAGTCGGCGCTGCTACTCTCGATGGAAACTGATAATGCACCTTTTCCGTCCAGCTTTTCTTTTGTCTACCTAAAGCTACGTCATCCCCCAAGAGACGCATTTTCCATCTAAAGTCATTGACCTCGGAATTTTTCAGGGCAGCAAACTCATGCAGACCTTTACCGATTAAGACACCAATTTGTGAATCTAAATTCCTATCGCCTTTACCTTCACGTTCTATAACTCTTAACACCGAACAAAACGGCTTTATATCACAGAGACGTCTCGTTTCATCTCGCAATTCTTCTATCTCTGCATTTGAATTGATGCACGAAAATACATAGGACGGTGCATCCTTCAACGTTCCATGAAGAGGGTACTTACTAGCCTCATCCCACAGATCCTGTCAAATGTTTGAAACATATTTTTGTGCATCATGTTGATCATTTTAATGTTTCGACTCTCTCGCATTGAACACGCATAATATGTTTTTCCCTTGTATACATGTGTACTTGCCCAGCAGTTGCATTCAAATAAGTACAACATACGTATACGTTCTTCTCATATATATTAATATTTTCTCAAACTAATAATAACACAGGCTATTATAATTACATCTTGAAATAAATTTTTCCATTCGACTAAATACATACATGTTCCAAGATGCTAGAATCTAGTTTTATTCTTTATTTTTAGGTACTGTAGGCGTTTTTGCGCTACGCAATGCAATCAGAGTACGAGAATATATATACATTTGAGGCGAATTAAAGGGAAAAGACGAAATCGCGCAATGACAGAAGAGATGTCTGCATTGTACGTACACTCAACAAGACGCTTACCTCCTTGATCTGGTCCAAGGTAATATTGCGATTGATCTCAAACGGTATGACAACACCGTTTGGCATGAGGCACGTGAGTTCCACCACCAAGGGCTCATCCCCGGGCCTCTCCGCCCAAAAGTTGTATTTGTATGAGCTCGGTATGGCACCGTGCACCATGATGAATAGGAAAACTCGGAGCGACTCTTTATCAGGCACAAGTTAAACGAATCGCACGCACGTACGGTGGGCGAGCACCACGTACATACGTCGATCCACTTTCACATCACGGAAAGACGTCGTGGTGACGGGAGAGGCGTCAATCAAAAATAACTCCCCGACTATCGTCTGTGCCGTCTGATAAATCTCTGGTTCATCTTTCCCATTTGCGATGGGAAAGCTGCTGGCTGCCCGTGGCGCGAGATAGTTTCGTAACGTCCAAGAATTCGCGGTACAGTGGAAAGATATATATGTGTGCATATATGTATATATATAAATATATATGTACGTATATTTATATATATACATGTATCGCTATCTACTTCTCGCGGCGAGATACTTCGCGTCTGTTCGCGATGCAATCGCAGACGGATTCGCTTCGCATCCGCGAGATGCAACGGACCTCTTCCTTTTTTTTTTCCTTGCTTCCTTCAAACAGTACCGATATCTCGTACGCGTGCCAAGATACAAATAACCATTATCCACACGTAATAACAAAACATGGTTCCGCTATTATTTACCTCGCGTTCAATCAGCAGCAGCTGCTGCGAGCGGATGTCCTGTGAGATGCGCTTAAACATCCTTCGCGCAGGCTCGAGCCGCGCTCCGATTGGCTCTCTCGGTCGGATAATTTCTCGTATATTCCAGAAAATGTATTTCGGAAAAGAGAATCCTTTTATACATTAAATATATCGTCCTAAATATTCTGATTGGTCAATCGAAGCGTTCGTAACGTAATAAAAAAATAAATATAATGAATAAATAAATATAAAAGTAAATATAATGTAAAATACAATAAATATATAACGAATTAATTTAGATAAAAAATGAGGAAATAGACATATTTTAAAAAAATGTATAAACAAATAATCAATATATTGATTATTTGTTTATACATGTTTTTTAAATATATCTATTTCCTTATTTTTTATCTACATTTATTTGTTACGTATTTATTATATTTTATATCATTTATTTTTTCTCACCAATCAGAATATTTAGGACGAAGTTTCCTTAGCCCGATTGGAGGCCAAACGCCTCGTTTGTCATGTGAGAGCAACATTAGAGTCTGTTCTTTACAACTGAACTTTCTGCACCAGTGCATATGTCATACGTAATACATAATACGAATGTCACAGCGGTGAGATGATTCAATCAAATGCAGTTGACAAACAAGCTGGAGTGTTTCGAGTTCCTGACAAAAGGAAAATTGATTTGCGAAGAGCAAAGTAAAATCACTGCATTTGCAGAGCTTAGGATCACTCTCCTCCAGCGCGTAATTGAAGTGTTTTAAAATGAGATAACCAATCATCCAACAGCCGACACAAATAATAAGGGACATGTAAAATCATACACGCGAGCGAAGCAAAATTTTTATTACGTCTTAAGAAAAATTGTTTTACGTCGAAATGGAAAAAACGATCAATGGTAATCTTCTGTCGCTTATTCGACGATTTATCTTATCTCGATCTATCTATTATAACATTGAATGATATCACATGGTATAAAGACACAAATGTACTCTTTTATTGAATGAATTCTTCAAATGATTGTAATTTCCTTTTTTTTACCAGTGAATTCAATGGAGATGCGAAATACCTTGGGATTGATTACTATGTTGCTGCTTTTCGATGCTGCGACTTCGATATTGTCCTCTTCAGCATTTTCCCCGATTGTCATCCAGGCTAAATACGAACGAAGTTATCAAAGAACAACAAATGCTACTGTTGAATATGTGTTTTTGTATCCTGCCGCTAATGTAATTTTCGAATGAAATCGTCTCTCGATCGCATAATTATCTATTTCATCAATTTATTGTTAAAACTATAAATGACACATGCTTTTAGATATCTCTGGAAACTGCAAAGATAGAGATAGAAAGTAACGCGACGCACAATTTGCCATTGACAGTAATAGTGCGTCAAACGATAGGTATCCTATCTTGGCAGATACCCTTACTAGTCAATGGTGCAGATTCTGTAGTATATAATAAGACTAGTCGAATCTTATGCTCAACGAAATACTATCGATACGCACCAAAGGATGAAGAGGAATATATCAATGTTGCTATCTCTACAGCCAGTCATGAAAATGTCTTCTTTAATCTTAGTGTAGTGAAAGTAGAGGACTTTTATTTAAGGTATGTATAAATCAGATTGCTTGAGAAATATTGCAAAGAATTGTATGTTTGTCTGCAAATTCTTTATACAATAACATTTCTTTTTTTACAGTCCAGGAAATAAGAAGGTAGTAGAAATCTCTCCATCTGAGCCCATATATTATGGTTACATCTCGAAACAAGCTAATTCTTCCGTTATTGTTCGCGTCGAATCGGATAATGATATCTGCATGACTGTGTCTATACAAAATACATCGGTGAGTTGTAAATGATACTTTTGTTGAAAATAATGAAATGATAAATTTCCATTTCTCTTCTTTCTCTCGTAGTGTCCCGTGTTTGATTTAGAGCGAAATATTGAACTTTCTGGACATTGGCAGACCGTAAGCAGAAGAGGAGGTATTACAGTACCAGTGAGTAATATGTAAGATTATACTTACTTAGTGATTTTTTTTATGGGCATTTATTTGTATATTCCCGATGTAACATCGAATATATTTGCTACAGAGAGAGGCTTATCCTTCGGGATTCTTCGTCGTGCTTGTCGTCAAAGGAGAAGACACAGAGTGTAATGGGATATCCGAGAGTAGTCCTCTTCGTACGAAAAACGTTACATTAATTATAAATCCTACCATCAGCAAACAAGATTATATCGTTGCAACGGCATCAGCAGGAGCGATTGCATTGTGTTTTTGTATCTTTTACATAACGGCTGTGATAATGTTCAATATTAGAAAGAGCAGAGAGCTTATACAAGAGTCAATAAATGAACAAAACCAGGATATCAACGATTATGTACCGAGTCCCTCAATGACAAGAGAGGTAATTAATGTCAAGGAAACTTAAACTATGAAAAAAATAATAGACATATGTATATTTTTAAATAATAGACATATGTATATTTTTACATATATTCGTAATAATTTAAATGTGATTATGAAAACATTTCATCACAGGTCACATCTAAGCAATGGGACTCTGTGGAGGAAGATTCATCCCTAGATGAGGATGACATAGATCTAATGGAAGATGCTCTCTTTGACAAGGATGTAATACGAACAAAGATTGTTCTCTCAGTTTGCGATCTCGCTCGCAAAGAACCGCGGATATTGCGGCACAAATCTCGCTTATATCTGTATTATTTGATAACTGTGGCAGTATTCTACACGTTGCCAGTTGTCCAATTGGCAATAACATATCAGCGTGTGCTTCACACGACCGGCAATCAAGATATGTGTTACTATAATTTTCTATGTGCCCATCCGCTGGGTCTGTTATCCGATTTCAATCATGTATTCTCAAATTTTGGGTATTTTCTTCTGGGTTTACTATTTATATTTCTAACTTATTCTCGAGAACGCATGTCGGATGCGGATATGACGAAATGTTATGGCATACCGCAGCATTATGGTCTGTTTTATGCAATGGGTACGGCATTGATAATGGAAGGCATATTGTCGGCGAGTTATCACGTGTGCCCTAGTCGTAGTAATTTTCAATTTGGTAAGTAGCGACTGAGTAAAGTATATATATATTTTTTTATCGTCTCTTATTTGCTATATATATTTATCGATATTGATATTATTATGTTTTACAGATACTAGTTTTATGTACATAATAGCGGTGCTTTGCATGCTTAAGATCTATCAGAATCGTCATCCTGATATAAATGCCAGGGCACCGGTGACATTTGGGATTTTGGCGCTTATAATATTCATAGGATTAATCGGAGTTTTAAATGGTTCCACGTATTTCTGGGTGATATTCAGCATCTTGCATTTACTCATATGCTTTATTCTAACTGTACAGATATATTACATGGGACGATGCAAATTCAACAGAGGCGTTTTTAACAGAGTAATACAAGTATGTCTCTTTCTCTCTCCCTTTTTCTTTAATATTCTGTAACCGCTGCAAGACACTCTATTCCGTAGACATTCAAACATGACGCACGTTGCGGTATATGGCATTTACTCCGGCCGCTCTATCCCGCCAGATTTATAATGCTCGTGTTAGCGAATTTATGCAACGTGGGACTCGCGGTATTCGGAAATATGTATCACGAGGGAAATTTCGCAACGTTTTTACTAGCTATACTAATGTCTAATTTGATTTTATACACCTTTTTTTACATAGTAATGAAGGTATGTACATTTTCCTCGCTCTTTCTCTACTTTTTTCGCGATCTCGTATGGAAAATCAGAATCTTTTAATGCCCATTTATTACGAAAATCTTTTCAGCTCTGCCATAGAGAACGGATTCTTCTTACGCCTGGGATGTACATTGTCTTGTCCATGCTATTTTGGGGAGCAGCTCTGTACTTTTTCGTGAATAAGACTATATCCTGGGCTCTTACCCCAGCACAATCCCGTTTATATAATAAACCGTGCGAATTATTGAATTTTTTCGATTCTCACGATATCTGGCACTTTCTTTCAGCATTAGCAATGTTTTTTTCCTTCATGGTATTACTTACTTTGGACGACGATTTAACAGATGTACATCGTAGCCAAATACCTGTTTTTTGAAGATCTCTCTTTTATATGAATTTAAATTATATGTATTTTATACAACTTCTTTTTACAAAGCTGATCAAATATATACAATGTATAGTTTACTTGGATAATATTACCAAAAATTGTATAAAGCATATAAAAAACTTTCTCTCTTGTGATAGAAACGCGCTATTATTGTCTGCACGAAAGGATCGCGCATCGTGAAGTAACTTCGGAAGTAACTTATGTAAATGTAACTTATATAAATGGATATGAAATTATATATAAGTTTTCCTAGTTATAACTAAAGTATATAACAAGTTTTAAAATTGAAATTCTTTGATGACATTTTTTTAAGAGATATGGTTGAATTTAAAAAAAAAAACTATATACATCTTTCGCGCGAAAAAAAATATTAATGTTATATTATGCGCTCTTGTGGTACATATTATGAAACAACATAAGTATATTGTTTGTAAGATATAATCGCGTTTCTTTTGAAAAATATATGTGTATGTGTGTGTATTTGTATGTATGAGTTCGTGCACATGGATGTAATTATATACAAAATGCAGTACTTTTTAGTAACGCATGTTCTTCCATGTATGTAAATGTAGAATATCAAATTAAGAAAAGTAGTGTCTTATCATCAAAATGTTATCAGGGAATTGAAAATTAAAGAGTATTACGTGTTAAGATACCGTAATATATATAATGTTATAAATAAAATGTCGTTATAAATAAATAATATATTGAGTGTGTGGATTCTAATAACTTATTATATAATAAATTTGTATATATTTCTAGACTTGTGACAGATTAGAGAATGTTTCTAAAAAGTTTAAAAGTTGCGATAAAGAAATAATTAAAGCAACATGCGATATTTTAAGAATTTCGAATCTCATCAAATTGCGATGCAAATATAATCCATAGACTTGTCACAGAATGGCAGTGACACGCTTTTTTCTATTTCTTAAAATATTCATTTTCAAGAACATATGTATATATCGAACATTCTGTATTGAAAATTACGAGTAAAATTGTTCAACAAACTAATCTGATGCTATCTTGATATTTTTTCGAATACTTCTCAAACCTTTTAACCCTTATCAAGGGACTAAAACTATAGAGGTTCTTCGATCTATAATAGAAATGGAAGTTTATCGAAATCTTTGAAACATATCTATTTAAAGTATATCCTAACTTAATTAACCCTCGATAGTAGAGAGAGTATTTGTGAAAATTAATATGAATAATTATACGTCTTTGACAATAAATTGTACTATTGACGAGCATTTAATCAACTGGAATGAACGAAGCGTGCAAGTATGCTTACACGCGAAAAACGCTCAGGACAAAACATTCGTGTCTTGATGCTCTTGCCCCGTTGTCTCCAATTGCGATAAAGTTCTCTGCAATTCCGCTCGTTCATTCGGTTGCAATCTGTGGGCAATTTCCAAAACTGCGTCTAGTCTAATCTCCGGACAAGTGTCCAGAGCCTCCTTGATACGCGTCACCACCGCATCTCTCTTTACGCACGTTATATTACGCGACACGACACTATCATCCGTTTTACATTGTGCCTCTAACCAATAGGTCGCAGCCTCATCTTGATCCCACAAGTATGATTCCGTTGTTCCCTTATCCTCGATAAACCAACGTCGCAACATTGCTCCCACCTGTCTGACATCGAGACTCGGCTGCGTCGATAAGATCTCGTTTTTAATTTCCTCTTCCAGAAGCCTACGTCGTAGTCGCCAGTAAAATAATCGTCGCGCCATTTTCCATGGTATTATCTCTTGAATCGTGTTTTTTTCTAACATTCTCTCCGGCGTATCATGCAAATCGGCGAAATAAATGGCTACTTGACGATACATTGGTTCCAACATTTTCTCACGTTTACGAATCTGTGTTTCTAGCTCAAGTCGTTCCTCCGTCGTATTTACGGTTGACAATTTCTCCTAAAAAGATACATACATGTTACATAGACGAATTGACTTCACGCGAAATCATTGTATTTACCTTTAGCTTATGTATACCAGGATCGACTCTATGCATAGTTTTCACAATGTCCTTGTTTCGAAATTTAATTTCTACAATCCCCTCGGGTTCCAAGATGCCACCTCTACTGGTATTATCGGCAAACATCTCCATGCAACGAGGATTTATTGTAGGGTCCACGACAGCCCAAGCGCCACCTCTAAGTTCTCCATTCGGCGGGATATAAACGAATATCGGCTTGCAATATTGCCGTAGCCCGTCGACGATGTACGCGCCAAATTTGACAATTTGCTCGTACATATCTATAAAACAGAATGAGAGAATGATGATGCGAGAGACTGATAAGGATTAATAGAATGGCGATCGAAAGCTCACCCTTCATCCCTCCGGAGAAGCCTCTCCAATTAGCAAAGATAAAGAGCGGCAGTTCCTCCTTTCCGAAATCTTGGATAGCCTGTGCAGTTTTGTACGCGCTGTCCGGGAACCAAACCTGTCCCGCTTGAGATATAGTCTTAGCTTCGGAATCCAAATTGGCGGGATCGGCTGGCAAATGCAGTTCGACGGTCCTCGTTTCGACGGCAATAATGCCACAAGGTATACCACCGAGTCTGGCTCGTCCGGTCACTACCGTTTGCGCCCAAGGCCTCATTATTTCCTACTCGTAAAAGACAAAAGCGTATTAATGATACGAAATTTTGATGAAAAATGCGAGATAGAGAAAAAAAAACACTCACGTGCCAGGAGCCTCGGTCGAAAAAGCCACTTTCCCAAGCATTCGATTCGGTGCAGTATCTACCTTCTAACATCCATCTCGGATCGTAGGCCGTTTTCGTGGGCATGTAAGCGATTTCTCGCTCGATCGGGTCTGTGATGGGCAACATTATCGGTAACGGGGCACCCTTGCTTTTGGGGAAGTAAGTGAGCCACTTCAAGGCAGTCGCCACTCCGTCCAAGTCACGAGCATCGGTCGCGTGAGACACCCCATTGTTGTGCATAATCTGCGTGCCGCCCAGCTGATTGTTGCTGGCATAAACCTCGCGACCCAATACGGTATTCAACGCTCGATAACCAGTCAGAATAATATGCGAGTTCTCGATCTGTATCACTCTATGGCCCAGACGTACCACATAAGCGCCGATACCGATCGCGCGACACGACACTATAGAGATTGTAATTATGTCGTTGTAGGCTCGCGACGTTTCACCCGCGATCAGACCGGCGTGCTTAAGATTCTCTACTCCTATTCCGTCATCCTTGCCGATAATGTCCGTGATCCTGTAACGACTCTCGCCTGCGGGATCTTCGATCAGCGAGGCCTTCACCGAATTAAGAGATGCCAAGCGTGCGTAATCATCCGGCGTGAGATATATATATTTGAAACCCTTCTCCGGTTCGTTCTCGTCTTCCCACGCGATTCTGAAGAGAGCTTTCACTTCTTCAGCCATACCAATACGGGCGCCGGAATTGGCTCCGAAATATATCCGTGGACATCCGAGCTGTCTCGCTCTCTCAGAGGCTCTGCAAAACAGTAAATCTTCACGTATTCCGAAAGAGCCGATCATATACGTGATATCATTGGCGATAAGTATAATGTCCCGACCGAACGGACATTCCGGGGTGTACAGGGTCAACCGCCACGCGATCATGCCAACATCGTTTTCGCCCGGCAATCGTTTCTGCTCTACTAATTGTTCTCCGTCTAGCACCAACTCCACGACGTCTATCACCGGATTAGGAATCGCAATCGGATTCTGATCATCGATCAGTGATTTCTCTTCTACGTATTTCTGCCATAATTTCTCGGTTTGCTGTCGAAACATGTCTGGTAAATCATAAACGTAAGTGGTACCGGCGCTCTGCGCCTGGAACTTCTTTGCCTGGAGATAATCTTTGGTTAGATATGGTGTGGAGATTGGTAATCCATGCATAGGACCTGGTCTCCAATTCGCTGCATTCACCATTGTGGGTGGATAAGACTCGAAACGAATGATACCCGTCTTGGGATCGGTGGCCTCCGTGTAGAGATGCAAATCAATGCTATATCCGCTGTCGTTAGCGATACAGAGGCGTAGGTTGGAAGTTGGTTTCCCCGGCGCGGGTCGTATGGTCATTTTGATCTCCGCTTGTCGCACATGCAGCTTCCATAATCTTGGCCCATATCGCAATACCATGCTAGTTACACTCTCCTCTATTCTATTCGGGTCCATAATGACTGTGGGGACGAAATTCAAGAAGATGTGATTACACTCGGTACGTTTCGCGAGAGGATGCGAGAACGCAACTTCCAATTCGTCCATAGCCTCGAGCAGAACGCGTTCGCCCTCGTTGTGAAGATAATCGAAGCTGGCTTCTTTCGTGATAAGATCGGAGTGCCGTATAATCGAGCGAATGAAGAAACGATAATCGGTAACTTGCTGGCCTTTGGCGACCTTGGCTTGGCCGAGATACAAATGCATCTTCTGATTCGATGTCGGAAGCGCCTCGAGATCGTATGTTCGCATACGATTCAATTCCAATTGGAAGGCGCAACCTGGCTCGAGATGCCGATAGATCCTGTCCTCGACGAACCCTTCCCGTTGACGGAAAGTGAAGAATTTGGGGAACTGTCTCTTTTTGAGTGCGGCGAACGTCACTCTACGGATGCCGCGGGATATCAATTCTTCTTTGTTGTTGGCGCACCAATCTCCAAACATTCGGGCCATAGTAGCGTCATCCTCGGTGCCGCTTTCCTTGACCGCGATACTCAATATATGAATCGGTTCGATGGATTTATCGTTGGTCGTCGTCGCTGTCGACGCGGTTATTCCATCCGCCGCCACGCTCAAGGACACGTTGATAGATGTGCTGTGCCGCGATTCGCTGCCGGCAGCGTCCACCGCCTCCAACAATTTAGCGGACATTACCGGTGTAGGGCTCGATAAGTCTTCCAACAAATCCAAGACCTCATCCGCGTATTGGCTGAATTGCTCGAGATCTTGGAAAGCCACCATCGCGCCGGATCTATAATCCACCAAAGATTGATTCTGACGATTTGGATGATTGGTAGGCAAAACGAACTGGAAATATACTAGCGGAATCTCTCCGGATAATTCCAAATGTTGCAAACATGTAAGATCGTAACTAACATAAGCTCGTCGCACATAAACTTCTAAGGCGGCATTGCACACCGCGCGATTAGTATGATAGAAAAAGTCGTGAAGAATGTCAAAGATGGATGTTTCCGAGAGAATGAGTTTCTGCAAGTTCTCCGGATGGAAGTCATGCCCGTACATATCCACTGCCGAGAGAAATATCGACTCCATTTGATTGTGTCTGAGTTCGTAGGCGGGTTGATGGGCGGCGATCAACACTTGTCTGGCTCTCAGCGCGACGCGACTGTGTTCCGTGCGATTTAGACTGGTCAATTCAGTCAATGTGTTTGAAAGCTCATCGGTAAGACCGGGTTCGTTGGCCCACAAATGATCGATCAACATAGTCACCAAGACATTCTTTTTTGTTACTTGATTATGACTGAAAATCATACCAGTGACGGTCGCTACATCGTCCTTGTATTTCTCTATTAGTGCGGAAACGCACTTGTCATAATGACCTTGTTGAAACTGACTCTCGACCATGTAATACTGTCGCAGTAGTTCGTGCACGGCCGTCTTCATTCGACCACGTATACCATTTCGATATCTTTGTACCAATTGCACGATGGCTTGGGTCGTCAAGAAGAATACATCGCGTTCGGCTCTTTTGGATAGAGTCGCCGCGTGTCCGTCTATCACAGCGGCAATCTGTTGACTAGGAAATTGGGCTAAGATCGATGTGATATTTCGTTCGTATAACGACATCAATTTGCGAATTTTTTTCTCCACAGAGATGGGAATTCTGCCGGATATCGTCGCGATCACTTCTTGCAATTCCAATAACGGTAAGTTGGGATCGCGTAACGAGCACATGAATTTCTCGATTAGCTCTCGCAAACGTGGCAAATGATACGGATCCGGCAGACAGTATCCCGCTAATGTATTTTCCAAAGCATTTCGATACTTGGCGTGGAGATGGTTCAATTTCTCCGGTACGGCGAGCACCGCTGCCGTTGTGAACTGTCCCGTATAATCTTGCGCTTTTGTTACCAGTGATGGATCGTCCAATTCGAGATGCGCGATCAGGGTTCCGGCTTCCAGTATTGCGCCAGGTCTTTTCACGTAAAAGACGCTACCCGCTTCGCTGGCAGTAACGGTCATGACCATTTTCATTACTTCGATTTCAGCGTACGCCTGACCGGCGCCCACATGACCGCCATCATCGATCAAAAAATTTATTAGCTTGCCAGCCGATGGCGATCTTAGTAAGGATGGGTCGTTGTCTTTTTCAAAGATGCATGTTTGATTTCCCAACATGATCCTATAACGATCCACTTCCTCTCGCATGTAAGTCGTAAAACTCGCACCGTCCAATGAAAGCAGTAAACCTCCGTCCGACATACGATGAATATCCACCTCTTTGTAAGAACCGTTCATCACAAGAAAATAGTTATTGGGACCGGATTTAGCAGCTTGTACTTTATACTTGTATCCATCATTGATAAGCTCTACCTGCAACATAAAGTAAATGAAATATTTGAAAGTACATTATATAACGCATCACTTTCGAAAAAATGATTGTTGCATATTACATGATCAACATCGAGCAGGAAACTTACGTCGACAACGTTGTTTAAATCATTGCTAGCCTGTATTTGGCCCTTTTCCAAAGCTGTCTGAAATCCGGTGAAACCGGCCGTGATTATTCTATCGGCGATATGAAGCGCTCCGCAGGTGACAGCCAGTAAAACATCCGGCTTATCACTGCGAATACGTTCCGCGATCAACAAATCGAGCCAAGCGGTATCTATGTTATTCTGTTGAAAGGATTCCGTTTCCAGAAGAGTGATGAGATACTCGACCGTGGTTCTAAAGTCACCCCTGATACTTAATTCTTTCAGGGCCACAACTAAATTTTCTCTAGCCTGATTGCGGTCTTCGCCCCACGAGAAGCAATGACCGAATTGTGAGTCAGCGAACTCGTGGAGTCCTCCCGAAGCACCGACTGAAAAGTAACCCCATACGTTTTTCGATGATCGAAAATTCAACTCCTGCACCGTACCGGAACTCGGTTTAAAGCCTAAAAATATCCAAGCCAAGTTGTAATTTAGTCATCAGTATATAATATAGTATTTTCATACGTAAAGGAGAAGTGATCTTACCTTCATCAGGATTTTCACTAGTGATTCTAGCTGCGATAACGTGGCCCCATGGTTGAGGCTTATGACGCGGCTGATCAAAGTCGATCGGATTGTCGCCCCAGGGATTTTCGCCATATAAGAGACGTATATCCTTGATGTGGTGTAACGGCAGACCCATTGCTATTTGTAACTGAGCCGCTGGCAAGTTCACGTCCGATACCATTTCGGTGCAAGGATGTTCTACTTGAAGACGCGGATTCAATTCCAAGAAATAATATCTGCCGGCCGTGTCGTACAGATATTCCACAGTACCCGCGCTGACATATCCTACCATTTTTGCTAATCTCACAGCAGCCTGTTCGTAGTAGTTTGAAGATTAATAGCGCAATTAATCGATCAATTAATCATATCATTAACGGTATTTATTTATTTACTTTTTCCATCTCTTCGAAAACCTCCGACTTGGCGATCACGACCGGCGCTTCCTCGATAATTTTTTGATGTCTTCTTTGAATAGAGCAATCACGTCCAAACAGCGATATCGCGTTACCATAATTATCAGCTAGTAATTGCACTTCCAAGTGACGAGCGCATTTGGCCAGTTTCATAATAAATATCGGCGAGCCGGATATTTCAGTCTGCACTTGTCTAAATATTAGAAGCAATGAAAACGGATGTAAGGAAAAATCTCTGTGGCAATTTTGACGTTTACCTGAATAAAGCGGGTAACTCCTCGGCGTTTTCAACTTTCCTGATTCCTTTACCACCACCACCCTCACTCGCCTTCACCATGATCGGAAAGCCGATCTTGTTGGCTGCCGCCAGACATTCTTCCACAGTGGCGACGCATCCTTTTTTAAAAAGTTCCGATGATATTTTAATCTTTTTCCCGCTGTAATGCGCTGTCAATTCCGATCCTGACCAAGGAAGGGTCGGCACGTCTGCAGTTTGAGCGACTATGCTGGATGCGATTTTGTCACCTAAAGCCCACATGGCTCTCTCGGACGGTCCTGCCAAGGAAATGTAAAAGAATATAAATGTCCATCGACATAAAACTGCGCGAATGTGTTTTGAAAAAGTTTCGCAGGAAAAACTTGTATCATGGAACGATAATGTTTAGTACAATATTCGGTACAGCCAAAGAGAAAGCGAGAAAGACGTATTTCTCTTTTTCATTGAAAAATCTAATTTGTTATATCTTTTTTTTTATACCAATAAAGCAGATGTTATTTTTATGGAGCAATTCCGGAAGTTTCGGATTTTCCGAAGCGTGGCCCCATCCGGCCCAAACTGCATGGACCTGAGTACGTGTCGCGATATCGACAATCAATTCCACATTAGCGTAATTGTTGTTGTTGGTCCCACCCGGTACTGGCACGTACTGATCTGCCATTTTGATGTATTCCGCGTTCGCCTTTAGATCTTCCGGCGTGACCATCACCACGAAACGCACAGCCCTCTCGTTCTTAAACATCTCGTACGACCAGCGTCGAATCGATCGCATGCATTTAACCGCCGCGATACCATTGTTGGCGATCAGCACCTAGAAACAATTCAACCGTAAAGATCCAAGATTGCAGTATCAATGCTCGACAATTGTCTTTGCGCTTTAGATCGCTCTGAGCATTATTTAGAGTTTACATTTTACCTTGTTGATAACCCTGGTGCCTCCGAAACGATGGACAAATTCTTCGGGAGTCGCGACAGTGAAGTCCTTTTCTTGAAGCCGATTTTGCGTTTGAATCATCACCGTACCCTGCGACATGCTGGGCCTATCAAATCATATATATATATGTATAAGTATGTATAAGTAAATGTATTATATTATAATTTATCTTATCATAATTTATCATATTTTTTAATTTTATATGTACATATAAATTATATATTTTAAATATATATTTTATATATAATATATAATTTTTATATGTATATATAATTAAATATATATTTTATATTTTCCATAATTTTTTCGAATTTTATGCATATACAGAAAAAAGAATATTTATTAAGATATATACATTTCCTATTCAAGAAAAATAAATATAAATGTATAGATGCATAAAGAATAGAATATTATGTGTAGTTAAATGAAAATATATATATATATATATATATATATATATATTTTTTTTATCGCGAAATTAATAAGTATCATTATATACACGTTCCGCATTTGAACGAATATTTCATAAAAGAATACATAAGTATATCGCATAAAGTATGTCGACCGATTGTTTGTCTTTCTCCTTTTACTCAATTCGATAGATTGTCTGATATTCGATTATTTTCCTCACAGCATCGATTAAAATCTCTTCTCGAGATTCGCTTGTTGATTTGCGACATCTGTTTGTATGTACATCCGCAAAGTGAAAAATGATTACGTTGATTCTAAAGCTGGTAGATGGTTCACTTTCTCCGTGTCCGCTGTGTTCTCTACCACATCGAGTCCATCATTCTTTGCGTGCAGGCTCGTCTTACGCATCAACAAATTGTCCGAGCTCTTCCAATTTTTATCCTTCTCCGTATTTTGCGCCAAGACAAATCTCTTCATCCGCTTCATCTCGATGACTCCCGATTTAAAATTGATTCAGATATTATGAACACGCGAAATGCAGGACGATAAACCGAACAGTTTCATGCACAATCATCAAATCAGCATGAGATCATCTTGACTTTGTTTTTTATTTTAATACTTCTTTTCTAAATTGTAATAAATGGAACCTTGGGATACACAAATAATCTTACAAACTATCTCAAATTTTACGTATATCGATTTTATTTTTTTTTTTGCACGCGTACTTTTTTACGTATATATCTTTACGTCATCGTAAAATATTATCGCTCCACTCGTCATTAACATTTCTGCTGCATAACTAAAATATTGTAAAAAAATATTAGCGAGCAAAATTTAAACAAGGAAAATCGAATGATGAAATAAGCGAAACGTAATTTATTGTTAAATATTTTTAAACCGACAGATTCGATTTTTCTTAAATACGAGACATCTACAATCTCCCGGCGATATTTATTTTATCGTTTCATTATCGTGAAACTACGGAAAATATTTTTACATCGAGACAGAGTGTAGATTTTACGCGACTGAATCGCAAAATTTTGTCTTTTACGTAGTTGAAAAATAAGAAGGAATAAAAAGAACGATAAAATGATGACGAATAACGTGTAACACTTGTTTTAGCCGTCGTTGACCGTCTCGTTAGAAAGGCGAGCGTTCACTGATGAGTACAAGTTTCTATCCAATTTATTATCCTTGCTTACAACGAATTCCCCTACCTTTTTACGTGATGTTAGAGATCTTTATGATTATTTTTTTTTATTAAATAGCACATTGAAATAAAAAGATGTGAACCGGTTGTAAATATTCCTTCTTTTTTCTTCATAAAAGAATTATAATCATCGCATGACGTAAAGGATAAAATATACATGCACATATATTTTGTCCGATATATTTTAAAACCGACAAGTTCGATTTTTTTTAAATACGAGACAGTTACAATCTCCCGGTATTTGCAGTATTTATTCGATTATTTATTACATATAATTTGTTATGAAATATCTTCCTTTATTCTTGAATATCGAAATACGAGGAATTCTTCGACTCGAAAGATCAAATAAGAATAAAATGTTTTTATCGCGATAATTGAGAGTTTCTACGTCGGTACAACTTTATTTTAAATGAAAAAATTGATTTCTTCAAACCAGTTTTTTTTTTCAAATTGAGCAATTATCGAGATATTTGAATAAGATAAGAAAAGTATTAATTTATAATAATTGATATGCCTAATAATTAATTTATCATAATCATTAAATTAATCCTAAAAAATGAAAAATTTTGAAATATTATATAATATTTCGAAAAATATTCGCACACTTTTTTTGTCGAATTCATCTTAATATTTTCATTAGATGTAAATTTATACGTTACACGAAATATATACACGTCAGCATAAAAAAATTGCATAACACGTTGATATGATACATGTTATATGTTCAGAATTTGCTTATCAAGCTTGTTCATGCGTCTGCATGGAATAAAAAGCTATCGTCATCAATTATTGAAACATTATAAATCAGTTATTATTAAATTGTTGAAGGCCTTAAATTTTTTTGTCGGACTCTCTTTCCGTTGCTCTTTCATACGGCCGTCACGTGTTTATGCTAAAATGATAATAAATAAAGATTACGAGTTCGTAAACTATGCGCGGTTACGCTTTCTGCTCTAGGAAGACTCGTAGAGTAAATGCAAATGCGAATATGTTATGTAATATTTTCTCCGTTCGCGATATCTCTCGGATAAAAAGGGAGATGACCTGATTTTTCGGCTCTACATTTTTTTCGCTTTCTCTAAAACTATTCTCCGCTCTTTCTCTAACGAAGATTTACGTACATATTACGTACATCATACATCAAAAATCGCGTCCTATTTACCTTATTTTATAGACTTGCATAATTTGCATATATATGAAACAAGAAGCATGACAGAAGGAAAGAAATCAATTTCTTTTGCTTCGCGCGTTATCAGCTGTTTCGAGGTGTCTCTTGATCCAATAATCATAAGGTCGAGTCGAAGAAGTCAGAGTGTAATCTGTCAAAGTAAACTCGAATATTAATTTTTATTTAAATTTATTTAAATACGAATATAATAACGGTCTTGAGAGAACGTGCGCACATGCCGCATACTTATATAAATCTTTAGGAAAAAAAGTATTTTTTTTCAACACCAAATAGACTCGCGTATAATCACGTGAAGTCTGTCTGAATATTCAAGCAGTCAGGATCAAGGGGTCGCAGAGGTGAAAAAGACACACAGTGCCGGAGAGAGAAAATGTCCACGTTCACGTTCCTTCTTCGCCTCGTCGATTCATAAATATAACGGTATTTGCGCTCATGAATTGCGTAAGCGACGCACAAATTTGCGGATTTTCGGCGATTCAGATTTTCCCGATATTAAATTATCTAGATGGCGGAAACAATGTATATCCGCTGGGGCGACGATGACGAGGATGACTTGTCGAGTTAACGTCTCTTGTGGCATGGATAGAGAATCCTTACGAGAATCCTTATCCTCCAGAGAATTCGCTCGTTATTTTATGACGGAAGCACAATCACCTGAGACGCCTACGGCGCTCTAGCAGTCCTGGGGTGACATTGGTTTGCACCTGCGAATTGGCGCTTTCGCTCCCCTCGCTCGGGAAGCTATCCTCGATCTCCTGCACCTCGCTAGGATCGGGATCGGGATCGAGCTCGGGCTCCCCGACGACAAAGCTCACCGGTGCCTCCGACATCTCTCTCGCGCAAACGAACCCTGGGGAAGGACCGAGACAGTCGATGATCTCCTGACTGGAATCTCCCGTCGAAGAATCGCACTCCGTTCCCTCCGCGCTCTCCGTGTTACCTTCAACACACATAATCGCCATATATGCCCTTGATTCGAGATCGAACGACTCGCGAAGACTCGCCATGTCGCTTTGGAGATGACAAAATAGTCTCCCTCTCGGAGAGAAGGATACAAGTTGAACAAGTTGGGAAGCGAAAGAAAGAGGAAAGAGAAGAAGAAGCGTATCGCGTACACACCGTGACTATCACTCGTTGAAGGAGAGAATACACGTAGGTACACAGAAAAAAAGGACATTCTCTGTTTTGAAAATATATATTTAGTTTCATGAAAATTTTGACATAAGATTATATCGCGTTAATTTAAGAAAAATATAATTGCTTACTCGAAGGAAGCCATTTTGTATAGTCCAATCGAGAAAAATATATTATCACGAGATTTAATTGTCTTGAATGGAAAAGAAACAATGTTGGATAGAAAATAGCATTTTTAAATCAAAGATTATAATTTTCTTAAAATAGAATTAAATAAATTAATACTGTTTTATTTGATAATATTGTTGAAACTTAAAATTATTAAATTCTTCCAAGAAAATTAAAAACTGTCTATATACGAAACAATGAACGCGTTAGTTTAAGTATACAAGTTTTCACTTGACTCTTCTCTTTTTTTTGTGTACGACGCGCGCACGATGCGTGGGATATTAAAAAAATGCCAATTATATGAGGGAGATTAGAGATTTGGAGAAATACCGAAAAAGAAGGAGCCCAGAAGACGGCGTAGCATACAGCCTACGTTGTTCGCCTCGACGCCGCTTCTCCTCCTACGTCGAGTGACATCTAAGAACGGAGCGCGGATGCGGTTCCTTCCTCCTGGCCGAGTCGCCTGGGTAGAAAATCACCGGACTAAGGGAGGCCCAAGACTGGATCGCGCGTTTCGCACCGACTCGCCGGGAGTGTCGAAATTGATACACGTTTGCAATAAAGCCACTGTAGCAAGTGGCGCGATATCGTACGAGTGGACGCGAGCCGAGCTCAAGTGGGTTCAAGGGTCGTTGCGTCACATCGTCTCCAGTGTCACGACGATCCCGAGGTCATTTTACGACGATTGATTCCTCTACACGCGACTCTTTCGTGCTGTCGCTTTCGCTCCGGTCGATCTTGAACTGAGCGGGTCGATCTTGGCGACCTTACGAGAAGACTTCCCGAATTGATCGATCATCTCTCCGAGAAATGATGTTCTTCATTTATCTCCTTGAAATTTTATCCGCTAATCTCTCAATCAACGATGCTCGCTTCTACCTACAACGTATAAGCGCGTCTCCAAACGTGTCTCATGTTTATTTCAAGGACTTTTTCACGAACTGCGAATGCAATCGTTCTTACATAGAGGAAGATATATAATATGCAGCTTGACGAGCAAAGTTGACGCGTAAGTTGTTTTGAATTTTTCAAAGAACGCTTTATTCAGAGGACGTGATAAATGAAAAATGAGAATTTCAGTAATATATTTATGTAAATGAAAGTCAAAGTCAGCAGAAGACGTACATTGTGCAGAAAATGAATATTCATTAACGCGATTAGAATCAAGAATTCTCGTGCTTGCGTTTTATGCGAAAATTATCGTTTACCTAAGATCAGGTTGTACTAAACTATTTCAAGTGAGATTTAAATACTTGCATATACATCTTTATCCTTCTCTCGAAATAAAAACACATAATTAAGTCTCGTTTAAGGCTTGAATAACATTAGGAATAAATGAAATACATTAAGGATGTTTCGTATCTATTTTCAAAATATTGAGAATTTAATGAAAATTGTACAGAATGTCTTTACGTATGTTTAGAATCTTCAGGACAATTTTTAATCGATTCAAAGCGTTCACAAGTTATAAGGATTTTAATTTGTACCGAATTAACACGTGTTCTTATAGGAAACGTATAATCACGTTGATTCAAATGACAAAAACACATGGAAATAATATTCAGAATTTGTTTAAAATTTGCAAAAGTGTAATTTAGATACAGAGAAAATATTTGGTCAAAAATATTAAACAAATATTTGGTCAAATAATATTAAACAAATACTAACTGGTTAAAAAGATATTAAATATAATTCAATGAAATTAGCCATGTATCTGAAACAAGGCGAAATTCTCTGCCAAAAGTTAATCATTTCGATTAACAAAATTTAGAATATTTCAGGAAAAACGCAATAAATATTAAAAAATACATTTCTGCACTGTAGCTAAGAAATAATATTCCACGTCATTTTTCATACTCAAAATACACCAAAAGTGTATATATTCGTCAATATTGATTTCCGCTATTTTTTGCTGGGATTGTACATACAAAGCATCCTTAAATCTAACGCGCCTTATCTTTTTCAAGGAAAAAACCGAAGCAGCTCGGTAATCTGTTTTCCTTTCGGGAAAAATTACTTATCGAGAAATATTCAGGACACGTGCGTACATATATATCATACACTTAAAGACTATCATACAGCTACCACGACTTTTTCTAAGTATAATATATACGTATACATTTCGAAAACGATGGCGCGGTGTTTATATAGATTTTCGCGAGGCGAGGCTGTCAAAAAAAAAATGAACGGGAGGCGGCGATTGGCCGAGCGGAGTGTCAGGCGACGCGTCGGCGACGGCGATTGGCTCGCGCGACGCGGCACGATCATCTGCTGCGCGCGCGCGCGCGCCCCGCCGACGATTTCAACGGAGCGAAATCACGCTCCCTCGATTATCTCTGCCCCGTCATCCCGGAGTACGAACCTCCGGAATTCCTCGCGTTACTCGAGCACGTGCTACTCGCGCGCGCGAACGCAACGCAGACTCACCGGTGACGAATCTTGCGCGGCGGGATGGCCCGCACCTGCTTGAGGTTAGGTTCGTCGCTCCGTTCGTGTTCTGTCATTCGAGTCGCTCGCTGTCACGCTGGTCTCCGCGAAAAAGTCAGTCCGCCTCGATTTTACCACCGTCTTGAGTACTCGTCAAACTTGATTTTATCTCGTTTTCTTTTACTTTCGCGAATCGCGAAATCTCTCCTCGCGCGGGCGTTTCTGGCCCGGGTCGCGCGATTCCTTTTTCTTCTCCCTCCCCTTTTTTCCCTCGCACACGCGATCTCTGCCACTGACGTATTTTATGGAGAAACTGGAAAATCTGACGCGTGTGTCGACACCGCTCTCGTGTCCTCTTCCTCTCGCACCTTCCGGTCGTCGCGTGATTTCTGCGCTCGTTTTTATCGGTTGGCGATGCACGTGTCTGTCAGACAGGTGTCGTGAAAACTCGGCGAGGCGCTAGGGTAGTTATCCCATGCGGCGACTAGAGGTCGGGATTTGACAGGCGCCCTACTTGACAGGTCTCGAGTCGCACTGAGTATCGATATATAAGCCGCCGAATCGTATATCGCGTCTGGCGACAAATTTATTTATATCTTTACATAATGAATATGCAAAAATATATTCCTTGACGCGTGGTTTGCTTATCTTCATTTCCTGGTAAATAACATTTCCATCATTTATCGCTCATCTAAAAGTAATTCGCGTTTGTAAAAAAATCTTTAATTCATTGGCACTTATCCTTACTTTGTCATGTCATTGATGCATAATCGAGTTTGACATCGCAGGCTAAAGTCACATCGCAGAGGCGTAGATCGAAAGAATCATGGACGAACCTGACAAAGACTTGAAATCTTGTTTAATCTTGAGCGTCGCGTTAAGTAAAATCATCAAGCACACTGTAAACAAGGAATTTCGAGATGAATGTTTCAAAGAGTTGAAGGTTGACAACAGCCTTGGCGCGCAAACAGCTCTCGAAGCCAATTTGTCGTCGATCGTGTGTCATCCTAGCCAATTTACTCAAGAGCAACGGAAATCGATGAAAAATAAGAAAACGAAGGAATCGAGAGATGACAAAACCCAATAAACATTCCCTAAATTAACTAAATTAATTAATTTTTTTATTTATTCTTTCTCTTCCATACGGAATATTGCAGCAATATATTATTAATATTAATATATATATTATTAATTATATTATTATTATTATTATTATTATTAATTATATTATTATTATTTATATTATTTTGTTGTAACATTGCAATAACATTGCAATATTGCTGCAACATTCTGTGCTGTATGGGCTTCACGGCCGATTTAGAGGGAAGGGGGGGGCAACAGGAACTGAAGCTCACACCTTTGAATCCGACCCTGATGGGCTTTAATAGAGAATATTGAAATATACATAGATATATGTTTCCCCTATTGCAACATATCAGGAGAGACGTTATAGCAAACGTTTCTTACTTTAAATAATAAATAAATAAATAATGCAATCCAACGAAAATATAAAGAAATAAGCGTCAATCGCGCAACGTTGCGGCAATATTGTTACAACGATATTAATAATATTGCCGCGATATTCAGTGCTGTGGGAATAGTTGGCAACATTTATGACAGACGCGTCAGGTTAGGTCGCGCCGAGCCAGATGGGGGTTAGGCTTATGCTAGGTCAGGAGTAGGTGGATAGGTAGAAATAGACGAGGTAAGGATAGGTAGGTAGGTGGATATACGTAGGTCGGTGGGTGGGCGGTGCAACGAAAGAAGCGTCTCGGAGTCGCGGAGAGTCCGGCGAGGATCGGCGAAGGTCGGGAACGCGATTGACGGTGATGAGGCGCGGTGGAAACGGCCGAGCAACCGCGACGAGGTAGCCCAGCTTGGCTACGTCTCTCGACGTGTCTCCTCGATGTCGCCTCGGTAGAGGTGGCGAAGACGCGACAGGCCAATGGAGACGGATAGATACGCGGCTCGGGCCCTCGTACGCTCCTCTCCGAGATGAAGCATCCGGCTGACAGAGGTTCTCAAATCGGGAGCGCCGTTCGAGTGGGTATCTTGAATCTTGACGCGTGGTTCTCTCTCTCTCTTTCCCTCCGAGTCTGTCGGTAAAGTTGTCGAGCGAGAGTGCGGCCCTGCTCGTGGAGTGGCATCAATTTGGCGCTTGGCGTCGCGTCGCGATCGCGCCGGCTCGTCTTCCTCCCCCCCCCCCCGGGTCCTAGCCTCGTTCGGGCGTTGGGTGTGTTGGAAGAAAAAGAAGGAGAGCGGGAGAGAGAGAGTGAGAGAGAGAGAGAGAGAGAGAGATCGCTCGTGACATAATAGCTCCGTTATTTCCCCCGTGGAGAGGATTTAGTCCGCACGCAGGGTGGCGGACGGGAAGGAGGAGAGGGGGAAGTTGCGGAGAGCCAGCTGTTCTCCCGTGCAGAGGAGAGGCTTCGCGGACTTTTGCCGGTGTGTGCGCGGGGAGATCCGATATCGCCTCTCCTTCCTTCGCTCCTCGCTTCGCTCGCGTCGCGATGTAAATATACGCGGCGTATACCGTTTCGAGTCGCGTGCCCGCGCGGATCCGCTAGGCTTTATTACGGTGCGGTTCTCGCGAGCCGCTAATCTCGACATATGGCCGTAACGGCTCCGTTTGACGCCGAGAACCGAGGGAGAGAGGCTTTCCTCGATCCCGGGATATTAAAAGCTTAACCCTTCTTGTACGTGTGCGCGTGTACGTGTGTGCTTTTCGGGTTATTGGCACTTTGGCGCGCGCACGATACAATAGACTCGCCTTCCCGAATACGCGATTCCGTTCGATACGTTTTTACGTCTTAAAATATCGAGCGATATTCCAGTGAAATTGTTGTCCGGAAGCTGATGGGGGTTGGAGCGATGGAGTTTGTTTATCTCGCTCTCGTCCGCGAAACGGAATCGTAGTTGAAGTGTTTCGCTTGGAATTTTTTCGTCGTATTTTTATTCTCTGCGGGCTTCGTCGCGCGATTACGCGACACGCGGTATGTGTTTGGCGAGTCATTAGGGAGAAAAAAGGGTCGCAGCCGGATCTCGTTTCATTCATGAAAAACAGATGTTTCCTGCCGCGAACGTACATTCGTGTTTGTAGATGCACTTGTAGACATCAGTGTGTGCTATTGCTTTCTCGTGGAATTTTTATCGCCTTTTTACCCTAATAATAATAATAATCTGTTATTTAGAAGAAATGTATCGTCAGAAATTAATGTAGCGTTGAAAGCTGTCATTCTTTGGGAGATGCGAATCAAATACTTTCATCTGATCTCTCTTCTGTAGGTCTTTCATGAAATAATAACGTTACGTTTGTTTTTAAAGAAACTGCAAGAGAGGCAATGGCTCGATTGAGAGGGATGTAAAGACTTGCTGTGACGTGTGGCAAGTCGTGTCAAAGGCCTGGATCCTTGTCCTCCTCGTCCTGGTTCGTAGAAAGGCTATAAAACATGCCTGGACCATCGACGCAAGAGAGACCCCGTGCGCATCGGCTCACAGACATCGAGTCTCAGGCAGCAAAGGTTGAATAATTTCTAATACTTTATCTAAAGTATCTCTATGTAATTGTAGAACAAGTTTGTGATAGAATTCATGATGCCAAGTAGCTGTGTTAGTCAAGCATAGATGAATCGTAAAATGGTAAATTGCAAGACATATGTTCCCTGATAAAAGTTTACTCAGTCACAGCTGGATAGATTTGTGTGCACAATATATATCATTTTGTTTAAATAATTGCATTGCATAGACTCGTTAAATTTGTTATCCTCTATCATAAACTTACAAAGATGGTATGTCAACGTCAACTCATATTTTTGCGAATGGAATTGCAGGGTCTGGGTGGTAATCGGACGGACGATTTCAGCACACCTGTTAGCTCTGGCAGCAATATGAGTGGTATCGCGCGCTTTCCAAAACTCGACGAGTGCGCTCACTTTCATTACGAGCATGTCGAGCTCGGCACTTTGGAGGTAAGATGCTAAATGCGCGAGATACGCGGAGGAATGTGATTCAAGATACGACTCGGCTTTCAGGTATCCATCAACGAAGGGCCCACAAACGATTCTGAGAGTTACGCCGTTCGAATAACGTCCGGAGACGCGTGCTGGACGTTACAGAGATCTTACGACAACTTCGTCATGTTCGATAAACAACTGCATCGCTGCATATTCGATAGAAAATTCTCCTCCTTAACGAAGCTTCCAGATGTTCGGCCAAAAAATGCCTGTGATATACTGAAGGATTACTTGAGCCGGTTCTCGCAATTGAATCACGAGGGTCTAAACTGTGGTCCAGTGTTGAATTGGTTGCAACTCGATAATCGAGGGAGAAGAATCCTGGTACCCGAGTCGGATTCTTGTCCTATAAATACCCCGGCTGTCGCCGCGGCATACGCCGTGAGGCCTTACGTCGCTCAGGCGCAAGATGAAATCTCCTTCCAGGTAATTTCTTCAACTAGAACATTTTCGCTTAGACCGTTTGTAGTTAAATGCAAACTATACATTACTTGGGCGATGACTGATCGAAGCGTAATTTACGTGACAAACAGGTAGGCGATATGATATCCGTCATAGACATGCCTCCGGCGGGAGAAAGTACGTGGTGGCGCGGGAAGCATGGGTTTGCGGTTGGATTTTTTCCAGCCGAGTGCGTTGCCGTAATCGGTGACAAGGTACCGCGTCATCTGACAGTTTCCACGACAGTCAGATCGAAATTACCTGTAAAGCCTGTGCTGCGAAAACACGGCAAATTGATCGCCTTCTTCAGATCTTTCATATTGAATCGACCCTCGAGGAGAAGATTGAAACAATCGGGCATACTGCGGGAGCGTGTATTCGGTTGTGACTTGGGGGAACATTTGCTAAACTCTGGTCAAGATGGTATAAAAATGTTGATCATTTTTTATTTAGATATATATCATCAGTCATGAAGAAGAGGAGAAAGGGATTATTTATTTTTCGTAGTGCCTACCGTTTTGACATGCTGCGCGGAATTTATAGAGAAACATGGTCTGGTCGATGGTATATATCGTCTCAGCGGCGTCACGTCCAACATTCAAAAATTGCGGAACGCTTTCGATGAAGATCGGGTTCCGGCATTGCATTCCGACGAGAGTATTCTGCAAGATATTCATTCGGTGGCATCGTTGTTAAAGATGTACTTCAGAGAGCTGCCAAATCCACTGTGCACCTATCAGCTTTACTCCACTTTCGTTAACGCGGTTCAAGCTAGCAGCGACGCTGAAAGATTGAGACGTATGAGAGATGCAGTTAGAAAGTTACCGCCACCTCATTACAGGTATTTATTTCATTTCTCGCTTTGTCACGCTTTTCTATTTCGTCGATGTGGGAGAAATGGTATAATTTATTTTAAAATTAATTTTTTTTGTATATGCGCCCAGGACACTAGAATATCTCATGCGTCATTTGGTAAGAGTAGCAGCGCGAGGCACGGAAACAGGTATGACGCCGCGCAACGTGGCCATTGTTTGGGCACCGAATCTTTTGAGATGCAAGGAACTGGAAGTGGGTGGCGTAGCGGCGCTTCAAGGTGTCGGTGTCCAGGCGGTCGTGACGGAATTTCTAGTCTGCTATGCGGAGCTCATATTCGGGGATGGTCCTGTCGGCAGACCAAAGTCATTGGCAATCACCACGTCCGCGCGATTGCTCACTTTGGAGGAAGCGCGCAATAGAAGCCTCAGAGGTGAACCCGATTATATAGAAGTAGGAGCTGGACCGGCCGGCTTACCGTTGCGCTATCACACGGTCATAGAATTGCCTCGCAAGAGGAATGGTTCAAAGCGTTCACCTTCGCTAAATTGGAGGGCATTGTTCGGCAGAGGGGCTGTGGGGAAAACGAGACAGATCGGTACGCCGCCACAAGTAGAAACAGTGCCAAGTTCCTTAAATTCCCTGCGACGGCTGAGACCGGTCAAGAGCGCCGACAGTTTGGACGGAGAGGATGGTTTGGGTCCTCTCTTGGGGGGACCGCCTCCTACCAGACCCTGTGGTCACAGTCGATCCGTTTCACATGATTCGTACTTTGATCATTTAGCGGACGCGCCGAGTGCGCCCTCACCATTAGATCTCTCAGAGATACAACTCAATTTCGATTTAGAAGAGCGAGAAATGAGGATGCTTTCGGAAGAGGAAGGTGGCGGAGTGGCATCGGTGGAGGCGTCACCGCGTCGGCAAAGAAACGAGAGTAATCAGTGCGTCGCTCCTACTGGCGGATCCAAGAGAAAACGATCTCGTTTGGAAGAAAGATTGCACTGTGACGTCGAGTTGCGTTTCATAGATAGCCAAAGTCCCGATCAGGTAATTATCACCTTATATTTATATACAGGGTGTATCTTAAAAGGCTCCCACTAAGCAAATAGCGTTATTCCTGAGTCGAAAAGTCCTGAATTATTTTTTTTCCAAGATTCATTAAATAATTAATCAGATTTAAGTATTAAAAAGATTTCTGAAAAGCTGAATTGTTTAAAAATTAACACAAAACAGTTTATTTTTTTGCTTAGCCAAATCTTCATATGTTGATAACGAGGAAGTTTATCTTTTTATTGGCGCGACTTTACTCATTAATTACTGCTTTATTAAGCATTATGGAAGAAAATGGTTCAGGACTTTTCGACTCGGTTTTTAATCAGGAATAACGCTATTTGCTTAGTGGGATCTTTTTAAGATACACCTTATATATATATAAAATATGTGCATTATGTCTAATCTCTTCAATCTTTCAGGTTATGGTAGCGACGAACGCAGATATACACAGCATCGATTCACCATCTCCGTTACCAACGCCAGGTTATTTGCCGTTACTTTCGGAAGCCTCTACACCGTTAACACCCGCTACGTTGCAGGGCACATCTCACTCTACGTCGCCAATAGCCAATAGTCCTAGAATAAGTTTTCGAAGTTTCACCCTGCCATTAGAGATCGGCGATGAGCGCGATAGCAGCAATGCGAATAAGTTGAAGGAAGCTGGCGTGTCATCTTCAGAAAAACTATCCGACTCTAGCCATAGATTATCGATAAATCTAGACGACCAGAATAGAGGATTAAGATCATGCGAGAGGACTAGTGATGGGCGCATAGAATTGCGTGATAGAAACGTAACCATGTCGCATTCGGATGTTGAAAATCAAGCTGCGAACCAGTCAAGTGCGGTTGCTTCGATTTTTAACAACACCATAGAGATGACGCCATGTAACAGGTTGTCCTCTCTGTGCGAAGAAAGGAAATCTAGCGGAGTTACTGTATCTCGCAAGGACGCGACAGGTGGATCGAGTTCGCTTGATTCCGTGAAAATATCATCCAAGTCGTACGACGAGAAAGCGAGCGCAACAAAGGAACGCGACAAAACTACCGATTCCTCGGATAATCTTACTGCTGTAGTCAATTTGTCGAGATTGTCATCGTCCAATACGACTGATTTCGATTCTATGATGTCGTGCGAACAAACTCTGCAGGAACTTCAAGAATCTGGATTTGTAATCTGTGACAATTCTGACAAAGCGTTCACCAATACGGAAAATCCGCGCGTGGCGAGCAACAGCAACGATTCTGGCGACTGGGTAATCATTGGAAGAACAACGACCGGTTCCCTCGCAACGCCAATCAGCGAATCGACTAGTCCCAATGATCCCTTTTCGGAAGGTGGCGCAAACCCGACGACGTCTCCGGAAAACGACTCCGAAACATTGTTGGAACTTACGTTAACCTCAACCGCCGATACATTCTGCATCGGAATTGATGACACGAAATCAGAAAGTCATACATCAGTCGTACAAGAGAGCGAGAGGATGATACTCGATGTTGCAGATACAAAAAAATACACGAAGAATCACAAATATGAGCGGGAAGATTGTGCAAACGATCCGCAAACGAGTTTTGATCTCGTAAACGAGAGCAATCTCGCAGATGATTCCCATTCCCGATTGCGTGATCGAGAGAACGGTAATCGTTACTCGTGCACGATGGCGGACATTGACTCGAATCAAGAGTCTAACGCGAGGGAGCAGCAACAGCAGGTTCGCGCGTGTTACATCGAAGCTGATAACGCGAACGTATTTGGTACGAATCGGAACGATGTGAGCGACGAAGAAAAGGAAACGCTTAGAGAGACGGAAACTTTTGAAAACTATCACCATCTATCGAGAGATACAAGCGCACAGTATTCGCTACACGCCATAAATCGCCCAAAATTTCCGGATAAATCCGAGGACGATCGGAAGAGGAACACGGTTTCCATGACACAGGACGATCGTGACAACGACCACTGTTCAAACGAACTGTCAAACAAGTGCCAAAGTTTCGGATACAATAATACACAAAAACAGCAGACTAATACGCAACAAGTACGTAAATGCTCTTCCAAACGTAGCGACGAGGGTCACAAGTGCGTAGCCAATTTGCAGACTAATCAAATGCAGGATAACGTCGAGATGAGAATCCCCTCGGAGAACGCGGCCGAGCCCTGCGAGGTCGCGCACGCGCCGGAAGGCGCGTCCGAACTGATGGAAAGGACATTGGACACTCCGAGTACGTCACCGACCGCCGATGACACGGTGGTTTTACGAGATACCGCGGCCATTTTGCAGGAACTAGCTCTGCAAAGATTATCCGGAAGCGCCGCGCTGGGAAACGCATCCGCGAGAAGAAGGTACGAGAGCGAGACTGCCAGAGATCGCAGGAGCTTCGACTCGGAAATTGGCCGTGAGATTGTCAGGGAGAGAAGGATGAGGCAGGAACTGGACTGCGCGAGAGGCAAATCCGAGGAGCCGTCGCAACATCTGCCACCCTGTTTGCGGGCGCGTCACGCGAGAGCGACCCGCGCGGCGCTGAGCCGATCCTTGGACGAGGCCAAATTCCATCGGATGACGGGAGAGATCCCGACGTTATCGGTGAAGCAGACATCCGAGGACACGCAGCATTGCTCCACGCCCAATGTCGGCGGTAGCGGCAGCGGCGTTAGCGTCTCCGAGAAGATTCAACTGAGGAACCTCGGCGGCCTTGATCTGGGCGACCCGCAATGCAGAGAGAGAATCGAAAAGTACAAAGAGGAGAGGAGGATGTTCTTGAGGGATAAGTATCGATCGGAGAGCTTCCGCGGGATTTCGTCCAAGGCGGCAGAGGACGACAGCGAGCAGGCGCTTTTAACCAGGTTGAAACAGAGAGCTTCGAGACCTTCTCTTCATTGATAAAGTTCTTCAATTTTGCTCTCTAAAGTAGTATAAATAAGTTCCGGAGCAAAAAGTTAATATGTGAGAAAAATGCAATATTCATTATCTACCTGCATTTTAGGAAAGTGCAAATTACATAGAGAACGGCTACTGGAATTACTCAACTCTGCGATCAAATTCTACAATATTTCTCCGAATTGTTGCATCAATTGTTTTCCAAAGCAGCGAATATACAGGGCAACTAATTAGAACGGAACATCGAACAAATATATAGTTAAACGATAATATATAATAGAGATATAATTTCGCGTATTTACCTTAAAAATTCCACAACTCGTATATTTTTATTGAATTTATATCCAATATGTAAGATTCACGCTAAAACTTATTTGTACTACTCATGAATGCGAATGTTGTTTCCGCTTTCGTCGCGAGCCAATCGAATCGCTTTCACTTGTATCTCATCGGTGCGAATGATATATCGGCGGTGAATTACGACGAGGATGATGAAATATAAGTTACTTGAGGATCCATGAGACTCGTCTTCGCCTTTGTTAGCTGAATTGTGTGGACGCTTTTAAAGCTGATAATTTATTACAAACTCAAAGATATTGACCTTTATTATTGTTAGAAGTTTTAATAACGGTTCTCTGTAATTATTATTATTATTATTATTATTATTCTCTTTGATTTTTTATATTTACTTGTATTCTTTGTACTGTTATGCTAGAGCGAACGTATAATTGGACTGCTTACTGTATGTACCAGAGTCAACAATTTTGCGTAGGCTTTTATGACGTCAATATGCGGAATGTTAGACTCACCTGTTGCTTTTATATATTGCAGAAAAGATATAGCAAAAAGTATATTTTTTTATAGAAAAAATAGGGACAATGTATATCTCCTAGAATTAGTTAGTAGTATATTTTTAGAACTTTCAGTTTTTTTTTTTTTTTATAAGAAAAGTTTATGGAATATAAAATTTAATTCACGTTATCTATTTCATATAATTTACGAAGTAATTGTGTTATTCCATCGGAGAATAATTATTGATGGGAAAATTCGTGAAGATCTCTGGTACATACATGAGATTTCAAACGAATTTACGCGCTTACGACGCTTATATAAATAGAACGTTTCATTCGTCAATGTTATCTCCTAATTATGGACTGGTCCATAGTGATATCTGTTTTTTTTTCTTTTTTTTTTTTTAAATATGTTAATATTTTTTTCTCGGTTAATTAATATGTACAACATGTTCGTGTAATGAAAGCGCGCTTATTGATGAAAGGCTTGCTTAAAATCAAGATTACTATCGAGACTAAGCAGTTCTCTTAAAAATAAGTGCTTATTCTAAAGAGAGCGTATCGCGCGCCGTTGTATGTGGCCTCGCGTTTTATTATTACTATTATTTTTATTATTATTAAGTTTCAATCACTAAGTAGTTTTGCGTTTAGCTACCTCATCATTCATCTTACCGCTATTACGGACGAAAATGTGACGCCGCGCGACGCTCAGTTACATTTTACAGCTGTATTTATCTTTAATCCGGCGGATTTAATTGTCTCCTCTCCTCCCCCCGCCCTTCTTAAAAAGAGAACAAATATTTTCTTTTTTTTTTTTACATAAAGACGTTACGCGAGTGCGTTTCTTTAGGTGACGGTTTGAGAAAATCGTCTTTTGATAAGACTGGGGCAGCAATTTTTATTCGAGTATGATTTCAGCCGTGCTCTATTGCTCTTATTGCCGAGATGTATTGCGAACAAAACCGCATATTCTAATCTCTGATCTCTCGCAGATACTCGTGGCATTTATGATAGATTAGATAAATCGTGAAATTGTTACTTCGCGCGAGGATGTTGAAATTTTCTTGCGAGCGTATGACGAAGAGAGAGAGAAAAAAAAAGCGCCGTTATATATACATATATATATTGTTGAAATCGTGAATTTTCTCGTGTATATCGACGATGTTCCCGCCGAGAGAGATTTTATTCGATGTACCTTTAATTTTGTTTTTCAGCGGCGATAACCAGATGTATCAACTAACCGATTATATTTCGAGACACCTCCCATGCATGCTCGTGTATATCGGCTTGGCTTGAATGTTTCTCGGTCGAATGTATACTTTTGTCGCGAGGGATCGATGCCTAAGAACGGCATGCAAGCACATACATACGTAGTAGCGCGTATATTTCCGACATTTAATTATTAATGCATAAAATATATATATATATACATACTTAGAGATTTTTCGATAGCGTCTCTCTTTCCTGGATATCCTTTACCGGATGTAGTTTAATGGCCTAACTCTATACAGAGGTATCGTAGACAACGCCCTTACAAAACCCCCTTACAAGGTACCTAACGACGGAGAGATATACTTGTGTGCACAATATTGACGCGCAACAATAATACATCCGCGAGCGATGTGTATTTTTAATAAGTTGAGATTCTTGCGGTTTTTTCGCGAAATGTAGTCGTAGAGATTCGTTAGGATCTATTATTGATGGCGCGAAACAAGAGAGAGAGAGAGAGAGAGAGAGAGAAATGATACGAGATATATAAACGTTCTAAGCCATTGCAAGTAAAGTTCTCTATAAAAAAAGAAACCGATACACAAAGACTAATTCTGTAATATTTAAAGGCTAATATAGTAATCTTGTTTTTGAGTGTAGGCGGCTCAGACCTTCCCCGCGGACTGGGCGCATTTCTGTCCCTTTTAGTTATAATCGTAATAATTGTTTCCGTTATATGAGAAAGACTACACTGTTTGTCGATTATAATTATAATATATACAAGAGTTGTAAAAAAAAACGTAAAATAAATATAAATGCTATAAACATTGAAAGAGAAGAAAAAAAAATGTTACGTGGACATATCCTTTATAAAATATCCTTTAAAAATATATCACCTTGTATATCGAATAATATTGTATAATTAATAACATTCTAACGTAAAAGAAAAGAGATAGAAATAGAAAAATTAAATAGAAAAGATATTAAAACTGACATTATTTTTTGGAAAAATCCAGCTCTTAAAAAAAAGTTTAAACTAAAATTTTATATTCATACAGAGGTATTAAAGATTACTTTCTGTCGGGTCGTATCACAGTTTTGATGATATTCTTTTCAACTTTGAGCAAATATGATTTTTAATTAAGCGAAAATAATGTGGATAATTAGTTTGCAGAATCGACGAATTAAAGAAAAAAATATTTAAAAATTCCCTCGTTTATCTGTCATTAGACTCTGTAATTCGCCAAAGAAGATTACAGGGAAAAACCATCGATCTTGAAGAAAATTAATCAATTTAATTATATAAACGATGAACTTTCAATGAATAAAATAAGCGAGATGAAACTTGCTCTGAGATAAAGCGCAGCACTTACAATTAATTACTACGAGATAGAGATCCATCATTTAAAAAGTTTCGGTACCTTTTCCTCTAATAATTACAGCGTAATCACAACATGTGTTCTTTATTCTTTCTCGAACTGGGTGTTAAGCCAGGGGTCTGTTCGCCCCCATCGAGTCCCTCGGTTCATCTCGAGTCCCGCGACAAGCTCGACTCTCGACACGTAAAGGACCTTTAGTCTTTACTTCTTTAAACGCCGGTGATGGAGTGGACTTGGGGGGGACCTCTCGACCGATGGCGGAAGAGGAACGAGTTCGCCTTTATATCGTAGAACGAGAGCCACTCGAGAGGCCAGGAAGCGCCTAAGGTGAGGGCAACTCCGTGACTATCGTCGAATCTACCGCGGCAATTATTTTTAAACACGCCGCGCAGATAGCGATCTCGCGGCAAGTAACGAGAAAGAGAAAGATACACGCCCGGGACGTCGTCTCTTTATTTATTTTACGCAAGTAGCTCGATCGCTACACGCTACGTCATCTGGAGACAATCAGCTGATACGCGTTTGAAAATCACCGATAAGAAATAGCGGAGATAACGGCATTTTTTTCCTCGACGAGCGCGCTTTCATCCCCCTCGCTTTCGCCCTCTTCTCGCCTCCCGAGCGTTTCACGCTCGCTCCTTTCCACGGGCGCGCTTTCACGGTGCGCAAATCGAATCAGAACGCCCCCGCAGGGTCGACGACAATGTTATTTGTTAGCGGAAGCGTCGTAGTAACCGGAGGTTGAAACGAGGCCAGATTGCCGCTATGATCGAGTTAAACGGCACGTGGGCAGTAAAACGCCGCCGTTGTCTCCGCAACGAACGTATCCTCTCCCCCTTTCCTTCTCTCTCTCTCTCTCTCTCTCTCGTGCGCGTATTTTTCTCTCCGTTTCATCTTCGTTTCGCGAGTTCGCAATTAAGCAGGAATTTTTCGTCGCGTAAAAAAAAAAGAGGGAAAAAAAAGAGAGAAGAAGAGTCAAACGCGCGGCCGACGAGTGAAAACTCTCGTCGCGCGCGCGTCCAGGCTGAAGGTTTTAGGCGGCTTTATCTCGGGGAGATCGTTGGAGAGCCGCGGATTGACACGCGGCGACGTCTTGACAGCTTGTTAGGCTAACAGTTTACCCTCGCGCGCCCTGCGCGATTCGTTTCCCCCGCACTTGGAAGCGGATTAAATTAATCTTATGCAGAGATATATCTCTCCCCTCCCCTCTCGACGCCGTTCGATAAATCGATCGATCGATTTGCATCGATCAAACGATCAAAAGTGCCACGGGGAAAGGTACCCTTGCATATATATAGTATATATATATATATATATATATGTTACACATTCACTACAGGCTACATTCCGGGTTACATCGATAGCCGAACCCCGGTGACTGAAAATAATGAAAGTAATGGGAACACGCCCACTGCATTTAGCCCGCCGAACTAAAGCGCGCCCGTACCCCCTTGTCGGCGTGTCACCAACCCCTTCCACGCGTAGGATCCCATATACCGTGTTACACATACGGTACGCCGGCTCTCGGCGCCTTGTTCGCTCTCCTGGCGCGCTTTCTCTCTCTTGTCGTCCTCCACGCTCTCTATATTGGCCATTGTACCTGCCACTTCATTGTCCTTTATTTCATTATTTTCGCCACATTCCGCTCCCGTCCCCCACGACGGCCGCGCGAATTCTCCCCCTTTATTTACGCACCGTAATAATAGACGTCTTAACGGAATCTAATAAACGTCATAAATGGCCCCCGTGATCTCATTAGTTTACAAGCTTACCTGGACGGTCGGTCGGCGCCTTTCTTCCTCTCCAAATTACGCGATAGCATCTTCCTGTCGCGCATCAAAGGTCGGACTCCGTACCCCTCGCCCGCGAGCGTGCGCGATTTTTATTTGGCGGAGCTTATCGCGACGACCCGATCGGATGCATCGCATTCCAAAAAGAAATACATTTTTCTTCCATAGCACGCGGAAAATATCAGTGTACGAACGTCGATATATAAACTCGTTCTCCCTCCCTCGTCGAGCATGAATCTCGCGCATCGTCGTCGTCATCGTCGTCATCGTCGAGGCCACGGTTCCGATGCGCGCATCTATATCCGATGTATATCCGAGAATGTAGCCCGTGATTTCGTCCCGATAACACGATTACGATATCCTCTCCTCCTCGTCCTCTTTCCGCACCCCCTTCCCCGCGCGCGAGAAGGGAAACGCGATGAGGGGTGGAATAGCTGGGGGAGGGGGCGGGGGAGGAAAGCGCGGCATCGGCGCCACCCTCTCTCTCTCTCTCTCTCTTTCTCTCTCTCTCTCTACGCATCCCGCTGTCCCCGACAGCCGAGAGAGTAGCTTCGCTCGCTCTGATCCCTCGCAATTACTTCCCATTATCTGGGTATTAGGATTCACCCCAACTGGAAGCACGACGTGCCCCTATGCCGCTTATACAACGAGACATGCCGCGCGCGCGCTCGTTGGAAAATCCTACTATCCGCGCTCTTCTCTGCAATATCGTATCTTTTCTTAACAGGTGTACCTGCTCTCTGATCTAATATCCCGGCAACAGGTAGCAAAAACAGGGCGCGATCGTTATTATTATCGTCGCGGTAATTGTAATCGCGTGAAATTACGCGGGGCGTCTCTGAAAGATCTGACAGCTGATCTTGAGGATAAAGATTGTTCGTACGATTATTCGGATTATTTGTGTGGAATCGAGAGAGCTTTCGTTTCGAGAGGACTTTTTAAGATATCGATGATACATTTTTTTTCGAGAATTTACCTGTTATCGAAATAATTATCGTAAATTTTTAATGAATTTTATGCTAGATCCAAAACAAGTGTCCAAAATGGTCTCCCGAAACAATACACGTCTCAAAGCGTCTTACAATGGACTGTCCAACATCATAATTTGCTCGAAATTTGTGTGTACGCATTACCCCCATATTTGACACGCGAATTTTCCCGAATCATATTGGATATATATTTTAAACAATTTCCACTTTGAACACTTAATTTTTTGGCGCAAAATTCATTTAACATAAAATATGCGATAATTAATTTTAATGGAAGATAAATTCTCAGAAATTTATTACTGTTTCGTAAATTTATATAAAAAAATAAATTTGCGATAATTTTATTTTAATAAAATAATTATTTTAATAAAAGGTACAGTTTGGAAAATTCATTATATCTTAAAGAGCTCTGAATCGAAGCTTTTTCGGACACATTTATATAATTTTTTTTCATTTCTTCTCTCTCGAAGCTAATATAAAAAGCTCTCCAAATCTTTCAAAAACACGCTATATATGGCACGATAGTCAAATTCATTAATTGTTTTCAGTTGCCGTTGTAATTATGGCAAACGAGTTTCAACATTACTGTCCCTAATGAGGCAAGTAGAATTCACACTCTCGGTCTCCCTTGCTTCCTCTTATTCATCGGCTCGTTAACTTTCGCGAAAATGTCCCGACGAGACACCGAAATGTCGCGCCGACGATTAACAAAACGATTACGTAGAGACCCCGGGCATCGTTTGCTATCCAGGACGCAAATTAAATGTCAATGTCGACATACTTTCGATGTACGTCCCGGGAATCTCGTTGTCGAGCTTGTAAATTGCCCTCTTGTAATAGGAAAATCATCAGGCGACGATTATCTCTTCTCCACACTCGAAAGAGACACTCGAGAGATTTGCTTGAAAGAAAAAAAAAAAAAAACTGCATCTGGAGAAACGATCGAGGAAAAACAAACGCACACATATCGCGTTATAGAGCATATAGTTTAATTCTCAACGAAAACCACGGCCTATTTTTATACACTTGACTATAAAAGGTAACAACAGACCAAATACCGTATTTCTCTTGATATCGTATTTTAGCTATATAAAAAGTAGATTTCGGGAAAACACCGGGGGGTAAGACTTGAGTTCCATCCGGCGACAATTCCGATCCCGTCGAATTTGCGTCAATTATCTCAATGACTGTATATAAATACCTCTCAAGGACATAAGACGATTGCTTTCATCTCTTTCATCTCGAGCCGGACGATCCCTGCGGAATTCCACGACCTTGCCCGTGTTACGCGACCAAGTTCTAGCTCATAAATCGATAAATCCGCTCGTAAGATTCGAAAAACGTTATCTCGGACGTGCGGGGATCATCCCTGTTTCTTCTCCACGCGTTGCCGTATCATTCCGGGTAAGAAAAACGAGCGGGAACGTCTTGAGATCGGAACGCGTCTCAGCGATGCGTCGGACGTTGGGCGGAATGCTGGCTGCTGCCGTGTTGATGATGCGGCTGGTGATGGAGGCCGATCAGGTGCGAGTGCGAATGAGAATGCGGGTGAGGATGCTGCGGATGAATCGCCGCGTGGTGGGTCCTCGGCGGGGTTCCCGAGCGTCTGGACGGAGCGCCGCTCCGCGTCGACGTCGGCGTCGATGCCGGGGTCGGAGTCGGTGCCGGCGTCGCTGTCGGCGTCGGGGTCGGCGACGGCGTCTCGTCGCCCAGCACGTCGATCTCGTCGTCGTCCTCGTCGTCGGAATCCGCGGGCGCGTCGCTGCTCGCGCGCGACTCGCGCCCGCCGCTCAGAGAAAAATCTACGGGACGTTCTGTCGACACAAATCATTATCCATCATGCTTCTCAAGATTTCCCATTCGTTTACAGACTCGGAAAAAAAAGTTCCATGTATAATCTAGTATAAATATGTATTAAATATCTCCATGCATGTTTTTTTTCCTGTGTATTATATATTTATATTATATAATGTATTATATTAAGTATTACGTATTTAATAATATATATAAATATATTTATAGTAATTATTTATAAAAAATATATATATGATTATATATGGAACTTTTTTTATTTCTCCAAGCTTTATTTTTTCTAAAGAAAATCAATCTGGAATCCAATTATTTATTTTTCATTCTAATTATCTAATTTTTTTTGCCATTTTCCTGTAAATATGGATAATAAAAATTGTACGAGAGAAAGAAAATATACAAATGCATTTATATATGTATAATTAATGTCTCTTTGCGATTATCTCTTTTAGCGGGACGATGGTCGTTCTCCTTCCCCCGAAATTCGAATGAAAATCGGATCCGCGCCTACGTCATCGCCTATGGACTACCGATAGCCCTTAACGGCGAACAATCGAGAATATAGAGATCTGACCGAGCACTTAGCGGGTAATTGAGCAATTTTCTCCAAGACGGGGGTGTAGGAAGAGAGCGGAAGGAGACGGGAAGCGAAAGAGAGAACGTCGCCGAAGGAGGGAACGAATCTCTCCCGGGGTTCCTTACATAGCCCCCGGCCCGGTCTAAAGACGCCGAGGCGGTCTTCTACGTGCACTTGTACTCCGCGCCACCCCTCTTTCTCCACGATATCTCTCCTTCTTGGTCGCTGCCAAGGAGACGTCTATGTAACTCGGTTAGCCCACCCCTTGCCGGAGGAGAACGGAGCCATCTTGTCTACCGAGACGAACAACTTTATATAGCGCGCAGAATGCTACGCGCGGGTCAAACTATTTAAATCGCTCGAAATGGTATCTCGTGCGCGGTCTCGTTAGACCATCACTTTTATATTCCATAAAGGTAAAGGGAAAACAAAATATATATACGTGCATATTAAATAATTGTCACAACAGGAACTCGGGAAGCAGAAACTCTCCCCGGCTAGTTTGTAACATTTGCGATGCGTGGACGTCATGCCGGACGAGCGATTACGGTAATATCCCCGGAATGCGACACGCATTATTACGCAGATATACGGTTAATGATTATAGTTCCTCGCGACGTAACCACGGTTACGGTCTGGTTAGTTAAGCCAGAACTTGCGTAATTTATTGTCAGCGGTATTTTGGTTGCGTTATATGCAGATATCCGCCCCATTAGCGTGACAACGGGGAAGTATTTAACGACAACCGACCGTTATAACGCGCGGCCGGTCCCCGGGACCAGATTAACCGATAACTATGGTCTATTAATCCCCGATGCCGCCGCGTCTGCGTATCGACTCGATCCGTAGTTTGTTTAACATTTCGAGTTACATATATATATGTATATACATGGCCCTCTCCCCTCCTCTCCTGGTACATGGCTGCCGCTATTACTATCGCTATTAATACACCGATATTACGATATTACGAGGATTACATGCGCGTTTCACGCGAATCTCATAGCGGAACTCGTAAAAGACTAAGCATCAACGTATAATGTATAACGTTTACGTATTGCTTTTTATCATGGGCGGTCGAGCCATTCATGAATCCGCGCATCATATCTAGGACATGGTGTCGTTAATCCAAGTCAATTGACCCCCGCGGAAATGTATCGCTCGCAGCTGTTTGCCGAAAGGTCGATACGCGCAGATTTAATTTAGCGACGATTAAATTATGAAAGTTGCGCAGATGCCGATGATCGCGATGTTTCTTGAGATCGTTTCATGAGAGCCTCGCGCTTCGAGCTTATTCGAAGTTACATCTTGTTCGCCGGAATCGCTGCATGCTTCCGTTATTAATTTCATCATCTGATTCCATTTTTCGCTGGGAGTCGAATAACACCTTTCGCAAAGCTTGATCGAGCTTGATCGAGGGGGAAAGAATGGACTTACCAGCGGGCGACGTAACGGATATCGATTGTTGTCCCGAATTGGAATTGCTCCCGCTGCTTATGTTTTGTTTCCTCAATTGCTTCTTATGTTTCATCCGTCGATTCTGGAACCACGTTTTCACCTGAGTTTCAGACAGATGTAGGGCGGCCGCGAGTTCTACCCTCTCGGGCGTACTCAGGTATCTCTGCACCTCGAATCTGGCTTCCAAACCTGCCAGTTGTTGGTCGCTGAATACCTGAAATTTTAAAGAAGCTATTGTTTCTCATCTCGATGCAGTTGAGACAGTGAGATAAATGCAAAATAATGTACAAATTCACGCAAAATCAATGTATATAATAACGATTCACACCTTCGCTTCAGAGCCAACAACTGACTTTAAAGTCGCCCTAAATTGACCCAAAAAGAGACTCTGCGAGGAATCGAATCGACGAAGAAAATGTACTCACGGTTCGAGCCTTTCGTCGTCGACAATGCTTCAAGGCCGCCAACTCGCCGACCCCAGGTACCATGCCGACCCCCATGCCGGTGCTACCGAAGAGCGGTGAAGCGAGGAAGAAGGCCGCGGCGGCGGGCGGCGCCGCGGGATAACCGGGTAGCAGACTGGCAAATTGCTGATACTGATGATGCCCGTGTGCGGAGGTCGACGTTAGATGCTGATGGTGCAACTGATGATGATGCGGATGATGCGGGGTGACGGTGCCGCGATTAAGGATATCCTCGATGAGGAACGACGTCCTGCTGGCGGAGGTTCCGTTCTGACCTGGTTGTGCTTGTTGCTGCTGACAGGTGGAAGACTGCATCTTCCCTTTCTCGTGCTCTGTACGCAACTCTGTACGCGATTAGGGCGGACGTTTCGCGGTTACATCCTCGCCGCGGTCTTGCAAACAAAGCGAAATCTACGCACCACCTAAAGGTAAAATCATTACGAGACGATGCGCGGTTCCTCGCATCTATCGCGAGTCAATCTAAGAAATTTACGGAGGAGGAATGTGTCACTTTTGAAACCAGTCACTCTCTTTGCGAGCACGTCGTATGATGCACGCGCGCACCCCTCAGCCTAGTTGGCTAATTTAGGCGGCGTTCATCTCGCGAACATCCCGAGGTCGAATTGATCGCCGTGGGATCAAAGCACGAATCGCGAGAGACGCACCAGCCCGTTCACTGTCGTTCGCCGACAACGTTAAGGGTCGCGTATCGGTGCGCTCGCGGTGCGATTTCAACCCCCGGTGCGCGATCATCGTCCCTCCCGTCCCTTCCGCCGAGGAAGAGGGTGAAGGTTTCGAGTCTATCCGAGGCCTGGCGTCCCCGCATTGGTCGGCGTCGCGACGCTCGTCGTCGCTCCGGGTTGGCTCCGCGCGGCACCCGGGGCGGGATTTGGCCGCGCGTTTCCATGGACACGAGCTCCGGGGTATTCATGAATCCGATGTTGTACGTCCCCGCGACGACAGGAAGAGACTACGGAGGAGGAGGAGGAGCAGGAGGAGATGCGAATCGTTCTGTATCCGCGCGATTCTCTCTCCATTCTATCGTTCATCCCAACACGTAGATAATAATGCAAGAGTACGCGTAAGAGTGTACGTTCCCCGAAAGCCATCCACTCGCCTCTCCGATGGTGCGGCCGTCCGTTGTACGTTTCGTGACGCGACGCGACGACTCTCGCTCGTACATGTCGAAGAGGATCACCTCTGTTTCCGTTTCTTTGTACATGCTACGATAGACAAAGTTACACAATTTCTGAGAGTGTTTCGGGTTCTTTTTATTCGCTCTCGGTTGGTGAAAATGTTGTCGAATGCGCCCTCCAATCTCCCCGATATTGTCTCGTTATCGTGCATTGCGTCGCATCGTCGAACATGGCCAAATCCTTTGGTCGATATTGATATCGAATCTTGGACGAGCAGGGAGAAGCGCTGGATTAAATTACTTATCGGATCATGTATATACGACGCGCTCTCTCCAAATGGCGGTACAACCTGCATCATCTCCATAGTAGACGATAAACAACGCGTACAAACAATGCATATTAATAGAGATGATGGCATGCGTTCTATTCAATTGTCGTCTGGCCATAAACATATGCGATAAACATAACGTAAAAATATTAAGGAAAAAAAAAAAAATGAAAAACTGAGAGAAAAAAATGCAAAAGGAGAGAAAGAGGGGAACGTCTATATTTTAGCGGTCGCGTTAATCTCGATCGGGCACTCTCCGAATCTCCGACACAACCGTCGTGCTATCCCGACGACGACGAGAGCCGGGGTATGATTAGGGTTCGAGGGACGCGTGTCGACATTTAGACGGGGTTGCTCCTGCGATTATTGAGTAAATTAACGTCGCGGTAATTGCGTTACCGGCGCGTGTCCATCCGTCCGCTCGGCGTCGCGTCACCTCGCCCTCATCCCGTTGCTCTCCCCTCCTCCTCTCCTCTCTTCCGCGCATCTATACTACTGTGGCAGAGCCGCCCTCCGGCCAGCTCGCTTGTAAAGCCCAAAATCCATCGCGTCCAAAGTTTCAACGGAGACTCGAGACACGTCCTTCTGCCTAGCTCTCGTGGATCCTCCGGGGACTCGTTAGACGGAAAAGAGCGATACGCATTGATGATTTTCATGTTGTTTATTATATAAGACCGTAGTAAACTCGCGTTTCAGTAGTACGTTCATTAAAACTGAAAATACGTGTGTATATATTCGCTCTTTCGACAATGTCATTGAGAGAAATTTATAGTTGAATGAAATATATATATATAAAAGATACTTGAAAAAACTATCTTAGATTAGACTAGAAGTATTCGATGCATTATACATGTGTCATATATATTACAAATTTCGCTGCTGTTTGATGATGAATGTAAATCGTTTTGCATCTCTTAATGTTTAAAAAATAATATAGCAAACAGGTTTGTTCTTACCTATCTTTAACTTACTAAGTGTTAAAAAAATATGTCGGCTTATCAAATATCATCGTCGTTGGACGCGCGCTTGTAAAATGCGCGGGAGAAACTGGCGGGACTCTGCGAACCGCAAAAGAAGAGGCCGCGTCGCCAGAAGGCGAAGAGCGTCATCCCGACCGGAATCGCGATCAACAAACCGATCAGCATCCCTACGAGTACCGCGGCATCCTTCTCCGGTCGCGCGTCGTACAAATCCAAGCAGCGTAGGTGTCGTTCGGCCAGGGATGCGAGCTTCTTACCTGCGTGTTCCGGCGGCGCAGAACAGGTGAGTTGGCCGACTTCGGCCGTCGCCTTCCGATTCGCTGCGTATTCCGGCAATATGGTCCCAATCTATGGGCGAGAGAGATTCGTCTTAGTCACCAAATTTCATGCAAAAATTAATTTGTCACCCAGCAATGATAAGGACACTTTCCTTGTCGATTTCTCTTTCGCTTAGAATTAATTATACATTCATTTGATGCTCACAATCAAGTACTTGGCATTAATCGTGTTTATGTTTTTAATCAATAATATTTAATAATTGCTTATTTTTTTGATTAATTTTCTATTTAACGGCGTGCGTTTCTTTAAAAAAAAAAAAATTTTTTTTTCATGATTTCATTGAGACTTACCAGATATTGATTCTGGCAATCACAGCTCCAACGGTTGTGCAATAGATGTAATTCTTCGAGTCTATCCCATCTGTCGAGAAATAACATCGGCAAGTATCGTAGCGCGTTAGACGATAGATCGAGTTTCTTCAACGGAGGCCAGAACATTCCGTTCTTTGTCTATGAAATTGCAGATAATCCTCGCATTATTAATCTGTTGCAGAAATAGCGCCGAATCACTACTAATTATTTTCGATATACCGTGATCGCGATCGCGTATTCCTCGATCACTTCCAATTTCTTGCAGTTTTTCACGCGGAGATCCTCCAGGCCGATTAACTTCGATAAGCCGTCATTTCCAATCATCGTTAAACTTGACATATCGCGTAGACTGAGCTCTCGCAGTTTCGTCAAGTTGGGAAAAGCGTTTGCGCCATCGATAACGCCTATCGGATTGTTGTCCAAACTTAGATACTCTAAGACTTCGGCCTCTTCTAATGACCTGGGCACAACTGTGAATTCATTGCCGGCCAAGTTTAATCTCTTTAAATATCTACGAATAAGAAAGAATGGTACAATTTTGAGAAATATTCAATTTTAAAGACACTGATTTTACAAAATAAAAAAAACAACTATTGGCATAGACACTATGGCATAATGAAACTGCGCGTCTTCGCATTTCTTACTTGGCATTGTGGAATTGAAGATTTGGTAGTTCTTTTAACATGCAATAACTGATATCCAATTCTCGTAAATACGATAAACTACTGATAGCTATAGATGTAGGATAGTCGAGTACGCCAAAAGGATTCCCGGAGAGATTCAACACCTCGAGGTCGGCGATATGCTCGAATATACTCTGATGTAACGAGTGGAGTATGTTATTAGATAGGTTCAATATTTTCAACGGTAAGGGCTCGTACGCTTCTGGTTTGAAATGACCCTAAAATGAAAATAATAATCTCGTGAATAAACGGGTATAAAACGGATGGAAAAAACAGAAAATAATTGAATAAAAAGGGCCAGGAATCTCTCGTGTAATTTTTCAATTAATAAAATGATTATATAATTTATTGTAATATAAATATAATTGCAACATTTTTAGCGATCTTTTATTTCTATTGAAAACTTTTGTAACATATATATTACTACTTTATCTATCGAGTTTAAAAATCTAAAAGTTATTATCTTACATTATCTGAAGAATTTAGAATTTTTGATATTCTATAAATTTCGCGTGAATTTACTTTATCAAGTTAAATCGAATGCGAGCAAAGCTTCAAGCTTATTTTCTGAATAAATGATTCATGCTTGATGATATATTTTTAAAATGTAATCGAAAAAAAAGAAAGGAGGTTTCACTCCCCTATTCACGAAACAATATAAAATTAATTATATTTCCGTGAGCGGTATCAAATTTACGATTAAAGATTTGAGATGTTTCAAAGTATTTCTTGCTAATCGATGAATCATAATTAGAGGAACTATGTTTGTCTCTTTCTGGATTAGTATTGATGTACTGTAATTTGAAGCATTATCTCTCGTTACCTCGAAAATATGCGGCCGTAACTGTTGCGACGTGATCTGGTTATTACTCAAGTCCAATTCGGTGAGATTAACGAGTTCCTTAAAGGCGTGTCGATCGATCGTAGAGATTTGATTTTTCCGCAAAATTATCTTGCCGACGATTATCTTTGGGAAAGGCGTGATGTGTACCAAGCGATTGTGCTCGAACGAAATCTCTTTAGCCGTTACGTTCAACCATTGTCTATCCTCAAAGTGATTTTCCAAGCCTTTGTTACTGCAGTTTACATAGCCATCTAAACATGCATCGTTTTTTACACAATTATATAACTATTAATATTTATAAAACTATTAATTTTCTTAGCACCGCGAGACGCGAGTCGAAGCAATTTTCTCATCCACTTTTTATCTGGAGCGCGAATAATGGAATATTATTTTATTAAACGTCACACGAGGATTTCTTGAATAGAGTCTCAACGTTTCGACTACCTGTACAAGAGCACACGCTGCATAAGATCGAGGACTCCAGCGTCGAATTTTCAATCGTAATCTCATTCGAATCTACAGTCGTGTCTTTTACAGTAGTATCCTCGCATTCTGCCAGAAGAAGCAGCGCGAGCAGAAGAATCGATATTCGGAGATCCATCCTTAGGAAGAATGACAAGTGTAAACTCTTTCTTGACGTTAACTGAAAATGGCCCGAGCGTATCAACGCGACTTTACGTACGATAACAAAGTGTAGCGATAAGATAATGCTTGTAATTACTCATCGCTCGATGCAGGTGAGGGAGAAGCGAGGAACAGATCTCTTTCCGATAATAATACGAGTCATAAAACGGTGATTTTATTTCTTTACGATTTAGCGCGAATCACGTTATCGATTTAAATTTAAAATCGCTAGATGTTTCTTAAATCTGTAGATACTCACTATTATTTACATATCGATAAATGTAATGAGATAAAAAATTTTTCTTAAATGTCCGACGAGTAAAGAATGAAGAATCGGCGAAACATCTAGTGGGGAAGTACAAATGTACTTTTCAAAATAATCCTTTATTCCTCTAATCGTCAGTTGAAATCGTAGACTGTTGAAAATGCGGGATGATCGATCGCTATCGAAGAATGAGCGCTTCCATGTCAAAGTGGCTACATCTTTGGCATCTTTGTGAAACTGGAAACCGACGCTTTTGTTATCGCGTGATCATCGAAAATTGTATGAAAAAAAATATAAAATGTATATAAAACATATGAAGTTTCTTCTCTTTTTCTTTCTTTAGGAAAGATAAACCTCAAGAATCGAAATTTTCAAAGCTTATATATCTTACTACAAAAAAATTATCTATCGTTTTTGTATAATTGTTTGATAGCAGTGGTTTGATAATTATTTTTCTTTTTTTTCATAAAATAATATAACATGTTTATATAAAGTATCAATTTTTGTTGATAGAATGACAATTTTACGCTTTAATAATGATAAAATAATGTTTTTTTTCATCTCAATTTTTTCTTCTCAAAAATGTTATATAACAAATAATAAACGTGTAATTTCTTATTACATTTATTTCGCGCACTTTATTAATATTTTCAGAGAGAAAAATATCATTATTATTGAGAGAAGAAAAATCATTATTATTTATAGCTTTGATATCCTTAGTAAAACGCCAATTTTATTTATTTTATTCTCTAATACACATACCTGCATAAATATATATAACTCATATATCTAATCCTATTCGAAATTCGCAAACGTAAACATGTCGAGTCTCTCTCTTTTCGTCGTAGATATCTTTTACTAGTTGTATACACGGAAAAGAAATATATAAAATCGAATATAAAATAATATGTTTAATATAAAGTATCAATTTCTGTTGATAGAATGACAATTTTATGCTTTAATAATAATAAAATAATGTTTTCTCTCATCTCGATTTTTTCTTTTCAAAAATGTTATATAACGTTATATAATGTTATATAACGAATAATAAACATTTCTTATTACATTTATATCGCGCACTTTATTAATATTTTCAGAGAGAGAAACAAGAAAAATCATTATTATTTATAACTTTGATATCCTTAGTAAAACGCCAATTTTATTTATTTTATTCTCCAATACACATACCTGCATAAATATATATCTCATATATCTAACCTAATATCTAACCCTATTCGAAATTCTCAAATGTAAACATGTCGAGTCTCTCTCTCTCTCTTCATCATAGATCTTCTAGTTATATACACGGAAAAGAAATATATAAAATCGAACAAAATATGGGGTATAAAAACGTGAAAATAACGCGATCCATCAGAGCGAAGCGAACGGTGCACGCGACGCGTACGACGCAGGAATGCGCAAGCGCGCGTGGCGCCATCTGTCGCGCGACAGGCGGCAGCTCCGGAGAGCGCCGCGGCGGCGCGGCGGCGAGAAACCTTCGTGAAAAGTATTGAATCGGTGACGTCACAAAAGACGAGACGGTGGAAGGAGGCGGACGGGGTGGACGGTCGCGCGGTTGAAAAATGTCCGGTTACTCGAATTTATCGTGTACGTGAACGTCGAGAGTGAGCGTGGTAAACATTCGCGGGCTTCCGCGAACGAGACCGGCGTGCGAAGTCGACCGGCGAGTCGACCCCAGGCACGGGACGCGGGCCTCGTCCCCGGGCACGTGTAGCGCGTAGAGGAGACGTTCCGAGCGAGAGTCGACGGTTCGATATCGTATCGCATCGCATCGTCGCGTAAAGTCAAACGCGCTAAAGTGAAACGAGGTGAGGCGAAGGCGGACGCGCGCGCGCGAGCGAGCGAGCTTATCGCGCCGAGAGGGTCGGCGATCAGCGGTGGAGCCCTCGCGACCTGTCACGGTAAGATAAGTACCGCGGTATTTACCGATCCCGTTGGACGAGTCCCGAGTCCCGAGAAGAGTCGGCGAGTCGCTCTTGTTTCGCCCGCGAGGTTAGGTTCGCCCCCTCGTCGTTCGTTCTCGGCGAGAGTCTCTCCTACCCCCTTTCCGCGTGCGGCCCAAGTGAACGCCCATTTTTTTCGAGGGGATCTTGAACGCGTGCACGCGAACCTTCTCGCCCCCTCGTCCTCCGGAGATCTCGTCGCGGATGCACGTTGCCGGGAAGATACCCGGGAGTTTGCTCGGAGATTATACCTAGTTTTATGTCCGAGAGAGATTTATCGTTAAAAGATAGCGTCTTCGACGAACGATGTTTGTATCGAAATCGTGAACTCTTGCCCCCGGGTCTCTCGGACAGCGGAAAAGGAGAGACTCGACGCGCGGTGAAAAATTTTCGGGTCCAAATTTCCAAGCGGGCGAGCGTACATAAACACGAATGTGTACATATGTACGTCCAAGGTATCGCTCCGGATTTAATCGGCCTTCGTGTCGCTCGACATTTTTGTAGGAAAAACGCGGTCTAGAGTTCCCGAGCGATTTTGTTTACTAAATACAGATAGACATAGATGGAATATTTCGATACGAACTGCGGTCAGCTGACGGCTCTAGACGCTTTTTATGTTCATTGATTACGCCTAAATGACTTGACCGACAAACATCGTTCAAGCTCTTCTCGCGACGAGAGAGAGAAAGAGGCATTATCCTTATTAGTTATCGAACGAGAAATGACAAGTTGGGAAGAGAGGCGAGGCGAGGCGAGGCAGGCCGAGGAGAGGAGAGAAGAGGAGAGGAGAGGAGAGGAGAGGAGAGGAGAGGAGAGGAGAGGAGAGGAGAGGAGAGGAGAGGAGAGGAGGTCTCTGCTTCCGCGAGTGTAGCATCCGTAGGGCGTGTGTTTTAACTATACGACTCTTTTTCGCCCGCTTGTGCGCGGGTCGTCGAGTTGCGTAGATCGCGCGCAACTCGACGGAGGAGAGGTTAGGCCTCAGTCGATGATGGACAGGTAGTAAACACGGTGCCGGGCCTCCTGCCCTGCCGCCTCTCCTCCGCCGATCTCTGTCGACAATAGACACGTGCTCCGCGTCAATCCTCCTTGCGTGAATCGAAACCGCGTAATAGAAACTGGTTTTTTCTTTTTTTTTCCTTTTTTTTTTTGATAAGCTCACGATAAGATTGAAGCACGCTCCAAAGTCTACCTCTCGATTCTCTCGAGAATGACGAGTAACGATATCTCTCTCTCTCTCTCTCTCTTTCTCTCGAGAAATATTCTTACAAGATTTTTTCATTTTTTTTTCGTCGAATTTTCGAATATTTTATTACCTTTTTCATTTATATAATATTTTCATCGGGGAAAATATACTTTGCTCTGGTCACGGGAAAAATGCCGCGGCGTTTTTCCGAAAATTTAGTCCTGTTTTTTCCGGGAAACTTGATTTATTCACGTCGAAAGAGAGATATGTCGTCCGAAATCGATGGAGGCCCCTAACGCCGATGGCGCCGATGCTGTCTAATGATGACATTTAAATGCGGTGCCGCATCGTTCGATTGTTCGCGCGGCGCGGCAGGAGGGGTATTTTTTTCTCGTCCTTTACCTTTTTTTTCATCGATCTTTGTCTTTTTCGCTCTGTCTCTTTTTCTCTTTCCCTTTAATTTTCCTTCTTTTTTTCTCAATCACGCGTCGATGCTTCGTATCGCAAAGATACGTTGGTAAAACGATTGAATAATAAATAATAAAATAACATGATAATAAATAATAAAATAACCCAATAATAAATAATAAAATAATACGATAAAGATGAAAAAAAGAAAAGGAAAAAGTCGATATTTATATCGCGATTATTTTCTTTTCTCAGCTCGAGCATCGTCTCGGATTAAACGGGCTTGACGCGAGTTTAAATAAAGTCGAGTCGGCGGAAATCTGGGAACGAGAATGAAGATTGCCAAGGGGGAATGATAGGTAAGAGCACGCTTAAAAGGAGAGACGACGACAAGATCGATGTCGATTAGAAGAGTGACGAATCCGCGAAAACGTGCGACAGGATGCAAGAGGGTAACACCGCCGTTGCGCTAGCGATGGTGACTCCCGGATACGATCAGGACCCTGCGAGTGGGGTCGCCGACTATACGACTCATCAAGATCAGGCCCAGTTCGAGGCCGACAAGAGGGCCGTGTACAAGCATCCGCTCTTCCCGCTGCTGGCGTTACTCTTCGAAAGATGCGAACAGGCGACCCAGAGCTCGGACAACTCCACGTCCGAAAGCTTCAACATGGATATACAGGCTTTCGTCCAGCACCAAGAAAGAGACCGAAAGCCCTTCCTGATCAATGACCCCGAGATTGACGGTTTGGTAAGACTGGAAATGCTTTTCCCTGCTCCTTAATCTCTCTACGCACAGAAAAAGAGGACATTCTTGTTTTGAAAATATATTTAGTTTCCACATGGAAATCTTGAAATGAGATTATATTGCGTTAATTAAAGAAAAATATAATTGTTTGCTTAGACGAAGTCCATTTTATATAGTTCGATCGAGAAAAATATATTCTTATGATTTAAGATTTAATTTTCTCGAATGGAAAGGAAACAATGTTGGATAGAAGATAACTTTTCAAAGATTATAATTTTCTTAAAGTGGAATTAAATAATTAGATATTCTTGAGGTGACAATTACAATATTAAAATAAGACTATAATATTGTTGAAATTTAAAATTATTAAATTCTTCGAAGAAGATTATAAATTATTGCGAAACAATAAACGCTTTAATTCAAGTATATATGTTTTGATTTGACACTTACTTTTTTTCTGTGTAGTCTCTCGTATTCGATACGCATTTATAGTAGAATTGAGATCGCGACTCGAAGAACAGATGAGGCGTGGGCGAAAAGACGATCGGCATCGATTAATGAAAATCGGAACTCTCGTTCCTCCCTTCGAACATTGCAGATGATCAAGGCGATACAGGTGCTGCGCATCCACCTCCTGGAATTGGAGAAGGTGCAGGAGCTGTGCAAGGACTTTTGCAACAGGTACATTACATGCCTGAAGGGCAAGATGCAGAGCGAGAACCTGTTACGCAGCGATTACAGCCACCATGGGCACGATATGGGTCCGTCGAGTGGCAGCAATGGCAGCAGCCCGTTGCAGGTTAGACGTTTGTCCGATATACGCCCCCCGGTCTGTCTACTCCCCTTACCAACGTAGATATCCTTATAGTCGAAGGGATGTACGCCCGGGAATGGCAATGGGAAATTATGATATTCGCCTCTCGGCGAATCTTTGCCAATTTTATTACATAACCATTTTACACCACGCCACGAGCGTACATCTCTTGAGATGATTACAGAATTCCCATCCCTGCTCTCTGACGGCTAGTTGAGACATATATTTGCCAGGTGCTGTCATCTACAGGCAATGATGTTGAGTCGGGAGCTAACGGATTCAGAGTGAGCCGAGGGGACTCCGGACTGGCGGACAACGACGGCGCGAATCCGCGAGAAGAGAGCGATAATCACGATAATCAACCGGTCCGATCGTCGTCTTCCGCCATCCAGCGCAACTCGGGCAAATCCGCTAGCCAAGACCGCGACGATCCACTCTCACCGTCCGCGGTGCACGGAAGCACGCCTCTCTCGCAGATCGGGGCGCACGGATGCGCCCCGGTTAACGACATGTATCTCGGCCAAGGTGAGTCCGATCCGCCAGAAGCTTGTCCACCGCTCGCCGATCGAATATAATGACTGCTCTGGCCAAAGCAAGGTCGCGATATGCTCTCTTTCTCCTCTTCTCTTCGCTCTTCTCCTCTCCTCTCCTTTTCTCTCTTTTCTCTTCCTGGGATAAGTAGACAACTTGTATCTCTTCTATAACAAATCTGGTTAAAATTTATTATAGATGACAGTAACGAGTATCTACGAACTATCTCCAACAGAATATATTTGGAAGAGGCTGGATACTGGGGCCTAATTGCGTTGCGAGAACGGGAAAACGCGGATGTCGCTAATGACGAAAAGTATTTTGGTTAGGATTATAATGTGTTTCTCTCATTTGTATACATGCGCGCGCGCGAAAAAAAAGTTAGTCCCAATCGGTATCAAATTGTTGTATTATATTATCACGCTGTAAATGACGAGTATATCAAACACGTCGGTCGTGGTTAGACATTACTGTTGCAGGCTCGCCTTCTCCGGTGGCGAGTGAGGACGAGGAGGAAGCTGCCAGCAACGCGGCCTCGAATCACGCTGGGAATCATAGAAGTAATCACAGTAGCGCTAGAAAGGGACGTCAGAAGCGTGGTGTTTTGCCTAAACATGCTACTAGTATTATGCGAACGTGGCTCTTTCAGCACTTAGTAGTAAGTACCTGATAATTTGCCATTGTGTGCAGAATAGCCGTACAATCTCGGCGCGTTCAATTACATTCTTACGACACACGCATATTTATTTCGCAGCATCCTTACCCAACCGAAGATGAAAAGCGTCAAATCGCCAGCCAGACGAATTTAACGCTGCTACAAGTGAATAACTGGTTTATCAACGCTCGTCGACGGATTTTGCAACCCATGCTAGACGGCGCGGGCGCAGATGCGGCATCGCGCGCTGGAAAACGTCACAAAGTTTCAAAACACGCTGCACAACAACAAGCGACTCAACAACAACAAACAGGCTGGCAGTCCGAAGACTCGGCAAGTGATTCGGGTTCTAGCGATGGTGAGGGAGGTGCCGCTAGATCGAAAGACGGAAACGATAGCGATGAAGATGATCTTCACTGACCTCTGTCGATCACCGAAACGTCAACCTCTTTACGGTACCTTCAAATCCAGTTGCTCATTACAGTATTAAGGTATTCGGGTATAGATATCGCTTTAACTGTCAAATACGTAATTAATCTTGCGAAAGTTAAGAATACGTGGATAGAGGTTATCACGCTCTCTGATTATTTGCCACTGACTATTCATCTACAAGCTATTAGCTTTTCTTTTATGACTTGGTTCATAAACGATTACATTTTTAATCTCGGTTCATATTGTGGTGAGAATTAACTTCATCATGTATAATATGAGAGACGAGGACTGAGATTGAATAGGTACTACAAAGAGCAGCTTATACTTAAATACATCTAATTTAAAGGAAAATATACGTTTGCATTAAACTACAAGAAATGTTATTTATTTTTTGATGAAATTTTCGAGCGAATAAGCGCGAATAATAAAGATAAATCTGAGCTTTCTCTCGAATCAAATTCTTTTATTAATTTCATTATTTTCTCTTATAACGTACGTCCCCCAGTGATAATATTATTTATGACATTTACAAAAAATGTAATTAAAAAGATATGTTTAGTTAAATGTAATCATATTAACGATTCATAGACAAAAATTTGTGGAACATAGATTTTGCTTGGTGATTATTCATCTTTTTTTTTATATATACATTTTCATTTCATACATATACTATTGATGAATTATATCATGTAAATTTTTTTTTTATATTTTAACATAATACATTAATTGTGGGTGTTTACGACACTAATCAGATCTCTGATCGGACTGAGCAGTGGTACTCAGTGATAGACTTCCTAAATTTCCCTAGACTAATCCGGATCAATGATGTGTCTCTGGAGTAATCGAATTAGATTAACAGTCATCGAAAGAAATTGCGGTCAAGCTGATCGAAAAACATCATAAGAAAATATAGAAGGTACTTTATTATTCTTTTAATTAATATATATTTATTTATCAAATATGTATTAATAAACAAATGTATTTTACTGGAATAAGATGTTTTCTATAAAATAAGAATAACTCTAAACCTCACTTTATTTTAATTATTAATATATTAAACAATATTAATTTGCAAAATAATACTCTAAATAACAAAATGTTTGTACGTAGCAATAATAATCAAATTTTACCATGAATTTCTTATTTATCTTGTAATTATTAATTTTTGAAAGTTTATCAATTAAATATGTAATATGTGAAATTTTTATTCGTTACAATATTACTTAGACTTTTTTTATTTAGAAAACATACATAGAAGATAATTAATAAAGTATATTCTTCTATATTTTTTTATGATGTTTTTGTCACCATTTTTTCGATCAGCTTGACCGCAATTTCTTTCGATGATTGTTAATCTAATTCGATTATTCCAGAGACACATCATTAATCCGGATTAGTCTAGAGAAATTTAGGAAGTCTATCGCTGAGTACCGCTGCTTAGTCCGATCAGAGATCCGATTAGTTGTCGTAAACACTCTGCATCAATAATTATCGTCAGTTTTTCATCATATGCGTGCACACAACTTTATTAGAAGTAATAAAACGAAGCAGACAAAATCAAATCTTTATCTTCTGTTAGCTTCATCAACAATATTATTACATTATTATTAATATTGTTACAATTAATACTTTTCCATTATTCAATTACTATATATTACTATTACTACTACTACTGCTGCTACTATACTATTGCTATTATTACTATACTGCTATTATTAGTAATAGTATTACTACTACTATTGCTATTCCTTCCATTATTGCTATTACTACTATTACTATACTATGTGACTTTTACTATTATTACTCTTACTAACACTATCGCGCTTCCGCTACCACTAATGCTACTGCTATTACTGTTATTGCCAATACTCGTACTGCTCCTACTACAATAATTGCCATTTTTGCGTTGCAACAAAATATCCGATATCCGCATATATTTTTCTCTTGCAATTATAATTTGTCTAAGCTTTTTAAAAGACAGAAATCTATTAATCTTTATAATTTAATGAAAGATATACGCGATCGATAAAACAGTGAATCGTTGATAAATAATTATACAAATCATTTGATTAGATGCATCACGTTTAAGAGAATAAAAGAATACTTACTTAATTTTCAAATTAGATGGAGGCATAGTTCATAGTATTGTAATTATTCAATATTAATTGTATTTTTCGTGCCATTAAAGAGCGTGGTAACTTCCGCGTTTAGTCTTTGTTCAGCTCTGCAGTGTCGTGGCATAGCAAAGCGCTGTCCCTCCATGATAATAATAATAATAATAATAATAATAATAATAATAATAATAAAATAATAATAATAATAATAATAATAATATAATACAAATAAAATATAACTAATAATGATAATAATTATTACGCTATTGATAATGATAATAATTATAACTATAATTATAAAATAATGATAATAATAATAATAGTAATAACAATAAAAACAGCAACACAACACACAACGCAATGATGATATATAATACTACATTAAATATATGACAATTATATATTTTTAAAATCTAAGTGTCGTCCCTGAGCGCGCGTATATTGCACGTTACATGATACTATTGTACATATTACATGCGGAACTGTTGTGTGAAATAGAGAGAAAGATGAAACAAAGAACAAATATTACCGAGTATGTAAAAGAGAAGTTAATACTTTTCTTGTTACTAAAAAAAAAAATGGATATATCCGACGACATACATTTACGCCATCTTTTTTTAGAATAATATTAATGTTTATATACACTAGCTGTCTACATGTGATCATTACGTTTTACTATCGACGGCAGAAATTCTTCTTCCTTCACGTATTGTATTTTAATGCTCGTTTATTTCGAGCTTCCTTCCTTCGAGTTCAGCAACTTTTGATATCGAACTCCCAACTATGGCTGTTCTCTCTGAAATATATATTCGTATGTACATACTTCCCGATACACATATAGCATGTACATTTATGCTTTCCCGATCTATCGTTTTCACGCGATCCGTCCATCGAGATTTTTACATAAGTGGTTCAAGCCATTTTATCCTGTTAGTTTTCGGGACGTAAAATAACGTAGCGAAAATTAACTGTTCCAAGTCTATACAGTTCCAGTTAAAAAGATGTAATTATCTTCCTCTTAATGTGAACATTAATACAGATCGCGAAGAATTTCTCGTTTTGGCTTAACTCACCTCAGCTCTGCCAATACATCGTCGTTTTCCTCACTCGGGTTAGTCCTTGATAAGCGAAACGACACTAGTCACTCGATCATACGAGGAAAATGTACCATATGCCGCAGCCTGTGCAGTGGTAAAGTGTACGGTTGCCTTAAGCCTATAGCCAAATATTATTTCTCTCCTGTACCCGCGTTATTCTCCTCTTACATATTGAGTCTCCCGATGTACATAGCCAATTGACAGAGTGCTTCCATTTATAGTAGCTCGCGACTTGCCCGAAATCGAGAGCGAACTCTGTAGTTTTTATCGTTCTTTTTTTAGCATATCGATTTTTCGCAACACAAACTTTGCTTCAATCGCTTCGATGGATTATAATGTCATAATCGTGCGATGTACTTGAAAATATACGCGGTACAACTCGAGTAAAACGATATCATCAATTGCAGACAGCTGACAGTATAGCTCCGTGTGTACGATATAGTTACGACATCAGTCCGCTTAAAAGTAAGAAATAATCGGTCGCAATACGATCAAGTTTAAAACTGTGGGGAAAAAAATATCAAAATAAATTCAATTTTGACTTTCGATTTTGAAAAAAAAAAAAAAAAGAAAAGAAATTCGAGGGAGAAACGCGAAGAATCTCAAAGGGATCTGCGTACCATGCTCAATCGGACTGTTTGTAATAAGCAATAATATACGCGACCCAAAAATGAAGATGAAAGAGAAATGATTCTCCTAGCAAATATTATTGCTTTGACAAAACCGCCGCCTCTCTCTCGTCGTACGGGACTATACTGTATCCGAGAGATAAATAAAATTTCTAAGATAACGTTATAAATTAAGAGGTAGGTTGTAAGGCTGAACCACGTATACGTATGTGCTGCGGCACCAGACGACTGTGATAATTCGGTGGGCGGTGCCCAGCCTCCTACTTCATCCTTGTATACTAAAAAAAAAAAAATAAGTAGAAATGAAGAAAGAGCGTAAACAATTTTACCGAGGAGAGGTTGAACGTATGTCGGGACGTGCGTTGTAGAAATGATTTTCCATCCATATGCACGAAAAATCGCGGAACGCGTGGCATTTAAAATATGCGTTATCGGCATATTTCCATTTTAAATACTTTTCGTTTCTTTGTTTTTATGCGGATGTTTCTCCGTATATATAATAAAAATACTATTGTAACGCGCGTGCATATGGATACTTTATACGGTAGAAAACGTAAACACTTTTGCCGCATTAAAACGTCGGTGCGAAAATTATCTATCGAAAACTAGATTAAAGAAAAAAAAGGGAGGACACATAAAGGTAGGAATGGGCACGCAAAATAACAAATAACTTATTAAACCGTGTTTATTAAATAGTTAACGAATTGTGATGATCATTACGAACCTTTCATCGAAATTTATGAACGAATCTTTGTGAAATTACATGTGCAATTAACATGCAAATGGCACGTCACTTGTTATTAAAATATTTGTATGCGCATAATATAATTATGTAATGACACATGGATTTCATAATTATATATATATATCTTCGTGTATTGTAAAACTCGAATTTTCACATTTTTATTCCTTGGAACTCCATATTCTGAATCTCTTTCTACGTTTGTCTGACAGTACGAAACGAAAATGTCATTTGAATCGTGCACACGTTTTCATTCTATGTATGTGTCCGAAATGTAAGACTGCGTCTTAAAATAAGATCCAGAAGATCAATAAAGCAAATATTCAGTTTATAGACATGAAGCCTATTAAGAATCAAAAAAGAAAGAGAATTATGATTAAGAAGATTATGTATACTTTTCAAAATCTTTGATTTAATCATTTCCAAGAACGGCATGGCCCATTTCTAACTTTGTCCAAGTTTCAAGTCGTAAATGAGAAACATCTTATACACTTACATGTATACTAAAAAAAGGAAAAGCATAGATATATAAATTAAATACTTCTTTCCCATGTACATCAAAGCCCTGTTAAATAAGTTGTTTATCGATAATAAACGCCATCACGCTTGCATTATTTCCTTTTTATTCTTACCGCAACATGTATATAAGATACTTTTTATTAATACTATTGATATATTTCTACATGTTTCCATTCCATTAATAAAGAATTTTAATAAAGAGTTGTATATATAAAGTGAAAGTTATTAAAAATATGAAACTCGGAACAAATTAATACTCGTGTCAAATAAAAAGAATATGTACATTTTGTTATTATCTTAAAAACATTAAATCTAAATCTAAACTTGGTGAAAAAAGAGAAAGATAAATATATATACATTATACGACTTAATAATCTCAACTTTTTTTACATGAATAACAAATTTATGTTGTTATTAAGAATAGATTTATGCTGGTATCATTGTCACTTGTAATCTCACAGAAGCAAAAAATCATGTGGATTCTTCTTACGAAGTACATGGAAATAAATAAATTTTTTCTTACATCATTATTTGCATGCGCATATGTATAGAAAATATATAAATTTTTGTAAAATATATCAAAGAAATTCTTTTCATCGTGAATCGTAAATTAATAAATAATATTGAATCTTTATTTTGTCACTCTACTTTTGCTGGAAATATAAGAAATATATGGAGTGAAATTTGTATATTTATTAATGTAAAATAACAAAATAGTTTGTTCGTTTTTTTATCAATTCATATTGTTGAATATGATTGATGAAAAAACATGAATTTATTTTGATATATTTCGCTAAAACACAATTTTATATAATTTTTCGCTTTTTACATTATAATTCAATATGACTGATGAGGAAATAGGAGTTTTTAAAATGATCAGTGCAGTGATTTAATAAATATTTATATGTATATATATACAAATACACAAAGCTGTCGAATATATCGAGCCTTGTATCTCGATCTTATTTTCTCTTTACATATCTCTTTTTCATATATATATATATATATAATTTTGTAATTTAAATGCATTTAATTTACAATATGGATGGAACCATATCATACATAATAAAAGAGAATTGCAGAGAGAACGAAAGATATGTCTGGTTACTTACATTTTGGGAATATTAAGGACGTATCAATCGATAATATTTTCTTCGATTGAACGCAATACATATGAAACGATGAGGACGATAAAAATAATCATAATGATAATGAGATGACAGTGTAACATATTTGTAAATAATTGAATTAGAAAATAATCGTCCGAGGGCGCACCACACATAAGATTAAAGGCTAGTTATTGGAACATCAGGATCTTGACGATAATTATCTAACCTGGTCATTGATATGTGGTCCGCGGCGTATCCCTAGCAATCAACGGTTCTCCTGAAGCAGAATGTCGTCAGTGTTATATGATCTATTTAATTCTTAAATCTATTTAAATATAATATTAACCTTGAATTAAATAAAACATCAGCTCGATTATTGATAAACCACACTAATACAAACGAGATACCGGCGATTAAGCTACCCAAAATCATACTGAAGCGTTCTGTCGCTGCTGACGGCTTTAGAAACATTCTAACGCTTAACGTTTGCCATATAGATTCTGTCCAAGTCGAATAGACTCCCGACTTCATGTCATATCCTACAACAGAGAATACATCAAGAAAGTTTGTCAATGGACATATCCATTGCGAGTATCAGTAACCTACCATCGATGATAAACGCAGGACTTACAGCTGCGCTATAATTGACGGTCGAATTTATACATAATCCTGAAAAATTGGCTCCACCCATCCAAGCGAGACGATTCTCGTGGCACATTGTTTCATTCATCTCGAAGAGTTTCTCGCCAGTTAGATAAGCCAAAAGCTGACCTGTTAAACTTGTTGCGAGATTGGGCGCTCTATGCACACCGACATATAACGGCAGGACATGATTAATCAATTTAACATTGGGCGCCGAAGATTCACGAAACAGAGTACATTTGGCACTCTCTAAGTAGCAATATAGCATTTCCGAGATAAGATCTTTTACATCGGATAACGATGGATAAGCGAGCTGCGGATCCTGCTCACCCGTCACCATCTGGTAAAGTTCATTAGCGACCTGAAGAGCAATATTCGCTAAATCTGATGCAAGCGTGCTAGTATCGTTTCTAAAACATGATACATGATGAAAATTTCAATAATACAAAACAAATGAACTATGCTAGATATAATTTCAAATATGAGTTATACTAATACCTATTAAATCCGAGACTCTCCACATCATCCAAGATGCCGTTGTAATATTGATTTTTAAACTGGAGTCCGTGATTGCTTATAACGACGGTCGTTAGATTTGGATTTGCTTCTAGGAAACTTTGTACAGATGTAGGTGGAACACTATCATGTAGAACACTATTGTTCGACACCTTCAATGCATTCTGTAAACGATTTATTATATCATCTTCACCATTGCTGTGAAGAAATATTTTTCCTCTGCCTAATTGACCAAACTCAATCACGCTCTTGATGTGATCGATGTTTAAATTGATCCCACCGAGAGCATTAAAATTGTTGTGCTTCAAATCATAAACCATACGACTAGAGCCTATATAATCAAATGCCTCTCCATTCAGCAATGAAAATACCACGTTTGTCTCTAGATATAACAGGAATGAATATATACATATATTGTATGTGTCTATTGCAATCAAAGATTCTTTTTAAAAATTTCATAGGGAAGATCAATACATACTATCGACAGTGGCGTTTAAATGATTCAAGTAATATGCAGTAGCAATCAATGTCACAAGTCCTGTTACAACATTACCCGCACCAGGTGATATACCATCGAATAATGATGATGCGTCTAATCGTGCCGTCACCATAATTATCGAATTACTATCCTCATTGAGAGGCGCTAAAGGCCAATGTATATTTCTGTCTCCGAGTGGATCGCAAAATTGAGTCGGATTAAAATTTAAGTTGAAATCGGTACGTTTTATACAAGATTCCGAATTAACAGCAGCATACATGAATGATTTCATTTCTATCGCACAAAGAGATCTCTGATACTGTGTCTCGAGATCGTGAGCGTTATGCCTCTGAAAACAAGACTTTATGGCCTCCAAAACAGTTTGATTCTGAAAAGAACACAATGTTTTTAATATTAAACAAGTCTTCTACATATATGAAACTTGTACAGTAAATTTTATTAGATATGATCTAATAAATCTAACCTCTGTATAAAACATGGGAAATGACCAGTCTTCCAAGAGTAACGCAGATCCAAAGGGATTCCATGGCTTCATTTTGTTACATTTTTTATAACCAGAATATCGGTTCGGACATGTGTCTTCAGGTGAATAACTTGATGGACGTTCAAGACTAATATTTCTCGTTAATAGCACTCCATTTATGTTATTTGTATTTCGAAGTCTTATAAGTGTATTTCTAGTAAACATATCAAATGGAAGGACTACAGTGTATGGACCAGCAGTGGCGTTTCTTTCTATCCAAGTAATATCGCCATCCCCCTCAATTAGATGCACGACACCTACACTTCCTGATCTACTGGCTGTAAATACATGAAATATTGTAATTGTCAAAAAGTGGGATAAAATAGCCTGCAAAGATGCAGATTATCGAAAAAAATTAAGAAGATGAAATCGATCCTTACAAGAGCATCCAAACTGATGCGTGCCATTGTGTCTTCGGAAACAAGCAGCTACACCTTCTAAAGGCATGTAAATCATATCCTTTATTCTCTCGGTGGCCACTGTAAATTGATAATTAGTGATTCTTAATTAATGATTATTTTTAATAATGTCGGGACTAAATCTATTATGTACAAAACATGAATTTTACCTGAATTTACGATAATAAGTACTAAGATATACTTCCATATTTCCATCGTCATTTTTGCCATTATTGTCTATTCGAGGTTTGCGAAATGGTTATAATTTTCAAATATTATCTGCTGTTTTTACGATACATTTCGAATACAGAAAACAGAAATGATTTTAATAACAATACGTCGCGTGAGTCATGGTAAGATTCACATCGATTGATAACAAGTTCGATTACAATTCGTTTGGTTAGAACTCCTTGCGTTTTGCTTTTACGCTTGAGCAAGAAATCTTCACTCTTATTCTCGTCCGCTACAGGACAATAAAATCACGCTGTAACGAAAAATAATACGACTCGAGAATTTTGCAAGAAGTTCAAACAAATCGTAGACAAAAGAACTTTGCGTCAAAACCATGGAAAACTTATATTAAGCTTCTAGCACACGATGTGATTTTTCGGGAGCTTCTCGATTGACAGGTACTCGGCGAGTGGCATCCAATTGATCGCGTCGCCAATTGGCTGATTCAAAAGAGAACTCTCTGATTGGTCAATCGTTGCTGATTACCCTAGGCACAAATCGATATAATTGGCTGTGGCTAATCGCAACGTGGATGCTCTCGTACTCAGCGATTGGTGTTTTGAGATTCTTCATTGAATCAACCAATCCTGTATACAGTAGATTAGAAATGCATATCTAGTTATTTACTGTACCCCCCCCAAAAAAATCGTGTTGGTATAATACTATTGTCGCGGTAATTTTATTACAAATTTGCCGAATGTACACTGCGCGACAACGATTCGTTCCTTGGTCACTCTCTCGCGGGGCAAGGGGAGCGTAGAAGTGACCAATCAGCTGGCAGCGTGGCAATGGCTGATTGGTTAGAGGCTACGCTCCCCTTGCCTCGCGAGAGGGACCGCGGAACGAATCGTTGTCGCACAGTGTACGTAAGAAACATCAGGAATGTATATTTCTACATTTTAAAGTTGTATACATAAAATCATGTTTATATTTTATATAAGTAAACTGAGCATAATATTAAAATATTATTTTATACATTATTTTAGACAATTTTTTTTCCCTTGATAATGCCTTATCGATTTCTTTCTTCATGCTTATTGAGAGCAAGATTATGTTTTTTTAATAAATCTTTTGTACGGATAAATCTTGAAATAAACATAAATATATTTTCTTATTAACTATATATACATATATATAGTTAGATATATCTTAATTCTACGAATAAAGATTATTCTGTCTGCATGACTTCAGGTTGATGGCAAGCCAATTGTGTTAATAATAAAGGTTCGTAAGTCCACTTTGGAAATACTCGTTTGTAAAGATTCATTAAAATTGTATCTTGAGATTTTAGCTGGCCATTAAAGATACATTTCATATGTCCATGTGTACCTATATATGACAAAATCATAAATATATTAGGGACTGAAAATCAAATACAGATATATGATAGATAGTAAACGAAAGAAAAGTGTAATTGATTGAAAATAAGCAATTAATTACCAAGACATTCTTTTATATGGCCTCTGCGTCCGTATTTTGTTCTTAATTGAACAGGCTTGAACCATTCGATATCCTCGCGATTAAAAAACATGAAACGCACAACCACTGATCTTTTGTTTATTTTATAAGGGTGACCACTTAGAACGACTCGTTTCAAGACAATTCTATTGGGATTACAAGATAACACATTTCCGGTTGCGATTAATTTCTGAAATCAATATTATCTTCTAAATTTTTTAAAACGAAAATATTAATTATTAATTCTTTCTGTAATAATTATTATAATAACATTAATATAAAATGAATACATACAAGTTCTCCACTTTGATTTTCAATGTAACAAAGAACTGGACATGGTGAAAAAGTAACTGGTGCATACATACTCGCCACGACAGTATTATCTGGATGAAAGTATCTTTCATACTAAACAAAACATTTATTATTATTAATTATAAATTCTTATGCACATTATGTTTTTGTTTATTGTATAGAACAAACAATTATTGTAAATAGAAAGATTGTGCTGACTCACTTTATGCTTATTGCCATTTGTATGTTGACTGAATATTGGACATGCTGTAAATCGTCTAAATCCGCATTGAAATACCAATCTTTCCTTCGATTTGATCGGTAGCGTATAATTATTTGAATGTTTCAATACAACATTCAATAAAGACATTTTATGTTCATATGGAAGCAGACCAACCACTATTAATGGTTGATTCGTTACTGTAGCAAATGTCTTAAAAATTTCTCTACTAACGTGAATAATATCAAGTGTTACATATCTTCCTGGCTGAAATCATGTTTATATACGTATATTATATAAAAAAATAACAAGTAATAAATAAATAAATAAATATATATATATATATATATATATATATATATATTTAATAAGATTTATATGTGTATATCTAGTGAAAATTTTCACACATATTACCAATACAGCATCTTCGATATCTTCGCACTCTTTATAAATACGCTTTCGTCTACGATCATAGTCTGCAAATTCAATTATTCGAGAATAATCGATGGGAAGATTTTCCTTTGGATCCCATGGACTAGTACGAAAAGATTCGAGACCTCGGTATTTCTGGAATCTTGTTTTAGCTAATGTATCTTGGGGTGTATCCACTTCATCCGGAAATTGTGCGTCCAATTTTGCTTCTGTATGTGATTTATGGAATTATTATCAAAGTAGACTATATATATATATATATATATATATATATATATATATATATACACATATATACATTACGAATATATGATTATATTACCTTTAAACTTTTCTATGGCTTGTTTCTCTTCAAACATATTGATATCTCGATCGTAATGCGCTTCATCTACTGCCGCTTCTGATATCGTAATAGTTTCATATTCTTCATCATCTTCCAAATCTTTATTGCTGTCTGTTTCAGATTTTGCATCATCCACAGACATATTGTCTTCTGATTCCTCTGAATATACACTGAGACTTTCTAAAAAATAAAAATAAAATAAAAGGATGAAATGAATTAAATGCGATTAAAATATTTCTTTTTTCTTTTACTTAGAAATAAAGAGATGAAGAAAAATTAAAAGAATGTGCAATACCTCCATCTTCGTCTGGTATCCATGCAGCTTGATATTCAGAAGTTCCTTTCGGTACAACTTTTACAATTTTTTTCTTTCTATTAGCTGCTGCTTCAGCCAATTCCTCTTCTGTAGGCCATGTTTGTTCAGCGTCCATTGGATCAGGAATATATTCACTTTCGAGAGTTTTCTATAAATTTTGATAAATTCTAAATCCAATATACATTGGTATTATTTTGTCATTATTATTATTTAAAATTATATAAAAGTATAAAATTAATAATAATTCTGGCAACAATAAGTCCGACATAATTGCTTGTTATTTATAATAATTTGTTAGTGTGATTAACAACATAAAATATATATAACCTGTCTTTCAAGATCTGCGGTATATAAAATTACAGTTTCGTTTTTTTTTGCTTTCATCTCGTCATCATGAGAACGTTTCTTGCGATTAGCGTATGTAATTTCATATGGATCTTCAGGTGCTTTGATGCACGACATTTGAAAGTCACCAAAGCCTGGTATGTGAACTAAATTATTAACAGACAGTGGTGTTTCTCCTCGCACATAACCAGTAACCGAAAGAGTTCCAAAATCGAGTGAATCCTGAATAAATAAAAACTTGTACTTGTTAAATTGTCTTTGTGTGTGTGTGTGTATGTATATATACAAACATATGATGTAAAATATAATATTTAGAAAATCCAACATACTTCATTACATTCAAAGGAAATTTCTTCAGCTAAAAGATACGGCCTTATATTTTTGTAAAATACATTTCTTTGTTTTTGTGATCCAGCACGACGTAACATATTCAAGCAATCGTCCACAGTGTCTAATTCAAGTACTTTCTCATCAGGAAGCCATTTAGAAATAACACGTTGAACAGATTGTTTATATTCCTGACGTTTCTATTGTTTACACATATGTAATATTTAATGAGATGTAATATATACAATGTAATAATTAATGAGATTCTTATGTAGTAATATAGTGTACAATTAACAATATAGTGCAAAATTTACAAAATACAATAAGTAAAATTAATTATTTCTTCTGTGTACTTTTTCTCTCTAGAAATACAAATATTACTTACTTTAATGTGAAGTCTTTGAATATTGTGTACTGCAAATATGGTAGTAGGTAAACCTTGAGCAAGGCAAGACACAATTATGTTCTTGCCCCAATCATCTATAATTTCTTTTTCAGTATCACTATTTGTCTGACATGCGACGGAAGTGATAAAAAGTATTGTATTAGCAGCTTTGGCTGCATCTAATGTTGCTACAACATTACCTATTGGTGGTACAATGATGGAAAACCGCTGTTTAATCCTTGGTATACTGTATAGATATGTATTAAGAAATTAATATAAATATCAAGTTTACAATTTGTTTTATAATAATAATATACAATTTTGTTTCATACCTTATATGTAGAATCCCACAAGGACTGGTAGTAACAGTAGCAGTATCATCTATACTAGTTATAATAGAGACAATATTCTGAATATTTATATCATTTTGTAAAGGTATAATACAAATGAGGACAGGCGCAGAAAGGAAACCGCCAAGATTTCTCTTTTGTGTTAGTACTTCCTCACGTTTCTTCTTTCTAATTTGCGACAATTGGTTTCTACGTGCATCCCTCTGAAGACTTCTCTTAAGATGTTTAATCGACATTTTGATGACATTTTGTTTACCTGTAGAGAGAAGATAAACATTTTAGAAATTAAGTAGAAATATGTTCTATTTACGACACCAATATATAATTATTTATATATATAATTGTTTACACCACTCTCCTTCACAATCCACATAGCATGGATATCCAAAAGATGTCCAGAAGGTATCCTGAAGACATCTTTAGGATATCCTACAAATGTCTTTTGAACATAGATGCTATGTGGGAATTACCAATTATTTATCGCATTTAAAAGAAAATCTCGGCACTTGTTAATTAAATAAATTACAGTTATAATTATTATGTTTATATTACAAAATTTCTTAATTTAACCTTTATGCTCGTTAATGATAGCGCTTTTACTGCGATGTCTTCCAGTCTTGTGTTGTTTATTAGACTGTTTAAATGAACCTGCTCGATGCGTTTCTTGCTTCATTGCAGTATCCTAATAATTAATATAATTAAATCTTTTATTAGTATTGTATATTAATATATTATTTATATATTTATATTTATATTTATATATATATATTTATATATATTATTAATATATTATTGTATATTAATAAAACTTGTATTGTAAAATTAGTTAGCTTAGTTTATCTTCGATACTGATAAAAGGATACTCACCTGATTATTTTTTTCTCAATAGTACTCCACAATTGCTGTGCAGTGGAAGAAATACATGAAATACATCAAAAGCACATGCAGCGTGCAATGGCCGCATTCAGCGACTCAACCGCTAAGTAGCAATCGAACATGATTGGCCGCATTCAACGGACTCAACAGAGCAACATTACTAGATTTTCCGATGTAATTCGACACTGATTGGTCAGATCTGAAAGTAAAAACCAATCATGTTCGATTGTTACTTAGCTAAGTCCGCTGAATGCGGCGATTGATTTCTACTTTCAGGTCCGACCAATCAACGTCGAATTATATGACATGATTGGTTAATGACGTAAATTATCCCAGGTCGGGCCAAACTCGACCATTCGAAAACGGAAGCATTCCTTTTGACTACGTCCCGATTGACCACAGCCAATTATATCGACCTGTGCCTAGAGTAACCAGCAACGATTAACCAATCAGAGAGACTTATTTTGAATTGGCCAATTGACGACGTGGTCAATCGAATCCCACCCTTCGAAAACATCATAAAGATCGTAGTACCAGAGAGAAACCTGAAAGCGGCCACCTCGCTTTAACGGGTATATTGTCCTAATGCGCTCCCTGACAAAGTGGACGTCAACTACATCCATTACAGTCGATAATAATACATGGTTCGTGTCTGAGCTATGGTTCATGTCCAAACCATGGAGTGACCCCAAAAGTGATACTCCCTCTATGGACATTCAAAACATGGACATGAACTACAAAGTCATCGTCCATGAATGTTCTCAGAGGATAATATATAATTGCACAATTTCTGGTTTTGTTCCGTGCTATGTGCACGAAATGCCGGTAGCACCAGTGCTATATAACAATTAAATACTTATGTGTGTAAATTGATAATAAATAAATTATTCAATAGCGACAGATACTGTAATATTCAAAGATGAAATAAATATTTTTCAAAATAAATTGGTAAATAATACGGCTCTATGTATTTATCAACATGATAATTAAGTAAAGAGCATTAAGAGCCCACAAAACGCGGATGGCAATGCGTAAATTATTTCGAACATTAATTGTTCGTAAAATTTTTTTTTTTTTTTTTTTTTTTAATGCGTTATTAGGAGAACATGATTTGTAAAGAGGTCATCAACGCATTATCGACCTCCTCGCAAAATATATTCTCCTGATAATATAAAATAATAAGAAACGAATTTTCGAAAATTTTCACGCTTGCGTTATTAGGAGAACATGATTTGTAAAGAGATCATCAACGCATCTTCGACCTCCTCGCAAAATATATTCTCCTGATAATATAAAATAATAAGAAACGAATTTTCGAAAATTTTCACGCTTGCGTTATTAGGAGAACATGATTTGTAAAGAGGTCATCAACGCATCTTCGACCTCCTCGCAAAATATATTCTCCTGATAATATAAAATAATAAGAAACGAATTTTCGAAAATTTTCACGCTTGCGTTATTAGGAGAACATGATTTGTAAAGAGGTCATCAACGCATCATCGACCTCCTCGCAAAATATATTCTCCTGATAATATAAAATAATAAGAAACGAATTTTCGAAAATTTTCGCGCTTGCGTTAATAGGAGAACATGATTTGTAAAGAGGTCATCAACGCATCATCGACCTCCTCGCAAAATATATTCTCCTGATAATAAAAATTATAAGAAACGAATTTTCGAAAATTTTGGCGTTTGCGTTATTAGGAGAACATGATTTGTAAAGAGATCGTTGATGACCTCTTTACAAATCATGTTCTCCTAATAACGCAAGCGTGAAAATTTTCGAAAATTCGTTTCTTATTATTTTATATTATCAGGAGAATATATTTTGCGAGGAGGTCGATGATGCGTTGATGACTTTTTTACAAATCATGTTCTCCTAATAACGCAAGCGTGAAAATTTTCGAAAATTCGTTTCTTATAATTTTTATTATCAGGAGAATATATTTTGCGAGGAGGTCGATGATGCGTTGATGACCTCTTTACAAATCATGTTCTCCTATTAACGCAAGCGCGAAAATTTTCGAAAATTCGTTTCTTATAATTTATATTATCAGGAGAATATATTTTGCGAGGAGGTCGATGATGCGTTGATGACCTCTTTACAAATCATGTTCTCCTAATAACGCAAGCGTGAAAATTTTCGAAAATTCATTTCTTATTATTTTATATTATCAGGAGAATATATTTTGCGAGGAGGTCGATGATGCGTTGATGACCTCTTTACAAATCATGTTCTCCTAATAACGCAAACGTGAAAATTTTCGAAAATTTGTTTCTTATAATTTATATTATCAGGAGAATATATTTTGCGAGGAGGTCGATGATGCGTTGATCACCTCTTTACAAATCATGTTCTCCTAATAACGCAAACGTGAAAATTTTCGAAAATTCGTTTCTTATTATTTTATATTATCAGGAGCATATATTTTGCGAGGAGGTCGATGATGCGTTTATGACCTCTTTACAAATCATGTTTTCCTAATAACGCAAGCGCCAAAATTTTCGAAAATTCGTTTCTTATAATTTATATTATCAGGAGAATATATTGTTGCGAGAAGGTCGATGATGCGTTGATGATCTCTTTACAAATCATGTTCTCCTAATAACGCAAACGCAAAAATTTTCGAAAATTCGTTTCTTATAATTTATATTATCAGGAGAATATATTTTGCGAGGAGGTCGATGATGCGTTGATGACCTCTTTACAAATCATGTTCTCCTAATAACGCAAGGGCGAAAATTTTAGAAAATTCGTTTCTTATTATTTTATATTATCAGGAGAATATATTTTGCGAGGAGGTCGATGATGCGTTGATGACCTCTTTACAAATCATGTTCTCCTAATAACGCAAGCGTGAAAATTTCCGAAAATTCGTTTCTTATTATTTATATTATCAGGAGAATATATTTTGCGAGGAGGTCGATGATGCGTTGATGACCTTTTTACAAATCATGTTCTCCTAATAACGCAAGCGTGAAAATTTTCGAAAATTCGTTTCTTATAATTTATATTATCAGGAGAATATATTTTGCGAGGAGGTCGATGATGCGTTGATGATTTCTTTACAAATCATGTTCTCTTAATAACGCAAGCGCGAAAATTTTCGAAAATTCGTTTCTTATAATTTATATTATCAGGAGAATATATTGTGCGAAGAGGTCGATGATGCGTTGATGACCTCTTTACAAATCATGTTCTCCTAATAACGCAAGCGTGAAAATTTTCGAAAATTCGTTTCTTATTATTTTATATTATCAGGAGAATATATTGTGCGAGAGGGTCGATGATGCGTTGATGACCTCTTTACAAATCATGTTCTCCTAATAACGCAAGCGCGAAAATTTTCGAAAATTCGTTTCTTATAATTTATATGATCACGAGAATATATTGTGCGAAGAGGTCGATGATGCGTTGATGACCTCTTTACAAATCATGTTCTCCTAATAACGCAAGCGTGAAAATTTTCGAAAATTCGTTTCTTATTATTTGATATTATCAGGAGAATATATTTTGCGAGGAGGTCGATGATGCGTTGATGACCTCTTTACAAATCATGTTCTCCTAATAACGCAAGCGTGAAAATTTTCGAAAATTCGTTTCTTATTATTTTATATTGTCAGGAGAATATATTTTGCGAGGAGGTCGAAGATGCGTTGATGACCTCTTTACAAATCATGTTCTCCTAATAACGCAAGCGTGAAAATTTTCGAAAATTCGTTTCTTATTATTTTATATTATCAGGAGAATATATTTTGCGAGGAGGTCGAAGATGCGTTGATGATCTCTTTACAAATCATGTTCTCCTAATAACGCAAGCGTGAAAATTTTCGAAAATTCGTTTCTTATTATTTTATATTATCAGGAGAATATATTTTGCGAGGAGGTCGATAATGCGTTGATGACCTCTTTACAAATCATGTTCTCCTAATAACGCATTTAAAAAAAAAAAAAAAATTTCGCGAACAATTAATGTTCGAAATAACTTACGCATTGCCATCCGCGTTTTGTGGGCTCTTAATGCTCTTTACTTAATTATCATGTTGATAAATACATAGAGCCGTATTATTTACCAATTTATTTTGAAAAATATTTATTTCATCTTTGAATATTACAGTATCTGTCGCGATTGAATAATTTATTTATTATCAATTTACACACATAAGTATTTAATTGTTATATAGCACTGGTGCTACCGGCATTTCGTGCACATAGCACGGAACAAAACCAGAAATTGTGCAATTATATATTACCCTCTGAGAACATTCATGGACGATGACTTTGTAGTTCATGTCCATGTTTTGAATGTCCATAGAGGGAGTATCACTTTTGGGGTCACTCCATAGCTTGGACACGAACCATAGCTCAGACACGAACCATGTATTATTATCGACTGTAATGGATGTAGTTGACGTCCACTTTGTCAGGGAGCGCATTAGGACAATATACCCGTTAAAGCGAGGTGGCCGCTCTCAGGTTTCTCTCTGGTAGTACACAATGAGATATTCGTGACAGATCTCATGTAAGCTAGTAAACTAGGAATACGCATGGGGAAAATTTTCTGGCCAGTCTAGTGGGTGACACCCGATTGACCACGTCGCCAATTGGCCAATTCATTGGTTACCCTAGGCACAGGTCGATATAATTGGCTGCGGTCAATCGCAACGTGGTCAAACGAGGCACTCTCCAGTCTAGTGCGCAAAAGATGATATTGTAAGCTCACTTACCGTCTATAAATCTTACAAGTCTGTGATAATCGTGCTTCTCACGTCATCCCACATCCCAATTCCACCAGTGTTCACAACAATGGTCGTGCCGGTTGTATTTTAGGTTAAATTATACTCGCATGATCTCTTATAAATTTAGTTTATAAATTCTAACAGACTACAAAAAAATGGACAATAAAATAACGATATGTGATCCTGACGAAGAAGAAATTGAAAATGATTTACTGCGTGATATCGAACCGATCATGTGGATCAATGACGATCCTAATTATGACTTGGACGAGATTAACATGTTTTTTCACAGAGTTGATTCAGCTCAAATTATATATGAAGAGAAAAAGAAAAAGTGTAAATTTATCGGCAAATATGTCATGGGTGACGTTCTCGGTGAAGGTAGTTACGGAAAAGTAAAAGAAGTATTGGATTCGCAAACACTCTGTCGAAGAGCGGTCAAGATATTAAAGAAACGAAAACTTCGTAGGATACCGAATGGTGAACAGAATGTTCAAAGGTATTTTTAACGAATGTATCTTTCTATGAGTCTTACATTGGTATGCATTGTTTTTTATCAAAATCTTTTATCGTTAGACACACAAGTGCAATCAGCCAGTTGCAATTATTTTTCTTTTTTATTGTTTTTGCTTGTTATCAATTAATATTTTGTTATTTACAGAGAAATAAAATTGTTAAGACTATTAAGACACAAGAATGTAATAAATCTCGTAGACGTTTTATATAGTGACGAGAAAGAGAAAATGTATCTAGTTATGGAATTTTGCGTATGTGGATTACAGGTAAATTTTAAAAAGTATCTTTTTCATTATCATTATATCTCTAAATATTAGATATGTATAAACATTATATACAAATTATTAAGCTAAACAATTTTAAGAAATGGAAATGATAGCGATTTTGCATTTCTGTGGAATATCATAATTGTTTATTTTGTTTCAATTAACATTATACAATTAAGGATTATAAATGATTAGATTATTGATTTATTTTCAGTTTTTATTTTTTATGCATCATTATTTACATTAATGTTGAATTTCGATATTGAATCTTTAGTATTGACATTTCAATTGTTTTTAATATATATATATATATATATATATATATATATATATATATATATATATATATAGAAATAAGAATGTTCTAAACATAATACTTATTAATTACTAAATAATATAAAGAATGTTTATATAATGTTTTGACAAATTGAAATATATAAATAATAGAGGAATTGTGGTTATTGTATTTATGTAATCATTTTACAATGACGAACATGATTAATTATAAGACATTTTATGATTCTGTTTCAAGAATTAAGTTACAAGGAAAGAATTCATAATTGTACTTTACAATTTATATTATTTGTATGATATATTTTACGTTATAATAACTATGTATTGTGTGTGTGTGTGTGTGTGTGTGTGTGTGTGTTGTGTGGTCGCACGTGCGCGCGCGCGCACGCGAAATTTTTTTTCTGATAAAAGAGAAGCTATAATAAAGCCATATTGAATTTTTTGCTTTTAATGTCTGTAACAATGGCTTGCATGAATTAACGACAATTAGATTTTTATTTATTAGATCCTTTACAGGATATGTTGGAAAGTGCACCAACCAAGAAGCTTCCTCTTTGGCAGGCACACGACTATTTCTGTCAGTTATTGGATGGTTTAGAATATCTTTACAGTAAAGGAATAGTTCACAAAGATATAAAACCTGGAAACTTGTTATTAACCTTAGATGGTACCTTAAAGATTAGTGACTTTGGCGTTGCAGAGGTACAAATACCATCTATAATAACTTCATTACTACTACAAATTTATGCAATTATAAATTATAAAAGCCGATTAAAAAAAAAAGCAAAAGTTTCTAATAAGGAAAAAGTATCTGCGAACACAAAGTCGATATCTATTTAAAAAATGTCAGTTATATATTTCACAACCATTGTGTTTCATTCCTATTTGTGATTTCGCATCTCCATTGTGCTAGGCATTAGACATGTTTTCCAAAGACGATACATGTACGATAGGTCAGGGATCTCCAGCATTTCAGCCACCAGAAATTGCAAATGGCTGCGAAAGTTTCTCAGGTTTTAAAGTAGATATATGGAGTAGTGGAGTTACATTGTAAGTAACATTTATATAGTATTAGTTAATAATGTATATATAATGCAAAAAAGAAAAAATATCGTATCTGTATTTTATAGGTATAATATAACGACGGGTTTATATCCTTTTGAGGGAGATAATATATATAAATTATATGAAAACATTGGAAGGGGCGAATATACTATACCCAAAGAAGTAGAGGAACCTTTAAAATCGCTTATAGAGGGAATGTTGCAGAAAGATGCAGACGAAAGATTTACATTACAACAGGTTAAAAGACATGCTTGGACCATATGCGAGCATCCTAAAATACAAAAAGAAGTACCTATACCTCCTCTTAAAAGTAACGAGTGTCATAGTATGACTGTTTTGCCATATCTAATGGAATATCACTATGGGATTGATGACAATCCTGTATATTACACAGAACATCAGCTAAATGGTAAGTCTATTAACGCCATTTTTCTTATATATTAAATGGGCTATAACATTGTGTGAAATTATATTGATAATACAGAATTATATAATCAAAAGAATCCTCATTGTAGTTCTTGTAATATCCTTCTTTTTTGTGTAATGTGATAGAATCGTAGAAAGTATAACGAAAATCTCTCTTTTTTTTTTTAGAAGAACGAAGACTTCAAGAACTGGATCGTATTAGCGAGGATCGAAAAACTACATGCAATAGTCATGTAAATGCTAAATCTAACACAAACAGTCAAAACAAACGGAGATGGCGTAAACCAATTTCGTGCATTAGTATTAAGAGATTTCCATCCTGCAAGCCATCGTGATTTCGCTGATTATATCGCTATTCTTTTGTTTATATTTCACTGACTGTGTCAGTTACAAAGTTTCTCTATGGTGGAGACGACTGAAAGCTCGATTAATGCTGTGCATACAAGATGTATGTAATCCAGCTATAGCACGAATAGAATGCTTTTGAGTCAATTCAAAAGTATCGGATGTAAACATTTGTGATATTAAGATTAAATCGTATAGCGCGAATAATTCAACGACACTTTATTAATCATTCGACTCATGAAATGTTCAATTAAAAGTCAAATTTCGTTCTGGTGCCATATGGATTAATAAAATTGTTAATCATCAGATTTTTGCATGATTTTACTTACAAAAAAAATCTCCCTGTAGCCCATAAAATTTTATTTATCATGGCAATTTGTACGGAAATCAATTATCATCAGCTATAATATTTTGCTAAATTTTTTAATTTTTTTTATTTACTTAATAAATAAGTATAAAAAATTTAATTATGATTATTATATTTTGATATATTACTGCTATATGGTTTCGACTGCACTTAATTTTTTCACATAAGATCTTTGTATTTATTAAAACTAATTATATATATACGTGTGTGTGTGTGTGTGTGCGTGTGTGTGTGTGTGTGTGTGCGCGCGCGCGCGTGTGTGTATATTAATTATTAATCACAGGCTTATATAAAAGATTTGAGCTCTCTAAAGTGATAGCTGATGATAAGACTGAAAATAGATATATGTGAGATAAGACGTTTTCTCCATCTTATGCTTTTGGAGGAGGAAACTTAGAGGAAATAGAATGAAGAGTGAGAGCGTAAAGTGACCGTTCCTCGTTTTCTTTTTCGCACCAACTGTACCATCAGAAAAAATGCGAGAAAAATCTTATTCTTTCTTCTATTCTATTATCTTCTTTCTTATTATAATGTCGCCTTTAATTTTTTCCAACATGTTAACAAAATCCTTTTTCGCGTATCAAATAAATTTTCAAAGTGATAAATGCTGCACGACATATATTATTACGTGCTAAAAATAGACGAATAAAATTAAATATTATCGCAAAATATGAATATCACTTGAAGATGTAATTGAACATTTTAAATATTTTAAGAAATAAAAATTTTAATTTTAATTTTTATAATAAATCTCTTTCAATTAAATGTTATTCATGCTATTCAAATATCCTAGCTATTATTTATACAAAGTAAATTTTGATAAAATGATGAAACAATATAATAACTATATAAACTATACAAAATGATAAAACTATATAACAATCATATAAATCTGCTCTCTATACATATAAATTATAATTATTATTCTGAACAAAGCCTTTTATCTACTTTATTGCTAGTTTTAGATTTACTTTGTTACTTAAATTTTCATCACAACTTCGATGCATTATTATGTATTGTTCAAATATTAAAATATTAATTAAATATTAAAATCTAAATTATTTTGAGTGATCTTTTTGCATGAAATAACGTCACATTACTTTATTATAATCTCTACATTTTTTTATACTAATGATTTATACATACATAGTCTTAGTTGTACAACTGCATGTACATATATATAGAATTCGAAAATTCAGTAGAGAAATTACAATAATAATATAATTTTGGTAATACATATAATGTTTTAAAATTAATGTGTGGTCATTATCGCTTATTACATAGCTTTTATTCTTTATTGTTTTAATTTTTTTGTATTTGAAACTATCAGACGTTGTTATGTTTATAATTTATGAATAATATAATTTAAATTTTAAATTAATAACGCGCTTTCGTAAAACATATTAAAATATATGACAGTATATTTTTATTCTAAATTATTATTAATATTGAATTATTCTTTAAAATATAAAAATATATCTCCGTTAAGAGTAAAAAATTTAAGGGGATCTGAAAAAAATACGCTTAGTACGCAGCATTATTTAAACATAATTAACATTTATATAAATATTAAATCATTACAAAAGGCCAATATGATATTAAAAACAATTAAAAAATTATTAACAATTATATATAACAATTTATTAGTAATTTCATATTTATTAATGATTTATTATATATATATAAATTTGTAAATATTACTTTAAACGGCATCACAAAGATGTTATATTTTTGATTTCTAAATAGTTGGATGCTTTATAAATTTAGTTTTTCAATGGCTGAATAAAAACTGAAAGTATTTGTTTTGTCTCTTGATCTGTGACCTTCGTATATCTATCTTGCGTTTAACATCGGAAATTTTGATTGATGTTTCGATTTTCTCGCTTATAACTTTGTTTATCTAAAAGTTATTTTAATAATTATCATCCATAATCCATTATAAAAGATTTCGTATTTAATAATTGTCGCATTCTCACACATTCTGAGTATCATTATAAATAGAATCATAGAAGATTATATAAAATATGCCGCAATTATAATGAAAAATAAATTTTAATAAAACATAAGTGTATGGAGATTTGGTTCATTAAAATTTACCTGGTCTAACTCTTTCTCGGAATACACATTGTTAACTATAACAATTAATGCCACAACATCATCAACTTGTCTATGAAAACAAAAACAATATACGTTTATCATAACATAATAAATTTTCATATGTCCATGTCTAATATGCCTTTATTAAATAATGTCATTACCTGAAATAATATCTAATATTTTGGAAATTCTTTAATATACCTTCAAGCAAAGGCTTAGTATTTTTGGCAACAGTAAAAAGAAAAATGTTAGTAGTTAAACTTTCAACTTGCTCTGTCGATTGATTATGATAAGATGGATTGTTCCGATAAAATTGCAAAATACCTGGTAATGTTATCAATATATAATCGATTATAATTTCAGAATTTTCAACGTATGCAAGACATTCTAAAATTGTATGGTCTATTTTTTTCTTATTTTCATTAAAAAGATTAATTTTATTAAATTGATCACGATCTATCGTTTTTAAACCATTACAATATGTCCACCTCTTCCATCCAGGTAAAATTCTACATAAGACAATCCAGAAATAAATAAATTGCTTTAGTTACATAAATAATTTTTGACATAAATAATAATTGATTTCTCAAACGTATATAAAATATTTCTATAATGTACTTAATTCCTATAATATACTAATAACATTCCTATAAGGAAATATTATAAGAAGAATTACTTGTTTTTTTGAGGATTTTTCAAATGCAATTGCAACTGATTATTAGCCCATGTTTTGCACGACATATCATCATCTATAATACATTTCCACTTTGCGAGTTCTTCCTTTAAACATTTAATACGATCATCATTGATATCTTTGCGGAATAGATCCCATGTTAAATCAAGCAGGTATAACAGTTCCTAAAATTGGATAAAAAAGGTATCTTTTTATTTAATTCTTTTATAATATTTACAGGAATAGATATAATATATATGCAGAAATATTTTTAGTAGATAATTTTATTTTAATAAATATATATAATTTTATAGCATGAATTATTACAATATCTAATTTTACCAATTTCTTATTTGAATAATTCTATACGTTTACATCATCTAAATAGATGCATTATTTACATGTATATATCGTTCTGTATACATTGATTTTAATCAATTAAATTGCTTAATCGCGATCTCTTTTTCAATTATTTTATTTTAAATATGTTGTATGTCATTATATGTATATTTAAATTATACCGAAGTTAAAAATTTCAAATTTATAAATTTTATTTATAAACAAGTATTAACAAAATGTTTAAATAGACACTTAAATGGATTAAAATGTGTTTTATTTAATTTAAAAAAAGTTAAAAATATAACTAAAAATATAGCTTATGCAAAATATTTTCAAGTTTTTAATATTCGCTGCAAAAATTTATAACAGAAGAAAATTAAAATAATGAAAATAATTGGTATTTATTCTATAATTGTATTCTATAATTTTTTAAAATTTAATATAAATTATATCATTTATTATATGATATAAATTCTACAATATTTATATTATGTACACGATACATATATAGTATTCTGCAATATTAATATTACAGAAACATAGAATCAAACATGTAAAATCTATAAAATTAGTTATTAAATTTATAAACATACATAAGCATCTTTTGAAATTAAATTTTTGATTTTTGGCACAGGAGGAACTATATTAAATTTATTTGTTTAATTTTCTACATGAACCTAAGTAAAGAATTATTTCACGAATTAATTCAAGAATTATTATTATAATATATGAAATCACGATTATGGTATGTATTATGTATTGGGTTAATAGAAAATTCCTCGATAAAATTTATTATTGTGTTTACCTGACATGAAAAAAGACAATCGTAAAATCTGAAAGTATTTGATATAAATTCCAAAGCTTTCAGCATAGGATACCATGCTATATAATCTTTTTCTTTGTGCAAATAAGTAGCGAGTTCCCAAAATACGGGAGATTCAAGTTTCTTCTCTATCGCAAAATGGAATGCATCATCGATGATTTGCGCTCGATTGAGAACATGTATATTTTTATATTCTTTAGAATTTAAGTATCGCGCAATTTTTCGCCAATTCTCGGTATCATAATTGACACGATAGTATCCTATTATAAAACAAATTGTTTTTGTCGGTTAGTATAATCTTTTATTTATATTGATAAAATATATTACGAAATGTAAAAATATCTCGAGATTAAATATATTTAGAGAATTGTGTATTTTCTATTTTTGTTATTTAACACAAAAGCTGTATCAAAAATATAACATATGTTATATGTATAATAATAAGGAATAGTAATCTCAACTATATTACAATTGATGAAATTACAATATTTTCGTAGTATATTTTGAAGTAATTTGTATTACATATATGTAAAACAATTTACATGTAACTTATATATATATATATATACATATATATATATATATATATATATATATATATATAAATTTGTTACAATTCTCTATCATTTTTAATAATAAAACTTTATATGTAATAATTCAATAATTATTTATAAAAAACTTTAATGTGCGAAAAATTTTGATTAAAGTTAAATTAATTTTGATTCATTTAATCATGATATTGAAATTATACACACAATATAAATAGATTAATAAAAATATAAGTTTCATAATATAAGTAGTATAAGTATTATTCAATTTTTACCAGCTTGTTGTAAATTTAAAATTATCCATTGATCTTTCTCAAGAAAGAGTTCAAATTTTGAATTCGATGGTGTTAACGAAATATTTGACCAAGTTATGGTAAAATTGGGCTTTGATTCCGTAGTATAAGTCACGGGTATGTAATATTGTTTTTCATCCAACTTATCGTGAAAAAATACCGATATAGTTACAACATCCCTAGAATAATTTCGCATCACCTCCAACACTGGGAAACATCTTTGCATAGCCCATGAATGCACCGTGCTTTTTATGTGAAACTGATACTCGGAATCTAATTCATCTATGACCTTTTGCATAGCCTTCCATAAATTATCGGAAGTTCTTTCCACAGGCTTAGCATATCTATAAGATTTAACAGTGTGGCAATAATATCAAACACTGTATGTAATTGATCAGCATTATAAAAAAATCACAATTAATTTATCATTGTATTTTAATTTAAGTTACAACTAACGTAGACATAGAGATATTTAAGTTTCACCATATAATTTTAATATATATAAACAGTGATTTTAATTTACATAGATTAAAGCTTTTTTTTATTATTATTAGTTTTATACTATGCGCATGCTGAGGTATGTGATATATATATATATATATATATATATATATATATATTATTATTATATTAGAATATATTATACTCACCGAATGTTTAAATATATGTTGATTATTTTCGAAAATTTATCAGGTGACATGGTTCGTTCTAACATCCGCCATATAATGGAGCCTATGATTATTGAAATAAAAACTTAATTATATATATTTAAAATGTTTTTATTGCCCGATAAAAGCATTTTAAATATAATAAATCACTTTTTGTAAATTTATAATTAATTTTTTACAATAAATATTTGTAAATATATCTAATTACAATTGAACAACAAAGTTTTTGTAGTCAAATTTAGATGACAAAAGCTAAAAGAATGTTAAATGGGGGTTCCAATGAAAAAACTAATTATAACAAATATATAATGAATGATTAAGTATATGTAAAAATAACAAAAAAATTACGCCATCATAAAAAATTGAAAGTTTTAAGTTTTTTGCAGTAGTAGATAAATATATTTATAATTATAATTTAAAAAATTATTTTATTATGTAATTGTACAAAAATTATACAAAAAGAGAAGTTAGTTTTCAGTTTTATGTATTTTTTGATACTGTCATTATAAAGAATATAATAAAATATAGTAGTAATAAAAATAAAATAATGATAAAATTAAATTACAATTAAATTACATGTTTACAATTTACATTTTTAACTTTTCATGAAATTAACATTGTAATATTTAAAGTTTATTTAATTATTTATTAATTCTGTGTTATTTACATACCTTTGAAATGCGAAACAGAAGAAAATAAATAATTTTCCGGATAGCTACTATATCCTACAGCAGAATTTATTACGATATGAGTGTTTAAATCGAATAATTCGTGTTGAACTTGAACTGCAAATAAATCCATCATCCCGGAATAAGGCAAAACCTAAATGCAATTCAACATAATTAATCTATAATTCATTAAAAATTAAAACAAATTATGTATACAAATTGGCTTTATGTGCTTGTTAAAAAAATATATATATGTATATAATCTTTGTAAGTTTTTTCTTAATAATTTAAATATAAAAACGTACATTTTTTACTTTTTATTAAAGTTGTATAGGATTATCATTACATAAAGAACTTAAACAATCATTTTTTTCTATATTTATATGTATAAAAACGGTAAATTTATATAAATATTCAAAAATTTTTTATATTGCAAACTATTAATTGTTTTATCTGTGTATTCATGTCTTAGAAATAAAACAACCTTATCGACAATATATGCTTGGAGAAATATATTAAAGCTTTCATTTAACCATAGTTGAAACCAATAAGATGGATTCAACAGATTGTCAATATATTTTTGTATTATCCCTCGCGCTATTAAGGATGCAATTATCATTTTGCGTCCAGTAGTATCCAATTCATCACTGTACGTGATATCTGCTTCTCTAAAATCATTATATTAATATGTACATATAAGTGTTTGAAAAATATTAATATAATTTTTTAATTAAATACACTAACATGTTATAAAATATATATTTATCTTTAATTATATATATTACCTATAAAAGACGAATCCCAAAGTCTGTTTGACTTCATTTTGTAAATTAGGGATTACGAAATAATATTCTTTGCTCTTGGATGAAACAAGGAATCTCTCCGAAATATTCCAATAATTTTTCAAATACATAGTAATATTTTCAGCAACATATAGTGCAAATGTCATATGCGATATCATGTTTGGTCTGCACCACATGCTAACGGTTTCAGTCAATACGGTCTCATGGAAATCGGATTTCACAAATGCTATATTATCTATGGAAATCGAATCAATATTGTTAAAATATGTCCATACCATAGCATTGTCTACCAGTGTTTCAGATTCTTGCATTATATATTGCATATTCGACAAAACTTTGTATCTTCGATGATGCTTTATGGAAATATCAAAAGTAGTTCTTAATTCTGGCTTATTCCAAAACCGAAATATTTTCCAGTTTTTCGTTTGGGCATCTATTATTGTAATTAACCACCTGCCATATTTTGATGATATTAATGATATTACTTTAAATAATGATTAATTTTAAAATTGTAAACGTAGAATTTATAAATATATAATTTGTTATTTCAGATATTCTTCTACTTACTCTTTATTTCCATCATCGTTTATATACGAAGTTCCGAAAGAGTCTCTTATAATATTAATTGGAATTTTAACATTTATATTTAGATTATACATTCCAGGCAACAAGACATTTTCGAATTTATATTTGATACAAGATTGAACAATATTGTCTGTATAACATGATGACATTGTTTCATAATGCACTCTATTGTCATTTTGCTTTAATTCCAATCTGATATACTCATACTTTGTTATACTGATTGGATGCAATATGTGGAAACTTATTTCTTGTGTTGCATGAATAATATAAATAGTAATTACGTATTCGCCAATGAAATATTCCTCGAGCAATTCTAACTTCATGTTATAATGTAACGGCAGTATATAATCTGATAGTTTGTTGATTAATGCGTTGCGCTGTACGTTTTCTGTTATTTTATCAATAGAAATTGCTGTTGCCATTATGGCAATGTATATCAGACTACTACTTAATAATAATTTTAAGAATGCCATGTTAAATTTCATTTGAATATCTATAAAATCAATTTCTTTATTAGAAACAAGGTATTTATAAAGAATATGCAATTCAATCGACTTTTGTGTAAAAAGGCCTTAAAAGAATTTAATTTTCATAAGAAAATATGATTAATTTAAAGAATGATTAAACAATACAATTTATTAATAAATGAAGGAAATCATTGATAAAAAGTAACTATAAAATCTTATCGAAATGTTATATTAGATATTTTTCTTGAAAATGAATATCAGAAGACATAAAGAACATATTTAGATAATTTCGAAAAGGACAAATAAAATAAACATAATTTTTATTTATTTATCTTATATTCAGTTTCATCTTCTAATACAAGATTTCTTTTAATGCAATTACATATTTCTGTGCTTTTCATATTATGACATTCTATATAAATAACAAGTTTTAAAAATTCCTTTCTTTCCTTTAATTTCTATATCTCTTAATTTTTTTCTTATATATACATGTTAAATTTATAAAAGTATTAAAATGTATGAGAATATTCTCAATAGCTGGATTTTATATTTACTAACACGTTGTATGTTTACTATTGTGTTACTTTCAAAGCTTATATGCCCCTCCTGACCTTAAATGAGAGATATTGAAATTAAGTGAGAGATATTAGAAACGAACGAATAATAAACATGTATCAAATTTATTTAAAACTTAATTGATATAATAATTTGTATCAAAAAATTAATTGATATAATAATTCGGTGAAAAAATATTAAAAGAAACGATATTAATATATCATGGCATACGCACTTTTTCGAACAAAATATTAATCTACTGTTCGTACCTTATTCGCATTCGTTACATATTTAATTTAAGATTATTATTTAACGTAATGTTGGAGGAGAATATTGATTCTGGATATTGATTCATTATAAAAAAATGTTGTACAAACATAATAAGGATAATGTTAAATATTTTTCAGATAGTTTTACAGCTGTGGCGTAAAAGTGAACACATATAATAATATTATAACGTGAACAAATACTTAGATTTTATATTTTTTCTATATCAAAATATGACCAAATTATGTTATTATAATATATTCCTATTTTCTTATTAGCTGCATTATTTACAGAAAATAAAGGTAATAATTGCAATATAAAAGTATGTCTTTTGAAAATTGAACAGGAATGTCTTTTTTAAGAAACAAAATAGCTGACTGGTATTCAATATATCTTTATATGGAGACGTTCAAAAAAAAGGAGATATATATATAAGTAGTTTATGTAGATTTATTTAAAGGCTTACCCTATTTGTTGAGCCAGACATAAGTTTAATTCTAAATACATAAACGTTCAATAGCGATCTTACCGCTTCAAAAGACTATTATAAACTGACGACCATTGACATCTGAATAGATAGACGGAGCCTTTTGAGAGGGGTAACTGATAAATGCAGTAAGGGGGGAGTGCATGTTATTATGATGACTCATTGTTATTATGATGACAATAGTCAAACGATGCGTTAAACATCTTTATATTTTTAATCGTTGTACAAAGAATGCAGAAATTCTGTCTGTCTCTTGATCTCCAATTGACGTTTTTCTATCTTGCGTTCAACATCGGAAAGAATTGGTTCTTCAATCTCTGTTTTAGTGAATGTTTTTACCTAAAAGAGATTATTTTAACAATGGTCATCAATAAATGATTTCGTAATTGTCGCATTATCACATAGCTAAAATCTTATTAACAGAATTATAGAACAAAATACATAATAGACTGTATATAAAATATATAATATGTATATACAAAGTGTTTTTGTGGTCATTGTTACTAATTTCTAAAGTATAGGAACTAAAATTGAATATTTTTTGACAATAAATTCATGTTTGCAAATTGATAGTTTCAACTCGATAGCAACTAAATGATATTTTCAGTCCAAAGCTTTGTTGAAGACAACCTATTCAACGCTACTGCGTGGGCTAGCTCGCTATTTTCCCTATACGATGGTTGAGCAGCAGAGGATTTGTGCAAGAGAGATGTTTTTCTTATATTTTTATTATAATTATTGTTTTATTTTATTTCAATAAATATGACAACAGTTGCTGAAAAAGAGTTAATTTGCCGTTGCATGCATGGCAATCATGTTTTTATTGATTCTATCAGAGATTTATCATCTCTATCAAGGCGCTAGATTGTGTGAAAGTATTATTTTTGGACTTGTGTTGAAATTATGAATTCGTAAACATAAGTTAATTGTCAAAAAATGATCATTTTTGCTGCCTTTACTTATCATATGAGTTTATATTATCAACCTTAAAACACATATACATGCATAGTAAAAAATAAATTTTCTAATAAAAATTTAACAAATAAATATGTAACTTTGATATAGTAAAATTACCTCGCCCAACTGTCTTTGAGAATATATATTGTTAATCATAACAGTTAATGCCACAATCTTACTTACGATACGCCTAAAAATAAAACAGTATACTCATAATTAACATGAACAATAAACTTTTAGATATTTTTATAAAATAATATCGTATTACTTGTAAGAATATATAATTGGTCTGAAGTCATTTAATATGTTCTTAAGCATATACTTAGTATTTTTGGCAAGAGTGAAAAGAAAAATATTAGCAATTAAAGTTTCAGTTTGCTTTATCGATTTGGATTGAGGTAGATTACGTAGATTTGGTGCTTTTATCTTTATATAATCCATTATGGTTTCATAATTTTCCTTGTAAACCAGACATTCTGAAATTGTATGATCAATTTCTTTTATGCTATCATTAAAAGCTTTATTCCATGTATCAGTATCTGCCGTTTTCAAACCATTACAATATGTCCACCTCTTCCATCCAGGCAAAAGTCTATAGATGACAAAAAAAAGAAGTAAAAATTACCTAACGAAATTGTGCTAACTGTTCTAGTGTTATATAAATATTTTTGATGTAAGTGATAATTAATTTCTCAAATGTTTGTACAATATAAAAAATATCTCGATAAATAATCAAGTATTATAAGAAGAATTATTGTTTTATAAGAAAAATACTTGTTTTTTTATTTGTCAGTTGTATTATAAGAAAAATACTTGTTTTTTTTATTTGTCAGATGCCACTGCAATTGTTGATTTGCTTTTGTTCTGCATGGGATATCATCTATAATACATTTCCACTTTGTGAGCTCTTGTTTTAAATATTTAATGTGATCATCATTGCTCTTTTCGATGAACAGATTCCACGTTAATTCGAGCGATTTTAGCATTACCTATAGTTCGATAAAAAGCATTTTTTTATTTAACTCTTTCATATAATTTACAAGAACGGCTATATAATTTACAAGAACGGCTATATATAATGTATGTGCAAGTGTATATGTATGTATTTTTGCAGAAAATTTTATTTTAATATAAATACATAAAATTTTATTTTAATATAAATACATAAAATTTTAGCATGAACTACTACAATATCCAAATATTTCATGTATTTGAATAATATATATTTCATATCATTTTATATCACTTTATATCATTTAATGCAATTTGTATGCATTATTAATATGTATATATCGCTCTGTATACATTGATTTGACGATTGATAAATTGGCTATAAGATTCGTTTTTTTGAATTGCTTGAATTTAAATATTGCATATTACACAATATCGATTTAAAAAATTTCAAATTTGTAAATTTTTATTTTTTATAAAACAGATATTTACAAACTTAATATGTACTGTATATAATGTAATAAAATTTAAAACAGTAAATTTCTACAAAATATTTTATAAAGATTTTAATATCGCTGCAAATTTTATAACGGAATAAAACTAATATAATAAAAAATAATTGTAATATTGCATTCTATAATTTTCTAAAATTAAATATAAATTATTTCATTTATAATGTAAATTCTATAGTACTAATATTACAAGAAAATAGTAATTCGAAAAGTTCAAAATCTAAAAAATGTAGTTATTAAATTTAAAAACATAATTGTCGTAAAAAATCGTCTTTTAACATAAAATTTTTTACTTTTGACAATGAAGAAATATATAATTAAGTTTATTTTTTTACTTCTCTGTATGAACCTAATTTTTAAAGAATTATTTTAATGTTAAAGAATTATTTTTTAATATTATGATATACATAAAATCACGATTATAATATATATTATACATTGGCATAAATAGAAATTTTTTTAATAACATTTATTATTTTTTACCTTTAATCGAGGATGAGATTTTAAGAGTATGAAAATATTCGACATAAATTCAAAAGCTTTGAGCATAGGATACCATGCTATATAATCTGTCTCTTTTTGTAAATAAGTAGCGAGTTCCCAAAACACGGAGGATTTAAGTTTCCTCTCTATCACAAAATGGAATGCATCATCGATAATTTGCGCTCGATTGAGAACATGTATATTTTTATATTTTTCAGAATTTAAGTATCGCGCAATTTTTTGCCAATTTTCGGTATCATAATTGACACGATAGTATCCTATTATAAAACAAATTGTTTTTGTCGGTTATTATAATTTTTTATTTATGATAAAATATATTTTGAAATGTTAAAAATATTTCGAGATTAAATATACAATAGATGACATTTCAATATTTGTATAGTATATGTAGAAGTAACTTGTGTTATTTATATATTTGAGTATGTTTCTTTATTATTTATAATTAAAATCTTATATATAATAATTCAATAATTTTGAAATACTTTAGTGTGCAAGAAATTTTGTTTAAACTTAAATTGGTTTGACTGTAATCACAATATTAAAATTATATATGTAGTATAATAAATAGTAAATAAAAATATAAGTTATTATTCAATTTTTACCAATTTGTTGTAAGTTTAAAATGATCCATTGATCTTTCTCAACAAAGAGTTCAATTTCTGAATTCGATGGTGTTAACCAAATATTTGACCAAGTTATGGTAAAATTGGACTTCGATTCCGTAGTATAAGTCACGGGGAACATGTAATATTGTTTTTCGTCCAATTTGTTAGGAAATTGTACCGATATAGTTACAAAATTGCTTGAATTATTTCGCATCGCTTGCAATACGGAAAAACATCTCTGCATAGCCCACGAATGTACCATGCTTTTTACATTTAACTGATACTCGGAATCTAATTCATTTATAACACTTTGCATAGCCTTCCATAAATTATCGGAAGTTGTTTCCATGGGCTCAGCAAGTCTATAAGATTTAACATTGTGAATAATATTAAACATTGTCTATAATTGATCAGCATTATAAAAAAAATCACAATTTACATAATTTATTTACGTATTTTAATGTTATAATATAAATTTCACATAGAGATATATAGAAATTTTTAATTTTAATACATATTTTTATAATTTAATGTATAAACTTAAAATAAAATATTTAATATAACTTAAATATACATACATATATATATATATTTCTTAAGAACAACTCGAGTTGAAATTCACTCGAAAAACACTCATAAATAAAAATAACTGCGTAAATCTGAGACTCTTCAAATACATATATCCTTTAAATAATAAAAGAAAGGAAACGTACTATAATATACTTTGATTTTCTCTTTTGTTACGATGTATATACGATGTATATATGTGTATACATATATCATTATAATATTATAATATATTCTACTTACTGAATGTTGAAATATACGTTGATACCTTTTAAAAATATACTAGGTGACAATGTTCGTTCTAACATACGCCATATGATGGAACCTAGAACGAAAATATATTTTTCTTAAATATATTTAAATTTAATAAATTAGATCTTTATAAAAAATCACATTTATGTCTTTTCATATTTTTTGTAGTTGTAATTAAACATGTGCAGTTATAATTAGAAACAATATACAGAAACAATATGTATTAGTCTTAGGTTTTTGATATCTTTTTCTTACACAGCAAGAATTAATTTGTTATAAAATATTATAACAAAATAATAATAAACAAATGAACTGCGAAATACAAATAAATTTGTTTATATCTATAATTTTTTTGGTTCCTCTATAATATTGATTTTTGGGAGAATTATAGCTTATTTATTTATTTACATAATGTTATATATTACAATTGATACATACCTTTGATATGGGAAAGAAAAGTGCACATATAATTTTCAGGATAGTTATCATATTCTACAACAGAATTTATATCGACATAAGTGTTGAGATCAAGTAATTCATGTTGAATTTGAACTATAAATAAATCCATCATTCGGAAATCTGGCACAATCTAAAAATAAAATTTGAGTATAAAATTAATCGAGAAAAAGAAAGCTGTTGACATATATATATATATATATATATATATATATATATATATATATATATAAACAATTATAATCTAATTGCTGCTGTTAAACATAATTTGTAATATTTTGTACATTCATAAAGTACATACATAAAATACAGACATAAAGTTTGAAACTAAGCAAATGTGTTTCTATATTTAATATGTGTCATGGTTTAAAAAATTTAATGTTGTTATAATTACATAAAAAATATATTTATAAGATTTTGTAGAATGATTTTAAGTTAATTAAATTATTAACGCAAATTTTTCTTTAATAATTTTATCAATTAAGGATTAAAAGACTTTATCAATTACTAATAACTATTAACGTCATGTTTTATCCAGGCGTGTGATGCACTATCATTCGTGGTCCTTTTATCGTGAAATTCAAATTTATGTCAATAATTTTAAATTTAAAGTGCATGTCATATTTTTATTAAATTTTTCTAAATGGATTTGAAAAATAGATAAGAATTTAAAAAACTGAAATAAGACTCGCGTTAACAAGATTTTTGATTGAAAAAATATCAAAAAGGAATTTACAAATATTTAAGAATTTTCTGTACACGTTGTTGTACTATTAATTAATTTAACTACATATTTAAATAGAATTAAAGATAAAATTACCTCATCGATGATATATGTTTGGAGAAATATAATAAAGCCTTCATTTAACCATAGTTCAAACCAATAAAATGAATTCAACAGATTGCCAATATATTTTTGTATTATATTACGTGCAACTAAGGGTGCTATTATCGTTTTGCGTCCGATATAATCTAATTCTTCATTGTAAATGATATCTGCTTCTCTAAAAATCATTATATTAATATGTATATTGTATAAATATTTGAAAAATATTAATATAATTTTTGAATTAAATGCTAACTTATTATAGAATATATATCTATTTTTAGTTATAAGTATTACCTATGAAAGATGAATCCTAAAGTCTGTTTGCTTTCATCTTGTACATTTGGGATTGCGACATGATCCACTTTGCTCTCAGATGAAACAAGGGTCCACTCAATTAATCTTTTCGAATTAATCCAGTAATTTTTCAAGTACATAGTAACATTTTTAATAACATTTAGCGCAAATTTTGCATGCGGTATTAATTGCGGTCTACACCACATGCTAATGGTTTCAGTCGAATTGAGCTGATAAAAATCAGTCACCACAAATATTATATTATCTATAGAAATCAAAACATTCTTGTATAAATGTATCCATTCATCATTGTATGGATTAAATTCAGTTTCTTGTATTGGCATATTCGACAAAACTTTCCATAATGAATGATGCACTGTGGTAATATCAAAAATAATTTTTAATTTTGGCTCGTTCAAAAACGGAATTATTTGCTGTTTTCTTGATTGGGTATCTATTATGAACAACCACCTGCCATAATTTAACAATATGCTTTAAATAATGACTAATTTTGGGCAATTGTAAGCGTAAAATACACAAATACAGAGAGTTACTGATATTTTAATTTATTCTTCTACTTACTCTTTATATCCATCTTCGTTTATGTACAAAGTTCCGAAAGACTTTCCTATTATACTCATTTTAATGGTATAAATTATAGATAGATTGTACATTCCAGGCAATAGGACATTCTTGAAATTGAACACGATAATATTGTCTTTATCATAATTTGTTGATATTATTGTATAATGCATTCCATTGTCATTTCTAATTAATTCCGATCTTAATATTTTTATCGAATCCGGTACATGAACATTTATGTATTGTGTTGCATAAAGAATATAAATAGTTATTACACATGTACCGTAGAAATTAAAGTAGAGGAATTCTAGCTTTATGTCATAATGCAACGGTAGTATATTATTGTCTGATAAAATGTAGTTTGTATATGTAGTTGATACATTATGCCTCACAACATTCGATTTTTCATCGGAATTCTCTGTTGCCATTGTAGCAATGTATATTATACTAATACTTAATAATAATTTTAATAATGTCATGTTAAGTTTCTTTTGGATTCCTACATAAAAACGTTTTCATTATTAGTAACATAACATGTGCAAACATAATGCTAAATAAAAATATCAATGTAATAAAATTTAAAAATAGAAAATTTATTAAAACGATATATAAAATATATTCTTTGAGCTTAAACATAAGGATATATGAAAAACATGTATCCTTATGTTCAAGCTCAAAGAATATATTTTATATATTCTTATGTAATGAGAAGTCGGAAAAAAGGAAAACAATAAACATAATTTTTATTTCTCTCAAGTTCAATTATTTTTAGGGTTTTATCTTACATATTTTTGTTTTGCATTTCATAATAATTAAGTTCTATACGTAATATGTTTGTATGTTTACTAACATGTTATTTTCAAAATGTTTTGTCTTTTCATCCTTAAGAGAGTGATGTATTAAAATTGAACAAAGGATAAACGAACAATAAATGTCCAGCCGGAATTAAATTTATTAAAAGTTTTATTGACATAACTATTCGGATTAAACATGGAAATAATAATATAAACTTTGTTAGCACTTTCTATGGCATGCAAATGTATTCGGGCAAAATATTAACTTATATATATTGCATGTTTTTCTTATATGTTCGAGTTATATATTCAACTTAATGTATATTCTATTTATCTAACGTTCGAAAATATTGATTTTAAGCATTTATTATAAAAAAAATGTCTTAGGAATTTTGTAACGCCAACAAAATTGTCTGGATTTTATATTTTTTATATGTCAAGGAAATAAAATTATGCTATTACAATACATGTCTAAGTCTCTTCGTTTAATCACAATATATGCAGAAGATGAAAAATATTGCAATAAAGAATTATATTTATTTGAAAATTGAAGAGAAATGTCTTTTTTAAAAAACAATATAGTTGACTGTTTTTCTATTCACACATTCATGTATGCATATGTTCAAAAAAGAAAAAAAGATGAGTATTTTATATTGTATTTAGTTAATGTTTTTTACCTTATTTGTTGAACCAGCCACAGATTTAATTACAAATGTAATATTCAATCGAGATCTTACCGCTTCAGCAGATTATTATAGACTGATGGTGCCGTCGACATACCTGACGTATGTAATATACGTGTCATGTAAATATCATGATCATAACAAGAGAATCTTATTTTCATCGCTCGAGAAACAATGTTGAATCTATTCTTATCAATCAAAATGCTACAACTACTCTGATATAAAGAGACTATATAATGGAAGCGAACTTCAAATGAGGACAACTAACGTTTAATAAAACAATTCAATAGTATTGACATTAATGAACTATTTACATATTTGAAAAATAAAGCCTAGTTTCTGTGAGAACCCAATACTTACAATTATTTTAATATCTATCAAAGGATAAATCTACTCTTGAATAAATATATTTAAATTTAATAAAAATTTTATCATTATATGAAATCAATAATATTCATTTCTTTATATATTTTTTGTAGTTGTAATTAAACATGCAGTTATAATTAAAAACAGTATACAGAAATTAGTTTTAAGTTTAAACATTTTTTTTATCATAGCAAGAATAAATTAAAATTAATTAAAATATTATAACAAAATAATAATAAATAAATAAATTGCGAATTACGAATAAATTTGTTTATAATCAATGTATATGTACATACCTTTATTATAGGAAAGAAAAATGTGTATATTTGTATAATTTTCAAAATAGTTTTCCTTTTCTATCTCAGAATTTATATCCATATAAGTATTGAAATCCAATAATTCATGTTGAACTTGAACTATAAATAATTCCATCATTCGGAAATTTGGCATAATCTGATAGTAGAATTCGAGTATAAAATTAATAAGAAAAGGGAAAGCTGTCGATACACTTACAAACAATTATAACACAGGTCTGCGAAAGTTACGAAAAACAGAGTAGGTAAATCTGATATATTTTTTGACATTGAAAATGAATCTGGCCACAGAATTTCCCCAGCACATCAGGTTTTCAATTTATAGTTAAATAGTCCAAAAATGACAATTTCGGTAAATTTTATGAATTTATTACGGAAGAACCTAATTTTTGAAATATTTCTACCAATAGTATCATATAATATTAGTCTTCACCTTTTAAATCCATTTTCAAATTCATTTTAATAAATTCATGAAATTTGCCGAATTAGCCATTTTCGGACTATTTAACCACAAATTACTCAAAAACCTGATGAGCTGGAGAAATTTTGCAGCCAGATTCATTTTCAGCGTCAAAAAATCTTTCATCCACTCTGCTTTTTGTAAGTAACCAAATCTAAAATGTCGCAGGTCTGTGTAATCAATCGCTGTGTAATCATGCTGTTAAATATAATTTATAATATTTTGCATATTATAAGATTTGAAACTATAGTAAAATATGTCTCTATATTTAATGTTATATTAATGTTTGTCAGTTAGTTTAAAAAATTGAATGTCGTTATAATTATATAAAAATATATATATAACATGTTTATTAAATGCTTATAAGTTGAAAGTTCTTTAACCATTTTAATAATTTTAACAATTAAAGATTAAAAAGATCTCATGTATAACACAATATGAATAATAAAAATTTGAATTTGGCAGTAAATAAGAGTTAGACACGGATGATTGTGCATCAGAGTCATCGGAAATTAATTTTTTGGTGAAACTGAATTGTATACTGGGCATAAATTTTTCTTTGTCCATATATCAAGTGCATAATTAAATCTTAATTTGAAGTTTTTATAAAATTCTCTTAACATTTTCAACACCTTTTAACACTTCTAATATCTCGAAGAAGCATTGACGAAAAAATGGCGGGGCGAAGTCGAGAGATCGAGAATCAAATGATATAGAGAATCATATGAGTCTTTACCTAAAGACTGCTCTTACCACTAATTGTAAGACATCACATCTCGATGTTTCTCATTTTGCCTACAAATATTTCTTACTAATAATTATTAGCAATTAATATTTCAAAGAGGCTTGTGAAGCACTATCATCTGCGTCTGATTTTTATTCGTTGTAAAATTCAAATTTGTGTTAATAATTTTAATTTTAAAATACATGTTATTTTGTGAAATATATACATTGAATTTCTCTAATGGATTTATAAGAATTTAAAAGACTCGAGCAATCATAAGACTCGAATTAGCATAGTTTTCAATTGAAAGAAATATTAAAAAATAATTTACACAAATATTTAAAAACTTTCAGATTATTGTACTATTAATGTACAATTGAACTATTAATTATTTTCATTGTATATTTGAATAAAATTAGAGATAAACCTATCTTATCAATAATATATGGAAAAATATAATAAAACCTTTATTTAACCATAGGTCCAACCAATAAGGTGGATTAAACAGATTGCCAATACTTTTTTGTATCATCCTACGTGCTACTAAGAATGCAATTATCATTTTACGTGCGACAGGATCTAATTTTTCATTATAAATGATATCTGCTTCTCTAAAAATATTTATACTAATATGTATACTAATGTATGAAAAGTTTTGGATTAATATAATTTTTATTTCAATACATTAACATATATTATAGAGTATATATCTTTAATCATATATATTATCTGTGAAAGACGAATCCCAAAACCTGTTTGATTCCATCTTGTAAATTAGGGATTGCGACATGATCCACTTTGCTCTCAAGTAAAAAAGTAAGGATTCTTCTGGAATTATTCCAATAATTTTCCAAATACGTAGCAAAACTTTTAATAACATGCTTTGCAAATCTTGCATGCAATAACATTTGCGGTCTGCACCACATAGTAACGGTTTTAATCAAGCCGATCTGATAAAAATTGGATACCGTAAATGTTACATCTGTGGAAATCAATGAGCAGTCTTAAAATATGTCTGCAGACATATGTGATGCAAACATATTTTAAGACTGCTTTGATTTCTATAAATGATGTAACATTTATGGTGTCCAATTTTCATCAGATCAGCTTGATTAAAACCGTTACTATGTGGTGCAGACCGCAAATGTTACTGCAAGATTTGCAAAGCATGTTATCGAAAGTGTTGCTACATATGCTGCTTTGCTTTCCAGAGAAAGATAGGGATGTATGTGGGAGGAGGTCGAACGTGTCTTTACGTCCATTTGATCAACGAGCGACAGAATCCATCCGTGGCAACGGCATGGACGCATATTCTGTGGAGAGAGCATTCCACTTTTTAGCCTAACGAATAAGGCTAGAAATTGTTAGAAAACAATATTCGCAGACTAGAAAAACATGTGAGGCGCAAGTAGCTGAATCGGGAATCGAACCCGAGTCTTTCTCTTTCTCCGGGCAAGTGCTCTAAATCACTGAGCTATCCAAACCTCACACCAATGCTGCTTTTTAACACAGTGATACGCGTCTCCAGAGCGATGTTGATATCTCACTCGATGGATGCAAATGTGCCGATTGCCATGGAGGATTCCTGAAAGGTCGCTCGCTGACCAAATAAGTGCCGGTGGAGGTATTCGCGTACATGCTGGCTTCCGACTGGCCTTCCGTATGAAAAACTATCATTTGCGTCTGGCAGACTCTACATCATATCATTGTCTATCAATCTAGATTCTTATATCGGCAAAGCTTTGTATCTTCGATGATGTATTATGGAAATATTAAAGGTAATTTTTAATTTTGGCTTGTTTCAAAACGGGAATATGTGTTTTTGTCTCTTGTTTGGATATCTGTTGCGATTAACCACCTGCCACATTTTAACGATAAGCTTTAACTAAGGACTAATTTTAGACAATTGCTAATGTAGAATGCACAAATATAGAATTTGTTTTTGTAATTTGATATTTCAATTTATTTTTCGACTTACTCTTTATTTTCATTTAAGGTAATATCTTACCTTATTTGTTAAAGTAACCATAAATTTAATTTGAAATATGCAAACATTCAATCACGACCTTGACGTGAGAGGCTAACTGATAGTGCTGTCGGCAGCATACCCGTAGTAAAGTATGTAAGATACGTGTCATGTAAATATCAGCTTTTTCGTACATAACAAAAGAATATATTTTCATCGATTAAGAAATCAATATGTATATACTTATCTTTAGTATATAATCTTTGTATCTTGTTTTCATTTATAAAGCTTTTATTTAAAACAACTTTTTTATAATTTATTTTATAATTTCTTTATTTTTTATAAACCATATCTTCTTGCAATGATTCTTGAAACATCTTTTTGCAATGATTTATTGTACACATAAAATATAAGTATAGCAAATTATATTTATTGTATCAATTAAGATATTTTATGTTTTACTCCCTATTTGTGGCATTAATAATTTATATGCAAATAAATATTGAATATCTTATATTTATATATCAATACTACTATAGTTTATAGATCAATACTTAATATTTATAAAAACATTTATTATTATGCTTAACAGATTGATTAGACGATTTAAGACATGATCAATTTATTTATAAATATTATTTATCCTTTACAATAAATATAATATAATATAATATATTTGTGTGTGTGTATATATATCCTATACAGTACAGAATATTACAGCAATATTGCAATATTGCCGCAATATTACTGCAATATTACTGTTCTGTGCTGCATGGGAATATTGCCAATACTTTTCAGACTCAACGGTCATGATGCGTGAATATCTAGATGCGATGCGTCTGACTCAAAAATTTTAAATTCAAATAAATTGAAAGTATCGTTGACATTTTCTGATGATTAATTATTCAAGAATAATAATTCTAATTTCATGTAGAAACAATAATGTGTTTATTATATAAAGATTATATAAAGTATTATATAAAGAGAATTATATACTTCTGGACAAAATTAACGCATAATTTTTTTTTCCTTTTTCTTTAAAATTTTTCGTTAAAATTTAAATATCAGCCAAGAAAAAAAATTATGCCTTAATTTTGTCCAGGAGTATATAAAGATATTTCGTGGGTGTGAATTATGAAACACTCTGTAACACGTGAGATATCTTCTGTCTCTTGCGATAATGTCAGATATCGAGCGACAGAGCCCTCACACATGCCCCACCCGGTATAATATTCTAAGATTAGATTGCGTGATTGATTGATTTTTCAATATGCGTATGCATCACGCGGTTATATGTAAATCCGGTTAGAGATCTAGATGTGCCTATAATACACAAGTTAAGAGGTCGGAATGCGAGGAATGTGTGTCTAGGGGAGCCGGTTCGGCTCGATACGGCTCTGGACGACGATCCCGCGATTTGGCTGTCGTAGAGATCGCTTCCGATGCTGAGGAATGCAAATGCACCAACATGTTCTATGAGTGATTGACGCCTAAGTGCAGGTTATTCAGCCGGAGCCAGCGCGATTCGTTAGTAAACATGCAGCCGTGATATTATCGTGAGTGACCGTCGACTTGTAACATCCGATAATGGCAGAGAATCTGTCGAAACGGCCTTCTAAGGGAATTCTCAAGACGTCCAGCAGTTTTGATAATCCAGAGGCGCCTAGGTGAGTTAATTGAATCTTGATACGTGCATCCCTTATTCCGACTCATCGTTATTAAAGTCGCTTAATAATCCGATATTTATAAAGACGATGACGCGCTTTCGTAAATTCATTGAGATGAGAGAGACGAACGTAATCGTAGATATCATTTCTCGACATATACATGTATATATCTATTCGATTCGGTACATAATTTTTTATGGTGTGTTTGTGTGAATATCTTGAAATTATATGCATTCTTTCGACAAGCTTTTCATCCGTAGAATTTTCCACCAAGAAGCAAGTCTCTCCTCCTTTTTTATCAAAGAATAAATTAAAAATGTTTTCAGTATTATTATTTAAAGAGGGATGAAAGCTGGAAGAATGATTTTTGAATATTTGCAAAAATCATAAATTAATTCATATGAACTGAGGCTACGTGATACAGATTCTGTTTTTAAACATGAAGCAATGAGAAAAGCATTTTTCTCTTTTTTAAAGTACTTTATATAAATTGATTCGTAGACCAAATAAAGAAACAACATGGGATGAAATGAATATTATCGCTACTCTTCATCCTGCTGACAAGGATTATGGTCATATGAAGATCGAAGAACCAAAAACCCCATATAACTTCGAAGGCCTCGAAAATGAACATGAATTTGATCAATTAGATGCTAGCACTATTGCAGCAAAGTGAGTGCAATAGTGATAATACTATATAATTTTAATTTGTAATACACAATATATGACTGAGATTACTTGTTGGTAAAGTAAAAAATTCTGATATAAAAATAAAATTTGATATCAATTGTTTATCAAAACTTAGATTAGCTGGAAGTAGCAAACCCAAAATTTTCGAAGAATCTAGCGAAGAAGAGGAGGATGAAGAGACTCCTGAAGAAAAAGGTGCTTAGATATAACCGTTTTTGATGCTGAAATGTATGTGTTTACATATAAATGTCTTTCCTACTAATGTATTCAATTTTAGAAAGGAGGAGAGCTTTTGAGGCAAAGAGGAAGGGCCACTATCGAGAATGGCATGCCGTACAAATGGCAAGACGACTTTTAGAGCAAGATGAATTAGAAGAAGAAGATGACGATGGAGAAGGTAAAAATAATGAGGAAAATTCATCAGAGGAAGAAAGTGACTTTGACACTCGCTTCAAATGCATGCCGTCCTGTGATAGAAGTGACAAAAAATAAAAAGTATTGATTAGTAATTTTATTTTTATTGCTCATCAGTTATAATTTTGGTGGCAATGTCTACTTTATCATTTAACGCTATTGTGATTAAAATGTTTGTTATACAGTGTCCAAACACATACATATACACAAAATCTCGCATCTTAATCCTGTATATATAGCTTTAACAGCTTCACCCTCTGTAAATAAATATTTTAAAAACCTGAATATTTATAGAATAATCTATTGTTAGATTTTCTCAAGGGCATAGATAAAATAGTAGTAACAGCATATAAATAAATTTTTTTTTGTTACTAATTTAATTCAGAGATATTAATAAACTGTGCACAAAACTCAACGTGTTTAATGACCGTGTAGATTCATATAGATTGCGATTTGTAAAAGCTTTGCTCGTCGTCTCGCATGTTGTCACAGGCCTATACTTTACAGAGTTGATTTCAATAATGTTCTTGTAAAATTTAATGTCTCGGAAGAAATTTGCAGAGGGATTCTCTCTTGATCATTGTATCAAAATTCGACGAATAATAAGGCTGAACAAAGCGTTCTCATGTGTAGCGAAAATTTAAGATGCCATATGTAATTTTTACAATCATGTATGTATGTACCTTTTTAGGTACGTATGTATTTAAAAATGTTAGAATACATGTCCTGTTATTAGCATAGGCATATGCTATGTAACATTCGAATGTATGACGTCGAACTTTCGTTTTTTCTCATAATGCTTGATTTTATTTTCCAAACTTTCTATAAAAGAAAACGAATATAGATTATATACATAGCAGCATGTAACAAAATTATCAATTTGTGTAACGTGTAATTATCAATTAAGAACTATTTAATCTACTTAAGCCTGTTCAAGTTTATTCGTGAACTTAAATATTTGATCTTTCTTTTATTTTTATATATCACTCTACATTCTTTTTCCTATATTCCATTCTATATTTTTCAACTATTCGTGCTGTCGTAATTTTCTCAAGCAATTTTTTTCTAAATTAATTGCAACGCACGGATACAACGAACGTATATATATATAATGATTTGGATTTATTTTCTGTGCTTTTGTATTCTCTGTCTCAAGATAATCTTCAACAACATAAAGACGGAAAAGCGTTTTGCTCATGAATCAAAATTTGGACAGGCTTAATTTAATAAGTTGTATACTGTTGATAGAATGCATATTTTAAAAAATTTCGAATATAGAATACGTCCAAAAGTGATGACATTATGTTTAGTAGCATAAAAACAGAGTGAAGAATTAAGTATATCTGATTATCAAAATTTTGAATGTATCATATAATGGAATAAAGCATATTAATAGATTTTCAATAGTATTTGAAGCCATAGCATTTAAAAATTAAGAAACAATTCATATTGTAGATAAATATATGATGATAATAATAAGATAATAAAACATTTTCAAACAATGGACTGAACATTTAAAAAAGATGAATTTGAAATGAAGTCTTGACTTTATCAACAAATTTTTATCCAAAATTAATTATGTATACTAACCACACATTTCTCGTGTCATAAGTGGCTGATATATTTTTGATCGCACTCCAAGAAGGAGACAATCACTTTGAAAATCAGTATTTGCACAATTGGCCAAATTTTCCAATTTTGTCAACATATTTTTAATCATTGTAGATCTGCATTTGAAGAAAGAATTTGATTAGAAAAAATTAATTATGTATAATTATATATATAGATTATTTTTTTTTTTCATTCAAATATACTTTATAGTACTGAGAGCCCAATCTTGTTGTAATGTCTTGATAGTATTTATTAACTCATTTTTATCAATAAACCATTCTATACCCTCATAATCACAATACCAGAGATTTAATGGCACTTCGTGAGCCATATTATACTGTGGTTTTTGTGGACAAGTCTCAATGTTTAAAAGTTTTAAAATTATTTCAGGCTCTTCTTTTCTTTGTCCCACCAGTAACAAAATGCCCATTAAGCAGCGTATTTGATGCCAGAGAAAAGCTTGGCTTGTTATTTCTAATTCACACATATTATAGCCTTTAAAATAAAAAAAAATTATATGTATATTAAAACAAAAATTTATTATATAGAGCAACAAGCAGAAATTAAAAGTTAGTGAAGAAATTAAAAATTACCTGTGATTTTTTCTACGTTTTGATTGCTCATGGAGACTTTTGCATCAATTACAGTTCTTTTGAAGTTAATTACTCCATTAGCTACATCCATTTTACAAATATTACGAAAATCATGATCTCCTATAGCATATTTAACAGATTTATCCATAGCATCTATGTCTAAATTGCTTTTTGGAAAAAAGTACTTATATGTCCTATATTTGCAGTCGAATCTCGCAGAGAAATTTGGTGAGACTGGACACCATGCTATACATCTTATATTTGTTGGTAGTAATCTGTTCAATATTTTACAATAAGGCAATTCCTCTGACAAATTATGTTGATTTTCTGGTTCCAACCTACTGCGAATGTCTAATGAGATCACTTGAGAGAATGAGCTAACACCTTTATCCGTTCGTCCACATCGATGATAGTTGGCACTCTCACGTGATTCTATGCAACAACTTTTTAACAAAGCTGTAAACAAATGATGCTCAATAGTGTCATTGTTATCTTCTTGTACAGTGAAGCCATGATAGTCCCAACCAAGATAATAGAATTTTAAAAGAATGTGCCTCTTATGGTATCTGTGATCGAATGCACAAGATATTATTTAAATAAAAAGGACAATATAATGGAAAACCAATACAAACCTACCGTGAGAAATCAAATGACTTTCTTACTTTATCAGGCATCTCTTTCTTTTCCGATTTAGAATCTGTAGTTTTTGTGATTAATGCTCTGAGTTGTTCATTGTGAGCCTCTAATTGTAATATTTTGTCGATTAATTCCTGTAAACCAAATTATCTGTATGCACACAAATATAAACAATGCATATATATATATATATATATATATATATATATATACATAAATAACAGCATATATAATCAAAAATATATCATATATATATTTGTATGTACATTTTTATTTTATTAAAATATACACACACACACCCATATATATGATGTATGTATAAGTATCTTAAGTTTAAATATATTTATAAATGACTTTACCAACCACATACCGATTTATCAAATTGTTCCAACTGCTCCCTCGTGCACTTTTTTATGTTAACGCGCTTCGTAAGTTTTGCCATAATTGTATCTTTTTCAGGATCAATCGAAATATTTTTGTAACAAATTCATGCCACGATTGTCATGTATGTACAGGTTATGTTTACATTGTAGGGCGTAGGTTGTTTTCGCATGCGTATGTCAAACGCGGTATAATAAACTATGTATGATAAGTAATAAATATATGTATTATTAATTATTAATAAGCATAGCGGTAAGTTTTCTTGTTTTTAAGTAAAGATAAGTTTCTAATGTAAGGCGATCTTTTTTTCATGATCTTATAGATTTAGTGCAGCAAATAATTTATTTTTATTTTCGGAACCGGATATTAACCTATACCTCTTTTTTTAAAAATAATTTATATAATTTGTTTAAGATAAATTATATATATATATTATTTTTTTTTGAATAAGTTTCATTTGCGTCACACTTTGTATAATATATTTACATATTTTGTGTTAATTAATTTTCTATATAATAGCTTGAATATTGATATATTTTATCCTTGTTATATACAATAATCAAATATTTACAATCAGTAACAATCAAATATTTAATCAATTTTACTACAATGTATAACTTGCAATAAGTATGCAAATTTTTAAATTTCTGTCATGTATCTATGTATCATTATTTTCTATTCCAGATTGTCACCAATGTCCACGATGTTTATGAAATTACTTTATTAAAGTTGGTGCTTATTTTTATATCACAGGTGTAGGACTAAATGATAATTTAGAGCCTCGTAATGTAATTATTTTGCATTAACCAAAGATACTTTAATTAATTACAAATGATAAAATAATCTAAATTTTGTAATTATTTTGTAATTATATTATTTATTATATACTACATCAGGTATCTCAAAGTGTGGTTGGCCAGTTTACAGTAATTAGATTGCCGGTATTATCTTGGAGATGATAAAAGATTGTAAAACAGCAGATCATTTGATTTTGCTGGCTGGATAACTTGATAATAGGAAATATAGCTATTGTTATGGCATCGACGTGTCTTAGGTATAGATATTCCTTTTGCCTCAATAGTAGATTCTGGAATTTATTCCTTGGAAATAAAAAAAAATAGATGCCTCAATTCTAAGAGAAAATCTATTGAAGTCAGAAGAGACAAAAATATATGTATATTACAGAAGGCAAAATGATGGAGATTCAAGTTGATAGACAGCAATTGAAAAATTAGTAGTGTGAGTAGATATGTATAGTAATACAGAAATGAGTAGTGCATGTGATCTAATTTCTTATATCACACATTCAGATTGATATTGTTGTAATCTTTCAATTGTGCTCAGATTATTGAGGCTGTAAATTATGGCTGTTCTTTATTTCTCAATGAAAATAGATAAATGCAGTTTCTGAAGGAATATCAAGATGATTTTATGTTTGTATGGATTTTAAGTAAATTAACAATTATTAATATATACATAATTTATTGGATATGATATTGAAGTATAAGAATACTAGAGAAGTTCATAAATTGATTTTTTTTATTGAATTTTGTCTTTTGTAACACATTTATTGGAAATATCCAAAAACTAATTACTATATAGAAAAATCTTTCAAAAACACAAAAATATGCTGTATAAAAAAATGCTCACATATCTGCAACATAAAGAAAAATTTTTAAAAATAGAAAATTGTTATATAGTTGCATTTAGGATAATTGCCCAATGCCTGTTTCTATCAATAGAAGCTTTTCGGCAAGAAAACATAAGTGGATATATGTTACGCAATTATCAGATATAGAATAGATAATAAATATAGATAAGAATTTAAAAAATTTTTAAATTTTGAAAATTATTCTCTTTGATAACCAATTATGTGACATTATGTTTATATGTGTTTTCTGCTGAAAAACTAATGTGTTTTAAATTTATCGGTGCAATCTAAGTGGACGGAGCATGTCTAATTACTGAACTAATGTTAACAAATGATAGAATTCTGACAAAACAGGAAGTGCACGGACATTCTCTTTGTCTCTTTGCGCATGTGCTATTTTGAAAATTATATAAAATTAAAATTGCATTGAATTGTATTATGGTTGCATTATACTGATATAATTAACAATTTGTACATAAATAAAAAGCCAAAGAAAATCGTGTATTTCTTGTACTATTACAGTTTCAATATTCGCTGGCATTCTTCTTTTGGCATTCGCGTTCTGTAGAGACTGAACAGCTCCGTCTATTTATATATCTATTATATTTTTGTTGCATTAAATAATTTATTTATAATAACAGAACGTTGACAAAATTAGAAAATCTTGAAAATGTCTTATTTTAATCAGTACAGTAGAGCCTCGTTAATTGTAGCTTTCTAGGAGGACAGGAGCGTAAAATTTTTGGAACAAAATTGGCATCTTTATAATACGAACTGTCTAATCGTTGTGCAATATTTGTACGAACGCAGTTGTGCACATGAAGCTGTCTAACTGTTTATTACTCTGATTAGCTTATTGACGTAAAAAGGACGCGACATTAGTGTTTGTGAAAATACATGAAAAAATGCCAGATTAAGGAAGCTCTACTGTATTTCTTGCGAATATCCCTGCTCGCAAGAATTCAAAATTAGAAACAAGATCAATCACACGGGTTCTCTCTATTTTTATTAATAGTATACAATTTGTTTCTACTGCGTATAATGTGATTCTTGTATTTCTCTCTTGACTAGACAATACTAGATCGCTATACAGTTACAATTGTGCAATGCACTCTAGTTCAGCCTGAAAATTCAACCTCCTCGAGAGAGCGAGAATATGATAATAACCGAAAAATTCATGATTTATATATATCTAATGAAATGTATCGAGGATAGATTTTTACAAACTTTGTTGCAGGATACAATTGAAATAAAATTGTTATATTTAATAATTTAAAAATAGAATTTTTTTAACAGTTTTGAAAAAATCTACTAACAAAATATGACGACAGATTTTAATGGTAGAGATCAAACAAAGTTTGCAATAGTTTGATAGCAGATTGAGCGACAAAAACTAAATACAAAAAGATCTGTCATTTTATAATTTAAATAATATACTTTCATAATATCATTTATTGAAGCTATTTAAATGACACATTCATCTATCATTATTAATTTATCTCGATTTTTATAATATATCAATTTTATTTTTTACATGAGATAGAAGATAAAATATAGAAGCGTTTTGCCATTTTTATTAAAACAAATTATTGAAAAATAATTACTGCAGATATAGTTAATATTATCGAACGATCTGCTGCCAAACTTGTCGCAAGAAATATTGCAATCATTATTAGTTATTATCTAGATAATTATATAAGAAAAATTCTTAATTAATGAAGATTTTCATATATTGAATGATAGAGTAATATCTGTTCAATATACGAGAATACTCTGATTGTAAACTGACGGTGTAAAACTCGAAAAATTTAAGAGTCTGACAGCGAATTCAGTTGGATGCATTTGGCCACTCAGGTGCAACGGACATACATTTATGAAATACGTATCGCGTTAAACATGTGCAAACCATTGTAAACCATTGAAACACGCGTAGAATGAATCCGATTTGCTTTTATTGGCGTTTTATACGCTACGCATTTATTTGACACTGTGCAAAAAAGTAGTAGTTTTTACGCACCAGTGAGCATTACTCAGAATGCAGCCAACCCGAAATTCGTTAAGAGTTCGGAATATCAGGTAAACCTGACTTAGAACGTTTTTTTTTCCCTTGTATATTCTTTATATATACAAACGAAAATTGATTCAATCTCGTTTTCAATTAACAATTTATTTCTTCTCGTTTGACCACATCTGAGTGGTTTGCATCGACTAAACGATTTAATACTCGATTAGATAGAAGCTACTCTCCTGATTCCAGACCTTCCAATTTTGAGGTACTTAAAACAGAATCACATCCTATGTTCTAATCTAATGTATAAAAGACATACAATTCTTAACGTCAAATGTAAGATTTTCGAGTGAGAATTGTTTTTCTCTTTTTGAGCCGTTAACTTTCACGCGTGTATGATTAAAAATTAAGATAGTAATAATAATAATAATAAATGATTTAAAGATGCAGTCGTTAAAGAGCGATTTAACAATATTTATTTGTTTTTTATATGATTAATTAATACTAGCATTCTTTAAAGATTTTTTTGATATATCTAGTATTTTTGAATCTTATTTATATTTTTGTCGCGTTTTGAAATTATCCAAGAGAATTTGCAAGAATCTCAATAAAGCCCAATGAGCTTCGGAGGCTTTTAAAGTAAATTTAAATTAATATAATTTTTTAAATTAAATGAATTTGATTTAAATTTTCAAAGTCGAGAAACGGAAAATTTAACGACTAATTAATCGGGATAATCTCGACTGAATAATGACATATAAAACGCAAAATACTTATTGAATGACAGCCACTTTATTGAGAGTAGACAGCGGTGAACATTAAGATCGCCTTGCGCAATTACCTCGATAGACTTTAGATAGTAAGATATCACACGTGCCCTCGTAACTGGTAAGAATCGTATCTTTATCCGGTATGCTCTATCGATCTCTCACATTACGACAAGTCTGATCGTCTCGTAAGTGCACTCGTAAACTACTTTATACTTCTGCTGCAAAAAATAGGCAAGCTAAAAGAACGGGACATGCTGCTTAGTTTCATTCTCGCAAAATGAATTTCCCTCCCCCGATTCCTTTAAACCTACTTATTTTTTGCAGAGTTCTTTCAAAATGGAGGTATGATGTGGGATACTTTGAACGCATGATAATTGACGATACATGCATTGTCTCTTGCGAAAATATATATATGTATATACAGGTAGAAATGTAAGTAGTATAACATACAAAAGTGTTGGTAACAATGTTAACAAATCCTCGCCCCCTCCCCTCCTCCCCGTCTCGCCAAAGTCCGTAATCTTGCTAGTAATGCTTGCTGATGATTAAACCGTTTCGAGTTCTCGTTGTAAGAAATACTTGAATTAAAAGAAATCGGCAGGAATAGATTTCTTGCGAAATTAGATTCTCAATTCGTGTAATTGGTTTCATTTCTCGTTAGAAATTCGATTGCTCGAATCACGTGAATTTCTTCTCAGAAGAATCGGAAAAAAAAACTTTCAGATCTATACGACAAGAAGAAGTAGAGAGCGGAGTACAAACTTTTAACACCGGTATTTCTAGCTTCGTAGAGCAGCAATTGGATTTTTATAGAACAAATTCCAGTCGATCGCTTTTAATTCGTCCATTTTTCACAGAGATACACCTCGTATGTCACAGTGATGTATGAATTTCGAAAAAAAAGGAGAGCGTTCTTCCATTGTCACGCTCACTTAATCGCCTTCGAGTTCTCTGCAAACGTATAGTCGCATATATGTGTACTGGATTATCTTCTTTTTTTTTTCTTCCTCGCAATAATTTATAAAAAACTTTTGGCTTGGCTTATCCATTGGCGACACCACTGGCTTACGTAATTATTACAGGATGAGTCTAATGGTAGGAATACGAGTACAAACGCTTCGTCGAATGCTCCGTCATGCGTATCGGCCGGAAATATATCGACCGGAAATGATTTGTACCTTAACATCTTGAATTTTTTCGCACCAAAAATGCCGTACTAAAAGTTCAAGAAACGTCACGTTATCGAAAAAGAGAGAAAGAGAGAGAAAGTCGCGATGTCGTCCTTAATGAACTTCAAATCTCGTTATAATCTCTAAATTTTCATCGCAAATCTTTCATGATATCTTCATACCGTAAAACGGGGTAGCGTTACACGAGAGAACGTCTAACTGCGCATCCTGTTGAAAAAGATTTCATCTCTTTTTTTTTTTCCTCTTGAACTTCTTTAATTTCTTTCACTTTAGTCGTGAATATATGTCACGGCTCGTTCCGTCTGCAAAATCCCACGATTCAAGAAGAACTCAAGAATTTCTTACAGAAATACCTGAGGCTCTACCTTTAATGAGTTCACTCGCAAGTTGAAATAACTAGAAAAACTAGATCTCACTCGTGTAAAGAGGAGCATGGTATCCGTTTTACCACTCAAGCGCGCATTTTATTCCCGCCGATGCGATCCGACCCCGTTTTAGAGCAGAAGGGGCTTTCGATTCTCGCTTTTCCGCGAGAGGATCTTTGGATGTTTCGCCGATGCAGGATAACAATCCTGGTTTTTTATTATTATTATTATGTTCTTTTCGTAGAAAACGAAAGGATATGGGGCAATTGACAATGCATGCATTGATTCGATTCGATAATTATCAGTTCTAGAAATGTACCCGAAGGTATTTATATTAATATGCTCCGCCACCACACTCTCTTCGAGGTATGTATTTTTTTGAACACAGCACCCTAGCGGAGAACGAAATATGCCTGATGAAATCGTTATGTAATTATTTCCTAAGATTGGCTAGATGCGCCGAGTTAAGTGTGTGTATGCGTATACAGGATGTCCCATTTTAATCGATCGCCCCGAATAACTTTTTTATTTTGAATTGTAGAAAAAAATGTTTCAGACAAAAGTTGTATGGTTTCAAGGGGAACATAAGATGGTGTTATTGGTTTGATCTTGGATAGTCGTCCGAAGATCATGTGAAGGACACATTAATTTCCTAAATGGAATCCCCTATTTTTTATTGCTTATTCTTAGAGCTTATCTCGAGAGCTTTCCGAAACACTATAATAAAGTATTTTTTCATTGAGTACTTTTCGAATTATGAGACTTGAATTAATTTCTTAATTTTACATAAACCGTAAAATATTCATTTTTCGATTATCTTATCTCAATGTAATTGTTAATTGCAAATTACATATTTTTTCTTAAAAATAACTGTTTTTTTTTGTCTGAAATATTTTTTTCTACAATCAAAAGTAAAAAAGTTATTCGAGGTGATCGATTAAAATAGGACACCCTGTATACATATATATACATATATATGTATATATACATATACACGTGTATAGGAAATATTCAATGAATATATTACTTTGTAACATATATTTTTTTACAAACACATAGTTATTCATTTTAGAAATGTACGCGAGGGGAAACTTACTTTAGTAGTATTTGTAAAGTGTCGCGCTTTTCTCCGCCGCCTTCCCTCGGCCTGAGATTTTGGCGAGATTTTTTTTCGTGAAAATGGAGCGTCCGAAGGAGAGAACGCGTCTAATTAACATACTCTCGATATTTTTTCCTTAACAATTCTTATATAGATATATGTATGTCTATTGGAGAAGAAGAGGAACATTTGTTAGCCGACGGCGACGCTTTAGACGCGACCTCCTTTTATTTTCCTCGGGAGCCGTGTTCTCGTCCTCGTCGCGATCGATGAACGAGATGAAATCCTGAAGACGAAAATCATTGTAACGGTGTCGAGTCATCTTCCTTCCCATCCCCGCGACTAACGAATATTCTTTTTCTTTTTCTTTTTTTTTTTGTAATTCGTCTTGTAAATATCTCGAAGGTATATTATTCATTAATTGATATCGCATCAACTAGAACTAGTTCAATGTTTTAAAGTCGCGTCACAAAAATATTCTTCGGTCGTACTAAGAAATATTTAAACAATATTTGTTCGCTGCTAGGGTTTACTCTTCCCTCCCTCTTCCCTCCTCCTCCCTTCCTCCCTCTCGCCTCTTCCCCCACTTTTCTCCCCCGAAAGCAATACGTTATATCGATTGCATAGACGACCCCCAATGTCCTACCTTTCATCCCGACTTCGCTTCCAAAAACCATGCGTGTATGCATTATACCACGGATATTATACATGAAGTTTTCTTTTTTTTTCCCTCGTTTGCGCTTCCCCGCAGTGTTTGTTACACGTCGCGTATAACACGTCGCGTGTGTCACTAATGAGATACAAGAGACCTATTGACTGACGTTTAACTAAGTGTGTGTGTGTGTGTGCTCGATAGTATCGCGCGCGAATCCGTTTACGCTTATTTCGTTTAAAAAAGAAAACCAAGCAACGCGAGTGAGACTGAAATTTCGGTGAGACTTCCAAGGGTGTATGTGTGTGCGTATGTGTGTGTTTGTGTGTGCCTCGTGAGAGGATTTTCACCGATTTTTCACTATTATTTTCTTCGTTTTTTTTTTATCCATTATATAGTCTTACGCTTAAATAATCATCGTCGCGCGTTAGAAAATATCCCGTGTGTATTATAGAAAAAGTCTTACCTTTAATCGTCGACCGTCGTCTCTCTTGCACCCCTTGATGAGAATTGTACGAGACATTCGAGACAATTATTATTATTATTATTTTACTAGAGCGTTGCATTATTCACGCGTTTCTCTTTTTCTTTAATTTTTTTCATTAATTTTCATTCGCTTTATCGTAATATTAAATGCCGAGTGAGAACGCGAGAGACGGAGCGAATTGATTAATCCACGTGGACAGACGGTGCCCACGTCATCATTCTTATAAATGAGTTAACGGAACGGCATAAACGCCACTCGATATACCAAGTATCTTCAACTTAACAATGATTTGTCATAGATCGTCGCTCGCGCGAGATCAATTAACTCGTTTTTAATCAACTTAGACAACCGATCTAACACACCCTACCGATAGTGAGTCCAGTGTGACGTGAGGAAACGTGAGCGAGTGTCGGTGATGCCGCTGATCGGGTCGCCGGATGGACACGTGTTAGAGATACTCGACGATGTCGCACTTGATGGATATATTCGGGCAACTAGCTATATTCGAGCGATAGCCCCGCCTGGCAGTGCTCTTGTGCCGCTCGGTGAGGAGCTTTTGAAAGATTGGCAGGATCGTCAGATCCAGCAGCTCGCCGTCCGATACGGCGCTGTACATCTTGGAGACGTTCACCGCGGAATCACCTGCAAGCAAGGACGTCGGGATCGATCGTGGACGATTCTACGGATTCTGACTTGTGTTGCATCCGCGCCAAAATCGAGCACACGTGGCGTCGTGTTGCTCGCGAAGACGGACAAGTTTTGAGCAAATTGCATCGCGTCTGCCATATCCGAGGCACGAATATTTAGGACACGATATATATGCGTTACAGACGTACACGTAGACGCTCCTCGATACATATATTTCATCCGAATAATGAAAATCTGAAATATCGGACAATTACATCCAATTTAATTTAAGCTGTATCAATTTAACCTACTATATATTTGAGGTACGAATAACTTTGCCGTTACAATTATATCGCCATTTAGATCTGATTAGTTTGCTGTTTAACTGAATTTCGTTATTAAATGCTCGTTTTCACTTTAGAATATATCCCTTTAATTCATCCGAGTGCGCTGTGATGGCACAGGTATGTGATCTCTTGAAGCGTACTAATAATTCTTTTTTTCATTTTAATAACGAAATTAATCCCAAAGATTAATATAGACGTAACGTGTATATAATTGTTTTCTGATTCTTTTTTTCGTGTCATTAATCTAATGCCTCAAAGATATTTTCTCTTATGGTAATGAAACCTGCGGATATTTTTCGCTCTACTTCGACGCGAATGCAACAGTATTTGCGGCAAAAAAATCTGCGGTATCTCTTATCAAAAGACATATCCCACTAATGGATTTTTGACTAATATTTTTCAAATATATTAACCCTTTCGCTACAGTAAAATTTAATGCAGAGCATGTGATAAACGATACATATTTAGCCGTTGACCGATACACGACAAAGTTTATAAAATTTTATAAAATTCCACTGTCGCGTATTAGTACGAAGATATTTAAATATTAATAATAATTAATAATAAATTTAAATATTATAATATTAATATTTAAATATTAATAATAATTAATATTAAATATTAGATATTTAAATATTAATAATAATTAATAATAATAATAAAAATAACGCCTAAAGACGCCAACAGCGAAAGGGTTAACGCAACCGCGATCTTTCGTAAGAGAACATTTCTAGCTGCTAGTTTGAATGCTGCCGTTGCATGGAAAGTATCAGGACACTTTTGCGATACCGTTGACGTCGGCGGTTCCGCCGCGCGAGTTGGCCGCGACGTGCTTGCCGTTGTGCATCGTCGCCACGTTTGGGGTGCTCTGCACGTACTCCAGTCGCGCCTGGTGGCGCAGCTTCGAGCCCGCGTGCCGGCACATCCGGCGCGCGACCCGGTGCGAGCACTCGACGATGGGGTGGCCGCCGCTGATGTGCAGCCGCAGGCACTTCTCCCGCGAGCGCTCCGACATGGAGCGCTGGATGATGCTGGACATCGACTCCTCGTACTTTTCTGCCGACAGAAAATTCGATTGTCTCGATCGCGCCCGCGCCTCGGGTCGAGAAGAAAGATCCCGCGACTTTCACACATCCTTACGCATCCTTTATTTTCGTGCGGCAAGTTTTTACTCTTGCGCAGAATGTCAAGAAAAATATATATATATATATATATATATATATATATATATATATTTATTTCTAATATATTTAAATTTATTTATAATATATATACAGGGTGTTCCATTTTAACATTCACATTCGAATATCTCGAAACCATGGCGGTTTCGGTGAAAATGTTTTAAACAAAAGTTGTATGGTTTTAAGGGGGCCATAAGATGGTGGCCATTGGTTTTACCTCGAAAAGTCGTTTAAAGATCACCTCCAACTTTTTAAATGGGACAGGACATCTATATACTTTTGCATATTCTTGTAGCTTGCTTCGAGAGCTTTTCAAAACACTATAATGAAGTATTTTTTCATTAAGTATTTTTCGAGTTATGAGGGTTGAAATAATTTCTTAATTTTAACCATAAAATATCTAGTAAAATATTCATTTTTCGATTATCTTATCTTAATACTTTTATGTACGAAATAATGAGAGGAATCAATTGGTGTAGAGAAAAAACATAGTTGTTTTTAAGAAAAAATATGTAATTTGCAATTAACAACTCTATATTTTTTCTTAAAAACAACTGTATGTTTTCTTTACACCAGTTGATTACTCTCATTATTTTGTACATAAAAGTATCAAGATAAGATAATCGAAAAATGAATATTTTACTAGATACTTCATAATTTATGTAAAATTAAGAAATGATTTCAAGCCTCATAACTCGGAAAGTACTTAATAAAAACTAACTTAATTCTAGTGTTTTGGAAAGCCCTCGAGATAAGCTACAAGAATATGCAATAAAAAATAGAGTTCCGTTTAAAAAATTGAAGATGACTTTCACATGATCTTTAAACGACTTTTCAAGATCAAACCAATGACACCATCTTATGGCCCCCTTCAAGCCATACAACTTTTATTTGAAACATTTTCCGCTATCGCCCGTACCTGAGGAGATATTCCCGTAGACGGATTAAAATGGCCCACCCTGCATATTTATTTCTTGAAATAATTATAGATTTAAAAATCGGTATCTTTACTTCTCTTACATGATACTTATCAGTCCGGGGTTCGTCGAAGTCTTACCGGCATGCCGATGATTCGGCACGTACTGCGTCAACGGGAATGGCATGATGACCTGCTCGATGTAGCTCTGCTCGTGAAGCTCGCCGAAGGACACGTTCTTGGTGGGCGGCGGCGTCGACAGCTTCGCCCTGCGCTCGTCCTTGCTCCGTCTCCTCACGCGACACACGTGCCTCGCGATCTCCGTCTCCTCGAGGATCACGGAGTCGCTCTCCTCGACGACCGGCGGCACGAAGTCGTAGCGCGTCGTCGTCGTCGTCGCGGCGTCGTTCGGCAACGGTTCCTGGCTCCTGTTGCGCATCAGCGACGTCGGCTCGCTCGTCTTGCCGGCCTCGTCGGAGACGCTCCTGCGTTGCGGCGCGTCCGCGACGCACGTGTGTCTCGAGTGCGTCGTCGTCGGCACCGTCGCCGTCGTCGTCGTCGTCATCGTCGTCGTTGTCATCGCTATTGTCATCGTCGTCGACGGCAGGGGCGGCGGCGGGAACCCGTCCGCGGCTGTCTCGACGCCCGGAGAAGAGCTCTCCTCGATCTGGGCCGTCACAGCCACTCGTTCGTTGTCGATGGTGATTGACGTGGCTTTCGTGATGGACGTCCTTTTCCTAAAACGAGCACCACGCGACTACCTTGAGGATGGACGGCGGACCGGGTGAATCGGGGACTTTGGGAACGAGGTCAGGAGGACAGACGGAATCATCACCGAATTATTTTCTCGGCTATTCTAGTTTAATTGAAATTTCTTAATTTTCTTTATCTAAGAATGCACGAATTTATCGAGACGGCGAAAGTTGGCTTGGAGTTGAACGGAATTTTCAAGTTTTCTATTTGGTCAAAAAATATGAAATTAAATACGTCTTCGAGAACTATAATTATGTTAATTTAATTCTCATAATTTTATAGTTTTAATTGTTTCCGGTACTATATTGCATTTTCGGATATCTAAGCGATTAATTATCGCTTTTGAGTCCTCTATGCGATGATTGATTCCGTATTCCGGAAAAGGGGTTGAAATCTAAAGGTGGTTTAATATCAAACGTAGCTACGTACTTTGTTACTTGATCCACGTTGACGTAATCGCCCTCCGGCTGCGAAACAGTTGATGAGTTCAAGCTGCATATGGACATTGAAACATCAGTCGTTTCGGTGGTTATTGATGGTCCTGTCAAATAAAACAAAATTATTGCTTTATAGTGATTTAATTATTTTATTCGTATTGAGGCTTAAAGGGAAGGATACACACGCTTTTTTTCCATTAAATCATTTTAAATCAAATTAGAAGTCGATAGTGTACGCAAAAAAATAAGTTTAAAAAAACTTTTTTTCTAGATGGAAAAAATATATCGAAACGATAGCCTACAACTATTTTAATCAATAAGTTATTTCGACAAAAAAACTGTGTATGATATTATTGTATATGGATGTATCGCTTTTTTTTATTCTATTTAAATAAAGATTCGACAAAAATGATATTTTGCGTCAAACTAATAGAAACAGTATCCTAGATTTATAAATAAATAGAGACACAGGATATTTCGAGGAAAAATATCGGACGCAATATTTACCTTCCCTTTTAACGGCCTCTTCTGGCTTTGGAACAGGCAACGTGTCGACCACCTCTTGCGTTTCGCTTGCAGTTTCCTCGCCCATTCTTCTTAAAAATCCCTAAAGTAATGCGCGAGGTAATAAAGTAAGTATTTTCCTCTCCGTCGAAGCGTGCACGTTTGACACAACGCAACACATTAAGATGGATAAAGTAACACGTAAACGTAAATGAGCATACCATTTCTTGGAATAATTTTAAATTGTTACCCTCAGAGGGCAAACTGCGGAGCACAATGACGTCATGATTATTTATAACCGAATTAAGAAAGGTTGTGGGGGACGTCGCTCGCTTTTCTGTTAATCGAAGACCGACATCGACCCTCCCTCAGTCGAATGCACGGACGTCTATTTTATTCAACGGCATATCTTTTATCAAGTGAATTTTAGCACAATTGATTATGAAATAAATTTTCACCCGAGATGCTTGAATTTTCATTTTGTTATTCAAAATTTAACTTTTTGCGCACTACAAGTGTCATTTCAATTGATTTTGAATATCTATTCTACCGAGTCATTTGATAATAATAAAACCTGACTTGATTAAAAAAATATAAATACATAAATTAATTGCCGATCAATAAATTATCTTTATTTAATTCTATTAAATATTTGTCATTCTTACTGTTGATTCATCTTTGTTTAATTATTAATTCTGCTTTATATGTTATTTGCATATTTTATATTACGTATATGACATCTAATTATAGCATCGATATCTCTTATTTGTGTTCCGATACTATAACATTTTAATAATTATATCATTTTAAATATGTCAAACACACCATTTTGTGTATTTTAAAATATATTTTCCGTGTTATAAATTTCCAAATGTATACTCGAAAGAAAAATAAACGGTAAAAGTGACTGATTTTGATTTTTTTTCGCCAGAAAATTATAAATTAATACAAATATTATTTATTTAATAGATAGAAATAAATGGCATACATAATGAATAAATGAAACGTATGTCAGATATTATGAAAGCGTACATATGCATGCGCGAACGACAAATTGCAAACTTTACGAGGTGCATAAAGTTATATTTCTCGGAAAAATTTAATTTTATATAACGTTACATACTGAAAAATAATATATTGAAGAAAAAAAATAAATTATCCGGATCACTTTGACGCAAAGTTTGAGGAAACAGACAATTCCGTGCAACGGACCCGCGTAAAGTGGCTCGATTCGCGTTAGAATTTTGCAACTTCCCGGCGGAGTAATATTTACTGTAATACTGTTTGAAAGTTTGATGGACGGAAAGAGCTTACCTGAAGCTCAGAATCCTTTTGCAACAGTTGCTTCCGGAATTTTTTATTCGCCAGCTTCGCTTCCTTCAAACGCTCGTCGATCTCGCTGACTGTCGAGTCCCTCCGTATTTTTAACATCGGCCTTAGAGTCGCCCTGGTCCGCTTATTTATTGCCCCTTGCGGATTTCTGCGTAACTCTATTACCTGGAAATCCCAAGAGAGTTACTCGTACTCGACTTCACCGCTTTCATTCCGAAGATGGATAAGATAGATAGACGCGTTTATTAACGTTCTATAGTTCCTTCCAAGAACATACAACAAACATATATTTATAGTAAAACAACGCGAATGAATAAGAAGGAAAAAGAATGTGTGAAACATTAAGGATGTTTTGTATCTATTTCCAAAATATTGAGAATTTAATGAAAATTGTACAGAATGTCCTTACATATGTTTAGAATCTTCAGTACAATTTTTAAATCGATTCACTAAAGCGTTTACAAGTTATAAGAATTTTAATTTGCACCGAATTAACATGTGTTCTTATGGGAAACGTATAACTACGATTCCGTATAACGTCGATTCAAATGACAAAAACACATGGAAATAATTCAGAATTTGTTTAAAATTTGCAAAAGTGTAGTTTAGATACAGAGGAAATATTTGGTCGAATAATATTATACAAGTACTAACTGGTTAAAAAAATATTAAATATAATTCAATGAAATTAGCCATGTATCTGACACAAGGCGAAATTCTCTGCCAAAAGTTAATTTCGATTAACAAAATTTGGAATATTTCATTAAAAACGCAATAAATATTAAAAAATACATCTCTGCACTGTAGCTAAAATCAAATTCTAATATTTCACGCAATTTCTCATACTCAAAATACAAAAAGTGGATATATTTGTCAATATATTAATTTTCAGTTACTTTTTGCTGGAATTGTACATACAAAGCATCCTTAACTAAACTCATTGTATAAATGTAAAGAAATGTGTATGTTCGAGATTTACACTATGTATATGGATAATCGAAGTTTTCCTTTAGATAAATGCATTGATTTCGAAATAAAACTTTACAAAAGTTTACGCAATAGATAAAATAAAATAGATAGAATAAAACGTATAAGATTTAAATTATTATTATTCGACAAGTATACGATATTAATTTAATGAATGGAGGAAGCATCTAATTGTTTAAATAATTTTCTCGATTATCCGAGGTCGGGCAGTGCTTTTTATCTAGCATGCAAAGACATAAGAGTAAAATAGGAACGTACCTTAGGAATAAAAACCAGACAAAGAGTGGCTGTACTACAAAATATAATGAACACCGCCAACATTATGAACATGGCGTCCTGCTTGTCAGTCAGCACGAAGCTTATAGCCGCGCCAGTGACGCACATTATAACAACGTTATACACGCTCATTCCCACGTATTTACTGTCATTTAATGCCGGTATACTAACGTGTCGCGTTTCCCATGCCAGAAAGGCACCGAATATCTAAAAGTTCGAATAGGATCGAATGAGTGTCTGTCGGCTTTTCATTCACGAGGCGAATATATATAATATATACAGGGTGTCACAATCTCTTCCCCCAAAAAAGCTCTTGTAGCTTATCTAGAGAGCTTTTCAAAACACTATAATAAAATATTTTTTCAATTTATAATTAACAATTACATATTTTTTTTCGAATTTTTTTTCAATTGTGTGTTTACTTTACACCAACTGATTCCTCTCATTATTTTGAACATAAATGTATTAAGATAAGATAATTGAAAAATGAATATTTTACTATTATGGTTTATGTAAAAATTAAGAAATTATTTCAAGCCTTATAACTCGAAAAGTACTCGATGAAAAAATATTACAAGAGCACCGACACCCTGTATATAAACATATAGCCCAACAACTTACCATTAAAAGGCCTTTATATGCATATATGCAACACAGATAAATATTCATTTGATTGCTCTGACAATACTCGTTCTCCGGGATGATTATTATATCCTCGCTGGAGGGATCATGCTGCAATCGAGAGGCGACCTCGCGAGTTATCGAGACAAGTTTTTCGGGTAAAACGAGAATTTATACTCTTCGGCATTGCTTATTTTTTTCTCACGCGATCACATTTTTTTTTCTATCTTACTCACGTAAGGCTGCATCTGCTTGATCGCCCGATAGAACGGATCGGCTATCTGCCACGTCGTCATGATTGTGAGATCGACGGCCAACAGTATCCCGACCACCATAAACAACTGGTAATCTTTTATCACCTGAATGACACACAACTCGTTCAACTCGCGAATCAAAAAATTGCGACGAATTCCTCGATGCGAAAGCGTTACCTTCTTATTGAGCTTGACGTCGGTGAATATGGAATGGACGCGCCACGTTTTCGAGAACATGGAGCCAAAGGCCAACGAGAAACCGGCCATCAGCAACCACGCTCTGGCCGTACAAATGTATGGGAAAGCCGCCACGCTCGATAATTGCGAGTCTAGTCCGAGGAAGATAACGCTACTGTAGGTCAGCATACAACCGATGATGATGAGATTGTTGAGGTGGGGCGATGACATTTTGATGTATCTGCAATATGGGGTTTCGCGCGTGAAAGCGTGTTGGTTCTCGGCAAAGTAATCGGAGCGGATGTTTCCATAAATGGAAGATCCGTGTTATACATATGCGTGAGCTCGCTAATTGTTACGTATTACGGCGATGTGTGTGTGTAGGGCCGTCACCTTTGATTTCGGTATCTGATATTGATGGCGAGAAAAATGGATGCCAAGACGATACCGACACTAGCGGCCGAGGCTAGCACCGCGTATAACGTGATGTCCACGGTCGAGTGCTCGATGATGTGAACGGTCCGGTCTTTTGGTGGCGGCCTTCCGTTCCACAGCGGCTGCCCTCTCGTCAGATCCAGAACACCGGTTATGCTATCGTACTCGCCTACGTTTACTTCGTGGCCGTCTAAAAAGGACGAGTCGAGTGAGTTGAATGAGAAGAGGCGCGCTAAAATAATGCTTCTCCATCTTCGAATTAAAGTACCCATTTCCGCAAAATTGCTCTCATGCACATGCTTTTCATTGTCGAATCGGATCGATTTTAATTTTTCCGCCCCGTGCTTTTTCCAGCAATTTAATCGCCAGATGCTGATTACGAAGGAAACGTGCTGGCGTTATAAAATTGCCGCTCCGACAGATCATGAAGACAAATCGCGTCAGGCAAGTAAGTAAGCGGCGGTATTTTATTCTCCACGTTCGCGTATATATCTTTGTCGTATTTCGAATCTTTCAGGTATATTGTTATAATTAATTTTATCACAAATTTTCGTCACAAGTTGGACGCAAATTCGCGAGAGCTGGGTATACATTGTCCCGTAAGTTACATCATTGATTTGTCAAGTAGCTTAATCCGATTAATAATTTTTAACAATCTAACTAAAACTCTTATATATTTCGCGTAAAATAATTTATAATAATAAAAAGTTTTTGTTGAATAAAAGTTCAAATATATATCTCTCTTTCGAAGCTCTCTCGTAATAATTATCGAGCTACGGCTTAATATTTTGGAAAGCTTGAAGCAGGTACTTTGTAACTTTTAAAATGTAACCTTTGTAACCTTTAAAATTCCTACGTCAATATCTAAGAGTAACTTACTTACTTTGAAATTGTTTTAGAAGAATGTACGCTTTCCTTTCGTTATCGTAGAAGCGAACCGGCCCCTGCAAATTTTCACATTTTTCACATTCATTTCGCGTTATCATACATATACATATCTACAGAGTGATTCATATAAAGTGACCGATGTGAATATTAGTTAAAGTTGAAGAGCTATGAAAAAATTTTTATATCAAAAGACAGAGAGGAGGACATCGTATGGTACAAATGATATTTTTATATATGAAGGCATTAAGGAGATTTCAAGATCAACTTAATTTTTTTAAATAGAACCTATTTTTATTACGTATTCTTATAGCTTATTTCGAGAGCTTTCCAAAACATTATAATAAAGTATTTCTTCATTGAGTATTTTTCGAGTTATGAGGCTTGAAATAATTTCTTAATTTTACATAAACCATAAAATATCTAGTAAAATATTCATTTTTCGATTATCTTACCTCAACACTTTTATATACAAAATAATGAAAGGAATCAATAGGTGTAAAGAAAAAATATAGTTGTTTTTAAAAAAAAATATGTAATTTGCAATTAACAATTACATATTTTTTCTTCGAAAATATCGTTTGTACCATACGATGTCCCTCTCTGTGTCAAACATTTTTTGGTATAAAAATTTTTTTATATTTTCTCTTCAACTTTAGCTAATATTCACATCGGTCACTTTATATGAATCAGTCTGTGTATATATATATATATATATATATATATATATATATATATATATTCTGTATGTGTGTATATATATATATACACACACACATACAGAATAGTGTTCTACCACAGACAGATCGGTCGAATCCGATTTTAAAACAAGAGCCCGCTCTCCACCGATACGCCATCGGTTCATGCCAATTTGCCCCGCTAACTCGCCCGGTGGTTTGTCATGTTTTTGATTTCGTTTTAATTCCAATTCGGTTCAACCGCCAGAATCGGTCTCGTTCTTTCCTCCCGCTCCCGTTATTGCTACTCGTTACACGTACGTACGTATGTATGTATCCCTTTTTCGCTAAAACGTGCTCGACTGCGGCAAAGTGTGTACTGCGTATAAAAGAAAAAAATTAGAGAAACGAGAGAGAGACTCATTAAATTCACGGCGGTACGGTTAGGCGCGCGTAGAAAAATGATGCGCGTTCTTGAGAGACTCTCGGACGCGAAAAGACGGTCAAGTGCAGCAGCACGCGAATGCCACGGTGTTGATTATGGCTGGAGAACGCAAGTTCTTCCTCTCTCTCTTTCTCTTTTGTAAAGACAACGGGCGTAAAGTGTCAGCGGCTGTCGTCGTCGAGACCGACCCGATCGGAGGCAAAAGTTGTCGCTCGTCTAATGAGAGAGCGTAAAGAGCCGCTCTCCAATCTTTGCTTTTCTTTATAAACGTCTTCATTCTCTTCTCTCCGTTCGTTTAAACGACTTTTTCTCCTGAGGGCGATTGTGCGGCAACAGTGAAGTTTCCTTGGTATTCTCTCTTGGTATTCACGACACGAATACCAAGAGACAGCAACTTGAAACTTAAGTGACGCGAATCAATCGACCGCGAAGAGAGAGAGAAATATTTTGCTCCGAGCTATACGGAAGTTGTCGTTAAAAGGACACTGAAGCGCGAGGCGATAATTTTGGTGAAATTTTATTTTTTCCCCTGTACGAGAAATACAGAATTGTGCGTATCGTAAATAAACAAATTTTGGAAACGATTTGTCGAGACTGTTGTATCGATTAAAAATGTTATATACTCGAGTATGCTCCAAACATGTATGTAAAATGATTAAAAAAGAAATATTCTATTATTTTCATCATTCTGTATAGATATAGTGAACCATTATTAAGAAAACAACATAAAATGTTTTTGAAATCGAAGAAAAATTGTTTCTCCTTAATATATATTTCTGAAAATATAAAATGTCTCAGAGTTTGATATTTAGAAAAAAAGATATCGAAAGGATATTAATCTATAAAAATTTATTCATTAAAATTTATAATTAATAAGAAAACTATTTATGAACCTATCTATCAAAAGAAAATTATATTTTTCTTCAATATATTTTCAGAATGTTCCATCAATTCCCGGTAGTTTGATGTTCAGAAGAAGAATATTAATCTGTGAAAATTGATTAATTATCACGGAAAGAACTATTTAACCTATTTATTAAAAAGAATTATTTTTTTCAAAATCAATTTGTGAAAACTTATTATTCATCGTAAATGGAATTTGAGAGATTGACGACCAAATTTTATAAAACTGTATAATGTTTCAGAAGAAATATTTCTACAATAATTTATTTGAAAGTTTTCCTCGTTTATTAATTACAAAAAAATAAAAAAGAATATTGAGTAAATATAAAACTATATGGATTAGAGTTACAATTTCAAAGTACACACAGAAAAAAGGACATTCTTGTTTTAAAAATATATTTAGTTTTAACATGGAAATCTTGAAATGAGATTATATTGCGTTAATTAAAGAAAAATATAATTGCTTAAATAATTGCTTCCTTGAATGAAGCCATTTTATATAATTCAATCGAGAAAAATCTATTCTTATGATGTAAGATTTAATTTTCTTGAATGGAAAGAAAATAATGTTAGATAGAAAATAACATTTTTAAATCAAAGATTATTTTCTTAAAGTAGAATTAAATAATTAGATATTCTTGAGGTGACAATTACAATATTAAAATAAGACTATAATATCGTTGAAATTTAAAATTATTAAAGTTATTAAATATTGTTGGAATTTAAAATTATTAAATTCTTCTAAGAAGATTATAAATTGTTACGTATATACGAAACAATGAACGCGTTAGTTTAAACATATAAGTTTTGACACTTATTTTTTTTTCTGTGCATATTATCGATAAATTAAGACAAAACGAAATTGTAAAGATTTGGAAAAGATTTATATAGATTTATGTCCAACTTTTGATATCTTATACGAAATTATTTATGAAAAAAAAACAAATGTTTGCGAAAAACCCTGAAAGCTTCTTACGACTCGTTGAGACTTACGAGAGACACCTTGTACAACGTCTGTTTTTAGCACCAAGGGTTTTATGTCAAACGGCATTACCTAACCCGGCACCCGCATTCGGGATGGCCGGGCACGAAATTGCAACAAGGCGGGGCCAGCTTACCGTAACACCGTCGAAGCTTGTATTCCTGAGGGCATCGAGGAAGAGCTTCTCCCATAATACGTCCCTATACCGAAAGTCGGATATAGTCTGGTTACGATGAAAGTGCCGTATTCTGCGCGCGACATGCTTTACAGCCAGGGCGACTGTCCAAATACCGTCGTACGTGTATCCGTGAAACCTGGAGTACTCGCTACCCCGCCTCGAGTTGTACTCGTTCTGGTACTGGTCCGGAGTCTGCATCAGAGAGAAAACGCGATTCGAAATATGCATATCGAGACGCAACAGGCGAGACCTATGACGAGAGTGAGTCTCAAAGAGGGACGCGTATATTATATATGTATGGCATTTCCGATCGCTCCGGGCGCGATTAAACGCAATTTTCGACAACTCGCTCGAGATGTGCTTTCGATACGTGCACTACGTTACTTCATCGCGTTACGCTTCATCTACGGATTCTTCCGCCAATCCCGAGTCGATTTTTCCGTAATCCCTTCAGGATCGCATTCGGTCTACTTACGCGGTGAAAGACGTAATATTCCGTCCTTCCGTGCTCTCGAGGTTGAAAGATATTTTTAAAAAGGACAAAAACACATCCCGGCTTCCTATAATTTTGATTGTACTTTCCAGAGTAAATCAAAAAGTAAAGGGACTTTTTTTTTCTTTCCCCGAACAAGGAGCTGACAATACTAACTCCTCTGTAATTTATCATAACTTTAAAGTGTATTTGTGCGTTCCAAGTTTGTTGCGTGGTTTTCTCTCTCTCATTGTAATTTTATGTCAATTTAAAATGAATGCTCCGTTGTACAAGCGTATTAAAGAAGAAATGTCAGGAATGATGAAATCTACAGAAATTATTCGGCAGCAGTGTGATGAGAATTATATCAACCGCAAGATCTATGAATGGATAGATTGCTTTCAAAACGGTGGAATTTTTATCTGCGATCAAGAGTGTTCACTCGAATTAAATTTTTCAAACGATCTATCCACTCGTAGATTTTACCGTGACAACTTGGACAATACTATTGTCACTATACTGTTATTACATTTTGAATAATCTCTGCAGATTTTACCCTCTCTGAAGAAAACGCATCACTGCTCGTACTTCTTTGATGCAGTCGGACAATAAAGCACTCATTTTAAATTGACATGAAATCATAATGAAAGAGAATTATGCAACAAACCGTCTCTCCAAAGACAACACACAAATACATCTTATTATACTAAATTATAGAAAAGTCGATATCATCAACCATCTGTTGAAACAAAAAAGTCTCTTTTTAATTTATCCTAATAAATAAATAATCGAATGATATTTGGAGCAATTTTTCGGAGCAATTTTCCGCGACACTTGACAATATACACTGAGAAAAATCGTTTGATTGTACCAACAAGACGTATACACAGAAAAAAAGGACATTCTTGTTTTAAAAATATATTTAGTTTTAACATGGAAATCTTGAAATGAGATTATATTGCGTTTATTAAAGAAAAATATAAATGCTTGAATAATTGCTTACTTGAAGCCATTTTATACAGTTCAATCGAGAAAAATATATTCTTATGATTTAAGATTTAATTTTCTTGAATAGGAAAGAAACAATATTGGATAGAAAATAACATTTTTAAATCAAAAATTATAATTTTCTTAAAATAGAATTAAATAATTATATATTCTTAAGGTGACAATTACAATATTAAAATAAGACTATAATATTGTTGAAATTTAAAATTATTAAATTCTTTTAAGAAGACTATAAATTGTTGCGTATATACGAAACAATGAACGCGTTAATTTAAGTATATAAGTTTTGATTTGACACTTCTTTTTTTCTGTGTATGATTGAAGGCATTTTGGTTAAATCAAACAAGAATTTTTAGTTATCATGATAAAACTCGATTTTTATAACTAGAACGTTTAATAGATTTAACTATAAGGATTTGGTTAGTATTTTCTGATTGGATCTATAAAATTTCTTGTTACATTAATTTCTTTGCTTGCCGAGGCGGCGAGACCACTCTTAACTTAACTCGTATTCAATATTTGCCATAAAATGTATATAAAGAACTAGTATTAACTAGTATTAACGTTAAATCCAAAATATATTTTTTTCTCTTACGAGCAGTAGTGCCAGAAAGAGGATGCTAGCTCTCTGATTGTGTGTGTTTGAGCTGCATCCTCTTCTTGCATTATTGTTTATCAGTTTAATTTCTAACAAACTGAATTTAAAATAATTTATTTAATAATCTGGATTGCATTTATCCAATAATCTTGTTGGAATTCAAAATATTAAACGGACTTTTGAGATTAGATGGCAAAAATTTTAGACGACTTGGTGCTGGCGAGTTTAGTATTATTAACTAGAAAATTTGGTAAATTTAACAGGAAGATATTAATCAAATTCATCTGGTAATTCCTACAAGAATTCTGGTTCGTCCATTTTCCAACACAGACATATTGGTCGAATCTACCAGAATTCTAATTAATGCAATCAGATTTTTTTCTTGGTGTACGATTCGCTTACGATTCCAGACGTGGTATGCTGTTCCTCGGTCGTCAGCGGCAATAGATCCGTCAGGATGACACCGTGAAGCGCCTCGGACAACTCGGCGGGATTGCATCCGCCATCGGGACGCAGCCACCACTCCCTGGTATAAGTCCCGATGATGATCCACTGATACTTTCTGCCGTAGAGACCGAATTTGTAGGCCTCGCAGAATATTTGCCTGGCCCACGCTTCGTTGAAGTTACCCAGCAGGATCCTCACGTCCTTCTCTTTGAGCTTCCCGAGCGCCGTCCTCACCTCCGAAGCGAAACTCAGCGTCTCCACGATGTCCATCTTGGTTTCGTCCAGGTCGGCCACCAGCCGATTGTGCACCTGCAAAGCAGCGTGCGAAAACAAAAAGCGTCACTGTTTTGACCGAAATTGCAAACGCTTATTACGCGTGCGAATTCGCGCGTTTGCTCGTTTCAAACGAGCCGCTACAGCGACGACGAATCTCCATTTATAATGTAAATGAAACAGTCGTTTGCATATACATCAGCCGAGCTGGCGCGCTAACTAACCCCCTCGTTTTCCCGAAACGCTTCCGATTGTTGAGAACCGCCGTTCCTTCTTTTCCCTTTACCTCCTTGAATTATACTTAATACGTAGAGAGAGTTTTATTAGGGGAGAAAAGTTTTGCAATTTTTTGCAAAATTTCCCATTTTTCGTAAGACACATCGAGGCCCTTCCTCTCTCGTGGAAAGTCGGGATAAGTTAGCAACTTTAATTACGTTTGCAATTTTAAAGAGGAGGAAATTCTATTTTTAATCTTCTCGATTTTTCCCCCTTTTTTTTAATTCCGCTCCGTGTTCCATCTGTTTTACATCGCGAAAATGGCTCGGGAGATTGGTTTTACCAATGCGTATCTGGGCTCGTTCTGATAAATCGTGCCGACCCTCGTCCAATTGAAGTGCAACAGCAACGCCACTCGCGGTGCATTCAGGGCGTTTTCGGACGGCACGACCCTGAAGAAATTCGGGAAGCTGTTGGTCGTGAACATGGGATGGGTGTCTGCGTAGCTGAGCTGCAACAGGAGAGAAAGAAAGGGTGAGTGTTGATAAAGAATCACATCTCTCTTGCAAATCTCGTTTGCGTCTTTTCCATGTTATGCATACATGTGTACCTATCTGTGTGTGTGTGTGTGTGTGTGTGTGTGTGTGTGTATGCAAATAAGCGAGGATGGAAAGAGGACGCTCTCTCGTGAACATCATGAATATTTACGACGACATTTTACCATTGCATTACCTGCGTAAGGCGCCAGTGTTTCGAAGCTTTCGCTATCGGGTCCGTGACTTGTGTACAAGCACCGCCGAAGAGTATCACCTTGTGCGGCCCGTTGTGCATCATGTCGAAGAAGGCTTTCATCCCGACTGCGGCGCTACACTGCAACATACGTGATTTATTGCTCTCAATCTTCTCGCGTTAATGCTCGGGATAATCTTGCAGGTGAGTTTGAAACCTTAAAGCAATTTCAGAGTCTGAAAGAACGTTCGAAGATGCTCTCATCAGGGAAAAACTCTAGTGTCTAAATATTTAACCATTTAAAAAAATTCACATAAATATATTTAATAAATTAATTCTATTTAATGTTTACTAAACATAAATATCACGTGTAAAATATCCTTTACGTAGTGTATATGCTTTCTCACTTATGTTCTCACGGTGTATTTGCATCGAGATGGAAAGTGATCGTTTCTTATATCGAAAACTCTCTTTGATATTTGCAGAATCAACAAGTGTTTGTGTTGGGGTACAGCCCACGAAAATAGAGAAAAGCGAAGGACTTATGCCAAATCGGCAGGGGGTGAATATTATCGAGAAGCCCGGCATTATCTCTCAATTATCGAGAGATTAACGCGAAAACTCGGGAAGACTAAAAATCGTAATATTAATAAACGCGCGCAAATCTGCCGATTTCATTTATTTCGGAGAGGAATTTCGATCATTAATACGATAATGGGTTTTTCTTTCATAAAAAAAAAAAAAAAAAAAAAAAACAGGAAAGGTATTTTAAATATTCTGGCGGAGGGAAAATTTCGTTCTCGAAAGTGGAATTTTCGCAGAAATAAATATTGAACATGAGAATATAGAGAGAATATTAGCGTTCTTTATGCGTGCGATTGAAATAATTATCAAAATGACGAGCAGAATGGAAGAGATGATCTGCACGGACATTCGACATTGATATCGACATCGCGTATTCCGTTCGAGTCCACACGTTCCTTTGATATCGGCACCATTTTTCGAGTGTTCTTTTTCACGTGGAAATTGATTCCAACGCTCCTATCGTTACCTTCTTTTTGCGCACGTCGCGACATGTGGATGAGCGGATGACCCCGTTTCCAAGACAAGATGTAACGGATACAAGATGTAGATATAATTATACAGATGAAAATAGGAATTCTGATTGGTCGGAAATGGAACGGCGTTTTTCTCCCCCGAATATTAGACACTGAATTTATCAAAAGTAAAGCTTGAAATATTTGTGCAATCCAACTGAGATTGTTTTTCCAAATAGGGAAGAACTACAATTTTTTATTCTCGCTCGGGCAACAATTGCTTCTTTTTAACCACCCCCGTTATCCCCCTCTCATCTTGTCCTCATAATTTTATCGTACGCCGATTGTTATTTTTATATTTAATTAATTAGAAAATGCGATTTGTTCAAAATTTTTTGAAATGATCTCTACATTTATCGTCATCTAGATAATTCCATCTCGCGTCTATCTGCACGTTCCTCCTATTTTGCATTGATTTCCGATACGTTGGTTGCTTATCACAGCAGAGATAAAAATCCGCCCTCGGCAAATTACGTTACAAAAGAGAATCGCGTAACTCGAGAAAGAAACTCTAAGTTTATTAGTCGCTACTCGACAATCACCGTAGTAGACTTGAAAGGAAGCCGGAGGAGGAGAGAGAGGGAAGAGAGGAAGTAAAGCCGATCTTCCGTTTGAAATGTAACGCAACGAGAATAAGGAGAGACGCACCGCTTTAACAAAACGACGCCGAACAATAGGGGCTTCCACATCTGTTGCAGCAAAGTATTGTAAGAAGGATGATCCGTCACTTCTAGGAGAGAAAAGGGAGGCTCGCTTTTTTGCGCTCGGACCTGCCTCGGGTTAAATCGAGGAAAGTGATATCGATTTAAACACAGTGGCGGCCAGTTTCCTTAATCATACGATTGCGTGTCGCGAAACGCCCATTCGGAAGTGAAGCTCGTCGGTTTTCTTCTCGCGTGAGAATGGGAAGAATTAATTTCAAGCAACATCGCCCCCGCCCCCGCCCCTTCACCGTTTGATTGCGTTATAATCGTCGCGAATTAATCAAATTGAATAGCGCGTGTCGCACAAGGTAAATAAGAAGGAAACGGGGGTGAGAAATGCACACGTGTATAAGAACTGGAATTGTGTTTGCCTGCGTATTTATCGTAACGACACTCTGGCAGCGCCGGAGTATATTTCAAAGTACACACGGTGGTCTTGGTGGTCTTCGTGGTCTTGGCGTGTACTTTGTGCGATCGTACACAATCTCTCACACAATATCCTTTCGACGCGAGTAACCGGAAGCGATTAATCTCTCGCCGTCTTTGGCTACAAGCTGCTCCTCTTTTTGCCGTCAGCTTCCTTCGGGAAGTCTACGGACTCTCATAATTCGATGTCCCGATGCCTCAGCAGATTTTTCCCGAGCGCGCGAACCGTGTCGTAAATTGCGACGCCGATTCTCCGGATTCAGCGAACGAAAAAATTATATTAAGGGAAGAAAAAAGAAGAGAGAGAGAGAGAAAAAAGAGAAAGAGAGAAGAAACGTCATTTTACGGCTGTTTACCTTCCATTGCGAGGAAAGGGAGGGATAATACGCGACTATGCGGGTCAGCGCGTTAAATATATGTACATTGCACGCTGTACGGCTGATTTTATATCGAAAAATACATCGAGTATAATTTTGTTGCATTCCTTCGTTCCGGTCAGCGGACGCTTCGGATCTAAAGCACGTGAATACAACATTTCCAACGGATTAATCTTTGCGATCCGTTCGAGCTGCTAGTTTCCCGAGAGAGTTTAAATCGTCTCTCTTTTTACATCGATTATATAACTCGTACATTTTTTTTCAGAGAGAAAAAGAGAGCGAGATATATATGTAATATACAGTTATTACATTTATTATAATTACACTTTTATATATATTATTACATTTATTATAATTACACTTTTATATATAGAGGGTGTTTCTTAATAAATGCGAGAAATTTTAGGAGATGATTCTTTGTCGAAAATTTATGGATGCTTTGTATGTTCAATCCCAGCAAAAAGTAACTGAAAATCAATATCGACGAATGTATCTATTTTTGGTGTATTTTGAGTATGAGAAATTGCGTGAAATATTACAATTTGATCTTAGCTACAGTGCAAAGATGTGTTTTTTAATATTTATTGCGTTTTTGTTGAAATATTTCAAATTTTGTTAATCGAAATGATTAACTTTTGGCAGAGAATTTCGCCTTGTGTCAGATACATGACTAATTTCATTGAATTATATTTAATATATTTTTAACCAGTTAGTATTTGTATAATACTATTTGACCAAATATTTCGTCTGTATCTAAACTTATGCAAATTTTAAACAAATTCTGAATATTATTTCCATGTGTTTTTGTCATTTGAATCGACGTGGTTATACGTTTCCCATAAGAACACATGTTAATTCGGTGCAAATTAAAATTCTTATAACTTGTGAACGCTTTAGTGAATCGATTGAAAAATTGTACTAAAGATTCTAAACATATATAAGGACATTCTGTACAATTTTCATTACATTCTCAATATTTTAAAAATAGGTGCAAAACATCCTTAAAAGAGATTTTTCATCTAAACATAAAAAGTTGTAATAAAAAATTGGGATTGCGAGTTTCATCCCCTTATAACAATACGAAAGACTGAAAAAAATATTATTAATTAAATAATTTAATTAATATAATTAAATAAAATAACCTTTTTATTAGCAGAAAATATCCACTTAATTTCATTTCTTTAACCTGGTCCAAATTTGAGAGAAAAATAAAAACCTAATTTTTAGAGTTTTTGGAGCAGTATAATTCTATAATAGGGAAAAATGTAGGAGTATATATTTATATGTAATGTGCAATTTTTATTCTCCGATTTGTAAAACTGAATCGTAAGAAAAATGCAATTTCTTTTATGCCGAAATAATCGTGCATTATATATCTACATATGTGTGTATGTGTGTGTGTAATATACACGATTATTTTATAAAGGAATTACATTTCTCTTACATGAAATTGTACAAATGAGAGAAGGAGCGTACAAGTGCTGAATATTGTATTCGGTTGTTTATCCCTTTGGAAATCCTCTCGGTTTGGCGAAATGAGAAAACTGATTCACAATCCGAACCGCTGTCTCGGCTCGACAACTAATATACGCATATATACAATGTTTTTCACGAGCAAAAGCATCTCGCGGGCCCATAACGCGCGTTCGCATACACTCCCATCCATAATTTAAAGCGCGCGCGTGAATCCGCGTCGCCTCCCTCGAATGCAGACGAGGGGAGCAGACCTAATTCCGCGAGACTTCGTATGTGGGATGCCGCATATATACAGGCGCCAGACGACTATATACGTGTAAAGGTAAACGTAAAGTTTCTCCCTCGAAGTTGCAGTCGCGGTCGCGTATCCTTGACTCGGTGTGCACTCCTACTTCTGCAAGTTTTCTCTGCAATTTCCGCACGTCTACATGGGAAGCGAGACTCGGAGGCGTCTCTGCGTACGCGTATAGACGCATATATACATGTATGTACGCGAACCTCGGGAAACCTCGACGTTTAAGGTCCGTATTTTCGAGGAGAAAGGTCTACGTAAAAGTGTACACGCGCAATTTTGCGCTCGATATTCCTCGTCGCGGCTGCTTTCTGCGAAAAATCGCGCGCGAGGGAGCGAGCCCCCGCGAGAAAATCCCCGCGGAATTCGCGGCGATCGCAGCCATCGCGGTGGCGGTAAACAACACGATAAATCGTCCCGCGTCGATAGCTCCTAATTCAGCGGAAATTGAGATACAAGTGGCGGTTGCTGCCTGGATGTATCGACCGACGCGATGCGCAACATCGGTCGCGATGGCTGGCAAAGGCAAAGCCTCGCGATTCTCGCCCCTTCCCCCTTTACGTCCATTTCTCTCTCTTTCTCTCTCTCTCTCTCTCTCTTTCTCTCGGGGGACAATGCGTTCACCCGTCAAATATTCGACAGATCCAAATGCGCCGCGTCGCATCTGCGCGACGAATTTTGCCCGCTGCCGTGATTTTGCTGCGAATTTAATTCTTGATCCGCCGTAGATGGGGAAAAAACGTACCGCGTTCGCGCGTCCCCGTTACCATTATTTCCAACAGAGATCATTTTGACGCGCCTGCGATATATGGACAGTCGGAATGACCGAGATTGCGTTACAACTTTGATGCATTTAGCGGTTCCGAGTGTATTTTAATGCATAATGCATCAGACTGAAAAAGTCGGCGCGAAAAACTCAATATCAACAAAAGTTTTATCAGTAATTAGCCCAGTTATACGCACTCCATATAGTTTTTTTTTTTTTAATAAAGTGGCACGACGATATTTCAAATATAAATAAAAAATTATTAATTAATAAATTGTTTTAAATTACACGATGAATAGTTCTACGCGGGAGAGAATATGCTGTCGTTTAAAATTAAAATCTTAATATTTTAGAGGTATATTCAGCCATTTTCACTCTAATCGTATTAAATTATTAATATCATTCAACAAAAGATTAATATCATTATTTAATTAATTGGAAATGTGAAAATATTAGTAATTGATGATTATATTAACGAAGTCTGTATTAATTAATATTGTTTCAAACAAATGAATATATGAATATATGAGAGTCTACAAATTCAACTTTATCATACTTTAGCATATTGCAAAAAAAGTGGAAAATATTATTAATAAGTAATATTTTTTGATCCACTAATTTATTAAAAATATAATGAAGAATTTCATTGCGGATCTCTTTCTCTCTCTCCCTCTTTCTCTTTCGTTGCAATATTATCCTCTAAAAAAAATTTTAATGGCAAAATCCGAGACGCGAAATTTTTTCAGAAAAGAAGAACGCTTAACGATAGATAATGACATGAGCATGGCCGCGTACGTGGCCTGTCGCTATTTTTATGCACCTGACGTCGAGACGCTACCGCGTGATAATAATAACGTAGCAAAATAACTTTTCAAAACATAATAACGCTAATATCGGGCTGCCTCTTTTTGTGGCAATCTATGCAAATCAGATTTGATATACTTGCTTAACAACTTGGCGATCAAATTTTACATACACGCGAAGATCGCGATATAATCGAATTATTTAATGTTTATGAATATGTATAAGAGATTTCTCTTATTTATATATATAATATTTCCAATAAATTTTCCATCTTTTCGTATTTCGTTTCTCTCAAATTTTTCATCGATAAAAACTGATTCATATTTCTTGTCCCGAATTTCAGATTGTGTCTTCTACGATAGAATTTGATGCTTTTATCTTTGCGATTTTTATATAGATATGATATATGCGCACAAGAATATTTTCAGATAAAACATGAAAAGATTTATATATTATTATTGAAATTATAAATTGGAAATTGATTCGAACAGATTGATAAAGTATATAAAAAAATATGCATAGATGTATACTTGATTGCTTAATTAAAATGTGACTTCAAAAAAATAGTTATTCCTTTTGTATCAACAGAAATTTATAGGCATTATTGTGACGATATCATTACGATTCTAATAGTTTAATTAATTATTTATTTATTATAAAATATATATAAGAATTAATTATATATCATACATTTTCTTCCTCTCTTGTATTATTACTATAAAATTATATATAATATAAGGAAACTAAATGTAATAATAAGTAAATTATTAAAATAGTATTATTAAAGTTTCACAAAATGCGAAAGAATAATACATTGAGCGATATATGTATTTCGATAGGATGTGTCTTTCTTTCTGTAAGAGTCTGCGTATTCATCGGTGGGTTATATTCTCTTTCAGTGCCGCATGACTATTCGTATACACGAGTATATGTGGGTTTTATGTGCACCGATAGAATATGTCGGGTCCCTCGATAGCATTAGTTAGCTCGCGCCAAACATAGTTTTGTTACGTTACGTATTTCCAAAGGGACTTTCCCAGCAATATATATAAAAATTCCATGGTTATAACTTAGTTATGTTTATGACAGCTTAATCATATATATTTCTAAGAAACTTTTTTAGACATAACGGAAAAGATAGTCTAATATTCAAGAGGTTTATTATATTTTTATAAGTCATTTTTTGTAAATTACTTTAATAAATACAATTATTTTAAATTTATTATTTTTAATAAACATACAAAAATAAGAAGAGAGAAATTTAAAAATCTCATAATGATATATCCACAGTATTATATTTAATTTTGTTAAACAAATAATTTAAAAAAGAGAGAGCGAGAGAGCTATTTTTATAAATTTCGTAAATAATATATTATAATTAAAATAGTTCTGATTTTTAAATATTTTACATACACACAGTTTTATATGTATATGATGATTATATTTTTTAAAACATTCATTTAGATTGTGATTTTACAGAGCGATCTTTACTATCCGAAATATTTATTTTTAAAATAATTTGCGCAATTTCCTTTTAAAATAAAATTTATATATATAAAAACTCTTATAAAACTAAATTTATTTTCACTTCATTCTATATACATTAAATTTCAAATGAAAATATTGTAAAAGTATCTATTGATATTGAAGGCTTGTACATAATTAAAAATAAAATGGTATTTTATAATATTTTCTCTTCAAGCTGTTAAAATTTAATGTTTCAGTCAGAAAGAGAGGTAAAAAAATATGACGAAATATATAAAAAAAAATCGTGTGAAAAATCTTTAGAAAATTTAATCAAGCACTATTTTCATGCAGATTTCAAAATTATATCTAGAGAATGACGAAAGAAGATATAAGTGAGTCCACAAGTGTGTTAATAATTTATTAATTTTCGATCGGTCACTTTATTTCAGTTATACGGTGAGGTAACCCGAGCGTCTCCAACGGCCCAAAGTATCCCTTTAAACATCACTACACAAATTTCATTATTTATTTAATAATTGACTCCTCTCTTTCTCAAATTGCGCCAACCAGTCCTCTACCAATTTATCCTCTACATTTCAGAAAAAGGTAAGGGAGATAAAATGTACATGTAATACATAAAAGCTATGTGAAAAGTCACGTAAAAAGCCGGAGGAATTCAGATCAATCATTGGTCTCAATCTAATTGCAAGATTGAGAAGAGTATAATTGAAGACTGACACGAGTATCTGGATTAATCGGATAATGAATTCGTCTTCAACCAAGACCAAGAAATCCATCTTCGACGCTAAGGGAAATAATCGAAGAAAACGAGAAAAAGGACGAGAGAGAAGGAAAGAGTGTGGTACTGCGTTTGAGAAAAACGAAGAAATATTCATGTTGGAAAAGCGAAAGAAGAAGGAAGGAATCTAATTAATTAGGTACTTTTATGCTCGTGCTACATATGAAAAGTATTTAAAAAATTCAGCGCACACAGAGATGGTGCCTTCGTCGCTCCAATTCGTACGACATCTTAATTTGCCATCTTTAATATAAATATGTGCACGCGCCATATTCTAATCTCTTTATCGAATAATTTTCATTTGCCAACTTGTCGAGATAATCGTGTCAAGTGTGCTCTTAAAAATCTCGAGCTTCTGTAGTTAAATTCATAAAAAGAATATAATTTCAAATAAAATTAAACCCAACATTCGTATTATTCTCTTTTTCTACAGCTTGAACATTTCCCGACCTAAGAAGAGAGAGTTTTCCCTCTCGGAATAAAACAATCGTAGCAACGAAAGACATCTTTGCGGATCTCGACAAGCCGGCTTATGAGAAAGATTGTATCCCGGCATCATTGCGCCAACCGTGTCGGTCTCAAAAGCAATTACATCTCTCGAGAAATAAAGGGAATTTCCGCTTTGGTGAAAAAAAATTGCTCTCCACGTCAGTTTACGGAGCTTTCCAAACATCCCCCCCGTATTATCTATTCTCCAGAGAACTCACCTCCGTGTCGTTCCACCACATGTGCAGCCGATAGTCCCTGAGTATCGTCGGATGTTCGTTGATGTGCTCCACGGCCAGCTTCACCGCGGGCATGACGCCGCGCCCGATGTGACCTTCCGGTACATGGTTGCCATACGGGAAGAAGCCGGCGATGTAGACGTCGCGCTTCTTGCTACCGCCAAGATTGATCGGTTTCTGGCCGGCGCACTCGCCGATCAGCAGGAGCCAGCAGGAACACCAGGCGACCACGGCCAGCAGCGCCGGCGAGCGGCTCGCCCTGTCGCCGATCGTCGTCGCCACGGGAGTTTCCCCGGCCATCCCCGTCCCGTCCGTCCTCTTCATCCGGTCAGCCCCGACGACATCTCGCGACGCGCGCGCTTTCATCTCGCGCCCTTCCGGCTCACTAGGCGTAAGTCCCGCGCGACGCTCGTCGCCGCTCGTCCATCGGCTTCCGCTCTCATGACGAGATACGACGCACCGGAAGTAGACTCGGACGCGATTCTCCGCAGGCCTGCGATCGATTTGTCGCGACGATCGCTCTCCGAGGGACGTCGATCAACCCCGGCGTCGAGTCATCGTCATTATTTTCGATAACTGGATAATGGATTTGGAAACGTCGACGACTGGGACGACATCGGCGTTTTTAACGTTTTCACGGGTCTAACGGAGCAAAAAGATGGCCTCGAAAGGGCTTTGTGCGCTTCGATACGGCGGCGACGGAAATTGTCGATATTCCGTAAAGGGCATGGTCGGAGAAGACGCGTTTCTTTATTCGCGAGTTTGAATTTCGTGTTCCACAAGTAGGCGAGACGTCGTCATAAATGTCGCGCCTCGATAATGCACGGAGGCCTTTATCTCCGATGCTTCATTCCAGACGATTGCACTTTAACGTCGCTCGTGTTTCATCGTCGCCGCAACTGGCATCCCCTGGTTGCATCTGCAAACAGACACGAGTCAACTGGTTATTTGTTTTGCCAGATTAGAGCGAGAGTCTCGCGACGGGTAAATCAAGAATGGTATCAGTTTTTCATTGTTTCGTCCATTTCCGACAAGCAGAGTTAATAGCAACCTCCCGGAGAGTTAACGAAGATTAATGAAGAACAAGAATAAGGTTAACGAAGAATAATGAGATTAATGAGAAATTGGACTCTTGGCAAATCTCTCACCCGCAAAGTATAATCGTCGACTTTCATTTTATTTTCGACACCCTTTCGTTTCTTCCTGATGATTCTTCCCACTCGCTCGAAAAAAAAAAAGACAAATGCGAATGCGATGCAAATTTATCGCGATTACTCGCTTAAGGATGCTTTGTATGTACAATTCCAACAAAAAGTAGTTGAAAATCAATATTGACGAATATATCCATTTTTGATGTATTTTGAATATGAGAAATGGCGTGAAATATTAGAATTTGATTTTAGCTACAGTGCAGAGATGTATTTTTGAATATTTATTGCATTTTTAATGAAATATTCCGAATTTTGTTAATCGAAATGATAAACTTTTGGCAGAGAATTTCGCCTTGTGACAGATACATGGATAACTTCATTGGATCATATTTAATATCTTTTTAACAAGTTAGTACTTGTATAATATTATTTGACCAAATATTTCCTCTGTATCTAAACTACACTTTTGCAAATTTTAAACAAATTCTGAATATTATTTCCATGTGTTTTTGTCATTTGAATCGACGTGGTTATACGTTTTCCATAAAAACACATGTTAATTCGGTGCAAATTAAAATCCTTACAACTTGTGAACGCTTTAGTGAATCGATTTAAAAATTGTACTGAAGATTCTAAACATATGTAAGGACATTCTGTACAATTTTCACTAAATTCTCAATATTTTGAAAATAGCTACAAAACATCCTTAATCGAAATGATTAACTTTTGGCAGAGAATTTCGCCTTGTGACAGATACATGGATAACTTTATTGAATCATATTTAATATCTTTTTAACAAGTTAGTACTTGTATAATATTATGTGACCAAATATTTCCTCTGTATCTAAACTTTTGCAAATTTTAAACAAATTCTGAATATTATTTCCATGTGTTTTTGTCATTTGAATCGACGTGGTTATACGTTTTCCATAAAAACACATGTTAATTCGGTGCAAATTAAAATCCTTATAACTTGTGAACGCTTTAGTGAATCGATTTAAAAATTGTACTAAAGATTCTAAACATATGTAAGGACATTCTGTACAATTTTCATTAAATTCTCAATATTTTGAAAATACGTGACATCCTTAAAATCGCCCCGATGATCCTCTTCCGAGATAAGTCGCTCGAGTTATTCTCGTTGTTACGATACGTGTCGACCCATTAACGGTCGGGCCATAACGTCATATCCGAAATTAAAGCTTTATCTCGTTTGGCGTCATCCTCGTTCGAGAGAGGGCGAAGTGTTTAAGGACGCGATATCCCATCCTCACGTTATCAAAGTAAAATAAATAAAGTTCGAGATTCTATCTAAAGTTTAATCCGAAGCGCCTATCGAGCCGGGCAAAGGGATGCGAGCGCTTTACATTGTCGTCATTAAGTTATCGGCTCCGACCTGGCCCACTTTTCCGCCATCATTGCGGTGCTTGATCCTTCAAGAATAACATATCCTCAGGCGCAAATTTAGCGCTCGCAGCTGATGACGTTCGTCGGATGTTTGGCGATGACACGTCGTCGCGCGTGGGTTCTCACTTTTTTTCCCCTTTCCTTTAGAGTCTCTTCCTCTAGAGTGTCTCTTCGAAACGAGAGAGAACACTTCCGACCCACGGGGAGACGAAATCAAATAAATCTATTTACGTTTGCGCCAGCGACGAGCGCGAGAAGCGAAAAATGTGTCGTTTCTCCTTTCGATAAAAAATTACCGTCGCTCTTTCCGCGGAGAGAAAGGATCTCTTACGTTGGGATAAAATATACAGGGTGTCCCATTCTAAATAATACGCTCAAATAATGAGAGGAATCAATTGGTGTAAAGAAAACACATAGTTGTTTCGAAAAAAAAATATGTAATTTGCAATTAACAATTACATATTTTTTCTTAAAAATAACTATGTGTTTTCTTTATACCAATTGATTCCTCTCATTATTTTTGTACATAAAAGTATTAAGGTAAGATAATCGAAAAATAAATATTTTACAAGATATTTTACGGTTTATGTAAAATTAAGAAATGATTCAAGCCTTATAATAGCCCCCTTCAAGCTATACAACTTTTGTTTGAGACATTTTTTTATTTAATGCACCGTTTCGAAGATATTTGAGCGTTGATTTAAAATGGGACACCCTGTATATTTCAGTTATGGACAGCGAAAACATGAAGCTGTCCCGTGAGTTAATTAATAATGTCGCGCAATTATTTTACTTGGATTCAACGGCATGTCGCATGATCATCTTACAAGATTACCAGATCGCGCGAGGGATGATGGGCAAAATGGAGATTGAAAGGGGCGGTTTAGGGCAAAGAGGATTGATGGCGTTGTTCAAATCGGGTAAGATTGTAGGGATGTTAATGGCCTAGGAATCTATCCATAATGGACATAGATTCAAAATTGATACGGTTGCGAGAGAGAGAGAGAGAGAGAGAGAGAGAGAGAGAGAGAGAGAGAGAGAAGAGAGAGAGAGAGAGAGAGAAGAGAGAGAGAAGAGAGAGAGAGAGAAAGGGGAGAGATTAAACGTGGAATTTGGGGAATGTGTGAAACGGATCTGCCAACGCGATGCAACTACAAGGTAAATTATGCTCGGTAAGCAGAGAAATTTCGCTGTTGTTAATAATTGAGAAGAATGGCGGAAATGGCGGAAACGGCGGAGGTTGGAAACTTTTTTATGGGGATCGGCGCCGGAAAAAAAGAAGGAACAAGAGGGGGAGGAAGGGTGGTAGAAAAGTAGCGGAAAGAGAGTCAACGGCTGCGGAGGCGATTCGCTCTACTAAATTTACACGCGGATATGCCTTTTTTATTTTCAACATGACTGCTCAACTTTGGGAAGCCAGATATCCCCAAGTTTTCCTCGGAGATAATTTCTCGGCGTTCTTCTTTCTTCTTTTTTTTTTTTTCTCCAGTTGCCGACTTTTGTTATCCCGGACAAACTTCCCGTGCACTTGATAAACATTCGCGAGAGACTTTGCGTTCGTTCGTTAAATTTGGACGAAAAACTTCCGTAAGAATGTATGCGTTGCAAGGAGAACCGCGAAAGAGTGTATACGTACAAAACTTTCTTCAAAACTATGTTGAATCTGATAAGTTAGGTGGGTCGCATGGTAACGTTAACGGAACAAGCGTTTCATTCAGCGAGATTTCAAAGTTGCACACCCGACAATAATTTTAACCCTACTAAAACTAGACAGATAAACAGTCAAACAGATAAAAAGAGAGAGAGAGAGAGAGAGAGAGAGAGAGAGAGAGAGAGAGAGAGAAAGAGTTGTATTATCTCCTAATTTTTATTTGCGATTAATTCTAATTTTTATTTTTCATTCGCGCAATTTTTCCTGGTCCATTTCTCATCGTTTCCCCAGACTTAATAAAAATCAAGACTCTGTTAAATCCCTTGACGATAAATCGAATAAAAAGAGGGAATCGTTTCAAGGCAATCAGACTTTCCGCGAGATTAGAAGTATGAAATTTGAATCGCGCTTCGATCGCGATTGGCCATTGCGTCAAGAACGATGGCTAGAACGACCTCGTGCAGTACTTGAAATGACGATCGATGCATTCCCAGTTGACTTGCTACCTTTTAGAAACGTCGATCGTTCGAACGGGACGTAGAACGGCGACGTTTATTAAAGCGTTCCTCGCCTAGAGCAGTATTCGTCCGGAGTTTCTGCAATGATGCGCAATGAAATTTAAACTTTCCGGACGAGGATCTAATCAGAATTCCGAGAAGGTTCTGTTCGTCGAGCGCGATATTAATACAGAACTGAAAGTAAGTTGCTCGTCCGGTCCATTCAAACATCACCGACCTCGTTGGTATTAACGAGACGGAAGTGGCCCCGAAATAATTCAACATCCTGTTCGTCCTCGGTTCGTTGCCTCAGGACTCTTCGGAGAAGACTTATTAGGATAATTATGCAATTACGCGAATTATACCGTAAGAATTTTCTCGAGAATTCATTACGTTATTCATTAAGTTATTTCAGAGTTGGATTAAATCTGTTGATTCGCAGGATAAAATGTATGCCGAATCAGGGGAATAGGATGGCGTGAGAACGGGATATTACAAAATCTCCCGTGGGGATCTCTCTCTTCCTCTAAAGGTTAAATGTAACGTCGATACATTTTTAATCGCGTATCGCTCGGGCCATCGCGCGATTCCCGTTTCACGAGCAAATCGTTATTCGGCGGCATTTAACGCTCAATAGATTCGTTTGAGAGAGCCACTTTCCAGTCTCATTGTCAACAATCTCGAAACCGGTGGCTTCAGCGACATTCTATGCGGAAAGAGAGAGCGAGAGATAGAGATAGAGATAGATAGATAGATAGATAGATAGAGAGAGAGAGAGTGAGAAGGGGGGAGGGAGGAAGCGGTATTGTGTCGTGCCAAGTACCTCGCCGAGATGACCTACAATTGCTGTTTAAGTGG